AAATTGTCATTATTTTCAAAGATGATTCATGTGATTAGGCTAGGGGGTAGTAGTAGTAGTAGTAGTAGTAGTAGTAGTAGTAGTAGTTGTTGATTTTTGGCTATAGAGATTAAAAGATGTGCAATGTGGGGAGGAAGAGAGGGGTTGTTGGTTTGTTTCGTTTTGACTAGAGCTGGTTCTCTAGTCGGCTTCATTTTGAGTTTTACAGGTTGAGGTATATTCATTTCATTTGATTTCATTTCAATTCGGTTACTGGTCCACTTTGTTTGGATCATGATTAGTTTTTTTCCTATATCTATAGTCAATAAGAAGTCGCATCTTACAATATCATCATGTAGGAGTTTCAATTGTAAAATTTTCCTTTGAGTAAAGTTTAGCATACTCTTCTTCAGCTTTCTTGTTACTAGGTTGCAAATTTCGCCTAATGTTTACTTCACGTGCTCAACTTTCTCAACCGCAATTTTCTTTATTTTTTTTTCCTTCTCTCTTACGCGTCTTTCGACTTTTAACACACAAATCATCATCAGTAACAAAAAATACTCAGCATCACTGAACAATACCATTCACATCTACTCACCTTCATACATACAAAGCAATGTCAATCGTATCACTAACAGGGATTGAAGTGCTCAACAACCCTGCCAAATTCACTGACCCTTACGAGTTTCAAATCACATTTGAATGTCTTGAACCATTAAAAGAAGATCTCGAATGGAAATTAACCTATGTTGGTTCATCCGACTCACTAGATCACGACCAAGAGCTCGACTCGATCTTGGTGGGCCCTGTTCCCGTTGGTGTAAACTCATTCCTCTTCACTGCCGATGCCCCTAGTCCTGAATTGATTCCGGCTAGTGAATTGGTTAGTGTTACTGTTATTATCCTTAGTTGTTCATATAATGATCGAGAGTTTGTTAGAGTGGGGTATTATGTTAATAATGAGTATGATACGGAAGAGTTGAGAGAAAATCCACCGGCCAAGGTACAGGTCGATCATGTGGTGAGGAATATCTTGGCGGAGAAGCCAAGAGTGACGAGGTTTAATATTGTTTGGGATAACGAAGGTGCTGCTGATGAATATCCACCTGAACAGCCAGAAGAAGAAGAAGAGGAGGAGGATGAAGAGGAGGAAGAGGAAGGGGAGGAGGATGATGAAGAGGATGAAGAAGGTGGTGATGATGAAGAGGAAGATGTAGTGGTTGAAGATGAGGAAGACGTTGAAGACGAAGATCGTGAGGTTGATTTGGACGATGAAGACATGGAGGAAGAAGTGTCAACTTTAAATGATAAAGAACCAGTTGCAACACCACCACCTTCAACAGCAGCAGCAGCAGCAGCAGCATCAACAGTTGATTCAGAAGTGGTGGCAGAAGTAGATACGCCGAAAGATAGTTAATAAAATATATTGTATTACTAATCGTTAAAATCTTTCATTTCTTTTTCTAATACATATAAAAGTATGTGTCTTTTACTCGTAATTGTCAATTAATGCATTTATCGTTTGACTTAGCCTGTCAATGACCGATATAGTTATGTTTGTGTCGGGGTACTGTTTTAACCTGCCGACCCATTTATCAGGATGCCATTTGATGCGTTCTTGTCTCAATAGATCCAACATTGGTCCTTCAATAATCATGTTGTAAAATTGTTTCAAAGAGTCTTGAGTAATGAGATGTAATATCTGGTCAGTTGAAAGATCATCCTGGTCAAAGTGGGGCGGAAGCAACGGCAATTTTAGTTTATTGTGATATTCGACGCGTAATCTATCATTCCACAGTTCCAACCCCAGATGTTCTATTTGTGGTGTAAGGTACGGATCATTGATTCGTTTATCTCCCACATGAACACCTTCTTCATCCATCATACCCGCTGATGTAACTGGCAATTCCCCAACCACGCTATAATTTTGTCGATTGTATGAATCACGCATTTGGGTATAGCGATTTTGATTGACGGGTGTTTCATATCTGAATTGGGCGGATTTGGATTTGGGGTATACAAATTTATAACCATTTATATTGGGGCCGTACTCTTGGGTGCATTCAGTATTAGACGGTTGAGGTTGAGGTTGAGGTTGAGGTTGTAGTAGTGGCGGTGTTGATGCTCTCAGTGATGTCGGTGTAGATTGAGATATTGGTGTAGACTCCAAGTCGTTATTCTTACCGAATGAATGTGGCTCATTTTTTTCATCATTATCGACGTCGTCATCATCATCATCATCATCTGCAAATGACTGTAGGGGTAGTTCAGACCTCTGCGGTAGTTCTTGTAACGACGTCTTGCGAGCATAATGCAAATCTAGTATAGTTGCAGTAGATGCATGTTTAAATTTGAGTTTCTTTCGTTTCGGCTGTGGTGGACATGGTGTCGAATCGTTGGTGGAAAAGCTTAATTTGAAAGTTGAACTATTGGAAGTGTTAGCGGTGTTGCATATAGACATGTGCGAATCTTGCTGCATGATGGGAGTTACCATTCTCGATCCAATAGCATCCAGATGCATTCTTTTCTTTTTATTGATAAACTTTGGTGGTGAAATGGGGAAATCATCATCTGATTCATCCGAATTGTTAAAAATCGTCTTATTACCAATGGAGTTTCCGTCATGTACATAATCGTCAATATCAACATCCTCATGTACCGTTTCAGCAATGTCATTTGTAGCTTCAATAAATATATGTCCAGGTTTCTCCTCCTCAGCATCATCATCATCATCATAATCAATTTGTGACTTTAAATGCAAGTCATTCAACATCCTCATTGGTGACAGAAAGGACACTGTTGAATTAGCGTTGATCGGAGTGGATACAAAGTCAAAGAAATCCCGGTGTTGTAGTTGCATTGTTTTCCTTGGTGATGGTGTCTTTTCAGTTGAGTCCGAGTCATCAACATCAACATCATCATTATCTTCTGCTATTTCGGTATACTCTGTGTCATCAGCCTCATCAATGTCCGATGTCAATATCTTTCTTTTATACCACACTCTTCTCTTCTCTGGAGTCACCTTGTGACTTCTATGTAGTGCCACGCTCTCATTATGTCTCTTATGTGTTGGTGATGACGATGAAGGCGATAATGATCTGCGATTACTGTCCTGCGATTGATGCGTTAGTTTTGGTGTAGTGTGCAGTAGTAGAGCCATTAAAATAATTGCTATGTAGTCATGTGGTAGATGTATATATGTAACACTTGGTCAAGTGATGAGCGAGTGTGTGTGTAGAAACCCTTTGGTTATATAAGTTTATAGTCTCAGGTAGCTTTGATTTGTTTTGATTTGTTTTGGTTTTGTTTTCCCTTTTTGTTTTTACTTTTTGTTTACTTGTTTGTATCTCTTGTTCAGAGAGGTTGTTGCACCAGCAAACTTTAAATGGACAGACGCGTTTAAAAAAGAACGTCTAGAGTATATACTTAGGGTTTGCAATCACTGGTAGGTAATGGATTGAATATGTAAGCTCTATTAGGATGAATTTAGCCCGAAGGAGACGAACTAAGTTTCCTCCATTTGGCCCCTGCGTGTTTGAATCACCACCAATTGCAATGTAGAAGTTATGTAAGCTTTGGACACAGTAACAGATCTGGTCACGTAAGTGTGAGCTGAAACGGAGAAAACGATGAGGAAAGTTGCAAAGTTCAGTGTTGACCGTTGAACCTGAAATCAATTGTTAGTATTGTCGCACAATTGGTAACTGAGTCATTTACGACATTGTGTGATGAGCGCACGTGCCCTTATATAATTTTCATCTCGCGTGGTTTCTTACGTAAACAATAGAACGCTTATAATCAGCCAGAAAGGGTGTTCTATAATGCAATGCTATGCAGAGATCCCTCTTTTGAGCTAAGATTCACTAGAAGCTGGTTAGCCGCTGTTTCTTTTAATCAACTCCTTTATCGCCCAATCAATTAGCACGCAAAGGAGCTTATGTCTTCAGAGAAGTAGTGTGTATGGTGCAAAAGAGGGACGGAAAGAAAAAGAGAGAGATAAGCAATTTTAATTTCAAAAGGGGAGGCATGCATATGTTTTCTTTTATTAGTACACTTTACACGCACACGCTGCTGCTTGAGGCTTTTGCAAAACAGACTGAATCATTTCGCTTGCTGTTTCTTTGTTTTTCCTCTTGTGGTGTGATACGGTAAACCAATAAGATACGTATGATTTCCCCTCATTTCTCTCAATTCCCTTTTTGTTTTATTTTGCCACCTGTTTTTCCAATGTGTCTGGTTACTTAAACTTCTAATAAATTCTAAATGTTCTTTTTTTTTTCTTTTTTATCATTATCATCAATCTCTGTATTTTCATTTTTTTTTTTATTTTTGTTTAATAAAATTTAGTTCACGTCATTGTTATTATTCAAACAGAAAAAAAAGTGTTTTATTGTGCCACACTATTCGAGAGGCATAATATAAAATCATAGCAAAATTTCCATAACAAAATTTAACCACTCCGATACACCACAACACACATCCACAACTCATTACTCAGAAGAAGCTTTTACTTTTGCCTTTCTCATTTGGTTATCACCGCACTAGTAGATAGAAACTACACACGCACACCCTTCACACAAACCAAAAAAAAACAAAAAAGCAATATTCCCTTTCATGAGTGGTCAGCTAGTCAACCCTGCTGAATCACTATCTTATTTTGATATCTCCTACCTCACCTTTGAAGCTGTTTTAGAAGTTGTTATTGTTTGTTTTGCCGGGTTTTTAGCGGCCAAGACAGGACTATTAAACACACAAGGGCAAAAACTACTAAGTTCATTGAATGTTGATTTATTCACACCATGTCTTATATTTTCCAAATTGGCTAGCTCACTAAGCCTATCGAAGCTTGTTGATCTTGCTATTATACCGATTTTTTTCGCTGTTTCTACTTTGATCTCCTATGGTTGTTCAAGAGGTACATCAATGTTTTTGTCGTTGAATGAACCTGAAACCGATTTCGTTACTGCCATGGCCGTGTTTGGTAACTCAAATTCATTACCGGTTTCATTGACTTTAAGTTTGGCTTACACTTTACCAGGCTTATTATGGGAAGATGTGTTGGATGACGATAGTGATAAAGTTGCTGGTAGAGGTATCTTGTATCTCTTGATTTTCCAACAATTGGGTCAAATATTGAGATGGTCATGGGGATTCAACTTTTTGTTGAGAAAGAGATCGCATGTTGAGTTGAATACTTATTACAATAAACACGGAGCTGTTGTTGAATCAGAAAATACTAGATTAATCTCAGCTGAAGATGCGTTGTATATTGACGAGGAGGAACAAGCGACAACAGAAGTTGATTCAAATTTAGAAAATAGTAGTGATGACTCGCAACAATCACAGGAAGCAACAGCTGTTGTCACCAACGAGAAACCATCTTCGTTTTATGCAAAGTTTGCTGAACTACCCGGTGTCAAACAATTTCTCTCGTTTATGAACCCTCCATTGTGGGCTATGTTACTTAGTGTCATTGTTGCTTCTACTCCATTACAGAAAGTGTTTTTCCAATCAGGTGCCGAGAATGGCGACGGTTCATTTATCCACAATACAATTACTGAAGCCATTTTAGGTTTAGGGTCAGTGTCAATCCCGTTGATTCTTATTGTATTGGGGTCCAACTTGTATCCAGCTGCAGATATCCCACCAGCATCAAAACACTATACTCGTATATTGTTTGGCTCGTTAATGTCAAGAATGATTTTACCGCCAGTCATTTTGTTGCCAGTTATTGCCGCATGTGTTAAATACATCAACATATCGATATTGGATGATCCAATTTTCCTTATTGTTGCATTTATTTTAACCATTAGTCCACCAGCTATCCAATTAAGTCAAATATCTCAATTGAATGGAATTTATCAAAAGGAAATGTCTGGTGTATTGTTCTGGGGGTATGTTATTTTAACATTGCCAACGACTATTTTCATTGTAGTTGCATCGTTGAAAGTTTTGGAGTGGGCTCAGTAAATGTTGGGCGATAGGTAAATAGGATTCATTTTGAATATTTTCAAAGGTATTCCTTAAAGTTGTAGCGTGTTCTGTGAGTTACTAAGATGTCTTTTGAGATGCTGCTGCCTGTAGACCTCTATGAAAATGGGGTCTAGTCCTAACTAACCTGAACAGACTTTTTTTATTTTTTTCAGGTAAAGTTCTTGCTAAACCTCGAGGTGTCTTTTTAGCCTTTGTATTTTTGCAAAAGTCTTCGAAGCCTAAAAATAAACTTTCATGTGACACAAAATTCACCCGCAACTTTAACCTGAAGCATTAACGACAGGGTCTGAAGCTGAGCTGATGTAGATCAAACTTTGACAGATTAGATGTGACCTCTCCCCACGCCACATATTTTGCAAGGTTTTGTAATTTTGTGAGTCTTCTCAACATATTTGTACTAAATGTTTGCAGCAGGTTTGTCTTGTGAAAGTAAGTAAGCCACACTTCCCAAAAAGAAAACTTCTCCAGCATGAGATATCTTTAGATGAAAGCAAAGAAACTAGCACCTTTGGAAAAGCATATGCATATCATTAGAGAGTGGTTTGAAAGAGTTAAAATTTTAGAATTTTACATTCACCAAAGGTACTCTCTGATGGAAAGATGTTACCCCAATATGATGATCTGCGCTTATTGTTAAATTTGTATATTGCCGTATGAGTTTTTACTCATTGTAGGCATTTTTTATTGAATAAGAACAATAATAGATCAAAATAATTACACAAACTTATGACACATTTATTTTAAAGTAGGGAAGATGGATTTTTTTTGGTTCTTTTATAATATAAGACAAATAAAGAGACAAAAGACACACACATACACACACACACACAGAGAGAGAGGCGACTAAAAAAATTAAATAAATTAAAAAGTATTAAAGAAGGTTCCAATCCAAACAAAATTTCCCCCACTTAGTTTTAAAGAAACGCCATACTGGATGGGGTTTCAACCACCAACACCATAAAATTTTTCATAACACTGACTCAACATAACTCAGGTTAACTCAAGGCAAATCCCTTTTCACTACTTTCATATTAAATCAACAACCAGCCAACCACTACACTACATTACATTGTTGAGCCTTTGGTGTATTATACTATATTATAGTACTAAAGTTTTCCATTTTATTCATGGCTCTTGAACCATCTAGAGACAAGTCAAGCATGGCTGAGTTGAAGAGTAACACGCTACTAAATAATGTCACAGTTTCAACTTCCAAGGCAGAGCACAAATCTAAACTCATATCGACCCTAACGACATCTATCGAATCTCCACAATCAACAGCCAAATCAACTGCAGCCAGATCTCTTGAAGAGAGGCAGAAAAGGCGGAAACATAAAAACTCTAAGCTAGGGTGTCCAAACTGTAAACAACGACGCGTTAAATGTTCAGAAGATCTACCGTCTTGTGCCAACTGTATTAAACATAAAGTAGAATGTGGGTACTTGAAGTATACAAAGGAGGAGTTAGGAGAATTGGAACAAGCAAAACTTGAGCGTCAGCAGCCCCTTTTGGAAATGCAAAAGTCAGATTCAAGGTCAGAAACAGACGGAACAGATCAGCATTTAGAAATTGACTCAAATAACGGATCGCAAATGGGAGATGACAGTGAAAATCGACGAGAGATTAAAAAGAAACCAGCTCTCAACAACTCGAGCAAAATACTGAAGCCAAGGTCAAAACGCAAAACATCAACAGCTCGACCGCGGGTGCCGCGAAATTTTGAGCAACAACCCGACAGCCATTCAATGGCTACAAGCGTATCTAATACCACCCTGACAACAACAAGCAATGGAAACCTCTTTGATTTGGACGAGAGTATACACTTGCTGTCCCATAGTCCAACAGCAATCCAAAACTTCGATAGTTTGCTACCACAGGGCTCAAGCCCGGAGAGTTCAATAATTTACCCCATTTACAAAATGCGTCAAGGCGTTACAGAACAACTGGGATGTAATCATATTAGCCTGTCTGAAACTACAGCAAGTAGTCAGCCGAAATTTCCCGACACTTTACCCCCGAATGCGTTGCCTGGAGCAATTCACAAGCCCACTCTGTTTTCAATCAACCATATTAAAAGGAATATCAACTATACGAAAGAGACTGATGAATTGTTTAAGGAAAAAAATCCGGCTATTCTTAAAGGCAGTGTGAGACTTGATGTGATAAAACAAGTTTATTGGATGTGGTTAAAATCATTTGTGTATCGAGGGACTTCTCAACCTTTAACATTCTACTGCTTACTAAATGTCTGTGCTAATTACCTAACCTCCAATTGTTTTAATGATTCATACAAGCTTTACAGTCTTGGAAGGGCGGGTTCAACAGCACAACGAGGAGTGGAATTAGCTCACATGCGTCAAACGTGTTTTGTAAAGTCGATACATTACTATGACCAAGTGGTCAAACGATTGCGAGTGGCATTGGCTGAATGTGGTCATGATCCTGACGCTTCTTGTACAGCGTCCTATATGTTAAGTCTCTTGTCGCTATACGATCTAGAATGTTCGTTAAGCTCAACCACGTGTTATCGAGAAGGACTATTTGACATGTTGGAGCATTACAGTAGCAAAAGCGTACCCATTAAGAGACCGTTGGTTGTGCAAATTGAATTGAAGTTGATGACAAACATTATGATGACGGGTAATTTACCAGCTTACGATCCTACGTTCATGAATGAAGTTCGTCAGATGCTAAATGCGTTTGGTGAGATTTTACTCCCGTTATGCAAAGCTTGCACAGCATCACACGAGCTAAATCATCCACAAGTTCAGGCCTGTCACTTTATTCGATTAAAATACCGTCAGCTTTTGCAATTTATGGATGAAACTATTGATATTTATATTCCCCGAATTAACAACAATATGGCCAATCTAGAAGCACAACAAGACTTGCTATACCAGGTGTTAACCAAATGGGTGATTATGTTCCCCAGTCAACTTGTATTTCCTACCCCAAATCAGGGCCCATTTGAGAAGATCATGTATTTATTTTTCAAGCTTGTTAAAAACGTCCTATTCGCCATTTTCCCACACGTCAAATTCTTCTTTCTACGCAATTTTGATGGTCCCATATTGCTGGATATATATTCCAGTGATGATTACGCCATTTATCAAGAAATTTCGCAGCCTCGGGTATTAAGAGTTGAGCCACTGCTTTATGAGCCGCACGTGAACCAGTTGAAGCACATTGCGGCATACTTGATTCGTGTGTCGACATATATTGAAAAGAGATTTCACCAATTGTACCCTGTGCTAATGCGATTTATTGGTATGTATGATTTTCTGGGGAGTCATATCAACACATGGCGTAAAAGTGTTGATAACATTGCGTCATTGAGAAAAGATTTCTGCGACAGGATGCAAGTAACGGAGATTAACATGGTATCGTTTACTAAAGGATATTTAAAAAAGTGTAATTATCCTGGGCCCAAAGCCGCAGATGACTATAGTGGTGTTCCTGATGATACGGTCGTTGATTTCACTACGTTGCTTCCGCTGGGACTTTTAGCTGGTGACTACGATCCTGATACAGAAGAATGCTAAGTTTTCTTACGTTGGTAGCCTAAGTGAAACGATGGGCGTTAATGTCAAAGGGTGGTGTTCCAGCTGCACACCTCAAAAGTAAATAGCCATTAAGTCATATTCATAGACATTACAACCTGTAACAATTACAATTCATACCTCCCTCCCTCCCGATCTGTTTTATGTAGGCTAACAAAAAAAAGAAGAGAGGTGTTGCAAACTATGTGCTTGTCAATGTTACATTATGCGTAAAACTATCGTCTCCCATAGTCAAAACATTTTATTTTTTGTTTCATAAAATTTTTATTGTTTTCTCTCTTTTTCTCACTTTCTCTCTCCTAAACGCCAACATTTTCATTTTCATTGAACGCAACTGTTTGAACCCCATAGCCACCTGCATATATCCTTACATTGTCCACTTGGTTATTACTCCCTACATACATATACATACAAGCACATCGATACTATGACAGACAACACGGAAGATTACTCCTACGACTACGAATATTTGTACAAAATTGTTCTTATTGGTGATTCAGGCGTTGGAAAGTCAAACTTGTTATCAAGGTTTACCCGAGATGAATTCAACTTGGAAAGCAGATCAACCATTGGTGTTGAATTTGCCACTCGAACTTTAGAAATTGATGGCAAAAGAGTCAAAGCTCAAATCTGGGATACTGCTGGACAAGAAAGATATAGAGCAATCACATCAGCCTATTATCGTGGAGCAGTTGGCGCTTTGATTGTTTATGATATTGCAAAGACTGAAAGTTATGAAAGTGTTAGTCGTTGGTTGAAAGAGTTGAAGGAACATGCCGATGCAAACATTGTGATTGAATTAGTAGGCAACAAATCCGATTTGGATCATTTACGAGCTGTGCCTACTGACGAAGCTAGGAATTTTGCCTTGGAGAACAACTTGTTATTCACTGAAGCCTCTGCGTTGAGTTCTGATAACGTTGATTTAAGTTTCCATCAGTTGTTGAAGAATATCTATGAGATGATATCGAAGCACCAATTGGATACTAATGAACAAGGCGGATTAAAAGCGCCAACTAGTGGGCCAACGATAAGTTTGACACCGGCACCAAAGGAGAAAAAGAGTAGCAAGAATAACTCAAACTGTTGTTGAGAGTGTCAGAGAGAGATAAAGAGAGGGGAGGAGAGGGGTAGTGTCTGGCAGACTTTTATCACTACAAGGGCTAGTTCAGTAAAGTCTTCAGAGAACTCTTCGCTGCATTTATATATATATATATATATATATGTATACGTATATAACATGTTTCGGTTCTATAACAAACCTATCTATACTATTTAAGCAATCTTTTTCAACTTGCCCACTGGTTGTTTCAAAGATCGGCTAGTTCCAGTTGCTCCTGCAGTACCAACTCTAAGTTCACTCGAAGGACCACTTTCAATGGTAAAGTTGACTATTTGTTCTCCCCTTAATATGATCAATCCAACATGTCTCTTTGCTAAATCGGGCTTATTCGACTTTGGGATCTCAGTAGGGAATAGAGGTGTACTCGTTGTTGTAGTTGAATTGATGGGTAATTTGTTACTGGCCTTTTTCTGACTTTGTGAACGTAAATCCATCAAGCTCTTTTTCGTTATTCTGGCTTCCTCAGTGTCAGATAATACTAGATTGAGATGCTTGTCAAAGGAAAGTAAGGTTCCGGTATAAGTTCTATTATCAATCGTATGAATCTTCAAACGATTATTTATCAAGTCTGACATTTTCGTCTTTTTGTTGATAGGTAGCTTAGTTGGCTAGAAGGGGTTAGTATGATGGTTTCGACTACATGGTTGGAAAGATACATACCATATTGTGAAGTTGGGTTGTGCAGGTTTTGTAGATGTTATGGATGCCTTTTTGGACATGAAAGTTTTTTAGAGGTGTCGTGCTTTATTTTTGGTGTGTCTTGTGATACAATTTTACGACACTTAGCTCTGAGCAATTTGACATTCTTACTTTCGTTTCCCAAAAACACTGAATCCATTCTACAATTCATCAATTCAATTCATTAGGAAGAATCTTTAATCGTATTCTCCCTTTTGCCAGTCACTGAATTATTGTTTTTCGAACCCAATTGACGCGTTATATCTTGTCTTTGATACCTATACCATTTCACTCAACACGTCTTCATACATAACAATGTCTGAACAAGAAGTTAAAGAAGTACCAACCGAACAAGTCGAAGAGGTTGCTGTTGAAATTGATTCCAAAGCTGGGAATGCAGCTGAGAATGCACCAGATGAAGCAGTTGATGCTGGCACCTCAACTACTGAAGGTGTGAAAAGAAAGGATTCCACTGAGACCACAGGGGAACCAAAGAAGAAGAGAAAGAGAAGAACGTACGACGATGATGAGCCTGAAGCAAAAAAAGAAGAAAAAGAAGCTGGTAGGAATGAAGAAGGAGACGAGGAAGATGAAGATGCTGAGGCTGATGCTGAGGTGCAAGAAGAGGGTGAAGAAGGAGAAGATGACGATGACGATGATGATGATGATGATGACGACGAAGAAGATTACGAAGGAGAGGACGATGGTGAAGTTGAAGATGACGAGGAAGATGAGCTCAATGAAATTGATACTACAAACATTATCTCCACTGGAAGAAGAACAAGAGGTAAGCAAATCGATTTTAAGGAGGCTGCAGCAAAATTGGATGCAGACAAGCAAGCATGATCTAGACTTCATTTTTAACAGTTAAGTGGCTTGGTAGCCCTATCTATAAAAGTTTTGCGTTTACCAAAACAGTATCTAAATTTGATCAGTAATGGTAGTTAACTAGATTATAATATATTATGTCTATGAATTTATGTGATTGATAACATCTTCTGACTCCACTATTAACAACGTGCAGCATATACTTGAAGCGTGGAGCATTAAACATTAAACAAGCATATTCCAGCCACTAAAACGTAAGTGCCAGCTATCCAGTATCAAATTCAAACAGCTAGCCAAATTGCGCTCTTGTCTCAGGTGAAGACAGACTGGCATAGTGGTGCAAATGGATAATAAGACAGCGGATGAAAATGCATTCAAAATGATTGACATTAGTACGGAGACAGATGCAGTTTGATTGAAAGCAGGCCAGTCATCGGGTGCAAGTGCTTTCAATTCATATCCTTTCCAATTGCAACTGAACCTACAGTACAGGTAAGCCCTTGTGGAAGGTAGATTTAAATCTAATGACATTCTATTCAAGAGACGAATTAAACTAATAACCGCTTTCCATTATCTCTTCAATTTCGCCTGTTTCGGATGTCTCTTCCAAAGAAGCAGCCGCTTCTTGTGCAGCTAGTTGCTGTGCAGCTTGCAATTTGGCTTGTTTCTTGGTAAGTCTCGTTTCACCTCTCTCTTGCCTAAGAACTTGCTGCTCTCTATATTTAGCTAGATATATTTTCAACACTTCGGCATAGTTCTCAAACCCTAAATCGTACATCAGGTATAGTATGTCTTCTCCATTTATCGTCTTTCTTTTTTCCCGCAAGCACTTGTCAGAAGCTTCACTGGTAATGAATGATATAAATTCCGAGACGCATTCTTGCATACACTCTTTGGCATCTTTCGAGACTTTTGCTGTAGGTGGTAGAGTGTTTTTCATAAGTCTGGCGACATTTGCAATAGGTAACCACCGGTCCTGTTCTCGTAGTTCTAAGTCTCTCGTATTTTGTTCCATTGTATAATGAGTCTGTGTGTTGCAAAAATGTGTTTAGGTTGTTCTTTTCTTTATAGTCAGATGATGTGTTATGATTACCATTTACTTGGCTATAAATGGCTAGATCGTGCTGAAAATTTGGAGTAATTTGCGACACTTTTTATTTTTTTTCCTTTTCTTGTTTTTATTTTTTTCTTTACTCTCTCTCTCTTTATTTTCTCCCGTTTGGGAAATCCTAACTCAGATAGAAATGCCGCAATCGGAGGGTCTTGCCATAGACTTTGACAACCCGTAGTAGATATGCACGTCATCTCGGTCCCCAAATCGCCTTTGAGGTGAAGTTACTGGTCTATGGTTTCATATTCCACCACTTTGAGGGGGGAAACTACCTCCATTTTATCACGTCACATATTGTGTCGTGAATTACATTTTGCGAAACTCAAAAGCAAACCTCTCTCACTCTCAAGCTCTCATAAATTTCTGATGGGGACATTGTTTCCAAAGCAAGTACACAACTCGCCATGAAAAAGGCACAATCGGAACCCAATGTCTTTGACAAGCTTGATAATTCAGACGATGACATTGTTGATGAATCAGCCAAAGGTATCTCGTCGCTAATCCTAGTTCAAGTGATTACAAAGTTATTCACTTTTATGTTAAATCAAGCGTTACTTAGGTTTGTTTCGCCTGATATTTTTGGATTGATTGTTTACTTGGAGTTTCTTCAATCGTCGGTTTTATTCATTAGTAGAGAGTCTGTTCGGCTAGCAGTACAAAGAATTGCCTATGATGAAACCAAAACTCGTACTTTGCAAAAGGTGATGAACTTTGGGTTTTTACCGCTTTTCATTGCAATCCCTGTCACCTTACTCATTGGATACTTTCAAGGAATTAAATCAATCAATTTTCAGGAGTTCTTTTTGCGGCTCCCGTTGCATAAAGTGACTATAGGTGTTATCATTGCACTGATAATTCTTGAGTTGAGTATTGAGCCCATTTATTGCGTTTACCAGTACGAGTTAGAATTTGGAAAGCGATCAAAGTTTGAGGGAATTGCCTTAACAACGAAATGTGTGACTACATTCTCTGCAATTTATTTAGCGCGTCAGTACTTTACAGACATCGAATTTAGTGGTGCTGCTATTTTATCATTCATGGTCGGGCAGCTTGCGTATTCGGCGACATTGTTCTTTTCGTATAGCACGTCGTTTTTGAAATTCAACAAGGACAGAGACATCCATATTAGATTCAGTATTGTCAGCGACAAGGAAGTACCTAAGTTTGACCCTGCTATTATATCAATCACCAAAAGCCTATTCATACAAATGATCTTCAAGCAGGTGCTAACTGAAGGAGACAAGTTATTGATTAGTTATTTATGCACTATTGAGGAACAAGGAGTATATGCGGTAATTGTTAACTACGGCTCAATCATTGCCAGGTTATTGTTTCAGCCGTTGGAAGAATCAACTCGATTACTATTGGCCAAGATAGTCAACAGCACCGAAAAACCGAAGGGTGAAACGATGGCGCAGTCTTTTACTTACATTACAATGATAAGTTTGTTTTATTTCAACCTATGTTTATTCATTTTATTTGCTGGAATCACAAATGGCTCATTCTTGCTTCAAGTTATGATTGGGGGCACTAGCAAGTGGGCACAAACTAACATATTCGACATATTTACCCTTTATGTCACTTATATACCCTTTTTGGCATTCAATGGTGTGTTTGAGGCTTTCTTTACTATAATTGTCCAACCCCATGAGATACAAAAGTATTCCCAGTTTATGACATTCATCACAATAATTGTGTTGGCGACTCTGTACGTTTTGATTTCGGTTATGGAATTGAGATTGGCGGGATTGATACTAGCCAATATACTCAACATGGCTATGAGAATTGGATACTGCTACCACTCAATCAAGAACTACTACGGTGCAAGGATAAGCTTATTGACTTCTTTGCGGTATACTTCCGGATCAATTGCTTGCACAGTAGCCTCCTGGGTAGTGCAATACTTGTTTCTCTTTAAACTGGGGTCATTTGTCACCAAGACGTGGTCGGAATTGTTTAAGAGTGCTATCTTCTCCGCAATACTTTTAGCAAACCTTTTGATTCTTGAAAGACAAAATATTCAGAACTGGGTAAAACGAGTGTTCAAGATCAAGAATGATTAGTTTATAGATGTATAGAGATACAAAGAAAACAAAAAAAATTAGAGTCGTCACACTAAGTCACTGTAACATTGTGAACTAACTAACGTCGTGCCGTCCAGTACCGCCTCCGTCACGGATAGCATTACTGTGCTGAATTGCTTCCCTCCAGTGGTGGTGCTATTAATTACCAGGGTAAGACGTGCTGATTCCTCAAGCAGTACTGTACCCCAACCGCGAGGATCGAACTGGACACTACGAAAGCGAAACGTTCACAACGTCAAGTGCACAGCAAATGCACTTCCGCCAATGGCCATCACAGCCAAAAATTTCAAGTTTTCGAGGAGAGGTCTACCTGACGAAACACAGTTTAAATTATTGTATTGAAGGGTGCAAGCGTAGGAAGGCAGTGTGTTGAAATATTTGCCGTGGATCGTGGTTTTTGGAACAAGCGGTATTGACTTTATTAAAGTTTGCGCGTAAATATAGCGTAGTTTTCTTTTTTGCTTTACAAAGTATTTTCAAGAGTTTGAGACAAAATTATCTTAAAGTGCCTAAACACTCACCTCAAAAGATGTCTATTGTAGAACTACTCCAGGAGATAGACAACTTGGCAAAGATCATCATTCAAAAAAACTTAGAACTAGATAATCTAAGGAAAGGCTATGACGAAAGATTGCGAGTCATAAACGACTTCATTGCAAAGGTGCATCTTGACCAAACTACCGAGAGAATCACATCGGAGGCATTTACGCAACACATAAGCAAAGAGATTGTTTGCCCAAACTGTAATCACACAGTGTATAATAACAGTCAAGAGGAGTTTGTTCTAATACCAAAGAAACAAATAGAGTACTTGACATCTACGGAAGGAATTGAAAGACCGCCAGAAGCAATGCCACAACTTGTAACAGTGAATAACCAAAAGACAAAGAGTAAAGCACATGTAACTTGTTCATATTGCAAAGAGCAAGGTCACACGAGAGCGAAATGCAAGAAACGACTTGGCTTGATAAATTGAAGATAAAACAACTTTGCATTAAAATATAAACACTTATTTTGAAGCTTGCACCATTGCCTCTGCTTAATGTTAGTATTGGTCCATAGTGAGATTTTCTTAATAAACATACCTCTTCTTGATGCATCCTGTAGTAATGTACAATCAACCGAATTCGGATTCATATGCACATATCGCACGGTTGACCCTCTAATGAATAGGTTTTTAACAGCATCTAGGTAGGGATATTTGTCACAATTTGTGCATGTTATGTCGTCTAATTTTAGGTTCAAGTATTGGTCTACCGACTTCAATGTTCCCCTTATTTCCATATCATTCTTTAACTCAACGGTGACTTCTTGGTCCACCAACGTTTTGAAGAAGCTAAAAAACAACATTGTCGTTGGGTCTTGGGTTGTAGCTTGAGAACAGAATTTTTACCTTTCTAATTTTTTACGACGAGATTTTTTTTTCTTCATGTTATTACTCTATAGCAAGGGCTACTCTTTGAAAACTAAGTCAGGAAAAACACAAGTTTCATAAGGTTTATGTTGCAACGGGATCATGTCAGGATTATCTTCACTATAAGCGAAGTAGTCATTGGAAAAACTAGTTGAATCATTGTGTATGTTTGGTTCGACACTTAAAAATCGCAATAACGGGTCAAGATAAACCTCCTTGTCTATCGTGTTGAAAAAAGTAACATCGTTGTATCCAAAATCTGTACTTGAGCTTCTTGAACTGGGATAAGGCTCCTTGAGACGCTCATTCAAGTCAAATGTTTTTCTTGGGATTATAAAGCCGTCTGAGTAAGGGACTGGCTTCTCTTGGTCGAATGGACACCAACCTTGACTCAATGGGGAAGGAATATGACATGGAGTATTTAAAAAGCTCTCTACATTGTGGACTTTCTGTACTGGCATGTGTGATTTATCACTTGGGTAAGAAGAAGGTGACCGTCCCCTTATGGTAAGTGGGGGTGTGTTTGTGACAGCAACGACTGCAAATGTGTCCTTTTCTTTCAATTCAGCCAAAAGCTGAACCTGCAATATAACATCATTCTTTTCACTTCTCCGGTGTCCTCCAACTGATCCAGTAAACTGTATTCTTTCGTACTTTGCCACATTGACGAACGCTTCCTTTTTTGTATACCCGTATAGGATAGATTCTTCACCCTCAATCTTCAACTGGCTGTATTTCGTGACAAACAACTGGCTCGTCCTCTCTAACTTTTCGCGGTTCTTGAGGTTGGCGCTTTGTTTAATTGCTGAATGGCTAGGTAATGTTCCGGGAATCACGTAAATTATTGGGGGAGTCACGCCAACAGTTCTTTTTGCAGTATGTTGTACCAATTCTGTTTCATTATTATCGGCAACATATCTGCTAACTAGTCTGATGGCAAACCTCTTGATGTCGTGACATTCTCCCATTGTTGCCAAGGAAAACCCTTCTTCCTGGCATAAAGAAACGCTGGACTTGATACCTTCAAACAGAAAACTGGAAACCAAAGAAAAGTAGTTGCGTTTGTAACCAACCCAACAATCACCATCAAGATCAAGTCCCCTATCAATTCGGGCCTCGATAATCGGATTTAGTTGTAACTTTGAAGATTTGACAAAAACTGGTGAAACTTCAATTGTGGTGCCAAAAGGTGGACCAACCTTGAACTGCAAATTTGATCTGGGTGCTATTTTGGGAGACAATGTAATTAAAGGGGTGGGGTCTGAATGGATGGTCTGCTTCACCATTTTGTTGTTGATACGATTCATGTTGATCTGAGTGTTGCAAAAGAGTTGTGATTTTTGCAACACAAATTTTACACTCAAAATAAAGAACAACAAAACATCTTTAGAATTTGAAATTATACATTTCCAAATTTGAGCAACTTTAATTGTTCGTAAGAATGACTATCATCCATTCAAACAGATGTTTCCTCTGCAACTACTCTGTCTATGCAACACTGCAATACTAAACCACACATGGTAGCACACGCTAGCTCATCTTTCATCCCAGAATTTTTTTTCAAATGGTTAATTCTCATCACTTGACATCACATTCACTTTACACCAAATCGAACAGCATGGGTAAAAAGGCCATTGACTCACGTATCCCAGCATTGATCCGTAATGGAGTGCAAGAGAAACAAAGATCGTTTTTTATTATTGTTGGTGACAAGGCCAAAAACCAACTACCTAACTTGCACTATTTGATGATGAGTGCTAATCTCAAAATGAACAAGTCCGTGTTATGGGCCTACAAGAAGAAACTATTGGGCTTTACCTCTCACAGACAAAAGAGAGAGGCAAAGATTAAGAAGGACATTAAAAGGGGAATCAGGGAAGTTAATGATCAAGATCCGTTTGAAGCATTCATTTCGAATCAGCATATAAGATATGTCTACTATAAAGAGACTGATAAGATATTGGGTAACACATATGGGATGTGTATCTTACAAGACTTTGAGGCGATGACACCTAACTTGTTAGCCAGGACAGTTGAAACAGTTGAAGGTGGAGGTTTAGTCGTGATATTGTTGAAAAATATGACTTCGTTGAAACAACTTTACACCATGAGTATGGATATCCACTCGAGGTACAGGACCGAGGCTCACGATGATGTGGTTGCTAGGTTTAACGAGAGATTTTTGTTGTCTTTAGGGTCATGTGAAAACTGTTTAGTCGTGGATGACGAGTTGAATGTGTTGCCAATATCAGGAGGCAAACATGTTAAACCGTTACCATCAAAAGATGACGACGAGTTAACACCAAGGCAGGAAGAACTTAGAGACTTGAAGGAGAGTTTGGCCGACGTTCAACCGGCAGGGAGCTTAGTCAATCTAGCCAAGACCATAAACCAGGCACAAGCTATTCTCACCTTTATTGATGTCATTGTTGAAAAGACTTTGAGAAGTACCGTAACATTGACTGCAGGTAGAGGGCGTGGTAAATCGGCTGCTTTAGGTATCGCAATTGCCGCGGCGGTGTCACAGGGATATTCAAACATTTTTGTCACCTCGCCTTCACCAGAAAACTTAAAGACCTTGTTTGAATTTGTATTCAAAGGCTTTGATGCTTTGGGATATACCGAGCATTTGGACTACGACATCATTCAGTCGACAAACCCTTCCTTCAATAAAGCTATCGTTAGAGTAGATATCAAAAGAGAGCATAGACAAACTATTCAGTACATTTCTCCGACTGATAACCATGTTTTGGGCCAGGCTGAGCTTTTGATCATAGATGAAGCAGCAGCTATCCCATTACCGGTTGTCAAAAAATTGATGGGTCCGTATCTTGTGTTTATGGCCTCTACCATCAATGGTTATGAAGGTACAGGTAGATCATTATCATTGAAATTGATCCAGCAATTGCGTAATGAACAACAAATGAACAATGCCCCAGCAGGCACTGAAATTGTTTCAAGAGATAAAAAGCTGACTGATATTGGCGGATCATTGACCAGGAATTTGAAGGAAGTCGTCTTGGACGAGCCAATCAGATATGCTCCTGGAGATCCAGTGGAGAAATGGTTAAACAAATTGTTGTGCCTTGATGTTTCATTATCCAAGAATGCAAAATTTGCCACAAAGGGAACACCACATCCATCTCAATGTAATTTGTTTTACGTTAATAGGGATACATTGTTTTCATACCATCCAGTTTCAGAAGCTTTCTTGCAAAAGATGATGGCTTTGTATGTGGCTTCTCACTATAAGAATTCACCCAATGATTTACAGTTGATGTCTGATGCACCCGCACATCAGTTGTTTGTTTTATTACCACCAATCGAAGAAGGTGATAACAAGATTCCCGACCCATTATGTGTTGTACAATTAGCTTTAGAAGGTGAGATATCAAAAGAAAGTGTGAGAAAGTCGTTAAGTAGAGGACAGAGAGCAGGTGGTGATTTGATTCCATGGTTGATCTCACAGCAATTTCAAGACGAAGAATTTGCTTCATTGTCAGGAGCCAGGGTTGTCAGAATTGCCACAAATCCTGAATACTCTGGTATGGGCTATGGTTCAAGAGCAATGGAGTTGTTGCAGGACTATTATTCTGGAAAATTTACCGACATAAGCGAGTCTTCAACTCTCAATGATACAACTTTAACTCGTGTTAGTGATAAAGAGTTGGCCAACGCATCGTTAAAGGATGAGGTCAAATTAAGAGAAGCATCGTCTTTGCCGCCATTGTTGTTGAAACTTTCTGAAAAAGCGCCATATTATTTGGATTACCTTGGTGTATCTTATGGTTTCACTTCACAATTGCACAAATTTTGGAAAAAGGCTGGTTTCACTCCAGTTTATTTAAGGCAAACAGCTAATGAGTTGACAGGAGAGCACACGGCAGTTGTTTTGAATATTTTGCCCGATAGGGAGAGCAAATGGTTGCACGAATTTTCAAAAGATTTCCACAAACGATTCTTGCAGTTATTATCATACGAGTTTAAAAAGTTTCAAGCGTCTCAGGCATTGGGTATTATTGAAGCGGCCGAGCTAGGAGAAGGAGAACATACCATTAAGCCATTGACTAAAGACCAGCTTGACGACTTGTTGTCGCCGTTTGATTTAAAGAGGTTGGATTCGTATGCAAACAACTTGTTAGATTATCATGTTATTGTTGATATGTTGCCGCTTATTGCTCAATTGTATTTTTCTAAAAGAACTGAAAATCAAGTCAGTTTGTCATCTGTTCAATCAGCTATATTATTGGCAATTGGTTTACAGCATAAAAATATCGAACAAATAGCAAGCGAGCTCAATTTGGCCACTAATCAAGCGATGGCGATGTTTGCCAAGATTGTCAGAAAGTTTTCAACATACTTTAGAAACGTCTTGACAAGAGCAATTGAGGAACAAATGCCAGAAGTGGATGACGAGCGTATTAAGGAAATGGAAGGAGATGTAGAGGAAGAAGTGGACTACAATGAAATTGAACAAAATTTGCACGATGATTTGGAAGAAGCTGGAGATGAGGCCATTGCCGAGATGAGAGAAAAGCAAAGGGAATTGATTAATGCTTTGAACTTGGACAAGTATGCAATTGCTGAAGATGGGGAATGGGATGAGAAATCGATGTCAAAGGCAGTCAAAGGTAAATCTAATGGAACTGGTGTCGTTTCAGTTAAGAAGGGTAAAAGAAAGTCAGGAGAAAGTGCTGGGGACATTTACGAACAGGAAATGAAGGCAGTTAAAAAGGGCAAAAAGGGAAAGAAGTAAAAAGGTTTTTAAGGGTGTCTATAAGTTATCTATAATAAATTGTAGTGATTGCTGTACCAAATCAAATAGAGTCGAGTCATTGTCATTGTTGATATCGTAGATGTTGTACTGCTTTGCAATTTCTGGTTTCAACCTGTTGGCGACATTCTCGTCAATAAATAGGTACTTGTGAGAATTTACAAAGGCTGGCCACACAATGTTTGCAAAGTAATCAGGTGGGTCTACCCAGAATCCCTCAACAGTGTTGTAACCACCTCTCGATTCCCGTCTCTTCTTCAACGTGTCAAATGACGCATGAAAAAATAGCTCAATGTCGAATAGTTTAATTATTTCTGGATTGTGAAACAACATAAATCCATCAATAAATACCAACTCCTTTCTTGCGAATTTGTCGCTGTTTTGGTTTATTCTTTCAAGTATCTGCTTCTTTTCAGCTGGGCTCAACCTTAATTTCAAATCGTTCGATTGGATCGAATCCACGGGAACTTGTTTCTTCCCCGACTTTATATTCCGAATGTATGTCTTAAACTTTTCAAAATCAATTGCTTCGGCACAATCCCAATTTTGATATCCAGTAGCCTCATCTACTGGTATTTGTGAATCGGTGAGATAAAAGTCGTCCAAGTGGATCAACGTCACATCGGGAAGTAGAACCTTGAGGGTTTGAGCGACTGTAGTTTTCCCACTTGATGAAGGTCCCCCAAATGCAATAAGCACGACCCTGTCACTGTCCCTTGTCATAAAGAAATAAAAAAATGTAGTAGGTGAATCAATATATCCTTATCTGTCTTTTAATTTTTTTTTCCATTCTTTGTTCAATCAAACTTGTGCGGAGCTGAAAACCTTTAGCGGAGTTCACACACTTTTCCATCCATCTGCAACAACTGGAACGTTTCAAAACCTAATTTGTATGGGTAGTAGCAATATACGAAAGGGCAACTCCTTCTGTTTCGTCTTAACCTTAGACAAAACGTTTACCTCGGAAAGGAGTGAGAAATCCTGTCGTCATGCAGCGCTAATTTGCATGTTTGCTTAGCAAAGTCAACTAGCTTTCATTGCAATTTTTTTAAACGATACATAGGCCATGATGTGAACCCAACAATACATTCCCTAGCGAAGTGTATCAGCTCAATTTCAGGGATGTTCAGAGATCACTTCAAGAAAGCTCTTTAGCACGACCTTTTGCTAACTCGTAAATCTAAGCTCAAAATCTTCCTTATCTTTCCAATTCGAACTGGTCGTGGTCAATCCTCTGTAAGAATATATTACAAAACAATAGAGTTGCAATCAAAATGTGCTCTTCAAAAGTCCTAACCGTTTTAGGAAATTAATTTCTGTAATAAACTGCAGATCAATTTTTGTAACCGTTTTTGAAAAAATTATATTTTTGTGTCTTCTGAGTTTATATGCATAGCACAAATTGCATGTATAGATGTAGAAAAAGACCGGAATTCAATCAGCAATCAACTATTTTCTACACGGACTTTTTGGTATGATTACAGCTCTACTGACATACAAAGAAGGTGACTGTATCATTCATCACAGTAGAGAGATAGTTGCTGAATAAAGTGTAACTTTACTTCGTTGCGATTATGAACCACTCGAATGACCAATTGTCTTTTTGATTGATTGCATGTGAGGGAAAAGAAAATAGACACTGATTGACGAAGCCAAACTTTGTATCAAGGGTACCTTTGTTGCTATATACTATAACATGATCTAAGTATTGTCTTCAATTTTTTTATCGCACCGCTAAATGCATTTCCTTTCAACTGAAAAATTTTGCTTTCAATTTTCTTGAAAGCTTTGGACTTTACCTTCTTTTTCACTCTTTATTACAAGTTTCAACTCCCTACTTGAAATCGATCTCTTGCATCCCCCTTTTAAAGCTTATTTGAGGACACAAGTAGTGTGCACCTCCACGTTTTTGCTAGTGGCGGCTGTTATATAGTTTGATCTGAAGGTATATGTGTGTTCCTGAACACTGAAAAAATTAATTTAAATTCACGCTTGGCGGGTAAACTGAAAATCAAGACAATGCTACATTACAAACTAAACAAAACAAAAAAAAATTTCCTTTTTTCGCAGCCTTTTTATTCAACAACCACCAAAACAAAAACTTTCCCAATTAGGAAAACATATCGATTTAAACACACACACAATTTACAATTTACAACATCCTTTTCAGTACCTACAGATGAAAGAGTTATCCCCGGAATTGTACAAAACCAATATTAGTACCTATTTACAAATCCTCCTTCCAAAATTAGCACAAACAGACTGAAAGAACTAAAAACTGTATCCAGATCACTGTTGAATTTTGTTAAATACGAAACTGTTGCCAGTTTTATTCATAGGTCTTTTATATTCTGAACCTCTGTTCAAGCACTTTTTTTTGCCTTGCTTTTTGAATCTTTTGTTTGATTTCATCTTCACTGCATCTTTCTGACGACTAGTCATAGCATCGTCGCAACAGTGTCTATATGACCATAGCACAAACCTTTCGTTTTAGACAACCTAGTTTCATCAATAGTCGTAAACCAGCGCCAGTTGCTTAACCACCCCGAACACCCTTCCTTCCCAATCAGCAATATTTGTTCAAGTGCTCTAGTTGCATCTCATAATAGTCTCCAATATTTGAAAGTATCCAAGGTGTTATCGATCGTAAATCTAATGAGTGCTACTCCAGAGTTGGGACAGCGTTCAGCATCAGCAACAGCGACAGCGACAGTGACGACAACTGCGCACACACTGAATCAGCCAAAGTCCTTCTCCGATTATACTACCCCATCACCTACGGATGAGGAAAACACCACCAACAAGCCAACAACGAGGGAGAAACTCACTCCCACAAATGCCGAACTTTTAACGAGTTTGAAGGACTTTACTGTCGACAAGACAAAATATAAGCACTATGGGCACCTGTCGCTGATGAATTCCCAATTTTTGGAAAAGATTGTGCACATGAAAACGCCAGAGCAAGAAGGCAGATCGTCCCCGTGTTCTGAGAAACCAAAAGTGGAAGAGGAGATGGCCCATGTATTAGCTGGATTACCAAACACTATAGAGCAAAAACTTTCACTGCCACATAACACTGACGTTTTGAGTGAATTGATTCAATTGCAAATAGAACAAGAAAGGACCAAGCAAAGTATACTCAAGAAGGAGATTGGAGATACAGCTTTACAATTGTTTAATATTGCCAAGGAGTTGAATGTTAATGCTGATCTTATACCATTTTTATTTGCGTCAGATTCCATAACGCCACGAGGATTAAACAACCAGATAAATAAGTTGAAGCAGGATCCTAAAGAGGTAATCTGTGATCTTGAGGAAAACTCTAGGCTGGTGGAAAATGACATGACTAGATTCAAGAGAAAACATTCAGATACCCAATTACCGTCATTCTCAGAAACCGCCCAAAGCATAATAGGGTCTAATATTGTTTCTCCCTTGAGGTCACCTAATAAAACACCAGCATTAGTGCATAGAAGGGTAGTTTCAGATAGCAGTGATTCCACCACCAAAGGTTCTTCACCTACTAATTCGGGCTTTTTGCCACTTCTGTTTATTGTAAACTCGAAAGAAACTGAACAGAAACCAGAGCAAGTTGCTAACGAATCGACCCAAGAGCAACAACACCATCATCGCCCACAAGCAACACCTGCTATCGGTCAAAGTCAGCTGCAACAACACCTGCCATCTATTCCACCACAGGCAACGTCACCACCACCACCACCTCACGGATACCAAAGTCATTTCACTACTCCTCAACATATTCCCCCTCCACCTCCACCAGCTTCACAAGTGCAACATTTACCTTTACCCCCAGCAGCTTTGCATGCAAGTAACACACAACCTACATCTGTCAAAGGCGCTTCCAATCTGGGTTCCCCTCACTTGCAGAAATATCCAATTGTACACCCCCATGGCTATCCTCAAGGCGGACCCAACTACTTACCTCAGCAATACCCCTATTTTGTATCTACATCCCCGCCACATTACAATCATCATGCATATGCTAATACAACTGTTATAGGATCGCCTCCTCAACAGCAACAACTTCAACCTTCACTTCAAGTGTCGCCACATAATCCTCATCCCCATCACCACTCCTCGTCTACACAAACGTCTTCATTTTCCCTGGCACAACAACAACAACACAAGCCACAACAGCAGCATTCCACGTCGTCAAGACATCCAGTTCCTTCTCACCAATTTGAGTCAAGCGAGTCAAAGAAGATTGTCTTCAAATCAGTCGAAGATGAGACTCCGGCATCAAAGAGACAAAAGAGCACGAAGTCAAGTGGCAGTATCAATTTCATGATAACAACGCCAAAGAATCCACCGGCAAGGAAGTATAACAATCCTCACAAGGAAAAGTAATGCGTGCATGTCAAGATGAGTAGACCGAAAGGAGAAAAGGAGCTATTGACACACTAGGTTTAGATTATACCCTCTTACGTACATTTCAGTTCTTTAGGTTGAGTTTTCCTCAGCTCATTATTTATTTGATACCACATATAGAATAGGGTATATATTTTCAAATACAATTCACGTTTAATATTGTTTCCATATCAAAGTTTGTAGCTTTCCTTCTTCTCAGTCAATTTAACTTCTTCTGCGATTCGTCACATCCTTACACGAAATGCCACCCCAGTAGATAAGCTCGGTTGGTGAGTGGCTTATGCGCTATGAAACCATACGCAGCACCAAAGAAACTATTGTTACATCATGAATGGGGTTTCTTTGTTGAGCGGAGTTAAGCGGAGGTTATTACTGTGTCTGGAATTTTATTGCCCGATATGTTTCGGTGTTTCGGAGCGGTGTTATAAGAAAAAACTACACAATGAAAACCCGGCACAATGTAGAGCGAGGGAAAACTGATTTCCTTCGACCACCCTCCCCTAAGATAAGAGTTTGCAGTGAGGATGAAAAGTTGTGTATAGCTTCGTTACCTCTCCTCCTAATACTCCCCTCCTCCCCCTTCCTTCAAATGCTTCGTATGGCATGACACATAAAAAAATGTGACATAACTAATTCCGCGTGTAACCTCTTTGCACAAGATAAGTTGATGCGCATAACGTCAAACAAAAAAATTTAACTTTTTTTTTGTCAACCGATGATGTCTCTATTTCTTATATATCTATGTGTTGTGTTGTGTTGTGTTGTATGGCATTTGAAGCTAAAAAAAAAAGAAACAAAACTATGCGAAATAAAGCCTCGTTTAAATTCAATTCCGTCTTTTATTAGTCACGCTCACACTACATTAAAAGCCATTGAATATAAATAAACCATCAAATACCTCTTCTATCTGTCGCTTGGGGTATTGGTGCAGAAAAGAGAACGCTTTTTTATTTTTATTTTTCGTTTTGCTTGTACTAATAAACTTTATTATACTTTCAACCCTCATAGTTTTTTGCATCTTTCAGTTGTGTGTGTTACATGACGCCGCATAATAGTCAAAAAATATGGACGATCTGGAGAAAGTGAAAATAGATGATCCAGGATTGGATGTGCCCCATGCAGTTGAACTGAAACTGGCCTATCCTTATACCATTTTCCACAAGTTTGAAAAAGTCCAACTAGTTATCATTTTAAGTTTGGTTGGATTTTGGAGCACAGTTAGTTCACCAATTTATTTTCCGGCATTACCTACTTTAACTGAGTATTTCCACACAACTGAGGATATTATCAACATTTCCGTTGTATGTTATCTCTTGTTTCAAGGAATCACACCGACTGTGTCTTCGAATCTCGCTGATACGTTTGGAAGACGACCAGTGATATTGGCAAGCATTTTAGTGTTCATCGCTGCGTGTATCGCTCTTTCGCAGACAAATGTCTATTGGTTATTAGCTGTGCTAAGATGCATACAAGCTGCTGGTATTGCCCCTGTTATTGCTATAAGTTCAGGAATTTCGGGTGATGTATGCACTCCAGAAAATCGTGGTGGTTTGGTCGGTACTATCTCTGGATTGCAGTTATTGGGAAACGGACTAGGTGGTTTAATTGGTGCCGCATTAATAAGTGGATTTCATACTTGGAGATCAATCTTTGTGTTCTTAGCCATTGGTGGAGGCGTGACTTTTGTTTTGGCCTTTTTCATTCTTGCTGAGACATCGAGAAGAATTGTTGGAAATGGAACCGTCATGCCTAAAAACCTTATGTATAAATCAGCCACCATCTACTTGCCTTCATTCCAAAAGAAAATGACTAATGATTATGTTACTATTGTCGGCAAAAAGCCATTTGATATTTTGGGCCCATTTAAAATCTTTATTCAAAAAGAAATATTTCTCATACTATTACCTTCGGGTTTACATTTTGCAGCCTGGACAATGGTGTTGACCTCATTGTCGACAGAGCTAGAGTCGTCAAAGTACAATTATAGCGTGTTGCATGTGGGGCTTATATATCTACCTCAGGGGATTGCTTGTCTTGTTGGATCCATGTCAGTTGGCAGATTTATGAATTGGTACTACAGAAGATGCAGAGTTGCTTATGATAAACAAGTGGAGGATATCCCATTGGATCAAAGACCCCCTTTCAATCAAGTTGCAACTAGACTAACTTTATGTGTTGCTCCTGCCACATTAATGATTATTGGGTTGATAATATTTGGATGGTGTATTCAGTACAACCAACATATCATTTCAATCATTATATCAACCATATTAATTGCATTTGCATCAGCGGTGTTTATTTCAATTTGCACTACATTACTAGTTGATTTACACCCAGCCCAAGGCAGTGCTTCAACCAGTTGTTTAAATTTAATGAGGTGTTGGTTAGCTGCTTTGGGCGTAGGGGTGTTGGACAAAATGATTGCTGCTATGGGCTTGGGGGGTACTTATACTTTAGTGGCTGGATTTTGCCTCTTGTTTGATTTGTGTTTGATATATGTTCTTCACTCAGCTAATAAAAGAATCAAACACCATTAAATAAGATATTATAGACAATTATAGAGAGAAAGACTTAAAATTCAATAATAAAACGAATATTTAAATCGCATTGCATTGATTGTAGCACTTTTCTGTTTCCGCACGAGTAGACGCTTTTTGTCCTGTAAATTTTGCGAATCGATTAGAGTCGACAATAATTAAAAATCAGAAACTGTAATTCCTAATTGCAACCCTACTTGAAACACTTTCTTCAATCTACCTCTCAATAATTACATCTCCAGAGTTGCATTTAACCAGCAATATCTATTAAACATATTGGTCAGTAGACAGTGAACAAAAAAAAAACTTTGATCTATAAATTACGTTTATTGAGAAGCACATTGGACTCCTGGTTGACCTTGGCCATCCTCATCGTCAGAGTCGTAGCTAGCTCTGCTTCTTTGTTGGTGCTTAGCAGGATCGTATTTCACCATCTCACATTCATCAACTTCAGCACCTTCTGGGATTTGAACTTGTTTTCTTGGAGGCAAGATGGAAGCCAATTCCTTAAGTTTATCCTCATCAGCAAAGTGGTTCTTTGGAAATTCAACTGTAAATTTGATAATCAAGTTACCTTTACCACCGTGTCTATAAATTGGCATACCTTGGCCCTCTACTATTTTTGTTTCGCCAGGAGCAATGACTTCACCAGGGGTGATATTTATCTTGATCCAGTCACCTGAAATGTGTTTGAAGCCAATTTCTCCACCAGCCAAAGCCGTCAATAAATCAACTTCATATTCTTTGTACAAATCGTTGCCCCTTCTTTGGAATTCGGCATTTGGTCTCTCATCAACAACGAAAATGACATCACCTGGGGTAATGCCTGGCTCTTGGTCACCTTCACCGCTGAAAACAATTCTTTGGCCATCCTTCATACCTGGATCAATGTGAACTTGCAAAATCTTTCTTTCAGTTTGGGTCTTTTTACCTTTACATGTTGTACATCTATCTTTTGGATCACACAAATCACCAGTACCTTGACATTTATCACATTGAGTTTGGAATCTTTGAATCATAGGGCCCATTTGCCTAGTAACAAATTTCATACCGCTACCGTGACAGTCTGGACATTCCTTGACTTTTCCTTCAGCACCACCTCTTCCATCACAATCTTTACACAACACAGTCTTGTTCAAAGCCAACTTGGTGGTCTTACCCTTGTACAAGTCCTCCAAAGTACAACCAATGCTGTGCTTGATGTCTTTACCTTTAGTTGGTCTTTGTGGGCCGCCACCAAAACCGCCACCGAAACCGCCACCAAAGAATTGGGAAAAGATATCTTCGGCATTCATACCCGGTCCACCTTGACCAGACAATCCATCTTCACCATATTGATCATACACATCCCTCTTTTCCTCGTCTGATAATATTTCATATGCGTGAGAAATTTCCTTAAATTTTTCAACAGCTTCAGGTGTTGAATTTTTATCTGGGTGGTATTTCAAAGCTGCTTTTCTGTAAGCCTTTTTCAACTCAGTGTCACTAGCAGTGGCTGACACTCCCAAAACATCATAAAATTTAGTTTCCTTGACCATTTTGTAGTATTTGGTTTATGCTGATGTAGTTGATTGTATCGATGAATGTAAATTTCTGTGTAATGCGTTTCCTAGGTGCTTGTAGTAGATGAAAGAAACCTTCTGCGTAGTTAATATTTGCTATATGCTATGTAGCAGAAGTAGTGAAAACCGTCTATATATCTATCGGTCCAGTTGGTGGGAAAGGTTAAGTTTGGTTGTAAAAAAACGAGCTCTTCAGATTTTGTAAAAATAAATTTTTCGCTTTTTTTTTTCACAGTAAGACATGCAGACTGTATACAAAGATACGCTTTTTTTTTAGTAATCGATAAAGGTCGTGCGTTTCACGACAAGAGCACTTTTCAATATGAAACGATGACAAAGAACTTTCTAGAAGGAAGGTTACTACAACGTGTACATCGTGCTACCAGATGCATTATCAATATAAGGAAAGTCGTTTTCTAAAAACTATAGAGCCTAAAAGAGTCTTACTTTTTTCATCCAGCATGTTCCACAATTGAACTGACCAATTCACCGTTTTTCATTGTAGATACGATTTGCTCTGGCACAGCCAATTCTCTAAAATCATTGTTGGCTTCAGGCACATTTACGTTTAATGCGGTCGTCTTACTGGTGTAGATTTGGCAATCATTGTCAATACTCTCAGTTGATAAATAAATGGATCCTTCATCTGATTGATCAATGCTAATCATAGGCACTAAGCCAATCACTTGCAATCCGTATTTGTACGACTTGATAATCTCAACACCTGAGATCAAGGAGTCAATAACGACACCAACTTTCTTTGTTTCGGATATAGTAACGGCGTTAGCCTTACCTTTCAATTGAATAGTCACGTCGCTGCAGTTACCAATAAATACAGATTGCGAGTTTTCAGTTTCAATAACAATAGGCGATTGTACGTCATCTTGTGTAAAGTTTTGAATAATCCATTTGCTGCCATCAACTAACTCTTTCTTTGCCGGTTTCCTGGTGGTGGTGGTGGTAGCGGCATGGGTTGAAGAAGGATGTCCCGACAAGTTTTTTGGCTTCTTTGGTGCCACTGGGGGTTGCTTCCGCAATTCTGGGTTTTTGTGTGTCATTTCTGACCTGTCCACTTTCTTCAATCCAGAAGTAACATTGGAACCTTGATTTAATTGGGCAAATACAGCATTCATACCGCCCTCTGAGGTATCACCAGTGGTGGAAGAAGGAGCAGCTGATTCTTCAAAAAACGAAGCTGGTGGAGGAGGAGGAGGAGCTGGAGGTCCTGCTGTGTTACCAGCTCTCTCCTGTTGTCCACTACTAGAAGGAGGTTTAGTTGAAGCATTAAGCTCTTCAACTGCTTGCGCAAATGGTTTACCATTGGCATTCCACGCTGGACCTTTGGTGTGATACTCCTTAACATAGGCCCTTAATTCATCAAAGACCTTTGAGAGTTGGTTCACCCACTCAACATTCACCTTGTCTTTGTCCTTGTATTCCTTTAATACTCTATCGGACCAAAACTTTGCACTGTCCTTAATATCAGAAATATAAGACACCGGCGTATCAATTCCAATCCAGAAAAAAACTGCTCCACTTTCACTCAAAGTATTCAAATGGTTAAAGTAAGTAGATCTTCTGTTGTTGTCTTTTAAATTGTTGATTTTCGAAATCTTTTCATTTGTGGGAGCCAACGCTTGACCCAAAATTGGATCTGTCATGTCTGGCTTCTTTGACTCTGACACAATTTCCAAAAACTTAGTTTGGTCAACAAAGGTATCAGCAAACAACTTGGCAGACTCACCAACTACGGGGTCAATATGACCCGACGTGTTGACAAAGGGGACAACAAAGTCGTGAATGAATTGCTCAAATGCAAGAACCGACTTCTTCTTCTCAGATTGTGACTCATTCACTTGTGGCGTTGCACTACCGCCTGCAGCAACACTGGGTGTCGATGACACAGAGACTCGCGTCTCATTTGCGTTTTCACCCTGTGGCGATTTTGTCGAGTTGATTGCCAGTGCTTCAAGCGCATTCTTTTGTTTATTGGCTTCTTCTTGAAACACGGTGATATCCTCAAGGCGAGAGGTTGCGGCTTCCAATCGTTTAAGAATGGTAACAATATTATAACCCTGAACGTTGAATTGACTCTCTTCTCCCGACATTTTCTAAAGTAGGCACAGTGATGGGGAAACTTGGTATAAAAAAAGAATGAACAACACGAGCTTAAAACTTTAAACTTTTTGTTCGCGAACAAAAGCATTTGCTTATTCGTGCTATCACAGCAGTCGAAAATTTTACTGTTAAAACATCCATAAAGCAAAAATAACCACATCTCGAGTCTCTTTAGAAGATGCCATCGAAGTCAAAGCCAGGAGACGAGCAGTATCCACCTCAGGATGTTCATTATTTGAAAGATATCGTAATCGGGTCAAATGAACCAGAACCCTTTTATGGCAATTATCAAGCAGATGTGCCAATTGCAATCGATTTAGGAACGTCTACTTGGAGAGTAGGATTAACTAACAGCACTGAACCAAATAATGTGTTTCCAGCCGTGATATCGAGACACAGAGATAGAAAGCTTTCGAAAACATTAACCATCATTGGAAATGATGTCTATAGTGACTCGGCATTGAAGTCAACTACAAAAACTCCCTACGATGGACCTTTGATTACCAATTGGGACTATATTGAATCTATGCTTGATTACTCGTTTGAACATTTATCTGTGCAGAGTACTAATGGGAAGGTGAATAATCCTATAATAATGACAGAGCCATTGACTTGTCCGTACAACCAACGAAAGACAATGTACGAACTCCTATTTGAAGCTTACCAAATTCCAAAGGTTTCGTTTGGGCTTGATTCGCTATTTTCGTACTACGCCAATTCAAATGGAAGGTCCACCGGTTTAGTCATTGGCACGGGAAATGAACTGACTTCGATAATTCCAGTGCTCGATGGTAAAGGAATGTTATCTCAAGCAAAAAGAATCGATTGGGGTGGAGATCAATCACAGCAGTATTTGTCCAAGCTTTTGAGCTTAAAATATCCTTATTTCCCAAATAAATTGAATGTTAATCACACGACAAATTTGTTCAAAGATTTTTGCTATGTTTCAGAGAATTACCAGGAGGAATTAGAGCATATATTAGATATGGATGTCTTGGAGAAGAAAGATGTTGTGGTGCAAGCGCCAGTTGAGATAACTGTTAATAATGAAAACAAAAAGAGTGAGGAAGAGTTGGCGAGACAGGCGGAGAAACGGAAAGAGCAAGGGAAGCGATTGCAAAAACAGGCTCAGCAAAAGAGGATAGAGAAGCTTGCTCAGAAGCAAGAAGAATGGGATTACTATTCAAAATTGAAAGAGGACAATGCAGATTTGCCTGCGCCAGAATTTGAGAGTTTAATAATGCGCGATGGATTTGACGATCTTGATGACTTTAAAAAATACATGGGCTCTTTGGAAAGGTCGTTAAAGAGAGCAGCTCACGCCGAAGACGATGGTGGTGACGAAGACGAGGATATGGACCCAGCAAAGGCATGGCCGTTGGTTGACATACCCGATGATCAATTGACTCCGGATCAAATAAAAGAAAAGCGGAAACAGAAACTACTCAAAGCCAATGCAGAAGCGAGAGAGCGCAACAAAGAGTTGAAGAGACAGGAACAAGAGGAGCAAATGCTACGCGAAGAAGAAGAACAGAGATGGAGGGACCGCGATTTGGATGATTGGAGCACCACCAAAAAAGTTGAATTGGCAGAGCTTATTAGCAAATTCAAGGATAGACAGAAGCTACTCGAGTCTATGAAGGATAGAAAATCAGCTGCAGCACAGCAGCGTATGAAAAATATCGCTGACTTGGCAAATGATGAGACAGGGTCCACCTCCGCAGCTTCTAGAAAGAGACGTCGTAATGCCAATACGACTATTGATAACGACCCAAATGACACATTTGGAACGAATGATGATGATTGGAATGCATACAGAGAAATTTCAAATCAGAGTGTGGAGGAGGAGTTGGAGGAACTAAATAAGGGTATACTCGCTATTGAAGATAAACTTTTGAAATATGATCCAACTTTTCACCATGAAGATACTTTTGCCGCTGCCACCACATTTGATTGGAAAAACCTGGTGCTTCACAAGTTTGTCCATGGTCCTAGACCTAACATTACAATTGAAATGCAGGCCGAGGGCTTGTCTCCAGAGGAAATTGTGAACCATCCCGAAATCATCAGAAAGAATCATCAAATTCATTTAAACGTTGAACGCATTAGAGTCCCCGAGATATTGTTTCAACCAACACTAGGCGGTCTTGACCAAGCAGGCATCACCGAGATTTCCAGCGATTTATTGCGTAGGCGTTTAGATGGAGTTTTTCAACCCGGTGGTCAATCTTATGCCATGGCTAACGATGTATTTATAACTGGAGGATTGGCATTGCTTCCTGGTTTCAAAAACAGGATACAGAGAGATTTCACGCAGTTCTTACCAACGGGCACCCCGCTACACGTACGCGCTGCTAAGGACCCCTTATTGGACGCATGGCATGGTATGTATAAGTGGGCTAATTCGGATGACTCAAAACATGCTTACGTGACAAAAGCGGAATTTGAAGAATACGGACCAGAGTATATAAAAGAACATGGGTTGGGCAATGCTTGTATTATATAGTGAATTTACAAGTCTCGTACATTATCTAGTTGTACACATCCTTACGCCTTTTTAGCATTTGGGTTGATACCCTTTTTTCTCAAACTGTGCTTCTTTGATTTTTCGATAAGAGCCGCGTCTTCTTTTTCGTCAAAGTTGGCAAAATCTTCATGAATAATACCTTCTTCTTCTGCTTCAGCCCTTGCTGCATTCTCCTTTTCCTTTGCACCTGCCTTGGAGACGTCGTGTGGTGAAGATGCAATCTTTTTAAATTTTGCCACATAGAACCCATCGACATTGTAGATGTGAGGATAGTACCTTCTAGTCAAACTCAACTTTGGGTTAAAATGCTTTCCGCGATAGGACGTGAACCCTTCTTTACCAATAGCCAAACCAGTTTCGACCAACTTGACATTAGGTCTCTTTCTCAATGCATAATCAACAACTGCTTCGTTTTCTTCTACTGCAACAGAACAAGTGGAGTAAACAATGACACCACCTGTAGATGAATTGGCATCCACAGAATCAATGGCAGACAATAACAATTGCTTTTGTAAATGTGGGATTTGCATAAAATCTTTTTCGGTTCTGCTGACTTTGACACTCTCATCTTTCGCTATAACACCCGTACCAGAACAAGGTGCATCTAATAGTATCCTATCAAAACCCCCGATGACCTTGGGAAACTCCCTTGCATCGTAGTTACACACAATAGTATTCTTACATCCTAGACGATGTATGTTTGCAATTAAAGACTTTGTTCTTGCCTTGTTTGCATCATTGGCGAATACACATCCTGTGTTCTTCATCAATGCTGAGATATATGTAGTTTTCCCTCCTGGTGCTGCAGCCATATCCAATACACGTTCGTTCTCTTGCGGGTCTAATGCAATCACTGGTAAAAAAGAAGATGCTGCTTGAAGAATGTACTGTCCAGCCAAATATTCCGGAGTGGCACCAATTGGCACTTGCGAATCAAAAATCTGTAATCCTACTTTTGTCCACGAACCAATAGGTTGCAAATTAACACCACGATTGACTAAGTTCTGGGCTAGATCTCTTCTTCTAGTCTTAAGAGTATTTGTTCTTATCGTTATTGGTCTTGCTGTTTCATTGGCTTCGAAAAATTCAATAGCTTCTGAAGGTGAAAACAAGTTGAACAATTTGTCGGCTAAAAATTCAGAGTAGCCGAAATATTCACAAATATCCTTGACTAATCTTGTCACGTAATCCGTTCTCGATTTCCCTTCCTCAGCCAACGTCTTGAAGTTATCCAACACTTTTACAATTTCAAGCATTCTTGTTCTCACCATGGTCACATCCTGTGGGCCCTGGGCCATTTCTTCTTCCTCGGCTTCAGTTGGCAAAACCTTAGCCCGAGGCTGAACTGTTCCTTCTTCGAGCAACTCCTTTTCTGCTTCCTCAGCTTCGAGTTCATCCTCGTCATCAAGTTGCTTAGAGTATGCTTCCATATTTTCCGCATTCAAGTCTTCTAAATCTTGTTCATCGTCTTCATCATCGGAAAACATGTGCTTTACTCGGTCTTCTTCATCTGATCCCACTTGTTCCAAATCTCCATCCTCAAATTCATCATTGAGTTCATCCTCGTTGTAGTCAGGTTCCAGTTCTTCGTCATTAGACTCATCAAATAAAGATTTCCTTGCGGATGCCAACTCCTCCAAATCAACTTCTGGCAACTCATCTTCTTCAGAAACAGACTCTTCCTTTGTATTTGCACGCTTTGATTTCTTCTGGGGCTGACTTGATGTCTTTAACTTTTCTACAGTCCTTTCTTTTGAACTCGATTTTGGCTTTTTATGAGAAGATGTTGAAGCATCGTCGTGAACTTTTCTCTTTTTCAGCTCTTTTTTCTCCTTCAGTGCTTGGAACTCGTCGTATGTAGGTGGTAACCCTTGCTTGTTTTTTGCTCTTCTCCCCATTTGCTTGATGTAGTAAAGTGTCTAAATATGTAGTTTTTGAAAAATTAATTACCAGTTAGAGATGAGATGAGGATCAAAAATATTATTGAGAAAAAAAAAAACTAAAAAGATAGAAGTATACGATACGTCTTATTAAAAGCTACACAAGCCTTATCTTCTCATACAATGGTTGATGCTAAAGATTCAGCAATAAAGATTGGCCAGCATGTGCTAATACGCTTGCCATCCAAAGGCTTGAAGGTTGTTCAATTACAGGAATCTGGGCGTATTAGTTTAGGTAAATTTGGATCGTTCCAAGTTTCCTGCATTTTAGGCTACCCATTAGGTTCTTCGTTTGAAATTGTGGATGACAGCACAGTTCGGGTAATAAAAAGTATCACTGATGCTGGTGATATTTGGAATGCAGATGAGGATGTACAGAAACAGGAGCTTACAAAAATGTTTAGCGATAGCGCCGAGAACAACCAGAACATTATAGATATCGGAGCCAAAATACAAACTTTATCTAATGATGATATCGATGAATTGAAAAGAACCGGAGCTTCATCTCAAGTTGGACAATTGATTATTGAAAAGATGATTGCTGGACACGGTGGATTCGATAAGAAGACGATATTTTCGCAGGAAAAGTACTTGAAAAGAAAGCAACAAAAATTCCTTAGAAGATTCACTGTGGACTACCTAGGAGCTGCTGAGCTTTTAGAATATAACCTCGAAAAAGATGCCTCAAGAGTCTTGGATTTGAGCGTAGAGTCTTTAGGCTTGTTGATGACATATGGTAATATACGCCCAGGGGGGAAGTATTTAGTAATTGATGAAACTGGTGGTCTACTTTTATACGCGATGTTGGAGAGAATGAACTGTGAAGGCACTATAGTACTTCTCCATGAAAACGAACATGCAAACTCAATCATGTTGAGGTATTCTGATTACGATGAGCTGGTCATAAGCAGAGTTGTGAAACCTATCAATTGGTTACAGTTTTCAGAGCCCGAGAATGAAAAGATGCAGATCAACGATGAAGATTACGAACCCAAAAAACCAAAACTTAAGGAGCAGCTTTTGAGAAAAAAGGAGAGAGCAAAGCATATCAATGATGTAATTGATTTGGTAGAGGAAGGTAATTTTGATGGTTTCGTATCAATGTCGACTTTGTACATGCCCGATGTTTTATCACATGTAATACCTAGAATTGGTGGATCTAGGCCGATAGTTATATACAACCAGTACAAGGAGCTTTTGGCAGAAGTACAACAGCATTTCACAAATGACCGTCGGATAATTGCATCATCAATCTTTGAAACTAGGGTTAGGCCTTATCAGACTATACCTGGGCGAATGCACCCATTAATGACTATGAGAAGTGGTGGAGGTTATGTGTTGTGGGGCACTAGAGTTTTCCCAGATGACAGTGTCGTTGCTGTTGGAAAGGGAATGAAGAGGAGAAGAGAAGAATCGGTCGATACCGCTGCTTCAGGTACACCAGCTACTGACATAGAAGTTTTGGTGGAGACTTCTGTTGAGCCTGAATCAGAACCAAAATCAAAATCGACTGATGTAGAGACTATAATTGGAACAAGAAATGTATGATTTTCGACCGTTGCATTCTTTTCCCTTTTTTCACTCTTTTTTTATGTCCTTACTTTAATAATACCTTATCACATAAACGTGCCAATATTTCAAAATCTGTGTTTAACTTCCATCCTACGGCACATCTTACCCTATTTGCCGAATCGTTCATGTACCCTACAACCCAATTTTCGTCCAACAGCTGACACACTGTTTGAATTTGGTTGAAATATCCAACTTCGAATACAAACCCTTCAGCCCCCGATGGTATCACTAGATTTTTTATCAATTGCTGATAAGGTTCAGTGCTCCCTATCAAAGCTAATTCGGGTTCATGAAGCCTTACAGACCTTTCCACGCCATTGCGTAAAACAGACTTTCGGTAGTCTTGCAATGGGATATATGGGGGATTTGCTGTTACCAAAGTTATGTTTTGTATATGTAGCTTGGGGACTAGACTCAAATCGGTGATGTCCCCCCTTTGAAACGACACCTCACACGAAGAATCCATATGCAGTGATTTGTACAAAGTCAAGTTGTCCTGTGCCAATGTGATCGCTTCTACAGACACATCAAAACCACATATTTTAGTACTTGCACTTTTTGTGACGAGCTTATGACCTAAAAGAATTGGAACACATCCTGAGCCTGTACATGCATCAACTATGTCAAGCAGAGTAAACTCTTTTTCCAGTAGGAGATTTCCCAACTTAGTGCACCACTCCTCCGTTTCCCAACGTGGAATTAGTACCCCGTTCCGACATATTATGCTGAGATCGCCAAATGGTTGACTGCCTAGTATGTATTGAAGTGGTTCTAGCTCTAAACGCCTATTCACAGCAGATACCCACAGCCGTCTTGGTAGTTCCTCCTTGATCCATTTGAGCTCTAAAAGTGCTCTATTTATATCTCTATTTGCAGGTAAAAGCGGAGGCAAAAATGGAGACACGCGTCTTGCATGTCGAACAAGTTTGCCGCTTAGTCGGGGCATTTATGTCGTGAAATCATTTGATGAGAAGTTTTTCATTCTTTCTATTTTTTTTTCTTTTCCCGCGCTATCATTATACTGGTTTTATATACATTGTAAATTCATCTATGTACAACTAGGACATTCCCTTCTTAATGTAATACATGTAAGCTCTTTCATGCACATGTTCTGGGAATGGAGAAATAACTTCTGAGTGGCCTGGTCTTGCAACTGGGTCCCTCAAGTAAACAGCATGGCAGGTGTCAAACGAGATTTCAATGTGAGAAGGCAAGATTGCAAATGCTCCAAGGAAACCTCTAGGTGTCCAGGGAGTAAAATAGGGTTTCGATGTATCTTGACGACCATATAGGTGCTTCTGCCATGGCAACAGAACCTTAACTTTGGACTCATCTTCCATAAGCTCCTCCTTGTTTAAGGACTTAACAGGGTTTAGTTTCTCAGTATAAGATGGATCGTAGAAAGAACCTCCTGTGCTCAAGTTTTCAAACTCCAAACGTATTCTCTCCCACTCACATTTTTCTAATTCCCTTAACAAATTGTTCACGTGTCTTAACAGAGTCTTTTCCTCCGGTGTTCTCTCTGTGTCTTTGGAGAAATAAGTGTCTAAAGCTTTAGCGGAATGATCATTTAAAATACCAGACTTCTGCAGGGTCAAGTTTTCATAAACCTGCAAGCACTTGCTCTTTGCGAGTTTGCTTCCGTATTTTTCAAAAGTGTCAGCGTTGAGATTAGCGCCGGCTGCATTACCTAAATTAATAATGTCACCCAAAATGGACTTTTTACTAACCTTTTGCTGTTGTAATTTCATGACACTTTCCCCATTATTTTGTTTATCTTGTAGTCTTTTCTTTGCTTCGATGTTGGCAATAGAGTTTAAAGACTCAGGCTTGTTTTGCTGCATTTCCCACACTTTTTGCGGATTTTTTCTAGCAACTTTGACATAGTGGTTCCAGTACCTTATTTGCTTATTATCAATATTTATTGCTTTGCTCAAGCTAGGTTTTGCTTTACCCAAGGCGTATAAAACTCTCTCTGGATCGACTGAAAAGACGTCACCACTCTTTAACGGAAAAGATGGGTGTTTAATCACCACACCATTCACTTTCACATATCCACCCATAATAAACTGTCTTGCTTGTCTAACTGAAGAAGCAAACATACTCCGGAATAACGCAAACTCGAGTCTCTTTTCCAACGTGGCATACGTTTGCAAGGTGATGGGCGTCGGAGCTACTTCTTGAGACCTTAGTGACGCATCAAGCTGGGAGTATGTCTTCAATTCAGGCTCGAATAGGACTTTTTTAAACCTCTTTTCCTTTAAATGTTCACCGTGGTACGCCCTAGTTTCTGATTTAGCTGCCCATTTCTGTTGATATAGGGTTTTCCCAACGTAGTTCAACGGTGTTTTTCGTTGGAGATTGAACAAGTTGAGTCGATTCATAGACATGCCAATGTGACCCCGCACCATGCGAGAAACATTGTCCAACTTTCGTGGCATGACAAACAGTAGCGAGTATATGAGGTTATGCCTTGATTTGTATTGCAAGACAAAATTTTTCCCAATTTTTCAGAATTTTCTTTTTTTTTTTTTCCTTCTTCTTCCTCTGTTGCAAAGAGAAAGCTCTCGACAGTGAAAAGTGACTTCTGTTTGTATGCTCACACACTAATTACCCCACGAATACTTCTACCGAACAGTTGTCAATGGCTGCAACAGAAACTACAAAAGATGTCGATTCCCTACCGAATAGACCTTGGACTATTGACCAAGAAATAAGACTATTCAGTTTAGTGTGCGATTATAAACCAGCCGGCCCGAAAAAACACGAGAATATGGCAATTATTATAAACAAGATCAACGAGGATATACAACCACTGGAGAGGCCACTCAGAGAGTCCGACATATGGGACAAGTTGGACCAGTTGTATGATCTTCCGAAAATTGATCTTCTTGAAGGTCTCAGTGGGGATGAAGTTGTGGCCAATGACAGCTTGAATTACAGTAGTGACAGTTCACCCATAAATGAGAAGAAGTCGAAAGAGAACGTGCAACATGCAAAACCTAGCATTGCGGTTGCAACTACAAATGCGAAGGACAGTGTAAAGAACGATAGTGAAGAGGACAATAAAGATGAACGACAATTTAGTGAAGAGGACGACGCCAAGCGGGAAAAGGATGCCAATACAATATCACCATCTAAAGATAGACAAAGCAAAAGTGGACACGAAATAACAACACGTAGACGTTTGAGGCATTCAGTTAATGAAGATCCTGAAATAAGTGAAAATGTTCAAAACCTGGGCAGGGCTCGAGATATTAAAAGTGAAGTCGGAGAGATACCGCTGGATACCAAGCCAAGCAAGACACTGTATCGGGATGACGAAGTCGAAGCTTCAAAAGAAGCAAGTGGCCAAGAAAATCAAACATCGGAAGAAGACAGTCCAGAAGCGGCGCCCGCAAGACGAACCAGGGGACGCAGGCACGTCGTAGATCACGATGTAATCACAATCGAACCCCCTCGCAAGAAAACAAGATCAAATATCAAGTCTGAAGATTCTCTGGACGAAGCGAAGGTTGATATTGTTCCGGCAAAGAAGTCTAAACTGACCGCCCCAGTCCCTCAACCACCTTTAACGCGAAGAAGAACTCGATCTGAAGCTCATACTGAGCAAGACGATGAGGATGAAGCAGAAGTTAGGGGCAATGAAAGCAAGACAATTGATCTGGAGAATGACTCCGCGGAAGATGTAAAAGACGAGAAGAAACCAATAAGGACAGAAAAGAAGAACGAGAAGCATCATAAGAATACGACAGACACTATTAAACCAACGGTTAGAAGGTCGAGTAGAGGAGCTAACACTACGCCGGCCCCAAGCAAACCTGCGCATCCTGTAAGGCGTAGTACAAGAAAAAGGTGATTTGTTGATTAGACTTTATCTGAGAATTAATGTTCATCAGGTAGGATATATATATATATCTTAGGCTCTACTATTGTACAAGAAACACCTCTTTCCCGTTTTGAGTTGTTGTAGGCTGGTCTGAATGGTATGTTTTCTATTCTTCAAATCTGAAACTTTTCAATTTGTCCCATTTTCCACGACGCGGTCAGTTTCAGATTCCATTGAAAAACATCTTCAAACCACATTTGAAGACGCGCCTATGATGCTTCATTTACTATTTGCAACCTTTGAATGAAAATACTGCTACTTAATGGAAGACGAACTGTTCAAGAAATTTTTCGCTTCAGTGTTAGAAGCTTAAGCTTGGCTAGCAGACGTTTTCAGAAATTAGAGAGCTGGGACAGAGGAGGCAGAACTGATAGGGCTTCTAAGAAACAGAGTGCGACGATAGGGTTGTCTCCATTGTACGCCTCAGTCAAGCGCCACATGGATCAAAACCCCGGGTGTGTATGTTTCACTCAAGTGGGAGGCTTCTATGAATTGTATTTTGACCAAGCTGAAGAATTTGGTCCAAAGTTGGGACTAAAGATAGGTAAAAAGAGATCAGCTAATCATTGTATACCCATGGCCGGATTTCCTTTGTCTCAAGTTAAAAAGTATGTGGAAATGTTGGTCTACGAGCACGAGAAAGCTGTGGCCATAATCGATCAGTTTAACAACATGAGCAAAACAAACCAAAATTTGATCCACCGCAAAATCTCCAGAATAATCAGTCCCGGAACGTTGGTAGACGAATCATTTCTAAATTACTGTCAAAATAATTACTTGCTTGCCATTTCGTTTCCTCCCAACATGCTCAAAAGCCCTGCAGACTCTGATATGGCTGTTGGCTTGGCATGGGTAGACGTCTCTGTTGGCGAAACATTTGTCCAACAAACAACTCTTGGTAACCTCGTATCGGATATGTCTAGAGTCAACGCCAGTGAGATTTTGATGACCCAAGAGTATTCGGAGTCGATACTTTCGTTGGCCAAATGGTATCCACCTTTGCAAGAACTTAGAAGGTATTTCAAGCGATCTCATGATACTGAGTATTCCAACTCGAAGCTCAAATTCAAACTGGGTATTCAAGCGGCGAGAAAAGCTTTTGAAGACTTGAGTGTTCGAGAACTGACTGCTTTGCATTTGGCATTATCTTACATCAGCGTTAATTTGCCTGAGGCTGACTCGCTTTTAGATCTACCAACAAGATACTACAGCGAATCTGCCCTACAAATGGATTCCAGAACAAGGGAGGCATTGGAGCTCACAGAGAGGATTACTTCAGGAAAAACCTCAGTAGCCGGGACATTACTTTCTTCCATAAGGAGAACCTGTACCACCTCAGGTGCAAGGATGTTAACGCAATGGTTGAAATCCCCTTTGTTAGACGTATCAGAAATAAAAAAGAGACAAAATTATGTCAAGCTTTTCTTGAAGGATCAGCACTTGAGAATAGGTGTACAGGAACGCCTACGGAAGTTATCAGATTTTATAAGAATTGCCCAAAGGCTATCTGCTGGGAGTGGCGACGATGTTACCAATTTAGGGCTTATTGCTGTTGCATTGAACGACTTGCAACAGTTGAAGGAGTTTTTAAATCAAGTATGTCGCAGAGATGATGCGTCGTACAATGCTTTGCTAGAATTTCTCGACAGCTTCGAAATACCACTGAACGTAGCCAAGTCCATAACGGATGCCATAATTGAGGATGATATTGCAAATGATGTGGCGGAAGATTTGATACCAGAGATAGAAACGCCCACTCTGGATATTGGGTCATATACAAATGAATTTATCGAGCGGTATAGAATTAAGGAAAGTCCAATTGTGGAAGAAGCACAGAGTTTCAGTATTCGAAGAGATTACAATCTGGCCTTGAAAGCTTTGCATGATGAACTTGAACATTTGCTACAAAAAGACCATGATTTTGTGCGCACTTTACGAGATGCTCTTGTCCAATACGATCCACAGGTGAGCATAAATAAAGAGAAAACTGACAAGTCAGCCAACTATTTGTCTATAAAAGCTAAAGGGGCCAATATCAACAAGATCGCTAATGTCCTAAAGGCAGAACTTGCACAGGTGAAAAAGTCGGTAATCATTTACCGACCAGCAGATTGGAGCTCGTTACAACAAGAAATTGAAGCTAAAATGGCGGCCATTAAGGATATAGAGAGGGAAGTGGTTCAAAGTTTGAAAATAGAGATCTTTAATCAACTACCTCTGATACGATCCCTTTCAAAGGCTGTAGACTTTTTAGACGTTACAGCCTCATTTGCTGTTATTGCTGAAGAGAATGATTGGGTGTGTCCAACAGTGGTGAAAACGCCAAAGCTCAAAGTATCTAGGGGTCGACATGTTGTAGTCGAGTCGAGCTTGAAGGAATCAGGCGGCATGTTCACTCCTAACGACTTGGACTTGGGACTGAGCTTGAGGATGTGGGTAATATCAGGTCCAAACATGGGTGGTAAGAGCACCTATTTAAGACAGAATGCATTGATGATCATTTTGGCCCAGATAGGCTCGTATGTTCCCGCCGAAAGTGCCACTATTGGTATTGTTGACAAACTCTTCACTCGTATCGGTGCATCTGATGACTTGTACAACGACTTGAGCACATTTATGGTGGAAATGATCGAGACAAGTAATATCTTGATCAATGCAACCCCAAGATCTTTCGCCATAGTGGATGAAATTGGAAGAGGCACAAGTGGTAAAGAAGGATTGGCAATCGCTTATGCGGTTTTGGTGAATTTGTTGACAAGTAATCAATGCCGCACTCTATTTGCTACTCACTTTGGTAAAGAGTTAGAAGGGCTACTTGAGAAAAGAGAGGTGGACCAAAAGCGTCTTGCATTTTACAAAACAAAAGTTGTTCCGTCAAAGGATAAACGGCTGCATATTATTGACCACGCATTGGAGCCGGGCATTAGTGAACGCTCCTACGCATTGGAGACTGCTAAGAAAGCGGGTTTCCCCTTGTCTACTTTGGAAGAAGCTAAGGAAGTACTAAATATGTTATAGGTATTTCTTGTATATATGAAAAGAGCTGCCATTATTTATTGCTGATGTGAATGATGTTGTGCGTTCTGCATTTGCTGTATCAATAGTTCTTGTAATCGGGCAAGTTGTGCTGGGTCAACGTTTTGCTGAGAATTCAGTGTGGGGTTCTGTTGTGGTGGAGGTGCGAAAGTTTGAAATTGATGCTGATGTTGAGGTTGATGGTGTGGCACAGGATTGTATGGCGCTTGACCGTATTGAGGAATATTTGATTGGAATTGAGGGAAATACTGCTGTGGGTATGGGTAGGAAGAAAAACTTTGCGTCAGCTGTTGTTGATACTGAGGTTGAGGACTGCCATACATCACAGTCAGGTTGTTATAAGGCGGTGGTGTGCCATAGCTGCTCTGTTGAGGAAAACTATGCTGAGGTTGTTGATAATGAGATGTAGGTTGAAAGCTTGAATGATGCAGTTGGCTAGACCCAACAGATTCTTGTCCATGATGCTGAGTCCGTCTTGCCGACTCAGTTGATGACCGTGCCGAGGTTATCGGCGAGTATGCGGGTATATGAGCCCTATGCAAACTTAAATTAGGATTCTTTCTTTCCTTGACAACTTTATTCTTGTTCTTTCTCTTCTTCTTTGCTTGCTTTGCAGCTAGCTCTTGCTCGTCATCTGAAAATTCTTGTTCATCCTCAGGAAGTTCTTCATCATGACAGTTACTTGCATCAGTTCCTTTGTTATGCTTGATTGTATCAGTATATAGGAATTGGGAGTCAGGTACAACATAGTATACACTTTTTCCTTTGGCATCTTTGAACTTTTCAAAATCTTCATCCAGATTGAACCTAATCGTGTAAATGGGCAGCTGCACTCTACCAAAAATCTCGTATAATAATCCAATTAGAGTTTTGTCTTCAAGGCACAATACTGAGCCTTCTTTCAAGATACGAAACTCGCCTGATGTTTTTGCCTTGATGATGATAGACCTGTCAACAAGTCCTGTTATTTCGCCAATCTCCTCGATCGGTGCGCTTTTGGGTATCTCGTAACCTTCGGGTAGTGTAGGAACGTTTTCGTTTGTAACTTCATTCACAGACTTTATAGGACCATCGATCACTTCTTCATCCTCATCGAGGCCATCTTCATTACCATTTGCATCATTTTCTTCTTCTTGTTCGCTTTCATCCAGATCAGACTCGCTATCTTCAGAGCTGTTTCTGCTGTCGCTGCTGCTTCTAGAATCATCTGATGACACATCCTCGACATCGATCTCATCATCTGAGAGAGCATCAATCTTGGCATCGCTCTTTTGGTCTTGGTTGATAAAAGAAGCTATTTGATCTAAAGATTCCTCTTTTTGAACTTCTTCTTCTGGGGCTTTAACGTTCTCGAGAGGTACAATATCATCGGCAGTTTCGTTTCCTAACTCATTTGAAGCGCCTACGGTGGTGTTCTGCATTTGATCAACTGCGCTACTGCTCGAGGATTGCTCCAATTTTTCACTGACCTGTGTCTGTATATTGAGTGGATTGCTCTCTTCCCTTTCGTCTATAGGTAAGTCTTGTGTAGGTCTATTGGTAGATTCAGTTGTCGCACCATTATCACTAGTAGATGGCAGTTCATTGGTTTCATTGTTTGCAAGGTCTTGAGGGGCTTCAACCTGGCTCAAAGTTTGATTGACTGCTATTGTCGCTTCTGATTTCTCATTGTTACTGAGATCCTCCCTCATTTGTATGATGTCTTGGCTCATGATTGAACTTATAAACAACAAACAATGATGTCAATGTGATGAGCATCGGAATTTATTTCTGGAGTTTTTTCGTATCAGTTCTGACACAAAATCACTAATTTCCACAGATGACAATCTTCTAATGACGATCATTTGCCGGATTAATATAATTGAAGAGAAAGTTGTGAGCACTGAAAACCCAAGGACTTTTTAAATTCATCAGAGCTGTGAAGACTTTGCTTCGATTTCTTAAGATGGGTGTTTTGATTTGTTTCACTAATTTAGCTGCGAAATGAGATAAAATTTCAACCTTTAAGACAAGCAAAACAGAAATAATCAATGCATATATAAAGAAACTATTGCATAAATGTCAAGTAGCCATATCCTGTCCAGAATCCTTTACACCCACTTTTCCAGACTGTAATACCTTACAAATAGAAATATTAAACAAGATGTTCAGTAGACAACTGCTCTATATGGGTGACTTAAACCAATCACCTTACAACATCATTTAATATTGGATGCTTGGAGGTGATAAGTGAAGCTACTATTTGGAACATGTAAGGCCCAGGCAGCTTCAGGGAGTGTGCCAGTACATAGATTTCGAACTCAAGGTGGAAAATGGTAGCGATGTAGGTATAGGGCTGAAACCCTAATGTTAATAACCATGATTTTCAAGACTTTACAATACAGACCATGGATCACAGACAAATAATAATATCAAGAGTTTCTATAAGTCCCCTTACTGGCCCTCTCATGAATCCACGCATAACCTTCTATTGGTCCCCTCAAAGTGACGAGTGCACAGAGAATTACCCAGTTACCCTGCCAGAGAGTGAGGTTTTGTGTTTCTCTGAAAGTTTTCAAAATTGTGCGTGGAAAAAATGGGAGAGAGAGAGAGACACCTCGTGAGGTGAAAAAAATTTAGTCAAATCCATCTCCCATTTCAACAGTTTCCTTTTACACCTGGTAACGAAACACACACCACCACTTCTAATCAGATAATCAAGCAACAATGGGTGCCTACAAATATTTGGAAGAATTGCAAAGAAAGAAGCAATCCGATGTCATGAGATTCCTTTACAGAGTCAGATGTTGGGAATACAGACAAAAGAATGTCATCCACAGAGCATCCAGACCATCTAGACCAGACAAGGCCAGAAGATTGGGTTACAAGGCCAAGCAAGGTTTTGTTATCTACAGAATCAGAGTCAGAAGAGGTGGTAGAAAGAGACCAGTTCCAAAGGGTGCTACTTACGGTAAGCCAACCAACCAAGGTGTCAACCACTTGAAATACCAAAGATCATTGAGATCTACTGCTGAAGAAAGAGTTGGTAGAAGAGCTGCTAACTTGAGAGTCTTGAACTCATACTGGGTTAACCAAGATTCAACCTACAAGTACTACGAAGTTATCTTGGTTGATCCTCAACACAAGGCTATCAGAAGAGACCCAAGATACAACTGGATTGCCAATGCTGTTCACAAACACAGAGAATCCAGAGGTCTTACTTCAGCCGGTAAGAAATCCAGAGGTATCAACAAGGGTCACTTGTACAACAAGACCAGAGCCGGTAGAAGACACACCTGGAAGAAGCACAACACCTTGTCATTATGGAGATACAGACACTAAGTTTGATTCCATTGATGGGATGTTTAGCTTTGATTTTTCGTGTGTGTGTAGATTGCTAAAAGTAGTCATATAGTCGTAGAGTAGTTTGAATACGTTTTAATGCACACCCGGATAAGCTAAATCTTTTAATAGTGTAAATGTAGAGAACGAGATTTTGAGCTCCAACTGGGACGCTAAAATGAGAGAAGTCAGAGCCCGCTAGGCCGATAACAACCCATCGCAGACGTAGATTGTTTGTGTGGAAACAGAGTCAATCATCAGTAATTAATTTAATTAAATTCGTCCATTTGTCTCCTTACACAAAAGGTTAATAACACGACATTTAACTAGAGCAACACGACTTATAGGTAGTAGCGACATCCAATAATAATAAAATGGTTTTCCATATTTTTTTTCCGTCTCTCTCTCTCTTTCTCTCGTATTGTCTCTATCATATTTTTGTTGGTGACACTTGCAAATAAATTTAAAAAAAAATTTCGATTTTCGCCCTGACATTAGAGATTTCGATCTATTTTGATATCAATTTGCATTCACTACTCCCATAGCTATAACTTAAGTTAATTGCTTATTCAGATACCCAAAGGCGTTGTGAAGAATATACTATCTTGGGATCACTATATTTAATTGAAAATTCAAACCCCCTCCAAATGACAGAACATAAGCAAACTGCAATATTATCTGTTTACGACAAAACTGGTCTTTTGGACCTCGCCAAAGGATTGGCTGATGCTAATGTCCGTATTTTGGCTTCCGGTGGTACTGCAAAGTTGGTTCGTGAAGCAGGTTTCCCAGTCGAGGATGTTTCATCTATTACCCACGCTCCAGAGATGCTCGGTGGAAGAGTCAAGACTTTGCACCCTGCTGTCCATGGTGGTATTTTAGCTAGAAATTTAGATAGCGATGAAAAAGATTTAGAGCAACAAGGAATTGAAAAGGTCGATTACGTTGTTTGTAATTTGTACCCATTCAAGGAGACTGTCTCAAAGATTGCAGTCACTGTTGACGAAGCCATTGAAGAAATTGACATTGGTGGTGTTACATTGTTAAGGGCAGCAGCCAAGAACCATCAAAGAGTCACAATCTTGTCCGATCCTAAGGACTACTCAGGCTTCCTTAAGGAGTTAAAGAATGGTAAAATTACCCCAGAAACAAGAAACAGATTGGCATTGAAAGCATTTGAACACACCGCTGATTACGACGTTGCTATTTCAGACTTTTTCAGAAAACAATATGCTGAAGGTGTCTCACAATTGCCATTGAGATATGGTGCCAACCCTCACCAAAAACCAGCACAGGCTTTTGTTTCAGATGGCGAGTTGCCATTCAAGGTTTTGAACGGATCTCCTGGCTACATTAACTTGTTGGATGCGTTGAACTCGTGGCCATTGGTTAAGGAATTGTCGGCTTCATTGAATTTACCAGCTGCTGCATCTTTCAAACATGTCTCACCAGCTGGTGCCGCTGTCGGTTTACCATTATCTGATGTTGAAAAGAAGATTTACTTTGTTGAAGACATTGAAAACTTGTCCCCATTAGCTAATGCCTACGCTAGAGCTAGAGGTGCTGACAGGATGTCATCTTTTGGAGATTTTATTGCTCTTTCTAATATTGTCGATAAGCCAACTGCTCAAATCATTTCTAAAGAAGTTTCAGATGGTGTTATTGCCCCCGGATTCTCAGACGAGGCATTGGCGCTTTTAAAGAAGAAGAAAGGTGGTAAATACTGTATTTTACAAGTTGATCCAAACTTTACTCCTGCTAACTTGGAAAACAGACAAGTGTTTGGAGTCACCTTGCAACAAAAGAGGAACGATGCCATTATCAAGGGCTCATCTTTCAAAGAAATTGTATCAAAAAACAAGGAATTGACTGAACAAGGAACAGTTGATTTAACCATTGCAACTATCGCATTGAAATACACACAATCCAACTCAGTCTGTTACGCCAAGAATGGTATGGTTATTGGTTTGGGTGCGGGTCAACAATCCAGGATCCATTGTACCAGACTTGCCGGTGATAAAGCTGACAACTGGTGGTTTAGACAACACCCAAGAGTTTTAGGTTTCAAATGGGCCAAGGGTGTAAAGAGACCAGAGAAGTCTAATGCTATTGATTTATATGTCTCTAATCAAATCCCTACCGAGGAACCTGAAAAATCTGAATACGAATCCAAATTCGAAGAGATTCCAGAACCATTAACTCCAGAAGAAAGAAAGGAATGGTTAAGCAAATTAAACAATGTTGCATTATCATCAGACGCCTTCTTTCCATTCCCAGACAATGTTTACAGAGCCGCAAGATCTGGTGTCAAGTTTATTGCTGCACCAAGTGGGTCTGTCATGGACAAAGCCGTGTTCAATGCAGCTGATGCTAATGACATAATTTATGTCGAGAACCCAATTCGTTTATTCCACCATTGATCGTATCATACTGTGTATAATGTATATGGATATATATGATCAACAAATGCTTTTATTTATAATAATTGTAAAAATTCTCCTCATAAGCAAGAGTCATTATCGTCGAGTGACAATAACTCGCAACTAACAAGCAAATCATTAAGATCAGGTAATGTGGATCCAATACCTGTCTGTATCTAGTGGTGATTCAACAAGTGTTGAACCTTATTGGCTTGACATTTTGGATCCAACTGAAGAAGAAATGAAGGCTATATCAAGAACTTCTGGCATCCATTCGTTAACAACTGAAGATATTTTCCTTGGGGAAACTCGAGAAAAAGGTTGAGCTATTTAAGAACTACTACTTTATTTGTTTCATTTCAATTAATGTGGTTTATGAACGTCGTAAACAAAAGGCCAAGGAACAGAAAAAAAAAGATATGATAAATTGCAATAAATGTATGAAAATGGTGCCTCGTCTAGCACAGGTTTTTGTTCACTTTAAAAACTTCTCTTGAAATATGAGGGAAGTTAAAATTTTACAAGGATATACAATTGAAATGGTCTCTTCGGAGATATTGAAATTTTCCGAAATCTTGAAAAGTTGATTTACACCATTTGATGGTCAAGTACCGGAGAGAGATTTTCTTGATTCAATTAAAAGATTTCTCAAGCTTTACGGAAAATGAATACAAATTACAAGAGTCTAACTTGCAAATGTGGATTACCCTCAACTTTGAATATAAAGAACTGTTGACTTTAAATCGTTCAAAATTTTATCTTGACTTGTGTCCAGTCATGATAAAGTTAAGCTATCATTGGAAGTGGTGCAACGAAACAGAAACAAGCAATTGACACAGAAACTGGTTATTGGAACCTCCTTCATCAAGTTTCGAAGATCTATTCATCAACATTGAATTTGTTTTGGGGGGGAAATAAGTGGTTAATTTTGCCGCTCATTTTGTTGATGAGAGCTTAAGCTTTTGCCATTGACAAGTTGATGTTGAGGGTTTTATCATCCTGCTAAGCGCGAATAAGGCCATTAGGGGAAATATTATGGTTGAAACATAACGCCATCTTTACCTTATTACCTTAGAATACAATACGAACTCCGAGCAAGTCCCTGCCGTGAATGCCGAGGGATGTATATACAGGTGTACCAATACGAACTATTGAAAGTTCCTTGTACTGGACGTATTTCTTCTTTAAGTTCTTCACTAAGTTTTCGGCAAGTTGCTCACTCGGCGAAGCTCGTTTACTCATTCGGAGCCACGGCAATGGCTATTTAAGGAAGGTACAGTATCTCATCCGGAAGAGAAATTGGGCAATCATAAACTAATCTATTCAATATAATAAATTGACCAAATTACCCAATTGTTTTTCTTTCTCGATTCTACATTGCCCTCTCAATGCTTTAATCGAGTTTACCCTTTACCACCTTACAAGATATTTTCAACCACATAAACCAACATCAAGCATTGGCGCTTGCTCCAATGCACTCAAGTTTCTACGATGTATTAAAGCTCAAGCTATACAGAAACATTCATGTATATCAACCAATTCCATTTGCACCGAGTGCGTGGTTTGGAGGACCCAGCCATATACCCAAGCAGAAATTTCAATACCACAAAAACATAAATAACATCAAGACTAATCAATTTACAATCATTTCAATGAAAACACTAGACAAACGCATGTGGCGGATGGATCCAAATCAGCCAATTCAGAATTTTGAACTATACGAGTGCCATTTAGTCATAAATGAATGTATTTTAAGGCATTTTCAATCAATTAGATATTTGCAAGTTATTCTGAGACATTTATTTTACTGGACGTTAAATGCAAGTGTGGATATATGTGAATCGATACCAGGTTACCTTCGAGCTTGTAACTCGAAAACAATATTTATTTTCAATCAATATATGCGACGATCAAGGACAAGATTACTCCAACCTAGAAACGAAAAGATTTCATTTTATTTGCCCTGCGGCACACCACATAGTGTAATAAGATCGATCAACCAACTACTGAACCTAACTACTTTGTTGATGGAGATGGACCCAAATGTCAACTACTCAAATTTGTTTACCAATATTAAGTTGCGAAAGCTATCAATCAAAAAATTTTCGTGGTTAGGGGAGGCTGACAGATTCATAATTGATGAAATTTTCGACACAGAAAACCTTCAGGAGTTGACAGTACTGGCCAATTTCCGGTTGCATAGGCTCTTTTCGGTTTTTGAATTGAATAGAAAATAGCCACGATTAGCTCTGCTTTGTTTACAGTATCAAATATCAATTGGGGCTGAATGCTACTTCAAGGAGATATTGAAGTACAGCCACAAGACTTTGGCAATGCTCATTGTTACCTTTTTCGATCATGATATGGATTTTGCCACGGCATTATGCAGCTTACCGTCAAATTTTCCAGTAGCAAGCATTAACTGGTGGCAAGATCTAGGTCATTGGGAATTACATGATGAATTTAGTGAAAGAATAACTATGATGAGCCCCAACTTACCTCCTGGAGTTGTGGGTGACCATTTTCTGATCATTGATGACGCCCTCATTGAGCGTTTTGTAGTGAAGATGAAAAGCAAGGCGAATAATGTGCAATTAGCTACACTCAAGAAGTTTTACACAGGATTGGAATTACGTCAAATATACTCGGAAAGCTTAAGAAATAGAAAAAAAGTTGCTTTTGCCTCAAGATGGAGAAAGGAAACGACGGGCACCTCCTTTGGATCCCTGGAGATCCACATGATCAAAATTTAATATTGATTTACAGTGAAAATAAGTGTAGTTCACTGTTAGACAGAGTAACATCATTCTGCTTGTGTGTAAGCACAGATTTTACACTAGCTCAGACAGCATATGTAACATAGAGCCAAGGTTACAGGAAGTAAATTGCAGCCAATGGAACCAGAATCCTATCAATTCAAAACTGATTCATTGGAACCACCCTTGTCAGAAGAGTCAACTAGTCCTAAGATTGAAACAGTATTGTAAAACTACAAGGTTAGGGCAATTTCATGAGATTTTTGAGAGGTAGCGCACTCTTTGGTTGCAAATATGGAAATCAATAAATGTACACCAGAAGAGCCCGTTTCAGCATAACAAACAACTTCTTCCACTTTGTGGACTTACTTTCATGAAGCATGAATAAGGAAGTTTGATATTACAATGAGTACAATCATTGAAAGGAATCAAAACAATCACTAGTATGCTGAGCCATCGTATTCAGCTATTTAAGGCTTTACACTTATCCTATTATACAACAGCAATTGCCTTCAAATGCCATGATGATTTTATTGGCCCACAGTCCGATGTAAGTTTTGAAATTTTGTTGAGAGAATCTGATTCGAGAATTGTCAACCAACAAGCGGAGAATTTGGACGACCTCATAATGCCGGCCTGAGTACTGAATTAAAAGGTTTGAGTGACGAAGAAGTGAAAATATTTCAAGAAGTGATTAAACTTTCAGGTAATTTATTTGACTGGGACCAAGTCCCAATCCGGCATAAGCTAACTTCTAAGCTTCTGATGGTGATTAATATATAGGTAAGATCCATATACAGCCACATGGATCACGTATGGCAAGCCATAGAATTAGAGGGAAAAGTTCCATTCTGTAGTTTTGCTCAAAATTTACTAACTGGAAAATTGTTGTCCATATTTAATTTGAATCTACAAGATATAGACAGGAAACAAAGAACATCACCTCCTAACCCTGAAGTCTACAACGATTTGGGTGAAGAAAATTGTGTAATAGAAACAGACTATGTGAATCATTCTGGATTAAGTTTCAAGTACATAAAATTGAAGGAGTTCTACACTAATAAAGATTGCCAATGGCTCCAAGTTCCAGTTTTTGATTTTAAAATTGATTTGAAGTCCAAATTTGTCAGTTCCGTGTTTACCAATTATTTTGTACCCTTATTGGGGCTCTCTGGTTAGATCTACGAACCAGGAGTTAGATTACCTGTTTGGAACAGAAACTTTCTCAGAACTAACTTACAAATTAGCGCCCATGATCGGAAAGCCTTTTTAGAATATAAAATGGAGCTACTACAAGAGTTTTATAAAGATGAAAAAAAAACCATTCTGCAATGTGAACACGAGTCGTAGGATGCATGGTAGGTATGAAAACGGACACTTGCTTCATTGTTAGTACATCAGCAATAATCCAAGTGAAGTTCATGGGGTGGGATCTGTCTGGAGTTGAGATGAAGCCATTGTTCAATGTTGAAAATTACATTTACAGCACAGGTAATGTTAGTGGCTTGACATACCTATTCCTCAAGTTGCGCTATTTGGCTCCGCAGGATATTCTGTTAGAGGACATAAAAGCACTCAAAAAAATATTGGTGAAGGGTTATAAGGATATAGAATAATCGTTGGTGGAGTCCCTACCTGATGTATGAGTGATCTAAAAAAAAAGAGTAATTGAATTTAAGTATAGCTGCACTTTCCATCTTTTACGTTTAAAAACACCTATTCATTAGTCGTCTGAAACCTAGAAGAGACAAGTAATTTTAAACTTTTCTAATCTTCTTGAATCTAATGTTTGCCTATTACGTAGTTCACGGTACCTAAACTCTGAGGTTGGAACAAAAGCAAGCTTTGTCAATTGAAGAAGATTATTCTTTGGATTATCAACCGTTCACCCGGTGTATGAAGCACTTAAGGTTTTCTGTAAAAGTGCCGATACGATGATCCTAATTTGCGTGAAGACACCACATCACTGAATGTATCAATTGTCATCATACGCATGTTTTATCAAGCAAACGTGATTCAAGACTTAATGGCGCTATCAAATTGTTCAAAAAGTATAAAGACCCTCCTTCACGATTAAATGAATATTAGTAAACAAAAACTACCAAAATAACACTGCTATATATATGACAGCATTGGGTCATATGCTACTGCCACTCACTACAAATAGATTCAATTTTTTAATGTAAAATTTGTAAGGACTTAGCCTTTGGGGTTTTGGCGGAACTTCACATTTGAAACAGGAACAACCAAACAAACACAATGGCAGAAAAAGACCAAAGAAAAACAAAAACGAAGATTCAAGACAGCAAAGCAAATAGAGCACCAAACAACACTTTTATCAATTGAAGATTATAAACAAGGAATTAACATCTCTAACTATCAACAAATTCCAAATTGACACATCTAATTGAATAAAACATACTGTCTATCTTCCTAATCCAAGTTTCAACACAAATAATTCACACATACACGTCAACCGAAAATTAGTTTTATTGGCGAAAAAAAAAAAATTAGCTGAAGAACATAAATCTATTTTACTCTACAAAACTTGTCTACACGTTCATTAGAAGATGGCTTCGTCAGAGTACAATTATGATGAGGAAGGTGAAACATGGCCGTTCTTTGTATTGGCATTGTTGACTTTTGTCTTGATACCATTTACCATCAAGTATGCCACGAGACTAACCTCCTCTGATCCAGACAAGGTTAATGCAACGGTTGTGGGGGCAATCAAGGAAAATGCAGATACAGTAAAAGTCCCAAATTTGAAGAACCTCAATGATTACAAGAAGAAGCAGAGGTCACTGAAGATCTTTAACAAGACGTTATTGGTTTTGGTTATTGGATGGAGTGCAGTCTTTTTCGTTGGCAAATATTTGACCAAGGAAACAGACATGTCTGGTTTATTCGATCCTTATACGATATTGGATGTTTCCTTCTCAGCAAGTGATAGGGAAATCAAGAGTCATTACAGAAAGTTGTCATTGAAATACCACCCGGATAAGTTACCAAGGGATTTAACTGAAGAAGCCAGGTTAAAAATGGAACAGGAATACATTAGGTTAACCAGTGCTTACAAAGCATTGACGGACGAAGTAACTAGAGAAAATTTTATCAAATATGGCCACCCCGATGGGGAGCAACCAACAACACATGGCATTGCCATTCCCAAATTTCTTGTTGAAGGAAAGTATTCATCGTTGGTGGTGATTTTCTATGTTGCACTTATTGGAATCTTGTTGCCATGGGTTGTTGGAAAATGGTGGAGTACTGTGAAGAACTATACCAAGAAGGGGTTGCATGTCAAAACTGCAGCTAGTATTGTCCGCAAATTGGCAGATAAAGATCCGGCCAAGGTAATTACTCCTGATGTGGTTCTTGACCACATTTTGGACTGCGAAGATGTTAATGCGTTGTTGTCTGACTTGACTTTTGAAGAACGGAAAGATTTGGTTTATGCTCATTTCAATCGTGAAATCTCTAGTGACAACAAAAGAGAAAAGAACAAAACGGAATTAGTTGCAATTTTGCCACTTTTAATTGAAGGATTTATTGACATTGCATTGGTATTCAGATTGCAAGAGGCAGTAATTGCCGCTGAAGATTTGAAAAAGGCAGTCTTTCAAGCTGTTAGCCCAAATGGAAAGTACCAGGAGCTTTTGCAATTACCATTCGTTGATGAAGGTGTGGTCAAGCAACAGCCAGTAAAGAAGTTGGGTAAGTTATTTGCGTTAGAATCCTCTGAGGCTCAAAAGGTATTGGGCATCAAAGATGACGATGAATTCAAAAGGACAATGTCTGTTGCCGCACTGATTCCATCTCTTAGAATCATAGAAGCTGAAGTGAGAGTCCCAGGTGAGGAAACTGTGACTCCAAATTCGAGTGGTCACATTTCAGTCAAGTTTCTTGTCAAATCACCCAAATTAAAGTCATGTCCTGAAATCGAAGATGAGAGATTGAAGGACGAAGAGACTTTGGAGTATATGAAGAACCCATTTAGTGTCAACGATTTGGCTCCAAAATTACCATTTGCTTTCACTCCGTATTTTCCCAAGCCAGTCCGCTGTGGTTGGACTTGTTATGTCATTGCCCAAAGAGAAAATAAGTTAGTGGAAAACAGTCAGGCCTATGTTTTAGAGAATGTCGATCTTTCAAACTTGAGTTTGACTCAAGAGGAATGGATAGATGGGAAGAAAGTTGTGGTCAGTACTTTTAAAATCCCTCTACCTGCTGCACTGGGAAACGTGGGAAAATACTATTATCGATTGATAATGAAGAATAACGCGTACTATGGGTCCGATGTTGATGTTCCTGTTGACTTGGAGGTTGTCCCACCATCCCAAGAAAAGAGTTTGGCTGGAATCAAGAAAATGATGGAGAAGCGTAAGAAAGGGGATGATGATGATTCAGATGAAGAGGAAGAAGAAGAAGACTCGGATAGTGATATATCAGATCCAGAAGAGGATAGCTTGGCTGGAGCTCTTGCTGCATTGAGAGGAGAAGCCACGTCGAAGAAATCAGACAAAGTAGAAGAACTCGATGAAGAGGAGGATGAGGAGGAGGACGAAGATGTGTTTACTGATATCAACACCGATACAGAGGACGAAGCGGATTGAAAGTTTATATAGAAAGCTAAGTAAACTTGCTATAAAATATAAAAGAGTAAACAAAACATAATATATATATATATCTAAACCAGGTGCTTTAGTATGTATGCGTCCGGTGCTTCTAATCCTTGCTCTTTATAGTAACCTTCGACTAAATCTTGTTTCTTAAATCCCTTTTTGAGATACCAACTTATGGCATTCTCGTTAGTTGCTTGAACATGGATAATGATTTCATGAATAAATCTCTTTTTAGTCTCCTCAATCACCCATGAAAGCAATTCTGAACCTATTCCCAAATTTCTATATTTCTCCAAAACGGCAAAACTTTCAATGTACATGCAATTAGGTGTTTTTTGTAATGTAGTTGAGTTGATTGACTCAGCGAATGATGACTTGATCTGATTGTTGTTAAAGGACCGTGCTCGTATAGCTCCTACTGGCAATTCTGAATAAAATCCGAGTTGAACAACGACATCTGAGGACTCCAACGATGCAGTGTACCATGATTGGGGGTATCTTGTGGGAAGCGACACTTCATTAATTTTTTTGAAAACGCCAAGATTGTTGACCGTTAGGTCATCCAACGCCGTTATACTTCTACCCATTGTAATTGACGCGCTCTGGTGGTCACTGGTGGTCACTCTATAAGCATTCATTTGTGTTTTTTTTTTTTTCCTTTTAAATTTCGGATCAACATCTCTTCTTCAGTTAGGGGTGATTCTATATGAAGAAATGGAGTGGGCAGAATGCGTCAAATACCTATATGGATAACAAGAATATACTAGCATGGAGTTTGGGTTTGGTGGAATAACTCACTCTTATATGTGTCCCTAGTGAATATTGCACATTCCATACAATTAGAAGAAATTGTAACCAATTCTCCCCAAAAATATGTAGGCTTGTTGCATGAGCATAACCTGGAAATAGATATGAGCACCAGAGAGTCCCAATTGGATAGCTGCATGAAAAACCCTTGCTTAGTACACTATGAGTGAATGATGTCCGAAAGGTAGCGCAGTTGATGAAAGATATTCATATGCAAATTCACCAAAGTTGAGCTTTTCCTTTAATGTGTCTTTTTTCCTCTTTTATTTTGAACTGCGGAGTTAAATCAACACCACAGTTCACCGTTCATATATAAAGAGTTGGCAATTGATTCTTTATTCCAGATCAAATAATATTTTTGAATAAACCACTGTCATCTTCAGTACACAATACTATACTATGCTTACCAATATAATTGTCATTTTAGTTATTTTATTCTTTGCCAGGAGTATCTATAGAGATTTCATTGCCAATGACAACAACCCATTAGCCAATCAAGCTGAAGCCTCCATAGTCGAAGGCAAATTTACGCCAAAGTCATTGGCCAAATACAATGGGAAAGACCATCCTAAAATATTTATTTCCGTCAAAAATAGAGTGTTTGATGTTAGTCAAGGTGCCGCATTTTATGGCCCGGGAGGCCCCTATGAGAACTTTGCTGGTAGAGACGCTTCAAGGGGATTGGCATTGAACTCATTTGATCCTGTTGTTTTGACTCCTTTGGATCAACCAATTGATGATTTAAGCAATTTGTCTAAGTTAGAGCTAGAGTCTTTAGAGCAATGGGATGAACACTTTGAAAATAGATACAAGGTTGTGGGTACTTTGCACGAAAATGGAACTGTCTCAGAAGAAGTTAAGGGTCTTTAAAGAAGCACTTAAAAGCTATGAGACAAAGTACACCAACTTCCTTCCAATGTCACATATTTATTGCGTTTTCCACGTCAGGTGAAAATTTGCGACACCTTTGTAGAACTTCGTGAAAAAAAAAAAAAAATTTAAAAAAATTATTATTCTCAAAAGCGTTACGTAGGTAAAACAATCTTTCATTACAGAAATTACCCTCTAAAGCCTATCATGAGTTATAGAGGTCGAGGTAGAGGTGGTGGATATAATAACAACTTCCAGAATAGAAACAATTTTGGAAATCAGCAACAAAATATCGATGCACACGCAGCAGCAAATGCTTATCCCATTGAAATCGTGGGATGGAACGGTGCTAGTCTGAGTGATTGCATTAATTTCATTTCCAGAAAATGCAGAATAGTTGTTAGCAACTACAGTGTAGATCAAAACACTGGCGTTTTGAAAGGCTACGTTAGAAATGAAGCTCAAGCAAATGATTTACTTAATTGGTCTGGCGTCAAATTTGCTGGACAGTCCTTGAGGTTTTCCAAAGGGCCCTCGACCATATCTAGCCAGATGGGTGGGTCAGCAACAGGAGCTGGAAACACAATTGAAACGATCACGAATTTTTTAAAGGGACGATACCAGCCTGAAATCAAAATGCTTAATTTGAGTAGTGTCAAGCAAGATGCAACTCTCAATGCCCAAGGGTTTTTTGCATCAATGTCGGTAACCTCTAAATTTTTCCCTGCATTAATGAAAATCGCCGCTGATTTGAAAATCGACGTTGAAAGTGTTGATTTATCCGGTAATGAACTCAATGACTTGCATGCAATTTCTTCCATGACGCAGACATTTCCAAAGTTGAAGAATTTATCCCTTCAAAACAACAATTTGTCAAGAACAAAAGTATTCGAAACTTGGAAGCACAAACTTATCTTCTTGAGAGAATTGATTTTATTCAACAATCCCATCGTTCAAACTACAAACCCCGCAGAGATTCAAGAAATTAAGTTGGAAATGATGAGATGTTTTCCAAGGTTGGTTATATTGAATGGAGAGCTATTGAGGAATGAACAAATGTTGAATGCAAATTCAAGCTCACCATTTGGGTCTCAAGCCATGTTCTTCCAAGACGAGGAGATTAGGAATTTGGCGACAAATTTTGTTGCCAACTATTTGAATCTATGGGACACTAATAGAGCCAACTTGATGGTGCTTTATCAAAATGAGTCGCAATTTTCCATGCAGTTGGACACATCCCACCCCCATTTAATTGAAGACGTGAACAGTAGTTCGAATATCGACTTTGGAAATTATATGCCGAACTCAAGAAATCTTACTCGCATTTCGTCCGGTAAGGCGAGAATGAGCAAACTTGCAATAGGAACAGAGCAAATCTATAAAAGTTTTCAGCATCTACCCAAAACCAAGCACAATTTAGTTGAAAACCCCGACTCATTCAGTATGGAGTGCTACAAGTATGCCCCGCTCAACGGAATAGTCATCACTGTACATGGATCTTTCGAGGAGACGGCACAGCCTGAAATTTCCGATAATAGTGCTTCGCAGGGATCGCGTGGCGGAAGATTTCATTCGCAGGGTCGAAACAGAAAGCACGAGTTATGTAAAAAGAGCTTTGATAGAACCTTCATAGTCTTGCCCGGTCCAAACGGAAGCATGGTTGTCGCAAGTGATCTTTTGCTTATAAGACCATTCACTAGAGAAGCTGCCTGGACTAGCCAACACTTACCCCATCAACAGGGCCCACAACAGCCAGCAGTAGCCACAGGTGTCCCCGTTCAGCAACCACCCAATGTTTTACAAGGAGCAAACACACAAGCTGCACCTGCCGCACCATCTGTACCTGTACCATCTTTGACAGATTTACCTCCAGAAATCAAATCTAGCCTTCAAGTGCCACAGCAAGAATTATTGGTAAAGATATTAGTGGAGACAAAACTCAACCTACAGTATGCAGTAATGCTTTGCGAACAAAGTCAATGGGATTACAACCAAAGTATGATAAATTTTAAAAATTCCGCTGCATCATTACCACGAGATGCATTTATATAGACATTAAGTAATGAGTAAATAAAAGTTGAATTAGGAATGATGGTAGGAGGGTAACTAGCTACACGCCTATTGTTTGATTTTCTCTTCTAATTCATACAATAATACACTTTCATATATTAGCCATACAGAATTTATACAACCATTCTATCTTCACAGACCCGCAACTCTATCGACTCCCCGTTCATTCAGTACAGATCCTGATAAACTCCTCCTCGTTAACTAAAAATTTTGAGTTAGTATTATAAAAAACAATATTCTTCGAGTGTGAAAAATCCAGCAAATACATACTTTCCCCATCTTCATCTAAATCAAACTCATCTATCATAGCTTGCAACTCTTCGTCACTCAAATTTTCCCCCAAATCTTTGGATATTTTTCTCAAATTTCTCACACTTATCTTTCCTGTTCCATCTATATCGAATAACTTAAAAGCTCGACGAATTTCATCCAATGGGTCTCTCTTTAAAATCATTTCCCCAACTGTTTTGAAGAAGTTATCGTACGTTATTAAGTGGGTGTCATCTGTGTCGTATTCCCTAATTATATCCAATACCTGGCGTTTGGTCAACTCAAATCCTAATGCCTTGAATGCAACTTTCGTCTCGTGATAGTCCAAGCAGCCATCTCCATTCATGTCAAACAACTCAAATGCTTCTCTAATTTCGAGCTTTTGTTCATCGAGCAATTCCTGCTTGGGAATGATATTGGAATTACTACCATTGTTTATTGACGAATGCATCCCTCTTTTCGGTGGCGCTAAAACACTCCCCACATTGTGGTTGTTGCTACCTACATTGGAATTATTTCCAAGTGATGATATCCTCTCTCCACGATTAAACATTTTGTTGATGAAATAGATGTTGTGTCTGAAGATACTGAAACTGCAGATCAAATGGGTTGTCTGGAGTCTTTTATTTTCTTTTTATTTTTTTGTTTCAGTCCTGTATATACACTTGCAAAATTGACGCGTCGGAATCAAAGTATTTAAATCACAGCATAAGTGGAACACGCCTTGTAATGGCAAATGCGATATCAGATAGGTGATCATGTTAAAGTGAGAGGAGAATCTGGACGGATAAGATACGTGGGAGGCACAGAATTTGCTTCTGGTACATGGTTTGGAGTTGAATTAGACAACCCCGTTGGTAAAAATGATGGATCAGTTCAAGGCGTTCAGTACTTCCAATGCCAACGCACCAACGGGTTATATGGGGTATTCGTTAAAGAAAATTTACTTGAAGTTGTCGATAAAGCTTCGAGGGCTGCAGATGCCACTGCTCAAAGCTTACCACGGCTTCAAAACCAATTGAAAGTTGCCCTTTCCGAAAACTCGCTATGCAAGAATGAATTGAAGAAGCTAAAGGGTACTATGGCCGTTAAAATACGGGAGAAAGAGCAACTAGAGTCAAAGTTGGAAATGCAACTGGTTGATAATCAGTACCTACTGGAAGCGAAGCATGTACTCGAGGCTAAAGTTGCAGAGTTGACACAACAATACCAATCCTTGCAGCAAGATTACACACTCGTATTGGAAGAGTTGGAAATAGGCAGAGAATTGGAGAAAGAGTTGAGGTTTGTCGATGTTGATGCGTACACTCCAGATGAGATCAAGTTACTCATTGAAAAGGTACGCCTTGACGAAAGAACAATAGCGGATTTGAATAAAAGAACCCGAATGCAGGAAGAGAAACTATCTGTCACTTTAGAGCAATTACAGACCACAGAAGATCGGATACAGATTCTTAACTCTGATTTGCTGGATAAGAACTCGACAGTGATTCACTTGAAAGAGAGATTGGAAACCTTTGCAGAACTTGAACAAATGACAGAAAAATTAGCGGTTGAGAATGGAGAGTTGTTGGAAACTATCAAGGAACTAGAGAAGTCTATTGAGGAGCTTAGTCAGTTACACGCACTAGACACAAAGATTGAGGCCAATCTTCACAAGACTGAGCAAAACCTCAGACAAGAAATTGAATCATTGCAAGACACTATAGTAAAAGATAAATCTAGAATAAAAGAGTTGGAGAGCAAAATTGCTTCCTCTGTGCAAATTGCTAACCCTGTCGACTCAAAGTTTGACGCTAGATCTGCCAATGAACTTTCTGAAGCTCTTGAAACAGCCAACCAACAGCTAGCGAAACTAGAGCGAAGATACCTACAATGTTCAGTTGAATTACAAATTTGTGAATACAATGGGAAGATTGATATTGAACGTGTTAAGTTCCACGCGTCAAGCTCATTAAAGGCGGAATACATTGACCTTATCTACGACGTAAAATTACAATGCAATATTTTAGATCTTCTTAATAAGCAGATGGGACTGGGCGAATGCTTTTTATTTTGCAAGTACGCAATAACTAATATTCGCCACTTTTATCAAGCCATATTGATACTTCTTGAGTACAATTATAAGCACAAGCTTTCAGAGGAGCTATTCAAGCAAAACAGAACATTGATGGATACTGTTCAAGAAGAAACGGAAAAGATTATTAGTCTTATGAAAGTTGATTCTTCTGAGAAAGAGCTGATTGGCATGTATCGCGCAAGTTTGAAGAACTGTCTAGACTTATGCAGCACATGTGTAACAAAAATGTGTCACGATTCAGAAGAAAGACCGTATGTTTTTCAACACAGTTCAATTGTGAAACATGTTGAGTTTTCAATGAGCAAGTTCTTGGTTTACTTGAACGATGTTGCTTCCTTACATGATAGATATGAAGAATTTTCAGACCTAATCCAATCTGTTAAGTCTATAAAATCAAGATACGAAATGGCATATGAGTATGTGTTATCGCAACTGACTATGAATAACGCTTCAATTAAGTCACTAAGCATTCCTTCCTCCATACTACGTTACATTACTGACTTGTCTATTCAAATAGTCAGTACGAACAATTCAGAGTTTATAAGATTGGATGACTTAAAAGATGTCCTTGAAGGTTTAGCCGATTCTGAAGTTCATATGGAACAAGAACTATCTGCAACAGATGTTAAAAGTGTCTACGAGTATGTCCAAGAAGAGCCAATTGTGAAAGAACATGCATCAGCAGAAAGTGTTAACGTCAAAGATGACAGTGAGCTTACTGAGGTAATATTGCTGAAAGACAAAGAAATTTCTGAGTTGAAGTTGAATATAGCTCTATTGGAGCAGAACATGAAACTCTTTACCAAACAAACAATGGATCAAATTGAAGACTTAGAACAGCAGATTCTTGTTACGAAAGCTGAAATCAAGGAAAAATCCGCCATAATTGCTACACTTCAGAAAGAAAATAAAGCTCTTCGTAATCAATCTTTTTTCAATAAAGCTAGTTTTGATGAAATTGAGTCACAGAAGGACTTCGATGAAAAGCTTAAACGCATGGAAACGCTAATAGAGCTAAAACGGCAAGCCACAGCTTCGATGGATGTCGATGATGACTTGTCGTGGTTGGCTTTTCCAAAGAGACCCAAGATCTGGAAAAAACCTACACAGTTGCAAAGCTTGTCCCATGAGATTAGAGATTTGGCTATGCGTACACAATTTATACGCATTTGTGGTACCAATAAGCAAAAGTGGGTGCCACAGAGAACCACAGCAAGGTACATCAATGCGTGTATTGATGAGAGATTTACTCGATATACAGCACAAAAGGGTGAAATGCTTTAAGGATATTTACTGAGTGGGTCTAGTGTTTTCGTCGCTTGGGCCACTTTGTTGCTAGGTCAATATGTTCTCTAGGGTATAACCGTTCAAGGACAGTATATATAAAAATATCAACAATCACCATTAACACAAACAACTTTCCGGCAATTATACCACAGCAGTAAAACTTCAGCAATCGATTGATTATTGATTCATTTAATTCATCCAAATCCAAACTGTCGTAAACTTCTTCTGTGCGTTGAGCTATGTTACTCCAACTATACATTGTAGCCACCCTTTCGTGGAAATTTGATGTATTGATTTCGCCTGATTGTATTTTGTATACTGCATCTAGGGTGGTTTCAACTAATGAATCCTCCTCAGGTTCAGCAAAGCTAGTCATATTAGATGGCAACACCTCAGGTATACCGCCAACCCTTGTTGTCACAACATAAAGTCCACACGATGCAGCCTCAACAATAACAGTTCCAAACGCTTCCGTCAATGAAGGATGTAAATATATCTCACCTTGGGTCATGACATTTCTTACTTCTTCGTGTTTGACTGCCCCAACAAGTTGAACTCTCTCTTGTAGGAAGTACTTCTCTCTCATTTGCTCCAAATCCAAGAATTTTGGACCATCGCCAGCAATGACAAATTTTATTTTTGGATTGGCAAGGCATATCCGAGGTATAATAGCCGTTAACAAATCGGCTCCCTTATTAGGGAAAAGCCTGGTAATTACAACGATTGTAATCTCACGATCATTTTCCTTCTTTTCAAGCCGTTTGTTTGGTTGAAAATCCTTCGAAATGACTGCATTGGGTATCACTGACACTTTCCATGGCTCAATGCTTGCCCTCAAGACTGTGTTCTCTTTACATGTGTGACTGACACATATAACATGTCCCACATCACTGATAGCAAATTTCAATACCTTATTACCCCATATGGAGCCAAAATCGGCAAACCCAAAAAGAGAGTGATCAGTAAAGACCGTTTTCAACCCCATTGTTCTGCCGTGAAATATAGCTTCATGTCCGAATGTACTTAAAGACCCGTGTCCGTGTATAATATCAATATTTTCTCGAATGAATATGTTGCGTAGTATTGGGAATGCTGAGAAAACCGTGGGAAAGGCTGAAGATCTGTAAAGCACCCAGAAAGGTACATAGTACACCTTCAACCCATTGGTTAGATATCGTATTCCGTTTCTACCACTATAATTGTGAGTTATGATGATTACTGAATGTCCCAAGTCTATTAGCTTTTGAGATAAATGATATACATGAAACTCTACGCCACCTGGCTGTGGGTAGAAAAAATCAGTAACCATTGCAATATTGTAGCCCATTGTTATCTATGTGTCCATGATTAGCAGCAATCGCTGTCATGAGAAGAGAATCTTTGTCTACTTCATATTAGAACAGATGCCTTTACCCGCGAACTCTGAAAAGAACTGCCAAATGCTACCACAATCATTTTTTTTTCTCTCTCTCTCTCTCTGACATCAAAAAATTTTCAGGTTTTACTACTGTCCAACACAAGACTTACACCTCCACGTATTGCACAATGTCTTGGGTTGTCAGTCGTTCCCGGTTCAAACGAGATATCAATAAACTCCCCAATCACCTTAAGCAACAATGGTTGAAACAACAAGAAGCAACGTCCTTACCAACTTTTAAAGGGTTTTTTCCCGAAAGATTACCCAGGTCGCAACAAAAGACCAGATTTGAGGCTGGAATCACTGAAGGAGACTTGGCGTACGTGACTGAAGGTAAGCATAAGGGTAAAATAGCCGAGGTTTTGGCTTATAGTGCTGAATTCGACTCAGTTTCCTTGTCCAATATTTCAACCAAGAAACTTTTACCCAAACCATTCTGGCCCGAGGGTCAAACGTCTCATGTGTACGACTTTCCTGATTATATACCAAGAAGTAAAGTGAAGGTAGTTGGTAAAAGCAAAGAAGATGGCAAAATTTCGTACATGGTTGCGGAAGAAGTGGTTATGGGGAAACCTTATTACGACGATAGGTACAAGAAATGGATACCAGAGAGATATATAAAACACCACGATTATCTATTGCCATGGCCAACGCCCCCAAAGATTGAAGAAGGGGAATTGTCAACTCCAGAAGATGTAGCTACAGAAAAGACTTTTGAATTTAACACCGTTGGGAAATCAACGATACCTAAAGAATTGGTCAATCAATTGCGTAACCCGTACAGCAAGTACAAGAAGAGGGAGCTTGATGGGTTGCAGATTGCCAAACTCAATGGACCTGAAATGCCATTAACCATAGAGCAAAAGATCTGGTTGGCAAAACAAGCTGAAAAACCAAAGAAGAAATTGTATCCATTGCCGGAGGAAGTTAAGGAGTTCATTGGCTCGAAAATGGCAGAACATATGAACAAGATAGAAAGTCCAGAGTTGCGCCATCATTTGGAGGTTTTGTCCAAAGTGAAAATACCCAATTTTGAGAAAACGTTAAGGATTATCGAGGAGACAAAGAAAGAAGAGAGTAGCCCAATAGCTGACGAAAGTAAGATTTAAAATTGTTGTAAATAGTGATAAACTAATCTTTTTATCAGAGCCCCTACTACACTATAGTTTCTCGTAATCCAACTTACCCTCCAACTTCTTGTTATCAGCAACCTTTCTAACCGCTTTCATAATATCATTTTGTATAATGTACTCCCTGTCATCTCTAATTGCAAAAAAACCAGCTTCAGTAACAACATTCCTTATATCTGCTCCGTTGAATCCATCACTCATTTTTACTGCAGCTTCAAAGTCAAACTCTCCATGCTTTGCTATTTTAGCAGTGTGGATTTTGAAAATTTCTAATCTTCCAGCTTCGTTGGGCAAGGAAATCTCAATTTTTCTGTCTAATCTACCGGCTCTAAGCAATGCAGGATCAAGTGTGTCAGGTCTGTTGGTAGCCATTATAATTTTTGTTTGCCCTAATGTGTCAAATCCATCCATTTGATTCAACAACTCCATCAATGTACGTTGGATTTCACGATCTGCCGAGGTACCCTCGCTGAATCTACGGCCTCCAATGGCATCAATTTCATCCATAAAAATGATACAAGGCTCATGCTCCTTAGCATAAGCAAACATCTCTCTGATTAATCTTGCACTTTCACCAATGTACTTGTCCACAATTCCAGAAGCAGGTGAGAAAATAAAGTTTGCTCCAATAGTTGCCGCCACAGCTTTAGCCAACAATGTTTTACCGGTACCTGGGGGACCATATAGCAAGACTCCCTTTGGCGGCTTAATACCAACCCTTGTAAAGAGCTCTGGGTTCTTTAATGGTAATTCTATAACTTCACGCAACTCTCTAACTTGCTCTGTTAAACCACCGATACCATTGAATGATATTTCACCAGGCTCAAAAGTAGTCATATTGTAAACCAATGGATCAACCTCTCTAGGTAAAATTCTCATGATAGTAAGGGTGGTCATGTCCAACGATACTCTTACACCGTTTTTCAAGTTCGACTTCTTGATAGTATTTCGACAGCCAACAATATACCGTGGCCCACTAGACGCTTTAACAATGAATCTTTCTTCGTCCAATTGCTTCAAAACCTCTCCAATTATCTGGCCAACGGATTGTAAAGCCTTGATGTCATTTTCAGTCTTGTCATAATCTTTATCCAAGTCTCGTATGCCCAATCGTAAATCTTTCAACCTTGCATCCCACTTTCTATGCTCAAGCAACTTGTCTTTGAATTTCAGAAGTGCTCTCTCTCTTTCAGGATCAATTGGTTCTGATGGTTGTTGGTTTGCACCATCTTGCTGATCAGTACCAATGGCTTCATTGGTATTATTATCTCCTGCATTATTGCCGCTTTGTTCAGCACTCAAAGCTTGCAAAAGAGGATCATTCTCTTCAGACGCCATATTTATCGTAGTATAGTTGTGGATGTACAGAAGTTGAAAATGGTTCCCAATAAATCACCAAAGTGGCAAAATGGTTTTTCTTTTTTTTCTGCCGGGTGGTGCTTTGCCCAAATTCCCTGCGCACGACTTTCAATCTTTCTGAAGCATTTGGTAGCAGTCAACCTTTTATTGACGATGCTTCAAAATTTTTCTCACTCCGCTGATTCATTGGCATAAGACTGGAGTTGTACCGATTTGCAATTGATTAGCATGGAATTTACTGCGGTGATATTTTGTGGCAAGGGAAAGTCTCTTGATCCCTTTTCCGAGACGCGAGCTACTGGGTTACCAAAGGCACTTTTACCCATAGCCAATGAGCCAATGATTAATTATGTGCTAGATTGGTGTTACGCTGCAGTTTTGTCAAGGATAATAGTTGTCACTCAAGAAGAAACAAATGACTCAGTAGCTGCAGCAATCGAAAAGTTTAAGAAACTAAGACGCGAGAAGTTTGAGCTGCAGGCTGACATCGCTGATACAGTAGTTGCAACTCCAATAGAGATCATGCCATTCACGGCTGATAATAGTGCTGAAGTTATCCACCACCTTTACAAGAATCCACAGCTTAGAATGAAATCACAAAACTTTATATTCTTACCGTGTGACTTCATTTCAAATTTACCACCGCAAGTTCTAATTGAAGCATTCAGGAACAGAAATGAAACCGATTTGGGGGTTTATATTGCATACAAGAATCAACTAGATATAGAGGACAAGAAACTGAAGATATTTGGGAAAAAGTATACAGTGTACACGGGTGATGCCCAGGAGTCAGTCTTACTCGACGTTTATGGAAAGGCCGATATTGAAATGTCAAAAATGTTGAAAATAAGGACCCAGATGTGTTGGCGATACCCAAAATCAATTGTGAGCACGAATTTACTAAACAGTGGAATCTTCATAGTTTCCGGTAGGATCTTTGACGTCATTGAAGAATCATCCAACAAGTTTAATGAAGTGTATTTTGAAAGAAGAAACTACGACAAATTCATTCGTGATTTGGCAAGACGGTCGTGGAAACATTCCGGCAGTAAGGATACAGTTGGCCTTTTTGTGGTTCCATCCGAGGCATCTTTCTTTAGAGTTAACAACCTACCGGTATTGATGGAGGCTAATAGACATTTCATGAAACAACAGGCGATGAAGAAGGGGCAGTTGCAACAAGGTTCTCAACAGAAAGACAAGTTAGCAGCACATGTTGGAAATGATTCAATAATAGGCGATAAAACTGAATTGGGCGAAAAGACTAACGTGAAGCGCAGTGTGGTGGGGCATAATTGTAAGATAGGTAAAAAGGTTAGAATTACCGGATGTTTGATCCTTGATAACGCAATTATCGGCGATGACGTTCAATTAGAAAACTGTATTGTTGGTCACCACGCTAAAATCCTTCCAAAAGTAAAGTTGATCAATTGCAATATTGAATCTACTAACGAGGTACCAACAGGAACCCTGTCCAAAGGTGACACATTGCTCTGTATGAATTTAGAGACTGTGGAAGATGGTGATAGCGAAGAAGAGTTTGTATTGAGGACCGGCCCGCTAAGCGATACTAGCTCTGATGAGGATGATGATGATGATGGTGATGATGATGGCGAGAGTGAAGACGAGAGCGAGTTCGAAGATGAATTTACGGGTAACGACGATGGGTTGTTTGCATATTGATAGATCCTATACGAATGAAGTAACGTTATATATATCGCAATCATCTATAAAATTCCAATTGACTGTACTTAATTGAAATGGTGAGACAGCTCTACTCTTTACTGCTTCTTCTTTTCTTCTTCTTCAAAGGACTCGTACTGTGCTCTTTAAATAGTTTAGCACGTTTCAAATCGTCCGTCTCACTTTCGCTAGACTCTTCTGAAGAGTAAAACTTTTTGTGCAAATGCTGAAGCTTCTTTTTCTTTATCATGGCATTTCTCTGGGATGCATTGTGTTGAACGGACATCGGCGGTATACTTGGTCTGAAAGCTGTCGGTGGCTTCATATCCAGCTCAAACAGAAACACAAAGTCCTGCGGAATCTTGGCCTCATCTAATGATGAGGGATGATTAGCATTTGTTATCTCCGCTCGCCTTGTCAACGCCCAATTTTCAACGTCCTCATCATTGGTGATTACTTGTAGTAGATCATCAAGACACTGTAGATAACCCATATCAAGGGATGTAGAATGTGCTACTTGTCCAGATTTGAATAATGCCGCAACAGCTCTCGCAGCGTTGGCAAAATCAGTCTTGATAGCATGTTTTTGAGCAGCATTGACTACGCTTCCAGGTTGTGGGTTTATAGATGAATTATATAGCGACGCAACAGCTTTTGCTGCACCTTTAAAGTGGGTAGTGAGGTCAGTGTTCAAATCTGAGATGCTAGATTGGGAACTGGTTCTTGATTGTGAACATGGGTCATCGGACCCAGATTGTTCGGATGTTTCTGGCTTGCGTATCAAAGGTTTCAGCGTTGGCAACGTATTTGACAAATTTGATAAATCCATCACGTATGTATCTATGTTGTTTAGCTGGCGAAAATAACTAATATAATGAGTTAATAGTATATGAAGTAATACTAAATAATGTATTACTCGTTTGATATCGCAGCGCAATTTTCTAGAATATTTTTCTCCTCCTTTGGCTGAGGCTACCAGATATGTTAGGATTACCCCTTTGCAATGTTACACCTAAAGCGAACTGTGGCTGGTTTAAAGTATAGACGTGGTGAGGATGGCAAGAGTCAGCCAGCTCTTACATCTAGAGCAACCGCTAACCTATATGAACTAAATTGTACTTGCTATCTGACACAAAGCTTTCAACATACATTACAACAAAAGACTTCGTTGAAGCACAGTTAAACTCAAGTCAGGAATTTATGTAGTTCCAGTGGGGATTCGGGCGTAGCTCAAAAACCACCATCGGCATTCACTAGCCGTGCTCTTCTCTGGATGCAAAAGATAGAAATTCTTCACCTTCAAAGTTTATAGCGCGCGGAAAATTATTTGAACAACAAAACAAAAACCTGGCATCATCGAGTCAAGCAAAGATAGCACACCTCACATGGTTGAATCCACTTTAATTTATAGATATGATGGTATGTTACATTGAATTCTTCCAATGAAAGAAAAGATAACAATAATATCTTGACATGATGATCATTTACTAACTTTTTAACACTTAGCACTTCCATTGTGTGGATCGGTAGACGATGATAACGATACCAGCTCGAAAGCATTGCTAGAACAGAAAAAGAAATGCAAGATCCTCATCAGCAGAATAACTCCTAATTCGGAACCACAAGCGACTATTGAATCAGGCGAATTCAACATTCACTACTTGATATCACAAGGGATTATATACTTGTGCATATGTAAGAAATCATACCCCCGAAAGCTCGCATTTTCATACTTGAATGAGATAGCACACGAGTTTTACAATAGCCATGGTCAAGAGGCCCTAAGCCCTACTGCTAGACCTTTTGGTTTTACCTCCTTTGATAATTTTTTGCACAAGACAAAGAAGATATATCAAGATCAAAGAGCACAATCCAATTTAGATAAATTGAACGATGATCTTGCCGATGTAAAGAAGGTCATGACCAAAAACATTGAAGACTTGTTGTACAGAGGAGATTCATTGGACAAGATGAGTGATTTGTCCAGTTCTTTGAAACAAGATTCGCTAAAATATAGAAGAAGGGCGCAAAGAATTAACTTGGAAGCCTTGATCAAGCAGTACATTCCAATCATAGGAGTGGGACTACTCTTTGTTTTCATTTGCTATTACCTATTGAGAAGATGAGTACTTAGTGTGTAACTGTGTCGTTATAAAAAGATCACAGTAGTATGCGTAGTAGTAGTGTAAAGTGACACTTTGTCGCGACATCAATTTTCAACTCTTCTGGGGAAAACCCACTTGAGCATACATTCCACCATTACCAGATCAATGGATCAACCCCATTTTCTAAAAGTCGCATCTAAATCTGCTGCTAGCCTATTGTCAACCGCTTCAATCCAGGGGCAGGTTACCTCTACCACTGAGGCTACAACTGCAATCAATTACGAAAATGTGAATCTGGAAATACAATCGATTCGAAACGGTTCACCAATAACACAATTTGATAACAGTAGTGTGGCATCAGAGCTCCACTTATCGGAGTATATAGAGGATTTACCTTTTTTGCCGTCCAATATTCGCCATACACAGCTGTCGCATGACGAATATAATTATTTGAAATTATATCCAAATCCACAGGACTTAAAGGAAGAACAATACTTTCGTCAATGCATCTCCTTATCCAAAAAATGCGATGAGCATCAGTTCCATCAAAAGTTGAAGCAATTTTTTATCTTGTCTATTGCAGGTAAACCGATATATTCAATGAATGGGTCAGATTATGTGGTGATTGGCTTTATGGGTATACTAACCACAATTCTATCAACTTTCCAAGAAGATCTTCACAGAGACTTGAACAGCATAACACTAGGAGAGGATATAAAAATTGTTGCCTTAAACAGAGCTCCTATTGTATTGTTTGCAATTACAAAATTGGCACATGAATCAGATAGCTTTCTCAAATCTCAGCTACAACTACTTTACACGTATTTGTTGAGTATATTGTCAAAATCAGCAATTGACAAGCATTTCAACAATGGGTTAAATTACGACTTAAGACGAATATTGAGTCCGTTGGATTTTGCAAACTTGGACGACTTGTGTATGAAAATGACGTTTGGGTTGCCCAATGGTCTCAATTTTTACTTGAGCCAGTTGTTTAATTGCCGACAGAGTGTTAAACTACGGTACACTTTGAGGTCCAGGATGAACAAAATATTAAATACCTACAAGGATGATGATTTGCTATTTACTATTTTGGCCAAGTCCAACGTGATTCTAAATTATGTTCGCAATAAAGCACATGTTTTATCAGAACATGATTTGAGATTATTGTTGTTTATAGTCCAGTCGATGAAAAACAAGGAGGAGGACCTATGGATGCCATTATGTATGCCAGATTTTAACAACCACGGCTTTCTTTATGTCTTTGTTCGTACATGGAATCAGAATAGTTTGATACTCATGAGTGGGAACAAAAACTCATTCTACAAATTAAAAGAGCTAGCGAGTGGTATCATTCTCACAGCTGAAAGGTCTCAGAGCCATGAATTTCTCACCGGCTTCCAACGTGAGTTGCTTACGCCAATATCGAGTCAAATTCCATTCGTCGTCAAACATTTTCTCTATATCGATAAAAAGCTCAATCAATTTGTGAGCAGTGAAGTGCCTCACAACAACAGGAATGTTGTGCTTCAGTTGATCAAATATTACACGCAGTTGAAAAATAACAAGTCCAATTTCCAATTTAGAGACGTCCTGGTCAATTACAAGAAACTAACATACATGAAGTGGGAAAAGGTCACGGGAATTATGATCACCGATAATTCCTATGCATTTTACTGTATTATTAACGATGATATCGATTCCAGGAAATTAATTGACGTTAGTGTTTCTATAATCAAGTGGTGCAAGAAGAACCAATCGCGATTATTCACAAAATAAAACAACTTCATTGCAATATACTTTTTTCAAATTTTTTAAAGGACTCTTGTAGTTTGTCAACATACAACTTGTGCAACTTCTCTAACTGGCTCAATTGCTTATTCTCCAGGTCCGACAACTTATGGGTTTTCAAGTGCGACTGAAATTTGTGTCTGACATCACCTCTTACCGATGTTAACGATCCAGTTTTGTTATTTCTCAACTTGTCAAATAATTCTTTTAGTAACTTGACGTTGTTTTGTTTTGTCTCTAATGTGATTGGAGGCAAGGGCACCTTAATGTTGAACTTGTTTGCAGGATCAACAACTCCGCTCATGTTTAACCCTGATCCGATAATTGTGTTGATGATAGCTTGAGCATTCAGAGGATCAAACATGGTGATGATGAAGTTCCTCCCCTTGACTGAAGTCTGAGAAATTGTGTTAAAGGGAACCTCAATGGTGTCTTTCTGGTTGCCTATATTCACTAACAAATTATCAAAGATCTTGGGGTTTAATTTACCCAACTTGATTTCATTTGCCAATTTTTCAAATCGGGATAAAATGGATTCAAATTTAGCAGTGGCATCTTTGAAATCAATAGTTGGAGTGACAGCCTCTTCTTCCGCCTCTACTTGGATCTTATCATCCTCAATTTGTATCTTTTGCTGCTTGTGTGCCTTTTTCAATTTTTGATTCTTTTTCGAGGAGCCTTGAATTAATGCACTGCTGTGAAATTGGGAACATGGTCGAAGAGTCGCTATACGAAATAATGAAGATGATGGGGTTCTAACAGGCCTATACGCCGAAGTTTTCAATACGTGTCTGAACATGTCAAATGAGGGTTAATGATGGTAAGTAGAGATGTTCGACTGAAAATTTTGTTGGATCTTCAATTACTTTGCGCGCTTCGCAATTTTGGCTGCAACAAGTCACACGACGCAGGCAATACCTAAGTTACACACGTATGAGGATAAAAGATGTCAAATTTACGCTACACTATATTATACTACATCAGAGAACCCCACAAGTCCTACCCAGCATCACCACATGTTCTATACCTTTTCTAAAATATGCAAGCACTTGTTTGATTCACGACCGACTTCACCACCTTCCTTCACCAAATTCAAAAGACTATTTATCAACCTCTCTTTAAAGAAGTCTTTCATTACATTAACTCTTGTTGACAAATCCTCTGTCGTTAATGTATCCAAATTCTTCAATTCTCCTAAATTCCCATCGTTGGTACTTATTTCATTAACAAACAATTTCAATGGTGCATAAGCTTGAGGGATTGTTGATATTAAGTACTTGCAAGATTGTGGGTGTGTAGTTACTACACTTAGGTTAGAATCTTTACCAGTTGTATTATCTTGTTCAAATAAAGTAGCGTCTAAAAATTTTGCCAATGCTGACAAATGGTCAATACGTGCTTTCTTGGTGTTCGTCCCAAGAAGGACTGAGGAGCCCGATGTAATGGATATACTCTTTGACTTTGAATCATTTTGTAATGGCCAACTCATTAATATAAAAAAGTTTTTCAAGATCTTGACGAAATACAGTTTAATATCAGCGTACTCAATCATCACATCAAGGAATTTAGTACTTGTGTTTCTTATATTGGGTTGTATATGTGTCATTGCTGATATTATGAACAAGATTATCGTACGTTTATGCAAGTCCAATAGTCCTGGCTGCCTCTTCCCGCACTCTTTCAAAAGGTTTAATACTTCTAATCGTACCTGCTTCGATTCGTCTAGCATCAATGGTGTAATACTTGATATGATTTGTTTATAACTAGATGGATTTGATGGCAAGTTTTGGGTCAAGCTAATCACAACTTCCTTCCTGGCTGTTGAAGAGTGATGCTTTGTTAATGATAGCTGGTGCTGCAAATCCTTAGATGATCGGACATTGGTTATCGACTGGCCTGGTAGAGATATTGTCTTTGATTTGAATGATGTATCGGTGTAATTATCTGCTTTCTGTGCCGTCTTCCCAACCTTCAACTTGGCCTTTTTAAAATCCTTTTGCTTTTCCTTTTGTTTTCTTTTAGAGCCCATTGTGGTGACGTTTTTGGTTGTTGGTAGAGTGAGATAATGGTTTTGATAAAGTTTTACGATGAGATCAGAACCATAATTTTCTTTGCGCGTCAAAAGTTTTGAATTAATCGCCAAATTTGACAAGCATCTTGTGATTTGCAAGAACTAGCACGGTTTCTTTTCACGTTGCATCAAGTGACAGCTAGTTGATTGAGAGTACAACAAAGTATAGATACATATTGGAGTCTATTAGCAAACTATCAGTGAACAACCATTTAAAGATTTCAATGTCGTTTAGCAACAATTTACTTGAACATGAGAACCTACTTCTGTCATTGTCACTAGAGGATAATTCTGAAAGGATATGGAGTGCACCAGCATTACCAAGGACTTTTGAAGAGATAGATGACCCTATGGACATAGATGACGATCCAATGGATATCGATGACACTATCAATGCAACATTGGATGAGGATGCTTCTACACAACGGCAAAGTGTCAAGGACGAAGAGGATGATAGCCATGAATACAGGGGAGACGAGGAGCACCACCACCAAAATTTGCTCGCATTATTATCCCCCACCATGATGGGCGCAAGATTGGCAATTACTCATAAACCAAAGCTATTGATGCCACCTTCTCCAAAAGCAGATAAAACCGAAGTACTAGAATCACAAGCTTACGAAGAGGCTCTACCTTATAATGTGCGGAAGCATTCAATCGATTATGAGTTTGATATAAGCTCTTTTCCCACTATTAAAAACTCCAACAGCGTAGCTTTCAAGCGCAACATCTCGACTTTTAACGATATCACCAACACCAATCCATCTGCATCTTTTTCTGGAAACCATGTGAACACCAGTTCCAACGAATTTTCAAACCCAAACCCAATTCAGCATCAAGCTCAGATGATACATCACCATCATTACTACATTAATGGTGGTGGTGAAGACCAGTTGCGACTTGAAAGAATGAGAAGGCTGTATATCGATCAATTAGAGATCAATAAGCTTCGAGAAGAGGAACTTGACAGGCACTTAGCAATGCAAAAGCCCGAGCCAACTGAGCTAACTCAAAGAACAGATTACATCAATTTACCCGCTCCTTGGAGACAAGACATACATCCAATTGAAAAAGTGCCATACATAATATCATCATATTTGCAATTATTCATCAATGTCATAATCTCCTTATACTTTGTGTACCTCGTTTATTACATCATTACATCGATAAAATCAGATGTCAACCACAAGATACAGGCTCAGAAAAGAGCAATTCAAGCGCAAATAGACTCTTGTCGTACTTTGTTTTACGAGAGTAAATGTGACGATCCCGAGTTCAATACCTTGCCAATATTACGCAAGAAATGCGAAGCATTATCACGGGGCATGAATCAAGATCCCAATTCAATTGGAAATTTGTCAATGATTAATGCACAAATTATTGGGCTAATTTTGAATTCATTAGTCGAACCATTAGGGTTCAAATTTTTTGTGTTTTTGTTGTGGTGTGGGATTGTTGTGTTTGGGTGCAATTTTGTATTTGGGTTTGTTAGAGCCAGGACTTATTATGGAGGTCAAATGGATGGCGAAAGATTAAATAGAAAGAATGAATAGATTATTGTTTTGAGTGTAGAGTAAAATAAGCTAGTCAGTAGAGAGGGAGTTTGTAAATCATTTGAGAAAGGACGAATAGTGTTGTTGCGCCTATGGTAAATCTATTTCAAGGCAGCAATTCTGTGTTAATAATTCGTATGCCGAGGTAAAGTCGTTTTTTGTTTAGATTTATCTGATGCGAGATTGTTTTGAACATTTTAAACCCTTTTGTATTGTGTAATAGTTTGTTAACCGTGTAGAGGTGTTGAGGGCACGCAAAAAGAAAAATAGTGAAGAAGAGTTGGCAGCACACTGTAGGCGTATCTATTCCTACACTGTATCAGCTAATGGACAGCTCAACTTGACAAGCCTTTTGAATTCAAACCACAAAGACAACAGTCTAGAAAAATAAGGACATATCCTATAAAGTCTGGATGCAGCTTAATCAGCAATCCTAGCTCTAGCAGTGGCATGGCTCAAGCACGAGTGATCTATTACTAAGGCAAAGCTAATGCTAACCATGCGTGAAGTTCTTTTTCGGGTTTAACGAACTTTGGTACTCAATTTTGTGTAATTTTGTCTTATTTGTCTAGCTTTAGTTTGGATAACCGTTCAATATAGTCCGGAGTTATGCATCAGATACGAAGCGATCAACGGAAATCTAAAAATTGCTCCGGACATCACAACTGAGTTTTTACGAGACATGAACCTAACTTCTCTATATGATGGTCTGAGATAAACTCTACCTGGAGTTCCTATGTGTTATGCTTATCTTCAACTGTGGCGCACTCAATCCGATCCTTTAACTGCCAATACGTGTAAGTCTAAACTCTTTTACAATAACACCCTTTTGTATCTCAAGACTCTAAACTCCAACACACTATTGTCTTGAACTTATTTTTCTTGATATTGAGTGACCTGAAGACCATTGATTAGTTGATCCCCCTCCCCCCTCCCCCCCTTTTTTTACATACTCGATTTTAATCTCTTACGTGTCCAATCACTCAACATGTTCCGGAGTTAAAACCTTTTTCAAAGTTATATTTTGTGTAATATTAAGACAAAACTAAGAAAAGAAAAAGAAAAACATCCCACGGCTAACAAAGAAACCAATAACTTTTTGTGTGCTAAAATTAGTTTGAAGTAATAGATTAAGAGTGTATAGTTGGGATGACTGTGCACGATGTTAACGATGCTATATATATATATGAATAAACAAATCGATCTTTGCTCAAATTTAAATTTCAACAAAAAGTTGTTTTCCTTTCCCTATTTCTTAGTACTTTGAGTATCCAACAATGGGAGTATTTGGTACATCTAAAAAGGAAGAGGACGAACTTAGGGAGGCAGCTTTGTCTTCCCAGCAGCAAAGAGTCTCGTCGGAAAATTTTGATAGAAGAGCTAGTGCCACGTCGAATAACTTATCACATTATGAAACAGCATCGGAATATTCAGTGTCTGCAAAGGATAACACTGCTGAAGATCATGAAAACCAATACCCATCGCCAAAGGGTATCCAAACCCAAAATTTTGCCCAGTCAGAGAAAACTAATGAACCCACTGAGCAATTGAATGGGTTGGCTGGAAGTGCTGACAGCAACGCAAAAACCATAGATGTTAATAGGACGCCCCACAATCCTGATGTACCACTGAATAATCTGTACTTGTCAAGCGAAACTGCTTCAGCAAACGATTTCCAACCTGTCGGTATAGAACAAGAAAAGGAGCCCCGTGAAGATGAAAATGCTTTAAACAGACAGTACACATTGGAACGAATAAAATCGGGTAAGTCAATTGAGGAAGCCGCCTCAGAGCAATTGAGACACGAAGCCAGTGACCGTGTTTACGGTGTGAATGAACTAGACTGGGATGGTCCAGATGATAAGGATAATCCACAGAAGTGGCCAAAGATCAAGAAATGGTGGGTTACTTGGACAGCTGCGGTAATGTGTCTAGTTTGCTCGTTGGGATCGTCTATGTACACAGCTAGTATACCTGAATTGATGGCCCAGTTTGGTGCTTCGCAGGAATTGTGCCTTTCTGGTTTAACGTTTTATTTGATCGGTTTAGCAATTGGTCCTTCGATTGCTGCTCCTTTGTCGGAAACATACGGAAGAAAACCTCTTTACGTAATTTCTTGGCCCATTGCAATGTTGTTCACCATGGGTGTTGGTTTGTCGCCCAATATTAGAACCTTATTGGTTCTCCGATTCTTTTGCGGATTTTTTTCAAGTCCAGCTTTATCTATTGCCGGTGGGACTATTAGTGATATTTGGTCAGATGAACCATCTGAGCAATCATTTGCTGTTGCCATTTTCTGTTTGTGCCCATTCTTGGGCCCTGTTATGGGTCCAATTATTGGTGGGTTTTCGGCCGAATACAAGAACTGGAAATGGTCTGCTGCTTGGGTGTTGTTGATGTTTTTTGGCGCAGCTTGGCCGTCTGCTATTTTGTGCCCCGAAACATTTAAAAAGACCATATTGGTTCGTAGAGCTAAGAAGAGAGGAATCAAAGTTGAGACACCAACGGTGAATTGGATGTACATCAAGAAGATGATCAAATTCAGCTTGGGAATGCCTATCTTGTTGTTGGTTAGAGAGCCAATTGTCTTTTTCATGTCCTTGTATATCGCGTTTGTTTTTGCAGTTTTGTTTGCATTTTTTGAAGCCTTCCCGGTTATTTTCAGGGGTAAGTATCACATGGAATTGGGTATTTCAGGCTTGCCATTTATTTCCGTTGGGATTGGTCTTGTATTAGGGGTAGTGTTTTATGTTATATTGGATAAGACAATCTACTTCCCTAAGAACCCCGATGGAACCAGAGGAAAGAGGGATGAAAATGGTAATATAATTTGGGACGCACCTGAGAAGCGGTTATTGGTGGCAAAGATTGGTGCATTTTGTCTTCCTGCCTCTCTCTTTTGGTTGGGTTGGACTGGTAGAACTGGAGATATCCATTGGCTCGCTCCAACAGCCAGTGCCATTCCTTTCGGTTTCGGATTGATTTTGGTTTTCTTTGCTGTGGTTTTGTATTTTTCCATGTCTTTCCCACCAATCATTGTTGCATCTTGTATTGCCGCTAATAACTTGTTGCGTTATATTTTGGCATCGGTTTTTCCCCTTTTCACTGTGCAATGTTTCGAGAATTTGGGAATTGGTTGGGCAGCTTCCTTGTTTGGTTTTATTGCGTTGATTATGGTGCCAGTGCCATTTGTTTTCTCATATTTTGGACCTAGATTTAGAGCAAGAAGTAAGTTTGGATATGCAGCATATTTCAAGAAATTGGCTGAAGAGAAGGCTGCTAGAGAAAAGGCTCATAAGGAAGCCGGTGTGGCCAACGAACCGGCTCCTAACACCGAAAAGAATGTAGCCGATCAAGTGTAAACATATTTAGAGTTGTACATTTCGTTTAATTTAATATAGACTAATTTTAATTTGATCTTCCTGAGTGTAAATAATGTACTCGTATAATTTACCCTCTAAACGACTACTGTTCTTGTCCTGGCAATACAGTAGAGAGCTCTGGCTCAATTGTAAGCAAGCACGAAAATTTTCAGAATAATTTTGTTTTTTTTTTTCTTTAACGCAAAAAAAAGGTACTCTCTACACCTTTGCAAACAATCAAACGACTCCAATCCATCAATCGAAACTTATCTTCTACAGGTAATACCCATCTACTTTATTGAAATACTCAACGAGTACTTATAGATTTTGTTTCAGATCTAGATAAATATCGATATTTTTAACGCTAGATTGATTTGCAACTGATATATAGAACCATCATCAACGCAAACAATACAAGGGATGCAAAATCAAAACACCAATGGTCAAATGAACCAAAATATGGACAATGGAATGCCGAACATTCCATTAAATGGGACACAACCACAACGCGGGCAACACCCTCAGCAACAAAATCAATCTCAAAATTTGCAAAACATTCCACCCCAACAATTGGCACAACTCGTACAAGCTATGAAAAATGACTTTGAAATAGCCAAGAATGCCACTGATGAGCAAGTCAAGCAACATCACTTGAATCGGGCTGAGAATATAAGAAGATTATTGGCGAGGTATCAAGCGCAAAGAAATAGATTGCAGCAGCAGCAGCAGCCGCAACAACAACAACAACAACAACAACAACAACAACAACAACAACAACAACAACAACAACAACAACAACAACAACAACAACAACAACGACAAATGAACTCACAACTGCCGCAGATAGGTAATCAACAACCGAGGATGCAACCACAACCCCCAATTCGTGGTCAAACAAACTCATTATCGCAGCAGAGTTTAAACAACAACAATTCGTTCAACCAATATCAAAATATTGCCCAGAATCTGCCAGCAATGAACAATTCCCCAATAGTCACCAACCAATCACCAGTATTGAGTGTGGACAATATTCCTGCCGCTACATCGACTATTCCCAAGGGTCGTCAGTCTCAAGTCTCGCAAGGTAGCAAAGACAAACACGAAGTGGAGGAACAGAGTAAACAGAAACTACTACACCAACAACAGCAGCAACAGCAGATGGGTCCCAATCAAGGGCAACAGGCTGTGAATGCTCCAAGTCTGCAGCAGTACAGGAACATGTTGAGAAGCATGAGCTCTAGCTCATCTAGTGGGGCAGGAAGTGGTACTGCCGGCTCTATAAATCTCCCATCAAACACGATATCAATGGAAAAATTCAATCAAATAAGACAGAAGTTGACAGAGATACAACGAAAGATCCAGCTTTTGGAACAAAGTAAGAAAGCTGGTAATGCAACACAAGAACAGGTTTCGATCATCGATAGAGAATTGGTAGAATACAGAACCAAATTTCAGCAGTTTCAAAAGATTGGAATTTATATGAGAAACCAATTGGTGCAACAGGCCAAACAACAACAGCAAATACAACAAGGTCAGACCCAGCAAAGTCAAAATCAGCAACAACAGCAACAACAGCAACAACAACAACAGCAACAACAGCAACACCTTCCGCAACTGACATCGCCACAATTGGCTCAAGCTTCTCGGCCTAATCAATTTCCTCAACAATCGCATGTGAACAACCATCAATTTTCTCCACAAATGTCACCACAGATGTCACCACAACTCAAGAATAATTTCCAAGGCTCACCACAACCGTCTCAACAACAGCTGCTGCATATTCAAAGACAGCTGCTGCAACAGCTACAACAGCAACAACAACAGCTTTTGGCACAGCATCAGCGAAACATAGCTACTGCCCAGCAAGCTGTTCCTTCCCAATTGTCAGCAACCAATATGAATGGTGCTGGTTTGAAGCAACCTATTGCACGCCAACCCAGACAGCCCTCTCAAACCGCAACGCCCTCTTATCCTAGTGCACATCCAACCCCATCACAACAAATACAACAGCAAGCACCCATTCACAATCAAAAAGTACCTAGTCGACAAGCTTCAGCTACACCCCAAACCCAAGCACCACTGGTACAACATCCAAGCAGACAAGGCTCCACCTCATCAGAGAAGAAGCCAGTAGGTACCGGAACTCTATCTACAGCAGGAGGAACTCCCAATGGAACTGCTGCTAAGTCGGGATCGCCTGGTGCTGAAGGTCGTTCAACTCCTCTGAGACCTAAATCAGCTATGGCACTAAACCTAGCTGGGATTACCAAGCCCAGTGTTCCTTCGATTCCAATACCGAGCTCTGTTGATATCAAACCACCGACTGTGGTCACTTTTAACCCAGCGACGGACACTAGACCAACTTTGACTGGGGGTGGTGCTAATTCGTTGAGCATGTTGTGGGATACGCCTGCGATAACCAAATTGCCAACGTTTGATTTAGAAGGAGGTGAATCTACAACCGAATCAGGCAGGGTTTTAAACAAAAGAAAGTTGCAAGACATAATCAGTACCGTTGGAGTCGACGAAGGCGATGGCAAGACTACGATAGATGGTAACGTGGAGGATTTGTTGTTGGATTTGGCCGATGAATTTATTTACTCAGTGACTAGCTTTGCCTGTCGATTGGCGAAGCATAGGAAAGTTGACTCTATTGATGCTAAAGATGTGCAGCTACACTTGGACCAGAATTGGAATATCAAAATCCCTGGGTATGCCATGGACGAGATTAGAAGTACAAGAAAGTTACAACCTAGTACAGCGTATAATCAAAAAGTGCAAGGAATTGAAATATCAAAAGCGGTTAATGATGAAATCTGAATTTGGAGAAGATATCTGCTACGGAGTCTCGTCTTTGTTCGCGGTGGTTGGTATGTCTATAATGTTTGGGTGTTCTCCTTTTCTTTTTCTTTTGTATAAACAGCTTCTACTTAGAAATGCACAGATTTACTTGTCAGCTTCGTGAACCTCTTTGTTAATCTTTCTGATTCGTTTGGCCCAAGCTTTATGATCCTGGTCATAAATGCCCTCTTCTACACCTCTTAAAAAGCCCTGTTTGTCCTCCAATAACTGCCACGGCGTCTTTCTTTCAGACTCATTCTTGATCAAGCAAGAATCGATAAAGTCGCATAGCTCTGTATCGTACCGTGATTTAGTTACTGGGTTGGTCTTGTGCTTCAAACTTGGAGGTTTCTCATTGACTATTCGTTGCAAAAGGTCCAATATACCTTCGGGTCCTCTGAACGATGAGTTGTTGCTGACATCGCTTTTTAGACTATTGTATGCACTGTTACCATTCTCGTCCTCATAATCATCGGTCCATACAGGAAGACCACTGGCCAATTCAATCATCATTAACCCCATGGACCATACGTCGGACTTGACGCCATAATTTAGTCCTTGTATTCTTTCTGGAGACATGTACATTGAAGTACCAACAAAAGTGTCTGCCATTGCCAAGGAATTGGTAAGTTCTCTCGAAACGCCAAAATCACACAACTTGAATTCACCGCGATGCGTCATCAACACATTGTTTGGTTTGATATCACGATGAATAATCCTATGTTTGGAGTACAAGTATGACAACCCCGATAAAATGGCAAATGATAGCTTCTTCAACACATAAAGGGGAAACTGTCGATTTTCACACAATGGCAAGATCTTATCCAATGAACCACAATTGCAATACTCCATGCAAATTACGATTGTATTGTTATTATTTAAGAATGCGCCATAAAATTCGATAATGTAAGGGGATTGGCATTCGTGTAGTATTCGCAATTCTCGAATGATTTGGGTTTGGATGATGCTTTTCAGATCAACATGAATAATTTTCTTCGCCATAGTCTTCTGTGACGGGAGATGTAGCACTTTTGAGACTGAGCCTGAGTTCCCCAGACCCAATTGTTTCAAGGTTAGCAAATCCTTGTTGCGTAGTTTAAACTTGCTTGTTGTAGCAATGGGTGAGCGTGTTTCATGAAAAGTATCAACTAGCTGAACCTTTGACTCAACTTGTTGGCCCGACATCTTTGTTGGGGAAATGGACGATATAACAGTCTGTCGTTTACGCCCAGCAACATCATTAGGTGTGGATTTGCTGCGCTGCAGATCGGGTCTAGTGTCTAATTCAAGTTGCGACATCAGGTTGATAAGCATTTCGGTAGAAGCATGGTTTTCAGGATCAATGTTCCTGTTGCTGGCATTGATATCCAAATGGATATTTCCAGCACTATTAGGTCGACTAAGGGTTTGACTTGTAATAACATTCAGCGTAGTTTGCCTCGAATCGGCGAATATTGCCAGTGCAGTTGCTTGTTGGGCCATTACAGGGCGCATCTGTGATAGTTCTGGTTGCGACGATGCTGTACCATTCGGTAGGTTGAGTATGGGTGCTGGTCGTTGTCTTCTTTTCATCGAAGTAGGTTCTCGTATCAAATGCAGCTCATCATGTTTAATCTCATTCTGTGGTACGGGAGACGATAAGGACAAGTGCTTGAAGTTCTTTCTGTTTAACGTCTTCTTTTCCAAAATTCCCGCGTCGTCAGTAAATGTGGCATATGCGACTTTATCTGTAGGGGTCTCGGGTGATGAGGCAGACGTTGTGCGAAGAGAAGTGTAGTCTTTATTGTCTTTTGAGGGTAGCGTTGGAACCGACCTATCTTGAGACCAAGAGGAATCACCGGAACCACTTCTGGGATTGGTTGCCATAAGATATTCTTCCTAGAGATGTGATGTATTGGATGATATATTGAGTTATAGTCACAGTAAAAACGTTGTTTACCCTCGTAAAAATAAGCTGGCCAATTGGACTGAAACTTGGTTTGTAGATGTTGCTAAATATAGGATCAACTTATTTTATTTAATTTTTTTTTTTTCTTTCTTCGTCGCCTTGAATTTTGCATGCATTTGGTAGCATATTAGTACAATGATATAGGGGAACAGTTAGAGCAGAGGATGGCACTTGCTTCTGTCTTCAATTGGGGACATCTTATTGGACTAATTAACCCTTTACAATATTTAGTTTCAATGTAAACAAGAAAAGGTGTCTTATTGTCGTCCAACTCCCGGAAATCTTATTTAAAACAGGCCATGCATATTTTTAGATCGATGCGCAATGCTGCATCATATAGAAGCAGGGGTAAATTTTGAGCATAGCCATATATTTTGCAACGTAGTATAAGAATTGAAGCCTTTCGCTTGTCATCACCTCTTTTGTTGACATGAGACCAAAGCCACATTAATTTTCACTATCACATTATAGCTTGTTGTAAAATTTGTATTGAATTTGTTGCAAAGTTCTGGGACGCATTGACTTTTTTTATGTCACACTAACTTAACTTCACAATTCTTCTGCTCGAATGAGTAAATCTTGTAATCGCAAGGAAGCTTTTGGTCAGATGAGTATCTTCGTTGGATAAAAATGATTATCAATGGAACAACTTTTCCTCTAACCCCCTCCAAAAAATGAGAAGGTTAAAATGTGCCAAGTTGTAAGACTCTAGTCTTATACAAGTCTTTAACTAAGCAAGAAAAATTTGTATCAAAATTTTTCAAAAATCTTAGTCTACTGACCATATAGATTGTTCTAGAGCTTCCGAAATTCCTCACGCAAGTGGTGTATCTCCATCAAAGGGTAAGCGATACAGTGGCGCTAACAAGAAAAGCTGCAGATTTAAATCCGATATAATAGTTTAAAAGACTGAAATACTACATTCGCATTAGCCAAGAGAGTATCGAACAATGTGGCGTGCAAGTACAAACGTTTGAGCTGGATCTCTCTCTTGTTTTGTTTTCATTTTTTGTGACTTGTCAATGGAACCTCATTATCACATGCTAATTAAGCATTTGAAACTGCTGTTTTCTCAAAGAATATTTGACATGCTTGCTATTTGTACCACATGGAAAGATGATGACATTTCGCTTATGTAGAACAACGTCTAGCGCAACTTTGCATCTACTATGGCGCCGCCTTGTTTAAAATAGAAGCCAGAATGGCTGAAATGACGGCCACACGGTGTGTTGTATCAAGCAGGTCAACTCATGGCCGCACTAGCTTTTTCCAGAAGACCCTTCATGTGATTATTACGAGGCAAAAGAAAAAAAAATGGAGTTTAGAAACACAACTAAGTTTAATCCATTAGGAGAACAATAAACTTTTTTGCTCTATCAAACGTTGGCTCACACTCTTCGGTAATAAGAAACAAAAGTTTTTATTTATTGCAGAGAGGATTTAACATTGTATGCCTCGTGGAAGTGGATTCTAGAATTGCAATTGATCTTTGAATCCGATTGTGCTCACTCTTTTATTATTGATTGTTTAATTGTGCATTAAATCCGTAGATATTTTTCATGTCACTTTTTTAATTTTTTGAAATTTTTCTTCGTTTTTATTTTCGTTTTTCTCTTTTTGTTGTAGTTGTTAATTCCGGTTTTCCCCCAATCATCTTCTGACGTTTTGTTTGTTTGCGTTATGTTGAGTGTTTTATTGTTTTCCTACAGTGTGTTCAAGCAACGCTTCCTATATCTATATTTGCAAAGCTTTTAACAATAGAAGAAAAGTCAGGGGTCTTTTTCCAAAGAACCATTTTATTTTCTTTTTTCTTTTTTTAGAATAATATTATTTCACATGCGTTTGGATACAAAATCGAACATTAATCAACTTTATTCGTTCGATCACGCCAACAACTAACCTCTCGTATTTTGTCATGGTTTTAAAAAGTTAAAACACGTAATTGGATCTCAACCGTGATAGGGTTCTGGTTCCCAACCATGGCGTATAACCTGCTCCCTCTACGAACAAGACGGTGAGAGAAGAAGAGCAAAGTTCAAAAAGCAGGGTTTCCACAACTGTACATTATAGCAACAAAAGATCTGCAGGACAAGACAAACGTATGATGCATATTCCTTCTTTTACATAGTTATTTAGACGAGTGTGCTTATGCAAAGTGTAACAAGGTAGAGTGAAGGAAATGAGTTTTACTAAATCAGTTGATTCTTTTAGTTAATGAAAGTGGATATTGTTCTCTTTTTTTTTCTTCATCTTACCTCATCCTGCATTAAGTCCATTAATTTTAAAGTTTTAGTCCATTTTCTTTCAAATCTTATTCCGACAACACAAACCTAAACAAAACAACTACTTTGTATAGAAAACTCTGGGTCCTATTGTTCTCACCCAACTTTAAAGCAGACTGAGTTTGCAAGTTCGAATTGGATCTTGGTGCTAGCCAGCAGTAAGCGAAAGGGAAGACAGGATGCTCAATCAAAGCATACGATAAATGATGAAGAACATTTACAGTAAAAAGGCTAGTCAAATAAAAACTTTCTTTATTAAATGGTCTACTGAGAAGTAAAAAATACACACAAACACTATGGACAGAGCAAGATTAACCTATGGTCCTCGCTCTAGTCTAAGTACGTCTCTCTGAATAATGGGTGTGTTCTCCAGTGGCAAAGAAATCCTGATTTTGCCCCTGCTGGCTCTCACCTTGAGTCTGGCTTTGTACAATACCCTCTTGAGATTGCAGCTGATAAGAAGGAATAGCGCTTTGAAATGAAGTCATATTTGTCGGTTGCAGCTGTTGAGCGAAATATGGTGGTTGTTGGGCTGCTACTGGTTGAGGGGCAGTTGTGTAAAACTGAAGTTGTCCTAAAGATTGACCAGATGGAGCCTGCTGGGTGGATGGATGCGGTAGTTGTATATTTAAGTTAGTGTTGCGGCTACTGTACTGTGGATAAAGTGTGTAATGTTGACCATATGCTTGGACTGAACCCTGTTGCGAAGCATAACCATTATTGTACGATTGTTCACCTGGTCTAATCTGAGTATTGTTGTTTCCGTATTGGAACGAACTTAGGTTTTGGTCTGGTAGTGAATTTGAATGACCTCTGCCGCCATATTGTTTCTTTTTGAGTCTGCATTCGAGGCAAAGTTTGTGCTTGCCATGGTCATCGGGGTCCAAAGCCTTGGTGCAGCGATTGCAATATCCCATTTGCTCCAAATTATACCTTCGCATCTTATCTTTTCCTCGACATCTCAGACACACTCGATATGTATTGGCTTTAGGTGATCTTTTAAGATATTCTTCACCATTTGATTCATCCACCAACTCATCTGAGCCTATATCATCATCCAATGGGTTAGAACAGTGGACACATCTTCCTTGAGAAGCTCGATTAGCTTTTCTTGTCCGCAAGTTCAGACGACAACTAGGACACAAGACAAACTTTTGTTCATTGAAGGGAATCCCATTTCCACAACGGCGACAAACACCCTTTTTGTCTTTGGTTTTCTTTTGCCATCTTCTTGATCTTTGTCTCTGAAGTTCACGACAGTGATGACACAATTTAAAAACTTTTGACTGGCCAACTGGTTTGGAACCTGTATGAGCTTCGTTCTCTTTCGGCACGGTAACTATTTGAACAAATTCTTTTTTGCATCTGGTGCATTGAGACACTACCGACTTTTGATTTTCTTTGAGGGGCCCAGTTGTAAGAGGAGTCGTTGAAGAGGCAACGGATCCTCTTGAATAATATTGTGAATGGTTCAGGTGGTGCGTGGCAGAGTTTGCACTGTAAGAAGATTCTGATCCCATGGCTTGTTCACTTGACTCATTAGCAGCACCAGTCTGTTGTTGCACATGTAAAGATGGCATCGACGACACTAATCCTCTATCATGATTGTAGCTCAAAGGGTTTCCTTGACTATCTTCAGATCTTGGATCCAGTAGGAGTCGGCTTTTTGGCTGTTGAAAGCCTTGGTTTAACTGAGCAAATGAGGGTGTTTGTGCTGCCACATTATACGGACTTTGAACAGAAAGTTGTTGATTATATGTGGTGGGCACATAGTTTGGTGTTTGCAATGGTAGTAAATGGGGCTGTCCAGGAGGTGCCTGGATGGAATACAGTCCCAGTTGTGTTGTTGGCTGACGGCGTGGTTGCAAATATTGTTGTGAATAATAAGGAAAAGTTTGTGACGTTTGTTGTTGAACGTATTGTTGCGGTGGTAAGGCGTTTAATTGAAATTGTGTTTGATATCTACCATCTGCGTAGTGAACAGTCTGCAGAGGCTGATGTTGTAGTCCTTGGTTGTCACTATACAGTGACCTTTTCTCTTCCTGTTGACTTTGTGGCTGCTGCTGACTCTGGCAGTGGTTACTTTCATCTGAACCCAGTCTACTATGTTCTTGATTTGTATTCTCTCCGGAATGCACTTGGGATTCCGTATACGGTGGATCCATAGCAAAAAGTTTCAATTGCGGAGCAAAATTTTGTGTTGTAGTCGTCAATGTGAATGATTGTTGTGGGAAAACGTATGGGAATATGTATATCTATATCTATATATATATATAGATTAAAAGTATATGTGGTGTGTACTGTAAACAGCGTAGTAAGACTAACTTTTTACCACACTCAAGCTGGATCCCTCTTCAAGGCTTTATGATGTGGTGGTTGCAAGACAATTATTACAATTGGTGAATGAAAAATACTTTTGGTTCTTCTTTTGTGTATAGATACTTTTCACTTGTAATTAACGAGTGTGGTTGTACTGCGTTGATGGAAAAGATAAAAACAAAAGAAAACAGTGGTTGTAAAATAGTGAATTGGCTTTGAATTGACTCAATATTCAAAATAAGAGAGATTCATATTGAAGGTTTGGGAATAAATGTTGATATTTTATATTAAAAGCTTATGTATATTAATTTTAGATCTCAATAATAAAAAAAATAAAAAAAATAAAAAAAATAAAAAAAATAAAAAATACTTCTGTTGTGTTTAACTTTATTTTTACTTTTCTTTTTTATTTATTTCTCTATTCCCTTTCTTGTGAATGCGTTTATGAAAAAATAAAAAAAGGCATATGCAGAGCAGCCTATTTTTCATTTTTGCTCTTTTTTTGTAAGTCCGACGAAAACAGAATGCCTTGTAAATGATTGTTCTTTATTCTACTCCTTTTGTCATAGGAGTTAAAAAAAGCTTTTCTTTTATCTTTGCATTCACTTTGTGGCGCTATGACTTAAAGTCAACAGCACGAATTCAAACTGACGAGCAACTGCTATGGTCTTGCTAAGCATCAAAAGGAGAAAGAGGTAGCGAAAACTAAGTTAAAGCTAGAAATTAGTTTCCCACAAATTACTCTTTACAACTGGCGCTTTGATGGTGTGGTAATATTACCCAAAACCACGTTAAATGAAAATGCCGTTTACGGTTATATAACTAAGAAAAAGCACTCAGCCTACGGTTCTAAATTTTAAAATTTATAGCTATACTTTTGGTCTCTTTTACTTCGTATATTTCAATCACAGGCACACACAACAGATGTGAAACGAAGGGTTGTCCAAACCTTAACCGTTTAATATGCATTTCCGAGCCTTTATAACAGCATTGGTTAGTCTCCTGACTTTCCCTTCTCCTCTCCATTCGAAAGTTGAATATACGAACAACTTGCGTGGGCCAATAAAAGTTGCCAAGGTTTGTTGGCTGTTTCAATCAGATAAACAATAATGTCTGCTAGTTTATTCTACCCAAAGGATAAAAATAATAATATTGATACTCTGCGTCCAAAAGCTATCTAAAAGGATCAGGGATCAAGACTATTGCTTGTGCATTGATAACGAACCTAATTATGTTTGGCAGTTGCATTCTTATTATATTTTTTTGTGCGTCTGTCAAAGTGTGCAGGTGGGGTTCGCCTAATCGCATGATTGAAGAGGATGCAGTGCCACTAAAAGCAAAAAAAGCTAAGCAGGTAGTGTCCATCTGTCCGGTGCTTCTTTCATATTTAGATAATGAAGCGATCAATCTAGCGTGTAATTTAAAAGGGAGTGTGCTGTACTACAGTCCTTTAGAAGGAGCTTTGTGGCGGGTAAAAATGCATTTCGTCTAAAGCTGCTCAATCTACTACGCAACCTTCGCTCGAACTCCACCCTTGTGAATTCAATGCAACAAGAAGATACTGTTAGGGTGATTATACTTTGTGTAATATTGAAACACATGTACAATTGCTAAATTGACTGTTAAGAACACACTCACTTTTGTAACTAAAGAATATATTCATGCTTCGCGTGTTAAATGGTTTCAGGCGTCTAAAAATATCATGGCCGTCACCTTTAATTCCGATCACTAAATTGAACTGTAGCACACAATAGTGCACTTTTTACAAAAATGGGAATTCGTAGTAGCTGTCCAAACTTATTCTGTACACACACCCCACCACAAAAGTTTAATAAAGTGTCATACCAATCAGGAAATTAATAGCCGTTAGTACCGGTAAAAGACTGCAATACACAGACACTGCTACACAGAAAAGGCATTAGTTCGTAGTCTATTTTATAATGGTTTAGCCTCTATCACGTGCGATGAAGTGGCAACCCCTGTCAGTCTCAGTTTTGCTCACGTCAGTTGTTACGACCCCAGCCAACAGGTGTCGTTGGTTAAAATGCCGATGGTTAAATGTAACGGTCTTCAAAATGATTTTTCAGAGCCGTAGAAATCGTGCTGAAAGGGCACTAAAGTGTATATCGTACGCAATGTTTTGACAATAGGGGGAGAAAATAATAGGATTTATAAATAATGGTCGTGCATAATTGACAATTATGGTTATGAAATTATCAAAACCTTAACTAACTAAGAAGCACTCCGGTGAATACACTCACATCAGCTGACGAGAGAATCTATTACTAAAGTGTTTGTAATTGGATAGCCATGGCGAGAGAAAAGGGAGCTCGTGATATGATTCTGCATCTTGCACGTTCCTTACTCCGTTCGTATATAGAGCTCTCGAAATTTAATCCCTTTGAGTGTAAGATGACAGTAACCAGCCAACGAGAATACTCACAGACATTAGCAAGCACAATAATAAACACTTCATGAAACCGCACCATAAGTTAGTCACAAGATTGAAGCCGTGCACGGAAAAATCACGGTCGCGCCGGATAAATTCTCATCAGTCTTTAGTATGCCACAAAGAAAGTAAAGCAGAATTTTATATTGTGTTGCCGATAACGCACAGTAATAGAATAGGTGGCCCCTATTATTTTAACTTTTAGTCTTCCTGTTTGTGCGAAGCCAACCATGTAGTGAACATCCTCATAGAACAAATACCAGGTTTAAACTTTTACTGGTAGTATGCTAAACGGTTGATGGCTTCACATCGCAGCTACAGATGAGGTGTGACATGGCCTATTAAAAATCAAGCCAGAGAGGTTTCTGTGTCAGCAATGAATTTGGCACGTATGCATCTCAGGCGTTATGATAGTCACTGTCCCAACGCAAACAACTCTTGTTCCAGAATTGAGCACCTACGCTGGGCATGAATATTGAAAGAGGCATCAAAATTTTAGCTAGATTGAACAATAAAGCGTCTGCCAAACTGTGGTGTTCCCCTTTTCCAATGTAACAGGTGAATATCGCTGTCGAACGTTAAATTTTATTGTATACTATTGTCTACAATGGTCTCCTCTTGTATGGCTTTTTTTTGTTTCACAAACGGAATTAAGTTGACGGGGAAATATTGCTTTTTCTCTAGTTTTTGTAACCGACATTGTGCACTTTGCAATTTTAGTCGAAAGAGCTTGCTTTTAGTTACTGCAAAATCTAAAACGGTAAATATAAAACAAACCAAAAAGACAAGCTCATAACCATCCAATGAGTTGTTGACTGTGCACATGTTATTTAAAATGTTGGTTATGTGGGACAAGTATTGAAGGTTAATTGAAAATCCTATTGTCCTTCTCAAGACGGTTATGTTCTTTTCCTTTTTAAAACCTCTTATTGTTAAAAGTGGCCTGATTTTTTTGACTATTTTATAACAGATATGGAAAAGACTAACCATCTCATAACCAAAAGGTGAAAATCTTTTTTTTGTTTTTCAGTTTTACTTTTACCTTTACAATTTTGTTACATTATTACACTTTACCCCTCTTAATCCCCTCCGAGCCTCCGGTAACCCCCCCATTTCTACCTCCACCTTCAAGATTATCTGTAACAACCATTCACCATTTCCCAAAGGTTTACAAAAGTGGAGTTTGTTGGGCACTAGCAACGTTGTTGTGCTGTATTCAACGCGCAATTTCAAAACTCATGCCTCATCATTGTTGTCTTTTCTCCACTTTCACGTCTAATAAGTTGTCACTGTATTTGTGTATACAAATTAAAGCATAAGCCCCGCTGGATAAGGTCTACGTTTTTAGTTTATGCGAATAGGAGTTTAGGTAATTCAGTTACAAAGCGGTCCTGTTTCTTGAAGGCTTTCTGTGTGTGAATCATCGTCATAAAAACAGTACATTACACAGTCAAATACGTATTATTTTCCGGAACATCTCTTTTCTTTGAGTTTGCTTTTCTTTGGATAACAGAAATTACCCCTCCCCCTCACTGGCCCTTTATCTATACCCAATAGAAAATCGAGGAGGGGTGGGGTGTCTACACATGACCTGTGATTCCTGAAGTTGAACGAGTTTACACACGCCCAGAACTATAGCTAGTACACACAGTCTAATTCACTGTAAGCACGCTTCATTTTCAGTACTGACTTCATTTCTGGAAGCCACTTGAGGTGCAAAACGTGCCTCAAGGTTCCTCCAGCACATAAGTTAAGGACAAGCGGCGTCTCCATTTTTTCGCATGTTCTTGATTTTGTGTACGTTAAAAGCCTTCTGCAAACTTTGTTGCCAAGTAAAATTAAAAAGAAAAAGAAATTTTTTGTTCGTCGCATAGTGTTGGCTAAAGTTTTTAATTACCGACTTTGGGATATTAGTGAAGCATAAAGCTTCAGCTTTTGTTAATCTTTGCTTTAACGATAACCCTAGCTCAAAAAAGAAACTTCTCTCTTCTCTCACTTTAGCTAAAACTTTCGAACATTTAACAGTATACTCAATTGTGCAATTTAATAAACTCTACCCTTTCGTATTTTTCGCATTTATTGAAGAAAACAAAAACATCGAACTTTCTTCTATTTTTCCTTGACTTCAATAACGGGTGCTATTGTTCTTTTTTTGCTAACTGACAAGTTTTGCGTTAAACTAAACACTTACATATTCGTGTAAGAGAAATTAGTAATTGTATTATTAATCCAATTCAAATTATAATTGTGCTCTCTTGTGTCCCAAGCATATCCCCATTACCCAACAAATTTCGAGTAATGCCTACACAATTGGCCATAACAATGACAACTAATTTGTGACCGTCTTTTTGGAGTCCATTTTTAAGCAATTGGTTATTTGGAACAATGTCGAAATCATAACCTCACTTTTCATCAACAAGGGTTATATACAAATCCTTTACTAGCGACTTTGCTACCACATTAGACCCAATTCTGTCCCATCTGAACATTCGTATAAAGTAGTATCCGTATTAAGAAAAGCATTGGACAAATTTTTCAACGCCACAAAGCCGATTGTTCAAATCTCAGTTGTTGGTGCACTCATTTACGGGCAAGTTTCAATACTTTTTTAGTTTGGCTTTTTGCACCATTTATGCTGAGCGCCTATTTTGTAGAAAATATTTTGTAAATTTTCTTCCAAGCACTGTGTCTTCCGACCATTGTTTCGGCAGCATGCAAACGACAAGGGCGATACCCACCCCTTGCAGCTAAACAATCCTTGTCTTAATAATCTGTTTCGGTAATCGGTTACACCAGTATTTAACCATAGTTTTGGTTAGAGTGATGGGTTATAGAAAAGATGATGAAAAAACAACAGAGGTAAACACAGGGATCCAAATGGTTTATCGTTTACATTTCAACTCATTGTCCACCTCACTCTCTACCCCACTGTTGTCAATTGTAGGGGTGAGCAATGTTAAATCCAACGGAGCATCTGCGTCGCAAAAATAGCCCACTTTGCATCTACACAAGTTTGGGAATATATATATATTTTTTTTTCCAAATTTAAGCCTCTGTGTCAATATTTGAAAGCTAACACACCAGTTTTGCGAGACAAAACTGGCACCTAGAAAAAGAATTCTGCTTCCGAAGTGAAATTACACACTCAAGAGAGATACAAAGCAACAAACACAATTTGATTAAGCTCTATGGATTACCTTGCGGGGAATAGTGAGAAAAGTAGATGTTCCAAGAATATTGCCGAGTTTTTGTTTCCGTTAAAGCTCCTAACCATATTTTCCGGTGCCCCTCTCTTCCATTGTGTAACCCCACTCGGGCCGTGAGAATAAGAGAAATGCTTAGAAATGCTAAGAAATGCGTGCTACGAAACAATAGGGCCCAATCAGCCCCCAAAACTTTGTTACAAAATTCAGTTTTGATTGAGTCTGTTGTTAGTGATTAGATTCGGAAACTCACAAAGTCGAATTGTTCTTCTATCATTTTAAATCAGATTTCCTTCTGCGTGGGTTCGTCGTATTTTTTGGTAGAAATTTTGCAAAGTGCAGAATCGGGTTACTACAAAATAGTGATACCTTGAGTGACAGCTGTTGACTCAAAAATATTCTACAAAGTAGACAAAAGTAATATCTTTAGACATCCAAAACTAGTTATGAAGTTTGTATTTACCAATGGCTAGCAAAACAAGAAGTCATAGCCTCTTGTTTACTATTACATATACAATGCCGGCAGATTGATCAGTGAAATTTAACCCATCACAGAGAGCACATGCTTAAGAATATTACCCAACCCGACCCTGCACAGTACAAACAATGATCAAATCAATCCAACATGCAATTGGTTGCCCCAAATTGACATACTGTACTTGCACCGCCTCTGGAAGACAGGCTACTGAAAGCCTCAAGGTGCAATCGTTTCCATGCAATGTCTTCAAAACTGATCACTAGACACTGGCCACTTCCTCGTATGCCATTTTTAAAATTTCTTCTGATATACAGCTTGAACAACTTCACCAGCACGATAAGCTCCCAATGCCAAAAGTATTACACCCGCACTTCTAACTGAGCGTTGCCACCAAAGGGGATTCTTCACGAGATCTATTTTGCCTGTAGTTTGATCTTTAAATTGGTTTGGTGAACTAAGCACAGTACCGAGACCTAGGCCCACTGCAGATTGGATTGCAGTGCATGGTAAACAATATTTATATTCTTTCTCTGGCAAGTCTCTTGGTGGGGGTGGATTAAACACGGATAGGATGTTTGACATGGTTGTGAGAGGAGGACAGTTGTGAATGCAGTTAGTTTGTCTCTCTTTGGTTTCTAGGGCAAAAAAAAGCTTTAAGCAAAGTCATGCGAGAAAAACATCGTGATTGCACGACTAATAGCAAATGGAAATTTAGCAAACAAGGGCAATACTCTACTTCAAAAAGACATCTCAGTCATGATTAAACGAATAAACCTATCACGCTATGCCAATCAGATAAGACGCAATGCCAATCGTGCCAAGTCAAATCCTACACCACCAGTGCGATACTATTCCCAGTACAATTACAACCAAACCTATGCTGACTACAATCCGTCGCCACGAACATCATGGTTCAGAAGATTCATTTACGCGACCCTTGGATTAACTGCTCTTACAGGCTATGCCTATTACATGTGGTGGCCAAAACATACTTTCCCTAGTTCAGTGGCAAAGATTTTGCGTAAAGGTCTTTGGGCTGAAAGTGACCGTGGAGAGCATGATTATCAACTTGCATTGAAATATTACCTTGAGGCCTTGGAACATTGTAAGGAAATTGGAATGGACCCTTTAAGTGATGAATATACCGGTGTGCAATTGAAGATCGGTGAAATGTTTGAACGATTGGGGATGATGAGTGATGCAGCATTTGTATATAACGAGATTGGCACGTTATATCTAAGTGTCTTAACAGCACAACCTGTTGATTCAAAGAACACGGTTAGAGCTATAAGTAGGGACTTGAGACGACATTTAATTCAAAAGGATTTGAGAATTGCCATCAAGTTGGTTGAGTTGAACAAGAATAATCCCGCTTTATGTAAAGCCATCTTGATTACTCATTTAATAATTGCCCAGGATGAAGTTAATAAGTTGGGTGGCTCAACGGGCAAGTTGAACTTGGTTACCAAGATCAATGCCAATGGGAATGAAAAACAAGAGCCAAATAAATTTACTGCTACTTTGGATAATGATACCATTTTAATCAATGATGAATCCGGTAAAGAAATTGCCAATATTAAAAAGACACCCGAGGTTTGGGAACCATTTACCGATGAGTTCTTTAATGCTATGGATTTGCTTAGTGCTATATGTATTTCGACCGGAGACTTGGCCATGGCTTCAAAGGTGAAAATCTCCATGACTGAATCCATGCTTTTGGCCGATGTTGAACCAGGAAAGATGCTCTTGTCGCAATGCAATTTAGGATCATTATTGTACATGCAAGCAGAAGAATTAGAAGCACAGGAAATAGCCTTGAAGCGGAAGTTTTCTGAGGCTGCCGGGGTTGATTATTCCAAGTTGAAGAATGATGAAATGATAAAACAAGATCAATCTACACAAGAGATTTTGAAGGAAAAAATACCTACTCATGATCAAGAATTGTTCACCAAGATATCTCAATCTCGACAAATTTGTATTAAATTGGCTATCAAATCGTATGAGTCTGTCTTGCAATTTGCTAAATCCATACCATCCGAAGTCACAAAGCAGCACAATGAAATCAATGAAACAGTAGCGTTGGCTACGTACGGATTAGGTGTCGTTAATTTACACTTGTCAAATTACGATAAAGCAGAACGTTTGTTGCGTGAATCTCGTGTCAGATCAAGATCGTGTGATTATGAATATCTTATACCTGAAATTGAACGTGAATTGAAAAAGTTGTTTGAAGAACGCAAATTGATTCAGCTAGGTAAACCAGTTGACAAGGATCTGCTGAAGAATATTGAAATGGATATTCATTTACAGTAATATTATTGTCTGATAAAGAGTTTTCTAATATACATCTTCTTCTATACTTTGTATCTACTGCAACAATCTACTTTCTTCGTCAGTCACTGCTGTCTTTTTCGATCCTTTAAACCATTCAACGAAAAAGAAAGGCCTTGATTGTTCCTTAACTTTAAACAACAAAATATCTTCAAATGAAGGAGGTTCGATTTCTTGTATGATGGCATCGGAAGCGGTGGCTGATCCATCAATGGATGCGGTTGAAGTGCCGTCTGATTTAACTGGCTTTATTCCCGAAGATGGTCCTGAGGACAAGTAAGATGTACTAGCCCCAGCGATGATATTATCATCCAATTCGGGACGCATAGTTGCTGGATTTCTAGCCATCGAAGCTGCTGTTTGTACCGAGTCAGTAACAAATTCAGTATTGGATAATCTTCGCTCCTGTGTTGATCCGTAGTTGGAATTTGAATGGATGCTGAGGCTGCTGCTGCCGTTTCCATTGGCGCCTCCCCCAATTCCTGCTCCATGATAGGAAAAGATGGATGATTTGTCATCAAATACCGATCCCATTTCTTCCAAAGATAAGCCTTTAGTTTCAGGAAACAAATACCATACAGCAAAGAAGGACAAGAAACAAAATGATGCCGGTATCAAGTACGTCTTCCACTTGATTTGATCCAACAAGATTGGAGATGCCAAGCCAACAATGAAGTTTGAAAGCCAATTGGTGGCTGTTGCAATTGCCGCGCCTTTAGATCTTACTGGAAGGGGTAAAATCTCCGAGGGCAAGAGCCATCCAATACCACCCCAGGAATAACCAAATGCAGCATTGGCTATTATGATGCATGCAACGACAACAGCTGCGGTATAGTCATTATTCAAGTGCAATGAATACCCAGCCAAGTAGAGTGGAATACCCATCAACAATGCACCCAGCATCAATAAAGGTTTTCTGCCCCATGAATCGACCAAGTACCATGGTGGAATGGTACTCAAGATGTAAATGATGGCATTGATACCGGTCATAAAGATAGCCTTTCTACCAACCCAACCAGCACTTTCAAAAATCATGGGTGCATAATAAGAAATCAAGTTGATCCCATTCAATTGACTAAACAATAAGCCAAAACAGGCAACCGATAATCTCTTGGCGTATCGTTTGAACAAATATTGATACGATCTTTCACCACCTTCGATCCTATCAATCAATACGCTTTCCTTGATGTTCCTGTATTCGTTTTTTGCGTGTTCATCTTCAACGTCACCATCGGCATACATGTCTGCAATAACAATCATACCTTCCAAATCATGATCATGATTCAACAACCACCGTGGTGTTTCCACAATAACAAAAGTTCCCAACCAAAGTAAAACTCCCATTGCGAATTGTACAAAAAGAGGACTTCTCCAACTAGCATCACTTTCCAAGAATGAAAACCCGTAATCAACCCAAATACTAGCACCATATCCAATAATATTTCCGGTGAATTCAGCACACGCATAAAATCCCCTATCAGTAGGTGGACTGATTTCTGATTGGTAGCAAGGGACAATTGTCGTGAGGAATCCAATAGCAACACCACCAATTAACCTCCCACCACTCAAGACGAAGATATTGGGAGATAAAAATTGAATCAAGGCACCAACCACAAAAATAAAAGATCCATACCGGATGGTTTTCTTTCTACCAACTAAATCGCCTACTCTACCTGCAATAAAAGATGAAAATAATGCACCAATTTCAAGAATTGCAATCATGATACCAATTGCTGCTGGTGGTGGATCATGATAATAAACTTTAAAATAATTGTTTGTGATTAATGACGACATTAACCCTTGTTCAAAACCAAATAAAAACACCCCAAGCGAAACAAAAACCGATGTAAAATTCAACAAAGCTTTTCCAACGAGGAAAGACTCCTTGATTTGTATATGTTCGTGAGGTTGCATTGTATGTAATAATAATGCTGTTTAGAAACTAGTGTACGCAGAAGAAATGAATGTAATTTGAATGTTATACTGAGTTATGTTCTTTTTTTTTTCTCTATATTTCAGTCATTAAATAGGAATCCTTGCAGTGAAGAGCGAAACCGTGTTGTGGGGGTTTAAGTTGTCTCTAGATCTCAATTCTTTTATCAGTTTTTGAATTGGGAAGAAAGAGATCGAAAGATTAAAGAGAACAAGTGAACAAAATAAAAAGGACCGACATACATATCAAGTTTTGTAAAACCTGCACGACCGATTAGAATCTTTTAAATATACTGTTGTTTCCCTTGGTAGTAAATCATCGTCTTTATAAGGAGAAAGTGGACTAACAGTTGGTAAACCATGGACGGTCATTGCTTTGTAAACAAATTGTCTTTGTTAAAGCAGGTGGATTGTTTGCAGTAGTTGAGGGACTATCCGTTAATCTTTATAGTTTTATGCACTTTAAGTGGTCACTTATAGACATAAGTGGTTCAAATGGTTGCTATTTGAACAATCACAACAACTTCAAACCAGGCTGGGAAGTGCTCTTTTCTTTCAACTTTTGCACTTTGATTTGTTATACTTTTGACTTTCTTGCTGCATATAAGCTACTAAAAATGGCCCCTGGCACTTTCGGATCAATGTGTTAATATGGTGTCGGTGCGGCTCTTACCTAGAATGGAAACACACTTAACAAAATTATTTAAAGTTGCGTTGCATTTCCGTACCTACTTCATTATGCATATAATAGCTGCCTTTTATTTAGAGCTAATGCCCTAGAGTACAAAGTACAAAGCACACGTTCCTCTTTTAAAGATAGATGACCATCAAGATATTTGTGTCTAAAACAGATGAACCACAGTATATACTAAACAAAATATCCAAATGTAGAGAGTGTGTAAACAAAATACAAAATATAATAACAAAAGGAGGGGGAAAGTTTAGTACACCCCACCCACGTTGTGTATATACGCACAACTCCGAACTAATACACAACAAAAAAAAAAAAAATTTTTTTTCTTAGTTGAATTTTTCTACCCTTAAAGCCCATACATATATATTTATATCGAAAGAAAAACCATGTATAAATATACTGATGATTTTCCTGTTGTGTTGGAATCTACGGGTAAAAACATACGCAGACTAGAAGATCCTGTTTTGTCAGAGCCAAAAAGATTAAAGTTGCAACAACCAGAAACAACCACCATGTCACATCAGCAACAATCGAAGCCAAGTGGTATTACTTCATCGTTTCCAAGTACCCACTCATCAAGCGCTAATTCTACAACTATGCACCACGACTCATTAAGAGGAACCTTCACTCCATTAACAACCACTAATTCGTTTGATGGCAAAAACAATTATTTTGCCGCTGTGTCAATGATCAATGAGAAGCATTTTGTCAAAGACCAGCAGCAGCTGGAACAGCTTACAATAGTTAGTACCTATGATTGTCCTTGTGGTCATATGCATGGACCGGGACAAGGCCACCATGAAGACATTGGTGCTGTTGGCTTTGCTGACTTCCCTTTGCTTAGAGGACCTGATTAGGAATTACGAGAGGCAAGGGAGTAATATCAATCAAGAGTGAAAACGAAGCTCACTTAAACTGGGAACATGAAAGAATAAAATAGAGGGAAACTATATAGGGGATTTGTACTGGGTAATGTAATTTTAGGTATTTTTAGTTCATAAAGAGCATCATAAGTAGCGGTTATACTGGTTTGAGGGCATAAGTGAAAAGCATATCCTGTTGCAAGTTCTTCAAATGCCTATTGAGTGCAACCCTCGTGGGACAACCCTCTCGGAGTTTTTATACTTTTGTTACACAAAACTAACCTTAGCTTTGTTGGGTAGTCCCCACCTCTAACAATAAAATTGCAACACGCTGATAGTAGGGCCCAAATTTAGAAATTTTGTAAACATAGGTAGTAGAGAGGGGGGAGTAACTAACCAAAGATCTTCCTATAAGTGATGTGGACGAATTCTTTTTACACTTTTATATGCACCTTAGAACTTCTTCTCTCAAGCCATGACAAGGCATTCAACAGCAACAGAATTTTATTAAAGCAGTTGGTTTTCTGTTCATGGCTTCTGATGCCTGAATGATAACTATACTTGTCTATCCTCTCCCTTTTCAGAAATTTACTTCATATCCTATTAATGTGAGAAACTAAGCCCGTAAAATCTATCAGCGAATACCAGCAGAACCAGGAGAGCAATCTCGGTTACTTATCTGGCTTTATATAAAGGGGCTCTCCAAGTTTTTGCTGGTATCATTAAAACTACTCCTTTGAAGAAGCAAAGAATCATAACAAAGAGCACCTGGTTCTTTCACACAAGTAAATCTTGTCCCCTTAAAAACTCTACATATAACACTGTAATCCCTTTCCTTCCCGTGTGATACTTCTTGTTTGATCAGTCACATGACTTATTGTACCTCAGTACACGTACTTCAATCTCATTTTCAATTTAATCCCAATTAGGAAATCAAATGGCAGAAATTATCTTTCTTTTTTCCAACACACGCGTCTGGAATTGAATTCTTTTCTTTTTTATTTTTTTGATTTCTTCAAAAGCACATTACAGGCTCCACATTCTTTCTAGTCTTTCGCTACCCTTCTTTACCAATTACCAACCGATGTCTAGTCCACCATATAACAGCAGATCTTCTCGAAACTCGAGAAAGAGACAAAATGAACATTTTGATCATGATGACGACCTTGGAGAGGGGGGATCACATTTATATAACCATAGGTCTTCACCCGTACATCAACCTTCGTCACCATTGGCTTCGTCGCCGCAACATCAACAGGCGTTACCATCGTCTCCCGCTATTCCTTTTGATGCTGGTTTAGATGACGATGGCGATGAAGAAATTCAAAACGATATTGCTGATTTGAATCCATCGGATGAAGAAGATGGTGATGATTTAATGGATAATTTAGAAAATGATTATCGTGCTAATCCTGAACAGGATCAATATGACTTGGGAGATGGTAATATTGACGATACTCAAGAATACGATGAAATGGATGCCGCAACAAGAAGGAGAATTGATGAACAATTGAATAGAAGAGATGCAATTTTGAATAACGCCAACCGTTCAAGAGGTGGCGCCTTTTTAGACGATGAAGACGAGGAAGATGATGATTTAGATGGCATGGATCAGTATGGTTTACCCATTCAAAGAAGAAGAAGAAGACAACAACATGATGAGGATCAGGATGATATGATGGATGATATTGAGATTGATCCATTTAGTGAAGAATTGTCTTTGGAGAGCTTAACTGATGTTAAAGCACCCAGCATTACTGAATGGATATTGCAACCAGCAGTTAGTAGGTCAATTGCAAGGGAATTGAAATCGTTCTTTTTGGAGTATACCGATGCCAATGGTGAATCAGTCTATGGTAATAAAATGAGAACGTTGGGTGAGGTCAATGCTGAGTCTTTGGAAGTGAGTTATAAAGATTTAGCTGATTCTAAAGCTATATTGGCTATTTTCTTGGCTACGAGTCCAGAGGAGATGTTGAAAATTTTCGACATTGTTGCCATGGAAGCAGTTGAATTGCATTACCCAAACTATTCCCAAATTCATCAAGAAGTCCACGTTAGAATTATTGAATATCCTACCTTGTTGAACTTGCGTGATTTAAGAGAAAATAACTTAAATCAGTTGGTTAAAGTATCAGGTGTGGTTACCAGAAGAACGGGGGTTTTCCCTCAATTGAAATATGTCAAATTTGATTGTCTTAAGTGTGGTGTTGTTTTAGGTCCGTTCATTCAAGACTCGAATAGTGAAATGAAGATTTCATTTTGTACCAATTGTCAAAGTAAAGGTCCATTCAAGATGAATTCCGAAAAGACGTTGTATAGAAACTACCAAAGGATCACTTTACAAGAGGCCCCGGGTACTGTCCCAGCAGGTAGATTACCCAGACACAGAGAAGTGATTTTGTTATCCGATTTAGTCGATGTTTCCAAACCTGGTGAGGAGATTGAAGTTACTGGTATTTATAAAAACAACTACGATGGTAACTTGAATGCCAAGAATGGATTCCCGGTGTTTGCCACTATCATTGAAGCCAACTCAATTAGAAGAAAAGAGAGTAGTGCTTTCATGGGAGGTAACAATTTGGTTAATATATGGACCGAAGAAGAGGAACGTGAATTCCGCAAGTTGTCGCGTGAACGTGGGTTGATTGATAAAATTATATCATCAATGGCGCCTTCAATTTATGGCCACAAGGATATCAAGACAGCAATTGCTTGCTCGTTATTTGGCGGTGTAGCCAAAAATGTCAATGGTAAGTTATCCATTAGAGGTGATATAAATGTGTTGTTACTAGGTGACCCTGGTACTGCTAAGTCGCAAATATTGAAATATGTTGAAAAGACTGCAAGCCGTGCTGTCTTTGCTACTGGCCAAGGTGCGTCTGCTGTTGGGTTAACTGCATCAGTTAGAAAAGACCCCATTACACGTGAATGGACATTGGAAGGTGGTGCATTGGTGCTCGCCGATAAAGGTACTTGTATGATTGATGAGTTTGATAAAATGAATGATCAAGATCGTACTTCGATTCATGAAGCTATGGAACAACAAAGTATATCTGTTTCCAAAGCTGGTATTGTCACGACTTTACAAGCACGTTGTGCTATTATTGCTGCTGCTAACCCTAATGGTGGTAGATACAATTCCACGTTACCATTATCGCAGAATGTCAATTTAACCGAACCAATCTTGTCTCGTTTTGATATTTTGTGTGTTGTTCGTGACTTGGTCAATCCTGAATCTGATGAACGATTGGCTAGTTTTGTTATCGATTCGCATATGAGATCACATCCAGCTAATTCTGAAGGAGTCATCAATGATGACGACGAAGAAGATATTGCCGAATCCAATGTCTCAGCCAAGACCAAACATGAGAGATTAGCTGAATTGAAACAACAAAAGGAACAAGAAATATCCCCCATCCCACAAGATTTATTAATCAAGTATATCCAATACGCTAGAGTTAAGGTCCAACCGAAATTACATCAAATGGATATGGACAAAGTTGCTAAAGTATATGCTGATCTAAGAAAAGAAAGTATTTCGACCGGTTCATTCCCCATCACTGTACGTCATTTGGAAAGTATTTTGAGAATTGCTGAATCGTTTGCCAAGATGAGATTGAGTGATTTCGTTAGTCAAAATGATTTGAATAGGGCTATTAAAGTGAGTATTGATAGTTTTGTTGGTGCTCAAAAAGTCACTGTTAAGAAACAATTACAAGCTAAGTTTCAAAAGTATACTTTACCTACTAGAACTAGGTAAAAAGGAGGTTCGTTTTCTGGTAGTGGGTTGGTTCTGTTGCTTTTTTTTTGTTGTTGTTCAGTTCATAGAATAGTGTATTTAATTTTGAAATTGTATGTGGTAAAACTTAACGGTAAAAGACGCACCAAAAGTGAAGAGAGAATCTCTGACAAAAGAAAAACAAAAATCACGTCTGTGTAAACGAAAGGACAACTTTAGACAACGCGTTTTAGAGCCATGTTAAACCTAGACCAGTATGTTGCAAGTTACCATTTGCTCTGTGCCAACCGCTGACAAATACTAACTTACTTCCCTCTCACTCTCCTAGGACAATAGAACATATCAAGCAATGCAAACTAATACCAGAATCAGACGTTGAGGAAATATGCACCCAGCTAATTGACATTCTAATAGAAGAATCAAACATTCAACATATTAACACTCCCGTCACCATATGTGGTGATATCCATGGACAACTTCATGACTTAATCACTATATTCACCATAGGAGGTGGTTTACCCGAGACGCAATATGTGTTTCTTGGAGATTTTGTCGACCGTGGGTTCAATTCATTAGAATCGTTGTTGTTGCTCATGACTTACAAGTTGAAATACCCGGCTAAAATTACGTTAATACGAGGCAATCATGAATCACGACAAATCACCACCGTATATGGGTTCTACGATGAGTGTTTGAGAAAATACGGGTCAGTTAATGTATGGAGGTATTGTTGTGACGTATTTGATTATCTAAGTCTAGGAGCCGTAATCAATGGTCCAAGCGGCAGTAGTAATGGAGACGGCGTCTTTTGTGTTCATGGTGGACTAAGTCCCGAGATCGATTCCATAGATCAAATACGCATCCTCGATCGAAAACAAGAAGTGCCTCACGAGGGGGGGATGTGTGATTTGTTATGGAGCGACCCAGACGAAGATGTCAAAGGCTGGAGTATATCGCCACGAGGGGCCGGGTTCTTGTTTGGCGAATCAGAGGTTGATAAGTTTCTCCATTTGAATAAAGTTGGCTTGATTGCTCGAGCTCATCAGTTGGTGATGGAGGGGTACAGAGAGATGTTTGATCTGAAGTTAGTTACTGTTTGGTCGGCCCCTAATTATTGTTATCGGTGTGGAAATGTTGCAAGTGTGTTGAAAATTGATGATGATTTGAACAGAGAGTATAAGGTGTTTGAAGCTGTTGATTATAATGGTGAAGATGATGAAGATGAAGAGGGGGATGAGAGGTGGAGAAATGGAGGTGTAAGTGCCTTGAGTAAGAAACCGGTTGTTGAGTATTTCTTGTAGAGGATAGAAGCTGGAGGAAGGGAACATGGCGTATAGATTGTATTACTTTGTATTATTATTATTAATATTATTATTAGTGTAATGGATCATATTTAGAATAGGATTACTGCAATAGCCAGCTGATTTGGTCATGCTAATTGCAATCCTATTCTAAATTCGTTAGTATTAATCGACCTTAAATCTGGTCTATTTCCTACGTAGTTTTATATAGTTCTGTAAATCATTTCTATACTACTATAATACAACAATCATTTGCTAATTACAATTAGTGTTAATGCTGACGCTTTTACGAATTGTGAACTATAGGAAGAGGTCGCGTGGACAAGTGTGTGTACCTTGATCTTTAGTAACACATCCAACTCAAAACGTGGGGTTGACTCTGGTAGAAAGTCTAGAACTTCAAAAAGTGCTCCATTCTTGAAAGAGGTGTAATACATATCTTGAAACTAAAAAGGGAAAACTTGTTTCCCAATCGGGCTAACCGAGTTTGTCTGTCACCTAATTTGTGGCTAGAGATAGACACAATAAAGGCATTATTGGCCGTCGTAGGTTATCTGTCAAAACCATTGACTAAAAAAAAGAAAATAAACAAGCACTACCCTCTCTGTCTCTCCTATTGTTTTATTTTAAAAAGGCGTAAAATAAATAAATAAAAAAAGAAAAAGAGACATCGCGGAAACCCACGATTTTCAACGCGTCTTTGTCACATGATACACAAAAAGTTCACCATGGAAAAGGGTTTGAAGTATTCAGAACGCGTTGTTTCATAATCTTGAAGCACCAATGGCAGTTTTTGGTTAACGAAAAGAGTTTCGTCATTGTACATACATAGGCACACACGCACTGGCTTCAGAGCGTTCTAGCAAGTTATACAGCGATTTTAGTTCAAATTATGTCAAATAAGAGAGCAGAGATTTAAGAACTTAAAGTGAGAGGGTCCTTCTCTCTCTCTCAGCTTTTAGTAAAATTGTCTAATTAAATCTAAGTAAAAATGGTAACAACTTACACAAGGACTAAGTATATTTGGTGCACCATTACTAAACTTTGACGAAGTGCTGCGTAGTGACATTAGTAAGTAATGGGACAAAAATGGGAATTTTAACTCCTATTCTTTGACATTAGTGCCATCCACATATGCACTATTCGCAATGCCAGGAATCGGAATTATACAAAGTCAGACAAAGGAGAAGACAGAGGTTTAGCCTGGTGATTCTTGTTCAATTTCTCATTTTACTAGACATGATACAACGGAAATAAAGGAAACATTAGCGCTATTTCGGGCATACCAAGGCTTTGGAGAGATGTATGGAAGTGGCACCAGTGTTAAATCCTTTGATGCTATCGTACCATTCCTTTTCAGGTCATTATGAGCAAAAACATATTGATACTAGAGTAGGAAATTAAAAGCTAGCAGCCTTGCAAAGGGATAGTGATAGTGAAGCGAAAGTATAAAGTTTAATTTTGTTTCTTGTCAATCCACAGAGGACACAGGGTTTCCTAAGAAACAAAACTTGTTCCCGAAGTATTTGGAAGTTTAATTTGTCTTTCTACCGTTTTACATAGGCTGTGCAGTTGTGGGAACCATACTACTATCTTCCCTTTGCCATCCCTGGTCATCATAGCACACTCTTCAGCATGGCTTATGTATGTGGTAAATAGTTAAAGCCTCTGCTAGTTGTTTGTGTACACGCGAACAAATCGGATCGAATGGGCGGGTTTATTTTTGTTAACGATATTTCCTTATATATTCCTTTCTATTTTTGTGTAATTAATGGAAATGACTTTTTCCAAAGAGAAAGAAAAAAGAAATTCAACTTGTCTTTTGCCTATCTTTTGAGGCCCGTTTGTAACATTTTTTCTTCTATCAAGAAAGAAAGCACACACGAGCTTATTAGGGGAAAAGAGCCACTTCTCTCATAATTGATACAACTAAATGTACCTTGTGGTAAAGACAACGCGTCAGGGCAGGGTGGTGAAGGAATAGTAGTTATAGAGATCGACAGAAAGTTTATAGTTTTGTGTAATATTTACTTTATGAATTTCTTTTTTGTCGTAAGCAAAGCTGAAATTGCACAAACCTGAAGAATGAAATTCCTTCTTTTTCTTAAATTGGCTTCAATTCAAAAGAGAGAGAGTTGCTTGTTACATAGATCTTGGCATTGGTTGTAGAGCAATCTGGAAACAGTTAGTTGATTATTGCTCCTTGAATATGTAGCAACCAACTGTAATAGAATAATCCCTGGAAACCGGTTGTCTTTGAACTTTGGCTACTTACATGGCGGGGGACTGATGGCATAATGAACACGTAAAAAGAAAAAAAATAATATGAATAACATGAATAATAAATGCGAAAGGGTTAAGAGAAAGAGAACAAAGGTTAAAATTGTACACACAAAACAGGAATGTGTGAAATATGTGAGATTCGCTCAATCCTTCCATAATTTGTTTGGTCAAGAGATAAACTCCCCAATGTTTTGTACACTCAAGAATGGCCTTCTCTCCTTTTCTCTCCCTCTATCTCACTTACATTTGCTTCTATTATTAAACAACAAAGAATGGAACAAAACTGAAGAAACAAAAAAAAAGGCTTGGAAAGAAATAAGTAAACAAGAAAATTGTATATTACACACTCGCATGACAAAGGATATATTGCAACAGGGCTTAGTTTACTGACATAATGAGAATAATCAAAACGTCATATGAAGCATTTAAATGGTCCAAGAAAGGATGTAGGACAATTATTGTTTGGCTGTGCAAGGGTATATAATGCTACAGTTATCATATTCATGAAGTGGAGATTTCCATCAAGCAATGAACTGGAAATCATCTTGTTCTTATTGTTTTTCTTTTCTTTTAGGAATTGGTTTTCTTTATTATTGTCAAATTTTCGTTTGCTCTCTCTCTGCTTTAATTTTCTCGGACAATAACAATTCGCTTGTACATATATTGTATACAGTCAAATATTAATCGTAAACATAAATCATTGCACTTACATTGTTTGTTTTGTTTTTGAATAAACAAAGAGACTATAAAAAGAATTCTGCTCTTATATTTATGTCTCTCTCTCTCTCTCTCTCTCTCTCTCTCTCTCTCTCTCTGTGAATGTTTTTAGCTTGTTTTCTCATTACACACACGAACTAATTTTTTGTCGTGTTTATTGTTTTTTATGCGATGATGATTTGGATTGTTTAGGAAAGGGTAATTAAAATATCCGATCCGACATCCTTGTCTTCTCTTCAAGAGGTCATCAGTATCACTTTCAGTCAATAAACTGTAAACTCTTATAAATATATATATATTTATATATCCTTACTATCCAAGCCTTGTATCCAATGAGGGGCGCAGAAGAAAAATATGATGGGATAAAAAAATGATGCTTAGAATTATCATGTGTGAAATCCAAGTATAAGTTTTTCCTTTGGATTTTGTGATTCAATTTCACCCTTTATTATTTTCATTCATTTCGAATTTTGTATTACGTTTCGTCTCTTATATCAACAATTGCATTGTTTTGTTTCTATTTTTTTATTTTGTTGTTCTATTTTAATATTCGTAATCAATTATAACAATTGATACAAAACCGTACTTAGAAATAAAAAATTAAAAATTTTAAAACGGCACGAGGAAAGTATATATTGAAATGAGAAGAATCCTTATTTCTGAAATGTCCCATTTTTCTGTATCTACTTCAAAGGCATATACAGCATTATTACACTCATTTACAATTTCCTACTAAACTTCCAATACAACTCATCGAGGAGACTACAACACAACCTATTACATACATACAGCAGCATAATCGCATCGATCGCATAAATAGCATTTACACCCACTCCCATATTACATATCCAATTGCATAACCCATAAAATGAACTTCTTCAGTCTTCTTTACAGCTTTGTTTTCTTCCTCGCATTCAGCACAGCTAAAACAACATCGTCGTCATCATCGGAATCAGAGTCAGAATCAGCATCAACTACATCAACTACAGCTTCTCAGACCAAGACATCGGTCTGGGTGACTGGAACTGATGCTAGTGGAATAACACGCACGACGCAAAGCGTATACTACCAATCGTTTAAATCTGCATACACTGAAGCTGAAGAAACATACACATCGGGTTCAGTGGGACTTGGCACTATTTCGGGTAGTGTAGGAAATATTCGCCATTATGATAGAACTACAATCTCAGAAGCTGGCGCTGTAGGAGTTGCTGGTCGTAATTTCATAGCATTAAATGGTCTTTTTACCTTTATATATCTTCTTCTTTAATGAAACGGTTTTTTTCACTTCTTTTTGATATTCACAATTCAAATCCATTTCTTTGTAAAGAGTCTTTTTTTTCTTAATTCCATTAGTTTTCTTAGGCCAGTTGGTTATGGGTTTTTGTGTATCGGTTAACAACATCGGAATATACTTTTGCAAAGTTAGTATCTTTGTGCAACTATTGCAACGCTACCTTGTATTTTGCATCATAATATTTTTTTGTTTCCTTTTTCCAATCTAAGAAATTTTTCTTTTAGTGAGAAGGGGAGTTTCGAAAGGACAAGCTCAGCACAACAGAAACTTTCTACAACATTTGTAAAATAACGTGTTGGTGCGGGATGGACTTGCTTCAATTGTCATAAAGCCTTAACTACGTCTAAGAAAGAACAGAGCCAGGCTCTTCTTTTAAATATCAGTCTCATAGTTGGATCGATAGACTGCTAGAAGATGTCCTACGCTAAATGTTGCAAATACTCTGATGACTTTTTGATTAACATTTTTTATTTTGTGTTCTCGCATGAAGCAGTGTTTTCGTTAATTTTTGCTTGCTTTTAAGGACAAAATTGTAATATCTCTCAGCAACCTCTTCAGAAAAAGTAACTCTGTTTAACTTCCATGTAAGTAAAGAGAGCCTACCGCAAACAACAACATTCTATGTTTTCATTTGGCTGCAAATTCAAAAAAATGCCTACTGTGGCGACATTCTTTATCACGAGGAATAGCGCAAAAATGCGCGCTCCCTTAATTTTAAATTAAATTAATTATTTTTATTGATTGTCGTGACGCGAAAACATTTCATGACACAATGGATAGAGCAAAGAGATTCAGATTTCATCACTGGCAATGAACAACAACAGACTTGTCAATCTTCAATTGGTATAATTCACTCCACAGATCTTTACCAATTCACTAGAGAGTAAGACACACTCATCACATATCACATATCACATCTCATGGCTTCCAATAGAATGGCCAAATCGCCATCACCGAACACGGCACTCACCAATGACAATGAAGATCACGGGATAGATATTACTGCTTCATCACGCAAGCATGCTGGCTCATCTTCATCTTTGTCTAGTCTGACAATTCCACAACGAGCAAATACAACCGAGTCATCACTTCTGAGACAAAGACTGCAACTGCAACAACCGCAAAGCGGCACCAATGGCAAGCCGATACCCCAAGACACAAACACACCAGTTGACTTTAACACCTCATTCGATCTACTCGATTACAAATCACTCACTTTAGAGAACAAAGGATCAGTAGCCCGTGACCATATGGCCAACGAACGTACATTCTTGGCTTGGTTGCGAACATCGCTTGCATTTATAACTATTGGCATTGGAGTCACGCAATTGTTTCGATTAGAGAAACCAGGCACTAGGGTCCACACATCTGATCGAATCATCGAACTAGCCTCGGATCACAAGAGCGATGACTTGAAACGATATGGCAAACCTTTGGGATCGATATTCATAATATTGGGGATATTGACTTTGATTATGGGGTTTAGACGGTATTTCCATGTTCAACGGTTATTAACCGAGTCTTATTATCCGGCAGCTAGATTGGGCATTGGAGTATTGTTGTTTTTGATCTTGAGTGTTATTTTGGTGACGTTGGCCATGATTTTACAAACGTCTTTATTGTGATCAAGGGTTTATGGAGAGAAGAGTAGATAAATTTTAGAACTAAATAATTTGAATCAAAGTACGATGGAATGAGGTGATCTACAGAACACTCTCTTAACGCTCAGGAATCACTCTGTTTATCAGCTTATTTAAGTCAATTTGGACGGCCATGAGACAATTCAACTGAACCCTTGCATCAATTTAGAGTTGTATGTGTCATTACTATTGAACAAACACGGTGAAAGCTCATACACTTGAGACTATTGCTCGAGAAGTAAGCTACACTTGCAACCATCTTTTGATTCTCTCTGTGCGTTCTATGATGTAAAGGGTGATGCCACAAAAATAAAAGCGTGATTGGCTAAATAATTTAGGGCTATTACCCTCATCACTAATAAATATCCTTTTTCATGCAAAAATACACGCACTTTATCGCCGTCTTTGCTTTTGTTGTCACACACTCACCCACTGAAGAAAAAAAAATTTAAGGATTGAAAAGCTTCAACATACAGTCATCCATATACAACAAATCACGTCAAAATGGTATGTCAAAGGATATCTAAGAGGATATTGAAATGTAATAGGTATATGAGAGAATAAGGAGACCAAATTACAGGGACTATTCAAAGTGGAAGACAGATGAATTTAATGACAATGTGATAGACTTTTTTCATAGTAACAACTTGAAATACCTACCAATGCCAACATAATCAAGAACCGAAAGCGAAAGACTTTTAAGTCGAATTCCTACAATGTGTCAAATGAGTTATATAATCACCAGATTTGTCAAGAGGCAATGATACCAAGTCCATAAGATTTAACAGTTTTGTAAAACTCCTTGAATCAGTTTTCATTCATCACTTTTGATCTATTACATGTATCCATTACTACCAGCATCATAATTACTAACTATTTATCTTTTAGGGAAAAGTTCACGGTTCATTAGCTCGTGCTGGTAAAGTTAAGTCACAAACTCCAAAGGTTGAAAAACAAGATAAGCCAAAGAGACCTCAAGGAAGAGCTTTCATGAGATTGAAGTACACTAGAAGATTCGTCAACGTTACTTTGACCAACGGTAAGAGAAAGATGAACGCTCAATCCGCTTAAACAATGTTGAAATCGTATTGTATTTTATATTTTGGTTTAATGGGTTCGATGAGTTTAATATACATATAAATAGTGTTTGAAATGACGAATTGTGAGGTTCGATGTATTTCTACTACAGAATCAGTTGCTCTAAAATGTTTCATTATTCTCTATAAGATCTAATATCTCTACCATTGTGGAATCAAAAAGTATGAATATACTCTAGATCTCACCTCAGCCGTCTCTTCATCTTCGATAAACATTGGAGTCATATTAATCATGTCAATCTTTTCAGCATCAAAATCATATTCTTTGCAAGTATCAAAAAACTTCAAATCTTCATTGAGTAAATGGGCTCGATGTGGACTAAACACAACAAGACATTTCCCATTAGACTTGAGCGATTGACGACACGCAGTTAGTAACTTGTGATGTTCAGTATGATTGAAAATTAGATCGGATAGTATAATTAAATCAAATTTCTCGTCCTCTTTTAGATCCTCAGCTTCGTCATCACCATAAATCGATTCCCTGACGTTATTTCCCCATATGTATCCTTTCACTTTATAGTTTGATATTTGTGGAGCATTTTGTTTCAAATCGTTGAAGCTATATTCAATATGGTTTATCAAGTCAGGATCAGGGTAATCAGTAGCTATTACTTCTTTAGCACCATTTACGGCACAAACTAGCGAAGGTAAAGCGGCGGCTGCACCCAATTCCAAAATTCTTTTACCCCGCACAAGTTCACTAGCATGTTTATCCAAGTAATCAGCTGTGAATATACCGGCATTCCATAACAAGTGGCCCCATAAAGGTGATTTCCCAACAAGTTTCATGCGGATTTGTTTTGGATCGGCAAGGGCAACTTTACGGTCATAAGTGGCGAAATGTGATTCAGGTGGTGGTGGCAAGAAACCTTCCGGCTCTTCGAATATGTTTGCATCAATTGATAACTCGTCGTCAGACATGATACAGCTAAAGTGGGATTTGATTGAATCAAGAAGGTTTGTTAACAACAGCAGATGTGAAAAAATAGAAAAAATAGAAAAAAAAAAATTGTCATCGGAATTTTGTCTTTATTGAGCTCGGTCAATAGCTTAGCTGAATGCACACTCAGTAGTTCCCACTTTTGCCAATTAAAAGCCAACAGTGTATATCGTTCATTCAAGTGATCCTCTCTCCTTCCTTTAATCATTAGTTAACTTCTCATAATTACATATCTATCTTCTCTTTGATCAAAGATCTCTCTCTCATCATCAATCGAAAAACAAAAACAGAAAACTAAAAACTATCGTTTTTACAACCAAAAAACTGAAAGCCGCCACCCCTCCCCCACTTGGCTTCTCCAAGTATGTCACAACCCAAGAAATGGACCGATGTGTCAATAGAGTTGATCAAGGATCCAGACAGTTTTGAACTATGGCAACAACTAATCATATCAGCAGAGCACAATGACAAGAATGGTATATCAAAATCAACACCACCACCACAATTGCAAACACTACGAACATCGTATGACAGGTTTTTAACAAAGTATCCATACATGTATAAATATTGGATACGATATGCTGAATGGGAATTCAAATTGACTGATGTATCCACTGCTATCAAGCTCTATGAGGATGCGTTCCAACACTTGAATTATTGTATTGAATTGTGGGTCAATTATTTACAATTTCGTATCAACACAATCACTGATAATGTTGAGCAAGTATTGGGATTATTTGAAAAAGCAAGAGGGTTGATTGGAAACCATTTTTATGCGTATGAATTCTATACGCTATATTTATCATTTCTTGAAAGTTATGCCACTGAAGAAAACCAATACAGAAGGAAGTATTTTACATTGATGAGAATTGTACTTGACGTGCCATTATATCATTATGAATATTTCTACAAGAAATATTTCGAATTGATTGCTCGTGTTGGTGGCGGCGGTGACGCGAAACTTCACTCCGACTTACAATATATAGTACCGGCAAGTGAATTGCAACGGCAGTCCAAGAATCTACAACAACAATTGAAAAAGACATTCACTGATTCATACATCACCATCCAATACAAAGTTTATGAGTTGTACCATTTTGAAAAACGGTTTAAGCGACATTATAATGATGTCAAGTACATATCTCGACAACAATTGGATGCATGGTTGCAATATTTTGATTTTTTGGAATTGAAGAAATATCCTCAACTGTATATCGAATTGGATTATTGGAGATATTTATACATTGCAGCAAACTACCCTGAATCATGGATCAAATTTGCTGACTATTTCGTGTTTCATGGCAAATACAACCTGGCACGACAGTTGTTGATTCGCGGTTGGAAGTATCTTGGTCATTATCAAGTATTGATTAAATTGATTGATTTGGAGATTTTCTTGAAACAGTTTGTACGAGCCAAGGAATTGCTTATCACTTATTTAAAGTATACTGTTTCTATTCCAATACCAATTTATGAGAAGTTGATTTGCATTGAACGAATTTTTAACGACAATGATGATCATATACTAAACTTGTTTAAGTTGATTATCGAGGATACTCAAATTGACTGGTTTTTCAATGTATTGACATACTATGCTATCGATAAACAGAAGAAGTTGGCATTTCTTGAAGAAATGAGTGATTTCAAGGGACAAAAATACTATGACAACATATGGAAGTTGGTATCAGAGGAAATCAATGGGGATGGAGAGGTACAACAGCCTACTCCCAACTTCAGTAAGGAGTACGAAAGACTACTACAATCCATACAGTAAAGACAAAGTTGATATAAATAAATAGAGGTTATTGTTTATGTCTATTCCAAGTATAAATTGACCAGTGCAACTAACAAATACCAACTAACCAAACATACACCCAAAGTCCGGTCAAATTTCCATTTCTTTGCCGGTAAATAAATCAAGATGAAAGTTACAGTAACAATCAATGCCGTAGTACTTAGAATTACACTTGGTTTCAAATCAAATTTTATCGCATTGCCGCCTTGTTTCTGGATAACTAATAACCCATTAAACCCGACTCCCAATAAAATGATCAATAAAGGAGTGCCCAAGCATGAGTTTATCCCCAATATGGGGTTAATCTTTGTTGCCAATGTTATATTGGTGATAACATCGTTTATAGAATTACTTATGGAAAACACAAGTAATCCCAATATGTAATCGGAGATTTTCCAAATCAAGCCGAGGTTCTTGAGGATTTGTAAGATGTAGATTGAGATATTTGAAATAACAATTAAACTGTTTAAGGTACCAAATATGGAAATGATGATGATTTTGGTATTTTTATTGATACAACGTTTTATGTATAGTACAATTGGAACTGATATAGTTATAATGGGGATCAAGATTGGCAATCGCATTTGGCAAAATTGGTAGTTGAAAAGTAGCGGCACTTCAAACAAGTACCAAATGAGGAGGTATTTGTTTTGGCGCAAGTGAGCTTTCCATTGAGAATCTTCCAATTCAATACATCGATGGAAAGGAACTAGGAAAATCAAGATAAAGTCAATACAATTGCAAATGTATTGGAATGCAGTGGTTGCTATTCGTTTAGGTAGTGCTGGTGGATGCAGATGCAGGTGCTGAAGCAGATGCGGATACAGGTGGTGCAGTGATTGTCTTGAAATTGAATGAGGCAATGACGGATGAGGAGAAACTGCATAATGATCTTTGGGGATATAATGTACTGATAGATAGTCGACAACTTTATCAGCAGCGTCATCCCCTTTGCTGTTATCTTTTCTTACATCTCTCGCTCCCCCTTCTTCTTGTTCTTCGACGGTCTCAATATCTGGTAAAGTGTGATTCTGTTGTTGTGACGGATATATTGGAGTTGGTGATGATAATGGGCTAGTAAGGCAAGGTGATGCAGCTCGTGAAACCAATGCACTTGGTGTTGGCATTGGACTTGGACATGGGGAACTCCTTGGTGAGTTTCTGGGAGTCCCACTCCTCGAAACACTCTTGACCGATCCATAACTATGCTCGTCATTAGATATAATATCCAATGCATCTTCAACATTATACGGTTGTTCAAGGATATGATGACATCCATAATCATCATCATAAGCATCGTCACCACCTGCACAACTACCACCATCTTCATGGTAGTGTTCAATCAATAGCTCTTCATCATAATCGCGTAATTTCTCCTTATCAAATATACTAAGAAACACAATGTACCCCACATACACCAAACACATAATGATGCATTCCAATTGGTTAATTCTGCCATCGGATAAAACATACGCGAAAAGAACAAGCACGGCCAAGATCCAGCCCAAATCAATAATCAATATTTTGGGGTGTTCAACCCTATACCCCGTGGTTAAAATGGCAATGGTGCCAATAATGATGGTAAACATGATCAAAATGCTCCCCATTAGTTGCCCAATAACTAGATTTGAACTTCCTTGTTCGAAAGCAACATGATAATTGATCAAATCAGCAATGGAATTGGTCAATGGGATCAAGATAAAACTCAAAATTTGATTATTCAAACCCAATTTCATAGTCAATTCATTCAAATTGCGAAACAAGTAGTTGGAAACGAGGATGCTTAACGATAACAAGATTAAACATAGGGTGAATATGATTGTTGATGATATGAATATTAATGAAGCGATATTGTGCCACTGACAGTAGTATAGTTGTGAGATTCTAAAGTAGGAAGAATCACAATTTTGTTCAATATAGGAACAATAGTTTAAATGAGCCTTTGCTGGGAATGAACATTGGTTAGAATCGGAATTGGAATCGGAATCTGTGGTTGTGAAAATGGTAAATGCAGTAGTTTTGCCAATTAGACAAGCAGTTATAAGTAGTAATAGTGGACCTTGGTATTGTTGTAACAAGCGATATAGTCTCATTTTTTATGTCGGCGCTAAGTAATGAGGCGTATAGTGTGTTAGTTATAGTAGTTATATCGGCTTGCTTTAGTTGCTTTCATATCCTTTTTCTTGTAATAAAGATGAAAAGGGTTACTCTGGTTTTAATATTGAATAGTCTATTGATGCGATCTCATTTTTGTTTCTTTAACTGTCTGCTTTTACTCTTTTTTGTTTCTATTTATATATCTTTCTATTTCAAATAAAAGTGGGTTTTGTATAGTTTGTACTAAATTTAGAAATACAATTGCAGATTTGAATTTTTTTTTTTCTGTTTCTGTTTTTTGTTCCTGACTGACTGACTCAATCAGTACCTGTCTTTTGTTTGCTATCGGATCGATTGTTTAACAATAACTATCACTTCTTATTTCAACACAAATACGAACCGACTTTACAGAAATACCCACACACACACGTCAACCGTTTTTCCTTTTTTACAGCTTACTATAAGCCTCCCTTGGTTTAACGCAACAACTGAAGATTTACTCCTAAAGAAAGGAAATGACAAATACGATAAAGGATGTACTGTGATTGTATACGATTTTGTAACTCTAAAAAATTATATACCGCTGCACGTGATCTCTCAAACTGCAAATGATTTCTATCTATATACGCCGTACGGCAACCTCCTCGATCTCCTTCTATTCTAAATCATGTTCAAACTTGGCGTATTCTGGATTTTTAAGTATATTCTCAGCAATCTTAATATCCAACTCGATATCCTTAATCAACGCCTCTTTAGTAGTATAATTCAACTCGGGTCTAATGTATCCCAATACGACATATTGTAAATCAGCCCCATAGAAATCTTGCTGAAACTTGTGTATAATATGTATTTCAGCTGCTTTGGTTTTATTGTGATAAAATGGATTCCATCCAATCGACATCACCATAGGCCACACTGTAGTCAAATCAGCCTTGCATAACTTATTGCCATGATTGAAAACGACATCTTGACCATCGGGTCTTTGTTCGGTGGATTCTAGTTGCTGTGGATGGGGGTAGATCTTGCACCATCCGTAGTAGATTCCAGTGGGTAAGTCGTTGAGTTGTTGGTTGACGGGGATGTTGGCGGTGGGGATTCCCAATTCACTTGAACCTCGACCAAAGCCAGATATGATGGGTGATTTGTGCTTGATAGGGTATGGCGGTTGTGGAGTGTCGTGTACTATCGTTTCTGGTCTAGTCATTTTGATGCAGCGGGTGAGTATGTGTTGGGTTTATTGAGGAGTTAAAAACTGTGGTGATGATAAATTGAGCAACTTTTCTATCACCCACTGATTTCTTTTTTTTCTTCTATTTTTCATTTTTTCAGCGTTACAAATATTACGTAAAATCCGCACTATCTCTCAAATGGTTTAGTAATTGATCACTACAGTTCCATAGCTTCACATTTTAGTCTGTATTACAACTATACACTTCTGTCTACTTCCATCATCCTTTTTTTAAGAAAACTTCTTTTCCAATTGTTCCAACAAAGTAGCAGCATCCTTACCAAAAGCTCTGATACCTTGTGACAATTTTTCAGTAGCCATAGCATCTTCATTCAATGCCAATCTGAAAGCAGGTTCATCATTGATAAACGAAACTTTTTCAATCTTGTCATTCTTGGCTTGAGCAGCATCCAATACTTTTGGAACTTGCTCATTTGAGTTGTACAATTCTTCCAACAATTTTGGAGCAATGGTCAAGAAGTCAACACCAGCCAAGGCTTTAATTTCACCAGTGTTTCTGAAAGATGCACCCATAACAATGGTGTTGTAACCGTATTTCTTGTAGTAGTTGTAAATTTCTTTAACTGATTTGACACCTGGATCAGTTTCACCGGTGTATGTTTCACCAGTTGATGCCTTGTACCAGTCCAAGATTCTACCAACAAATGGTGAAATCAAAGTAACTTGTGCTTCAGCACATGCAACTGCTTGTGGGAATGAAAATAACAAAGTCAAGTTACAGTGAATACCATGTTCTTTCTCCAACTCTTTGGCGGCTTGAATACCTTCCCAAGTAGAGGCAATCTTGATCAAAATTCTCTCCTTGTCAATACCTTGCGATTTGTACAATTCAATCAATGACAAGGCCTTCTTAATAGTGGCTTCTTTGTCGAAGGACAATCTAGCATCAACTTCAGTGGAGACTCTACCTGGAACAATATCCAAGATTCTCTTACCAAATTCAATCAATAATCTGTCCAAGGCAATTTCAGCCTTTTCCTTTGGGCTTGAACCTTTGTCTTCAGCGTACTTGACAGCAACATCTATGACATCAGCGTAGTCTGGATTCTTGGTGGCAGCCAAGATCAATGATGGGTTGGTAGTAGCATCTTGTGGCTTGTATTTAGCAATTTGTTCGAATTCACCGGTATCGGTAACGATAACAGTACCGGTAGCTTTCAATTGTTCTAATGAGTTTGAGGACATTGTTGTAGTTAGATTGAGTTTATTGTTGGTTGAGTAAAATCAATTGATAATAATAATAGCAAGAAAAGATCAAAGATGATTCAGTCGATTGAGGAATAACCGGGAAATTTTCAATTGTATTTATAGTTTTGTTGGAATTTTTTCTAAATTGAAAAGGGTGACTGCGTGCCCTTGCGTCGATTTTCTTTTTGCTTTTTCCTTTTTTCCTTTTCTAACAAACTTTCCGGAGATTGGGTCAACGCAATATTTTGTTGGCAGTAGGAAATAGCAGACAAAAGAAACTTTGGCAGTTGGTTTCAATCTGGCTTGAGCTAAGAGGTGTTTGTATACATGACTGACTGCCACTAGAGAGTAGTGATATCGTTAAACGCTGAATCCGTTATGTATCACTTCGGAGATTGCAACTTAAGTTTAATTTAATGTACTGTGCATATACATATTTCGTCATATTGCACATCTCTTACGTATATAGCTATTCTCTTAACTGTTAAAGTTGCTACTCATTATAGGTGAATAGTACTTTATATATACACAACAAAGACTTAGACCTGAGACATCATACTGTCACTCGCTACATGTACTTTTGTGACAAGATCACTCTGCATAACACCAGTCATCATCTTTTAGCTAGTATATACTTGACAAAGAGTTTTTTGTTGGATCCCCCAAAAAAAGAAAAAGCAAAAATGCGGAAAAATTGTCTTGTTTTTTTAGCAAAACGTTGCCCAGTGGAAAAAGAAAGAAACAAAATAAAGGTAGTGTAATTGTGTAAACCTTTAGTACATATCACTAGAACTATTATCATGGAAGAAAGCTGCGGAGTACTAGCTTGTCATGAGAGGTCATCATCATTGTCACGGAAAAATAAAATTGTGTTTTGTCTCAAACTAAATTCCAACCAGTAGAAAACAGTTATTGAATCGCGCTAAACATAAACAATTTTGCGTTGTTTTATTGATTTGCCCTCTATTGCACGTGCTCTCGGTAGTTAACTTCCACAAGGAAAAGAAAATAAAAAAGGGCTGTTATGATTTGTGCTACCAGTTGTATTTTAATTAATTTTAGCATGTGATATGTTTTATTGTTTGTTGTTGTTGTTGTTTGTTACATACAGAAATGCAGTTAATGGTAAAATCTTAGCCAACAAAATTTCATGTCCCATCGTCATCAAATAAAACGGCTGTTGCTTTCTTCTTCTTCTTCTTCTTTTTGTTTATTTGGAATACACACAACACAGCTGTTTCTACCACATTAGTCAGACCAGAACCATTTCATTTATAAGAGCTACACATTCTGTGGGGATCTACTACTTTGGCTGACGTTTTTCTTATTTTTTGCAACACCATTTGCTACCCCAAAGGAGACGAAGAAGAAGAAGAAGAAGAAGAAGCAAATAGAGGTGTTGGTTTACAGCTAAACCATACAGCACAAAGTAACAACAAAAACCATCAGATTTTAACAGGTTCACTATGGTTGTCAGGTCATTAATATATGGGGTTATCGATAGAGTCCCTGTGGTCAACAATATCAGCCGATTTATCCAAGACCGACTGCAAGTGTCAGATGTGTCGAGCACCAGCTCAGAATCAAACAGTGACATTGAATCGGACGATGCAACTGAAGATGAATATTTGCAAGAAGTTGTGCTTCCACAATCACCAAAACAAAAGATTCATGCAAAGATACTAAAGAATAGAACAACATCGCCAACTCCAGCCACCACAACTGGATCACAAGATTGTGAACAAGAAGAGTCAAATATATTATTTGATTCACCAACCAAAACAAAGGTCAGTGCAATAGACAGAAGCCATATCAAGCCTGTGTCTGCCAGGCTATCTAAACGCAAAATTGAAACAGCTGAAAAGATTGAAATCCCTGATTTGGATGCGCTTACAAGTCCAACATTGGTAAATGACAGTGACCAAGTGTCGACTCCAAAGCAATATCAATTCGCATCAATGGAAGAACGGCAAACTGGATCGGCCAAACAGGGCAATAAATATCATGTTGAACAATATATGAACGATCAAAATAGCAAGTTTAACGAGTTAATTACCAACAATATTGGTGCTGTATTGAACGAAGATAAAGATGATGAAAGAGATGACGAACTGGCAAATATTGTGTTCAACTATAACAAAGACTTGAACCCCGGTGTCGCTTTATTATCTATGGTTTATGATAATCGCAAAGCTATCGCTTCTTCGGTATACAAATACGGGAAACAACAAGTGCGTTCAAGACTACCTTATATCCCATTTATCAACCCAACAACACAAGTATCACAGGATGAAACTAGTGAATATCTCATTGGAAATGAAAAGGAGAGTTTATCGAGCCCATTTGCGTCACCCATTCTTGGTAAAGCCTTGATGAAACTCGACAATTCACGAGCTGTTACTACTACCGTGGAGCAAGATGAATCAATCAATGTTGACTTGAGTGAGCAAGATCTAATAGATCAGAGAAATTTTGATCAACTAATGACCAATTTAGACGATGAAGTCAAAATTGATATCTTTTTGGATTCGTTAGATGAAAAGACTAAAATTAACTTGTTGCATCTGTTACGCAAGGATTTAAACATGTATAATACGCAACATGAAGATGCATTATCACCACAGTCAGCAGTTCGAAATCTTTACTACAATGAAAACATCTCCACCATAGATAAGGTGCAAATATTTATCATTATATCGGTAAAGTTATTCATCACTGGCGTCAAATTATTCATTCCCATAACCAAATACTTGATATACAAGTTTCAACAAAATCAAATGTTTATCTTCAATGCCAAGAACATGAATAAATTCTTTAATTTCATGGTCAAATTTATGAATTATCTCGATTTGAAACTAAATGACAATGAGGAGTTAATTGATCAATTGTCTAGACAAGATTACCTTAAAACTGAAGAAAATATCGAAGAGATGTATAATGAATTCACAAGCAGGACCAAACTGTATTTCAAACCCAGTTATTTCAAAGATCGGTTTATTGCGAAGGACGATTTTGTTAAGCGAGGAATGTATGATTTAGTCTTGGGGAACGCCCTTGGTGATGATGATAATGATGAGAGCAGACGAGGCAGAATGGTAAAGAGGTATGAAGACGATCCCAATTATGCCATGTATTTCACCGGTAAATCCATTGATTCATCAGCACGCGAAAGTGAAACGGGAAGTTTTATCGATGAAGAGGAGGAAGAGAGTGATGTTTATACTACTGCGCCTAGTCAAATGAACTTGAGCAAGAGGTCTAACTCGTTTTCGGACGGCAGTAGCAGTAGTAGGAGATCAACCTTTTCACGTCGAAGGAAATATGTTAAATTCTAAAAACATTACTGTTTTGTGGCTAGATTTGCTGCATTTTGGGAATGTTATTCTTTTGTTTTAATTCTGACAGTTTTTGGCTTTATTTTTGTTACGCTTAATGTCGTTTGCTATTTGGTATTTATTATTTTATTGGATTACGAAAGAGATGGGGTAAGGGAGTTTCTGGGTATAGTTTAGATTAAGTTGCTAGATTAGATTGAGATTAGATTTTGTTATATTTATATGTAAAAGACGTCATTAGGCTTTACTCTGGAAAGGTTGTAAAAGTTATGTACATCGAAAGACTTGATTCTTCTTCTCCTACAAGATGATCTCTACACTGGAATTCATCAATGTTTCTTTTGAATTGTTTCTGTCTACATAGTTTTTTTTCTTTATTTGCTGTGAAATTGCTGCAAAACTTCCAAGATAAAAAGGACACATTGGAAACAGAAACGTTTTTACCATAGGAATAAACAGCATTCGAAAAGAAACTTAGAGATGAACAAAAATCAAGTATACTCGTAAATTACATCTGTCAATCAAGGTTTTCCTCTTACTAGTCAACTGCCTAATCTAATCAATCAAGAAAAAAAGGTTTAATTGATTCTGTTATCTATACACTGTAGGCATATTTATAACAAAACGTCGTTTTTTTTAAAAGAATGTCCCCGACACCAAAAAAGAAATGAAAAATGACAACTCCGACATTGAAGTTTTCATAAGATTGCTTTTAATAAAAGAGGGAAAGTTTTAGTGGCCAATGAGTTACCGTTTCGCCTAGATTTACATCAAGAGAAAGCATTGACTGTGGTGATGTTTTGCTGTAGTCAATTATCCACCTGGAGACGTCTCAATTGGCCTTTCTTCAATTTTATCTATAGGGTGAGAGATTGCTCTGGACAGTTTTCAAAAGTATAACAGCAACAGACAGACAATTTCAATTTTGTTTTAGTACTATTTCTTCGTAAAAGAACAAAAAATCCAGATATTGAGGCTTTAGCGATCAAAGGGGAAACGAAAAGGGGAAAAGGGACAGGAGTAGTAGAAGACAAATACAGATCTACAGTTGGTGCTTGTGTTGCATGGATAAAGGAGATTGTAGAGATACAATAGAACCATATTGTAAGATATAGCTCAATAAACCTTTCCAGCCAATAATTGCCAAAAGCTGGCTCAAAGATTAAAAGTAAAACGTGTTCATTTCTTTTGTTTAAAAAAGTCTGAAGATTGATGCTACATAAAAAATTTAACCATAATGGGAAAGTATTGTTGCACTTTTGCACTACCTACAAAGAAGACAAAAAAGCACATGAAATCCATGCACACGTAATAAACAAACACCCCTATTTCATGTGTTGCTTTTTCTCTGTCTTGTTTGCACTACTTTTCTATCTAGTTAAGAAAAAGTGTCTGCATAAATTGTAAATTTTCTTTGTTCTTTGTCCTTCTCTTTGATACAAACATGTAAAATGAAACCAGACATAAAATTTTAATTTCTGGTCACTCCTTTTTTTTCTTTTATAAAACTTTTGTCATTTCTTTCCAAAATTTTTTTCTCTCTTTCTTTTCTCCTTTCTTTTTTCCTCAACCAATCATTCAACAAACTCAAAGTTTTTTTTTTTCCCATCAGTGACTTTTTTTTTGTTTGAAGTATACTATACATAACAAACACTTTTAAGTCAACAACTTACCAACTCACCAACCTCCATCAGAGTTTAACATACACTACTACAACAGCTGTTTGTTAACTTCGTCGTTTACCTTCAAATTACAGTTTACACAGAGAATTATCCTACTTTGATTCCTTCACCGGTAACTGTTACTAATATTTTGTTGGTTTTCTTTGAAAGAGAATTTTTGATTTTTTTTTGGTATTCTTACTTTTGATTGGGTGGCCACTTTAATTTTTTGCCCTCCAAAGAATTCAAATTTTTTCTTTTTAATTTAAAGGAGAGAAACTTTTTCTGACGCCTTGATTGGTTGATTAGAGAGAACACACACCCACACCCACATATTATATTTTTTTGGTGGTTATTATTACACGACCTTTTATTTTTGTTTTTTTGTCTGTGGGATAATTTAGTTATTATTGCACGACTTTTGACCTTTTTTTTCTGTCTGAGTGAGAAGGTTTTATTTTCATTTTTTATTATTTTTTTTGGTGTCGCACACGCTACCTAGTTTTTTGTACATACTTTTTACACACATACACACACAAACATGGCATTGTGTCCCAAACCATACACATTTGAGAAACATTTTGCAGCTGTAAAGCCATCATACGCATTGAATAATAACAAGAGTGGTACCGGTGGTGCTAGCGCTTCTGCCGGCAATAAACGTGGTTGTGACTTTTTGTATCCATCTGCATCAAACAAGAAAATATGCTTGCAACGGTTGAGAAGCAATGATTTTCAATTGAATAAGCAGGACTTGGCTAGCAAATACTACTCGTCGTCATCGGAAGATGATGACAGTGAAGATGAACAATCATGTTACGATGCTGAACAGATAAGGGCAAAGAGAAGAGCTTCAACTCGTGCTTCATTCTCAATAGACCCAAAATTGTCAAGAGCAATTTCACAATACAGTGATGACGAAGACGAAGAAGATGTACAAGAAGGCTGCTATAATGCAAAAGTTAAAAGTCCACGTTGCTCACGCCGCACATCAGACTCTTCGATCAAGATTTTAAGATCTGAAGATGAGATTGAAAATTTGGACTGCAAATTAGCATCTAGTCCAGTTAACAGCAGCTTGTCTTTGAAAAAGATGCTTGTAAATGGCGTCAATGAGTGTGACCTTGATGAGGAAGAAGAAGAGGAGGAAGAAGAAAGCGACTCCAACAACCAATCGGTTGCTGTTGCCGACAGAAACGCAAGAGCTAGATGCTTTGAATATTTAGTAGGAGCTATTGATGAAGCTTGGGCAAGATATTGCGATGCAACCACATATGCTGAAGACGAAGTACATGGATATATCACACCAGCTTCACTTGCATCTGGCGATGATGACGACGATGATAAAGAGTTGATGAATGTTAAATGTCGCCTTCTCAGGTCAAAAGATTTCCTTCAAGACCACATTGAGTCTTTTGACATAAGTGATATCAAGAAGTTCTGGCATCGTTGGGATATTACCAAATACCAGATGTTGGATGTTATGGAAGACGAAGATGATGTTTTGGAAGAACTTGAATCTGGTCGCAGAATCTTTTGATGGGAATAATCTATTATTAAAAATATTTTTTTTACTATGTTTTTTTTTTTTCAATTGGGGTTTTAAGTTTTCAATTCAAAGGGGTATTTTTTAAATTATGCTGTAACATTAAGAAGAAGAAGAAGAAGAAGAAAGAGGTTAAATAGTTGAATTATTCTTGTATAATAATAACAATATTATTTGTAAATAAAGGATTCACAATTGTAGGTTCAAGCAGACGATGGTTTTGTTTTGGATGGAAGTGGTAGTAGCGTCTTATTTTTAGGTTGTACGTGTTTTCTTCTCGTTGACAAAAGTTCTGTCGCTCAAATCTACTTACTTTACCTTAACTTCACCCAAACATGAAATTGTCCACCGTATATATTGCCCTTTCAACATTTGTTGTTTCATCATTAGCATCATCACCTCCTTCATCGGATGAGTTAAAGATTGGTACGTGAGACATACGTCTCTTGAAGTGCATTTCCCGACCTTTTATACTAACCCAACTATAGACATCCTCAAACAAGTTGATTGTAAACGTAAATCACAAAAGGGAGACTCCATATCTGTTCACTACAAAGGTACATTAGAAGATGGGACCAAATTTGATAGTTCTTGGGATAGAGGCGTTCCATTACCTTTTGTAATTGGCCAAGGACAAGTTATCACCTGTTGGGAAGAAGGGTTATTGGATATGTGCATTGGCGAACGGAGAAAGATTTGGTGTCATCCAAATATTGCTTATGGGGAGAGGGGAATTGGACCAATTCCTCCTAATGCAGCATTGGTTTTTGAGACTGAGTTGGTTGATATTGCTGGGGTTAAGAAGGAAGAAGAGGGCAAAGAGAATGTTGTTGATGTTGCTGCGGATGGTGACGTCGATGATGATGAGGTTGTGATTGAGAAAGATGAATTGTAAATGTGCTTGGAGTAGATATAAGATTAGTCGATGAGGTTTTTACAGATATACACTCTACGAACTGTGTCAATTGTATTTTCTTATTGTAATCTAGTCACCTAAATTATAACCTATGATGTAAAAGGATGATACTTTTCTACTATCTAAACTGGAGGACATACCCTACCTTGGATAGCATGTCACTCTTTGGCCATTAACTTGAATCAGTCTTTCCGATATCAATCTTTCGATGCTGTACCAAACATTAATCTCGATATAAGTGAACTCCTTCATTCACGTGGATTTCAACTCTTTTTCTAAAAGTCGTAAGCTCAGTTATAGAAGTATTATCCTTTTATAAGATACAATGCTAGTTCACCGTCGTCACAAGTTGTCCACCACCCTCTTAAATCAATTGCTTTGCTTGCGGTAGCGCTCGCTTTTGCAACGGGTAGCTGCAGTCCCTTGACTGTTGCCACTCCCCCCTCGACGTCACCGCCGCATTGTTAGGGATCACGAAAAAAATAAAAGGGGGTGGAAAATAACATGCAACCTTTCCCTTCTTTCTTTCTTCACCATTTAATTACAAATGTCGAAGTTCCTAAAGCCATTGCAAGAGTTCATTGCCTCCAAGGCAGATTTTAGAATTGTTTATTCCACTGCGTCATCATCGGGTTCTACCAATGCACCAGAATTCATAACCACTTCAACACAACGTGTTTGTGTACTTGACTCATCCTTCAATCCCCCTCATTTGGCTCATTATGCTATAATTGAAGAACTGTTGAAGTCCAATTATGACGGTATTCCCATAAACAATAAGGTCTTGCTTTTGTTACTCTCGGTACAAAATGCCGATAAAGTACACCCGCAACCCGAGTCATTTGACCAAAGATTAGAGATGATCCATTTAATGGCCAACCATATTGCTGCTAATTTTCCAATTACAGTTGCAATTGGGTTGACAAAGCAAGCAATGTTTGTCAACAAGTCATTGTCGATCCTTGATTATCTTGACGCACAACAACAAACAATCAAGCCAGGGTTTAAATTGACGTTTCTAATTGGGTTTGACACTTTAATTAGAATACTTAATCCTAAATACTACTTGCCGGACAAGTTGTCCATTTCATTGGAACATTTTATGAAGATGACGGATTTAGTTTGTTTGACCAGACATAGTGAAACAGTTACTATAAACCAACAACTGGTTTATGTAAAAGAAATATCGCTTGGTAAACATGAGGAAATCCCTAGTCATTGGTCTAACAACATCTTTTTGTTGAGAAATATGAATGATAAAGTAGCCACTTTTAGCAGCTCAGGTATAAGACAAGAGATATTGCTGGGGAACCCAGGGTGGGAGAAACAGGTTTTGCCGGAGGTTGCCAAGTACATTATTGACAAGAATCTTTATAAAGAAAGTTAACCAAAGAAGATTAATCAAGCGTACTACTAATCAAAAAGCTTAATAAAACATAAATAGTATTTTAAAAGTACGTAATCAAAGTTCAACGAATACCCACAAGTTAATCATGGTGGTTACAAAAAACACAACATAAAATGTATCCCAATTATATGAAGATGAAGAAGATTTTGTAAACTTGTCATTTTTAGTATTCAGTGTTCTATTCTTGGATCCACTGTTTGACTTGTCTTCTACTTGACCAGTATCCTCATTTTCCACTTCATTTTTTACTTCACTTGCTTCAGAACCATCCTCTTTTGTTCTTGAAGTAACCTTTTCATTGCTGGCATTAGTACACTCAATCTTGCCCCCTCTAACTACTAAACCAATCTCCAGTTTTGTCCATTTCCGGCAATCAAACTGGGGTGAAGTTGAACGGACAATTGCGCTACCTTTCACCAACTTCAAATTCCTAAATGTCAATTCAGTAATTTTTCCAACAATTTCCAAAGCACCACCAATAATCTTTAAATTGGGGAAAAAATTAACCTTTTCGACATGATTATTATTAATAATCATCAAGCCACCGTCAATCTCATCTAATTCGGGAAACTCAACATTCTCCAACTTGGAATTCTTGGATAAATTCAATGTTCCACCAATATACTTCAACCTGGGAAATTTAAGTGATTGAAACAAGCTACTACTTAAACTCATTGACTTGCCAACACGTTCCAAGTTGCCCAAATTCAACAACTCGACGTTATGAATACTCAACTCTTCAACTTGTTTCAAATTGGGTAAATTAACCTTGATTTCGTTTGAATTGGCAGACACATGCAATAGTTCAGTCACTTTTTCGACATTGCAATCAATGGCATCCAAAAATCGATTGTTATTGATATCCAACACCTTCAATTCATCAGCAACAAATCCCGAAAACCCAGTCAATGAAGTATCAGATATGGTTATACTTTCAATCCCCTTGATTTCAGAATTAAATTGCACATTGCTCAATATTGGCAAAATCTCCCATTTCAATGCAAGAACTTGTTTTAAGCTAGGAACACTAATCAATGCCAATGATGTCAATTCAAACAATTGAAACAGTCCAGTAATACTATTCAATTGTGGACTTTCAATACGAACTAATTCAGGAGACTTGAATATAAATAAATTACCTTTAATCTTAACCAAATTGGTGAACGTGATAATTGGGTAATCAAATTCAGAAATAACGACATTTCCAATAATCGTCTCACATTCTATAATGGAGTTCAAGTCACCCAATGAATGAATCACAAACTCCTCCCGTTGACAATGTAAAGGAACACTACTATCAATCTTGAGCTTGTCATCACTGCTGAAATAACCATCCTCTTGGTAGTTTTCATCGTTATTGCCATTGTCTCCGAAATGTGACATTTGCTCAACATAGTCCTGGTTAAACTCCGGTGGAAGAAGCTCGTCAAATTGTGATTTGGAAAAAGATTCACCCGGTGAAGGGGACTGCAAACCTTGTTTTTGGGGAGACGTCACTGCCATGCTGACTAACTCATTTTCATTAATGACATCTATTTTCTGCATTAGTACAAAGCTTGGCACAACTCTTTTTTGCCTTTCATATAATACATACTTATTTTACCGTTTGTGGTACCTAGACAGTGAACAAAGCTGTTGATAAACAAAATAATAACACCGAGCTTCATGGTGATGTTGGAATAAGAAGCTTGTAAATGGTGGCGAGCTTTTTTCCTTTGGAATTTTTTGGAATGGTTATCTAGATTTAGTTGATATATTTATAAAACTGGCTCTTGGAGGAGAACTTTATTTTTCTTCTTTCGCAACCATTTGCATAACAAGAATCTTTTCAATCGAAGAAACTTTACCAGGAAAGGAAAAAAAAATAAAGCCAAACTCTTTGGAGGACAAAATAAGTGTATCTATATGGAAGGAATTTAAAATGAGTGTCTTCTTTACTGTATGAAAAAAAGAGAAAATTGGGCAAAACTGGTGGGTGTTTAATTGATTTGAACATAACAGAAAAACATATTGCAAAGCAAAACCAAACATTCAAAAGACAAGTCATTGGTTGGTTACCACTTTTAGGAAGACTCTGTATATGACAAGCCTCAATGTTTATATCTTGAGCTCTTGTAATATGGAATTTCAGTTGAAGATGTTTCTTCAGTGAAGAACTGTCGCATAATCATTAATGTAGATGGCGCAACAAACAATGAAAAGGACTACACCCTACCTTTCCCAGCACCACCTTAGCAAGCCCCATACGCACCACCCCTTCTCTCATCACTATTTCCCACTCCTTCTCTTGCTTCTCTCTCTTCAGGTAACTCTTGCAGCCAAAATAAAATAAAAAAGTCGTGTACAATGCACCCGATAATCTATTCGGGTCGAAAAACTATCAGCAAACCAAAGTTATCAAAAAGATTACCACGACCATCGAATTAACAGAGTCTCAAATACACACCACAATCGATCCCTCCTTCCTTCCTTCATTCATTCATTGCATAATCTACGTATCATCCAATGTCATACATAACGTCATCAATAGTGACACTCTCACTTTTAACAGTGGGTGGCTATATGTTATTCACGGGAGCCGGTGAATCATTCAACGTTGGAGAATTTTTGGAAAGCACATCACCATATATGTGGTCGTCATTGGGAATTGGCTCGTGCATATCGTTTTCAGTAGTGGGAGCTGCATGGGGTATATTCATCACTGGTTCTTCGATTATTGGAGCTGGTGTTAAAGTGCCTCGAATCACCACTAAGAATTTGATTTCAATTATCTTTTGTGAAGTCGTTGCCATTTATGGGTTGATCATGGCAATTGTGTTTAGTGCTAAATTGCAAAGTGTTGACAAAGATGCTTTGTTCTCAAAGGAGAATTTGTATACTGGGTACTCGTTATTTTGGGCCGGGTTGACTGTGGGTATTTCGAATTTAATTTGTGGTATTGCCGTTGGAATTACTGGATCTACTGCTGCAGTCTCTGATGCAGCCGATAGTTCGTTGTTTGTAAAGATATTGGTGGTTGAGATTTTTGGATCTGTATTGGGGTTGTTTGGGTTGATTGTTGGACTTTTGATGACTGGTAAGGCACAAGAGTTTAGTTGAGATAAGAAGAAGGGACTCAGTTTTCTACAAGATTAAATAAAACAACAGCTCATTATACAAAAGTTATTAGTAAATTCTCATTCTCTATCCTTTATTCTAGATCAACTATCTATATCCATGAATTCAGGATTCTTCTTCAATATAACGACACCTTCCAACGAATTGCTCAAACTTATCCATTCGTCGTTTTCAAGTTCAGCCCGTTCACCGTAGTTTAATAGCACTGGAGTGGATTGCGTGACCCATCCAGTAATGGTTTTGGGCTTACCTGCTTGACCAACAACATCAACAGCTTGACCCACTCTTACATTGACCTTTAAGGGTTGCAAGTTTTCATCAACAGTCACCAACAGTTTAGGTTTGATGGCGGGGGTTAAATAATACAACAATTCATGACTTGTTTCTGTTGTTGAATCATTCAAAATGAATGCTCTTGGGTCTAATAATGCAACAGATAAGGTCAACAATGAAGCCAATGCCGTATTAGACAACACGGTTCTTTCTATATTGAAAGGCGATAATGTCAAGGTTCCCTTACCCAAATGCAATAAACCTTGGGCAACCCTAACCATAAATAACGTATCGGGCGATTTGATGTAGTACGAAGCCAATTGTCTCAACAATTGTGCCAATCTTGCATTGTTTGTACCAGCACCAACTAAACCCATGGCATAGATGGAGTTTTGCGCAACTTCCAAATCTGGGTCGTGTGAATATCTTGACAAAGTTTCAAAAACCTTTATCTGCGGGTTGGACACTGAGACCAATCCCATAGCCAATGGCACCGCTCTACGTATTAATGAATTTCCGTAATGCATCAAATGCCCGAAATGACGTAATGACATATCCTGACCAATATCCTCGCCCATAGCAATACTGGCCAAACCCAACACTGCAATTCCTTGGTATAATTCCTCATCTTCATCCACTTCATCATTGTCGGCCTCTTCCTTGTTCTCAGCCTCTTCTTTATTCTCAGTCTCGGTTGCTTCAGTTTCATTAGCTTTGTTTTCCGTCGATTCACCTTCTTGGGTTTCATTGCTTTCTTTTGCATCTTCCATATCAACATCACCGTCTCCTTCAGCCTTTTGTTCCGCCTTTTGCTGATCTTCTTCAGATTGCTCCAATTTCTTTTCTTCATCAAGTTGGTCTTTCGGTTTAGCTGCGCACATTTGCAACAATGCCTGGATTTGCAAAACGTTACCAGTACCAGCATAGGCACAAATATTGACCAACACTTTCAAGGTCTTACTGATTGGATGTTCAATAGCGTCGATGGTCTCCAATACATCTTCAACTTGTTCAGTCTTACCCATGTACAAAAGACCCAAACCTAATGCCATAAATTTGATAAATTTGTTGGCCAATTGGGCAAAATCTCTTTCCAATAACGTTTGCAAAATGGTTGAAGTTATGTCTCCATGACATGTTCCAACAAAAGTATGTCCCAAAGCCAATGCAGCTAAACACGAAACCTCTAATGGCGCGTCCAAATCGGAGACCAATGGCAATAATAAGTTCAACACTTCCTCATTAGCAGAGCCGGCAAATGCAATACCCAACCCATTGATTGCAGCAGTCTGGTACAATTTGTTAGAGTCGTTGACGTAATCTTGCAATAATGCAAGTGCTGCATCAACATCGTCGTGGACATTGGCAGACACAATACCAGTACCCAACAAAGCACCAGCCTTAACTTCTGGATCATCAGAATAAGTGTATTTATCCAAAACCTGCAACCCTTCGTTGACATCCCACTGGTGGAGTGAACCCAAAGAAGCTGTAGTGGATACCATACCTTTACCCTTTGTTCTATAAATCCAAGACTTGTTATCCTCTTCTGACTTGACCAACTTGTCTTTACCAAATCCAAGGTTCAAAAAAGCATTGACAAACGCAGCTGCAAGATTTTGCTTAGCGGAGTCAATGGATCCAGAGGTTCCCAAACCATACTTTGAGTTTTCCAAATGCGACTTGTAAACATCTTCCGGAACTCTGGGATCCAACAAGTTCAACTCTTTGATCAAGTACTGGAAATATTCACTCAACTTGACATTACTTATAGTCTCTTGAACTTCTTGGTTTTCCTCTGGTAACTTGAAATTGCTGCGTTGTTGTGACAAGATGAAACCCAATTGTTTATGAACCAACTCATCTTTTGTCGAATTAAAAACTTGATCTATTAACTCTTTGTCATCCAACTTAATTGCTATGGTCAAGGCTTGAGTCAATTGGCCGTGGCTCAAGTATATGGCAAAAGCTGTGTTTAAAAAGGAAAGGTCATCAGGTGGAGCCAAGTATGGTACCATACTAGTAACATAAAGACAAACTCTTGCATATGTGCTGTCATCGACAAATTGAGGCAATTTATCAATCATCTCAATCTCTGATAACAAGTCCACTGCATCTCCTTCAGCATTATGTTGCAAAAAGTAGGGAACAATTTTCAATGCTAATTGAGTCAACTTCAACACCAATCCTTCGTCAACACCGAGATTTTCTTGATAGGATTCTCCTATTTCCAAGGCCAAGTGGCGCAAATACTCATGACCCCAGTCTTGAATAGTGTCAGTGTTTGACAATAATCTATACTTTACCGATTCCTTTTTGCCCTCGTTTGAGTATGTCATTGCCAATATTGACAAGATATCGGCCAAGCTGGATACGACTGCGTTTTTAGCACCAAATTTCTTACTCCATTCATCATACAATTCAGTCAAGTCGGGGTAGCTTGGTCTTAAGAATTTCAATGGTTTAGGCACGGCAGTCATGGAGGTAGTAGAGTCTTGAATGAATCTCTTCAACGATTCCAAATACTTGGCATATTGGTCTTCCGATTGATTTGGCTCCTTCAATTTCTCCACTATCAGTTCTAATTCTTCTTTAAATTGCTGGTCTTCCTCAGATAATTCTTCTTCCTTGTCCACATGTTTTTTTGGCGGGTTTGCATCTTTGGCAACCGCAGGTGTTTGTTGGTGATCCTTAGTTTCTTCCTGTACTGGTGCCATTCTTGCTGTAATAATCTAGCCTATGAGATGTTCTTGTTGTATCTGTTGACAATGGATAACTGGTGGTAGTAAGCACGGAATGAATTACGATTTGACTGATTTTGCCTTTGGTATTATGTATTCTATTTTGGGCGATAGTTTGATTTTCACTCTCACTCACTCACTCATTCACTCTATTTCTTTTTTAGCAAAGTGGCAAAAAAAAAAGAGAAAAATTGAAAAGTCGACTTTTCCTGCATGTAAACCGAGTACACTACCAAATGAGGAGGGTTCAAACAGAAGCCTACAATGAAAGTCCCTCTAATAGAGAAGAGTTTGTTTTGGATGAGCGAGTTCGACTACTTAGTAGGTATATCATAAATGGGTATAGCGTGTTTCGGACACATTAAACGTGATTTGGATTTAAGGAATCAACGGCCCAGGTCCAATGGATTCCAGATACCAGGTGGTTCCAACTGGCAATCCCTTAAAAGGTGGATAGAGTATAAGCTGAGATACAATGCAAGCCAACATTCATGGAAGGATGATCTAGGCAGCCATCATCTGTCAATGTACTCCATTTAAAGTAGCATCTTCCGCTACCAAATGCAAATGATAATTTTCTATTTCTCCCTTTTCTCTTAAGGAAAAAAACAAAACAAAAAAAAAAACGCGTTAGTTAAAAAAAAAAAGAAGCAGAAGCAGAAGAAGTAGAAAGCTATTTTTTGTTTGTTTGTTGTTTGTTGTTTACTGTTTGTTCTCTCTCTCTCTCTCTCTCTCTCTTCTATACAAAAGGATTTCTTCTATTTACTCTAAAAGCTAAAACCAATTTAATTTTAAATACGGGTGGATATTTTTCTTCACCTATTTACAAACAGGTGTTCTTTATTTGTTTCCGCCAATCTTATGTTTCAGTAGCCCATACCAAAGTACTCAACAGTTCAATACACCATGGATAGGATATTTTACAACTCAAACCTGCGTGACCCCATAACAAATTACCCCATATACATTTTCGACACTTCATATCTTCCATCGACTGACGTGATTAATTATGATAAGCTAATACCGGTGTTGATGCAGCATTTACCAGGGAGACCCTATGTTTTAGTGATGTTTTCTGATGGGTTGAATAGAATCAGTTGGGTTTGGGGGTTGAAATTTATAAAGAGCTTTATGAGCAATGCTATCAACTTGAATAATTTGGTCAAGGTATTTACAGTACATGATTCCTGGTTTATTAAATCGATAACTTCGGTTATACACAATTACCACACAACGAAGCACAACATTGAAGCGATCAATTACATGTTGGATGCATTTGCCCTAGAGCCAAAGGGGCAAAGACATACCGATGTTATACATTGCCGTACATTGAGTGAATTGAGTCATTACTTGAATATAACCATGTTGAAGATATCATTAAATATATACCGGTATGACTTACAGTTGGAAAGTGAGATTAAGTTGTCATTGAAGATGGCTCCCGTTATCAACTCCCATGTCATGTTATCACCACAAACGCATCCGGCATTTTACCATCATGTCTATCAATTGCTAAATATTATAAACACGCATGGTTGCAAAAAGGAATTGTTATTCTATACACCGGGGAAAAGAGATAACATTGATATCTTGTATCAGTGTATTTCGAGAAACCAACTTATTTGGATAAATGATTGGGATTTGTATTGCATTTCTACTGTCTTTAAGAAAATACTACTGGATTTACCATTTGCATTGATACCGCACAAATTGGTATTACTACCTATACAGGATGATCTTGAATACACTCAAGCTATTTTAAATGCCATTATAACGTCGCATCGGCAGTACACAAAAACAGTTAATTACGATCAATTGCTATTACAATTGTTTCAAGTTTTTACCAAGCTTATTTCTAATGAACTGGTTACAAAGCACAGTTCAACTACAATTGCCAAGTGCATGGCTCATTGTTTATCACATGAAGTGATTTCAACTGACAAGAGCCATGTACTTGTGATTCAACGATTTGTCAAGAATGTGTTGCAATACTGGGATGAATTGAAAATGTCATACGATTACCCTTTAGTTGAAGATATTGTTAGTGGAGACTATCAGGGTAATAACATTGAAACCGCATATGAGATGACTTACGAAGTCACCTATGAAGATGATGATAGTGATGAGGAATCTCGGGTGTTATTTAATACGAGCAACATATTGTATTCAAATTCTGAGCTAGAATTGGACGACAGTGCACAGATGAATGGGACTGCTAAACATGACAACTTCTTAGAGGAAGCTGTTGAGATAAAGCCAGGTCGGACTTCTATTAATAAATTCCAGTCCCCAGTAAAAGTCAAACAAATGCCAGACAGTGAAGAAGATTTACCCCTCAAACCACCAAGACCGGTAAGTAGAGCCCACAGCAAGAGAAATAGAGATTTATCACCAAGTAAAGCTCGCGAACCAAAGGATGCACCACCAGCTCCAAAACCAAGGTTATCAAAGCAAGACGCACCTCATACTACTGTGTTTACAGATAACAAAGAACCAATACAACCTAACTTCGACAAGGGATCTGAAATGGAGGATGAACAATTACTAAATGACGAAAACATTGCACCCAAACCATCAGTTACCACTACCGCCCCCAAAACGCCAATTCGCTCGCCAAGATCAACTAAATCGGGAGCCAAATTATCAAACGTGTCCAACCTTCAATTACAATACCCACCACAAAAATATCATTTCACTAAACCAAGCCCCTTACCGGTTAAAACACCAACCCTAAATACTGCCGCTAGTGGACATAATGATCAGGTTGATGTTGAACATCAACATGAAGGCGACTTGGCAGCACCGCCACAAAAGAAGAAACCAGTGATTAGAGGTCGTAAAGTTTCCCAATTGGCCAAATTATTTGAAGAACGGTCGCAAGGGTTGGAAATCTTGAACAGCATGTAGAGTCAGACAAATATTCATACAGACTTAAACTATACTGGCGAGGCGAGTTTGCAACGATGGAAATTCATGTGTTGATTAACTATATAGGTAAAAAAGATCAGTCCTGAAAGTACATTAATAATAGCGCCTTATTTGCTTACTCTCCAACTAATCGCGAATCGATATTATCCATAGACAAATCACCATTATCTTGATAAGGATGGTGATGATGATGATGGTCTTGACGTCCAACATTGACATTGACATTAGCTGCGGCAACAGCAGCGATAGCAGCAGCAGCACTGCCATCAGAATCATTCAAACCATGGTCTTGCAAATGTTGCTGATACTGCTGGTACTGTTGTTCATCAAGTTGGTGTTGTTGAGCTTGGGTAGCTGCAACAAACTGACGTTGAAACTCTTCTTGTTGTTGTTGCGCCTGATCTTGTTGTTGCTGTTGTTGCTGGTGAACTTGGTTTTGGCTTTGGCTTTGATTTTGGTTCTGTTGGTGTTGATGTTGATGTTGCTGTTGTTGCAAGTGTTGAGCTTGTTGATTTCGTTGGCTTTGTTGATTGTGCTGCTGTTGCTGATTATGGAATGCTTCGTAACTGGCAATGTCTTGGCCATCACCCAAGAACGCATCAGCATCAGCAGCTGCAGCGACAGCGGCAACAGCATCGGCAGTATCGTTGTTTCCAGATCCATTACCAATGACTCCACCATTACCACCAGCGGCAGCGGCAGCAGCAGCGGCAGCAGCTTGCTGTGCTGCTTTCTTCCTATACTGAGCATTAGCAATCCTTGATGGATTGTTGAACCCAAATCTGGAGTTTTGCTTCTTCAATTTACGTTTGTAACCTCTAATTTCATTGTAAATGTCCTCGCGCTTAATTATAAGATCAGGATACAGCTCTCTGATCTTGGACTCAATGTGTGATGGTTTGGTTCCCAATTTGTACAAATCTAAAATCAACACATTCAACTCATCGCTTCTCTTGCGAAGCATAGGATGGTTACTCAATGGATCCAACTGCGGATGATTGTGTTCATTACAAGTAGTTCTCAAGGTCCAAATACCAGTTGATTTCTTGTAAGAAGCAGTCATGGAATAAGGACACTTCAATTTCTTGGTCTTGGTATCTGGATCCAACATGTATCCTTCACCAACATCAACTTGTTTCAGTTCATCAATCTTTTTTGTCTTTTTATGACGATAACGACCACCTAATTCACAAGTATAGTAGATTGCCTTTTTGTTAGAATGAGCAATAACAACACCAAACCCATTATCTCTAGCAAAATCAGCAATAAATTCATTCAAATCATCACGACTTTGGAAAACTTGGTCCGGGTATGCACGTGTTATTAAATTACCTTCAGCAGTGATGGTGTTTTCTTGAACAGGGTAAATCTTCAGCTTGCTATCAATAATGGGATCGGGGATTTGGATATTGTATTCAGCCAATTCATCAGTAGATGGACCGGATAAATCAGGTAATTGTGGTCCTCCATGATGTTGTTGACGAGGATGAGGATTACCATAATTGTTTAATCCGGCAGCAGCGGCAGCGGCAGCAGCAGCAGCTAATGCTTGTTGCTGTTGTTGTCTTACAAATTGCTCTGAACTTTGTTGCGCTTGTTGCTGCAACTGGTACTTTCTAAATTCATCTTCATCTAAAGCTTGTTGCGGTTGATGCTGACTTGGTAATGTATTGGCAGACGCCCTATTGTTTCTTCTATTTTGGCGCTTGGGCTCTTGTTTCAAAACTTGTTGCTGCAGCAGTTGCTGTTGTTGTTGATTATGTTGTTGCTGTTGTTGCAGATTATGTTGTTGTTGCAGCAGTTGTTGTTGTTGTTGTTGTTGTTGTGCTTTTGCTGTCTCGGATACATTAGCAGCTTGAGCAATATCCTCTAACTTAATTCTTGAGTCATGGTGTGAATCAACACTGTTGAGTAATTGTTCATCAATGTTACTAGCGAAATCATCTTCTGGAGCAGACATAATGGGGTAGATGTATATAAGCGTATTGTAGAACAAAAATGCAAGATATGTATATTTTGCAACTTGATGTTTGATACACTACTTTGGATAATGGTACACACCTTTCTTGTTAAATTGTTTTGTTTTCAGAATTTTTTCTGAAGGCAAGGAGAGAGAGGGTGTGTTGAAATGGCCAAAAAAATTTTTATTTCTTTTTTTTTTTTAATTTTTTATTTTTTAGTAAATTATGCAGAGTTGCACTACCTTGCAAAAGGTCGTGCATTACACAATTACGCAAAAGTAATTGGTAGCATATTCTCTAGTTAATACGAAGCACATTTACAGGATGAATTGGTTGATATTACTATTATTTACATGCATAAAGACATTCTCATATACTCTCTTCATCAATTTCAAGGTAATCCTGAGCCCAAGTGGGCAAAATAAATGAGCTTTGATGAACCAATTGATTATAATATTTAAACAATTGACTCTCTTTCTTTCTGTCAAACACTCTCAATGGTTTTGTCAAATTGAATGAATCATTTGTCGTGGCTACCAATAATCCCAATTGTCCCGAAGTGTAACTTGGCATATAACATTGACAAAATTTCACATTTGGAAACACGTACTTACATTTCTTGATTAAATTTTTGAGATATTTCAAATTAAGCCATATATTCTCCAGCGATTGCATAATGACAATGCCATGGTGATTCAATGCATTACGCAATAGTTTGAAATAATTGACTTGGAAAAATTCTTCTGCTGGACCTTCAGGATCAGAGGAATCGGTAATTATAACATCGAATTTCAACTTTGTCTCACGAAGGAATTTGAACCCATCGTCAATTATCAAATTTAATTTGGGATGATTATGATATTTAGCCATTTGGGGAAGATATTTTGTCAGCAATTTGATAACCATATCATCAATTTCAACCATGGTTATTGACTCCACAGTTTGATCCTCAACATGTTTAATCAACTCTCGAATAACCCCACAGTCACCACCTCCTATGACCAATACTTTTTTGGGCGAGGGATGCGACATGATTGGTACATGAGTTATTAATTCTTGGTAGGCAAATTCGTCCTTTTCAGTACACTGTATGATACCATTGAGAACCAATACATTACCAAAAGAACTGGACTTGAAGATGAGTATATCTTGGTATTGTGATTTAGTGTGGTACAATATTTGGTCCACTTGTAAACCAAATGCCTGTCCGGGGAATGCATCAGCAGACTTCTCATAGAACCAATACTTCAGTGTCTTTGGATCAAATGATATAGCATCGTGATTGAAGGTTGTGATATCTATTGGTGTATCTTGTTCTACAGTAGTTGATGTGGAGCTAACCGAACCTCCATTTTGATAATCGTGCATGGTTCTTTATATTCGTAGACTCGTATGCTCTGTGAGATGGTAAAGTGAGAAGTGTGGGTTGTGCGGGTGAAAGGTACTGATACTATATTATACACCCCATGGAGTTATCTATCTATACCACTAAACTTTGATTGTATCAAGGGGACAACTTGTGTGGATAATATTTTTTTTTTTCTTCTTCCTTCCATCTCTTCCTTTAATTAAATTCTTCTTATTATTATTATTATCTATGATTTTGTGTAGTAATATGTACATACTCAATAGGTTAAATGGTCTTGTGCCAGTTTTGTTGAAAATGCGTGGTGGAGTGAAACAACACCTTACATATCGAGGAAGTGACATAGAATTACCGAGATATATTAGAAGATAACCGAACAATTACATAGACAAGAATTACCGGTTGAAAGTGACTTTACATGAACAACTTTAAAAATTTAATTGAGAAACTTAGTTTCAGGGTCAGCTTTAGGCTGAAGTTAAAACTTCTTCCGTTTAGAACCCCCAACCAAGAGGGGGCAGTAGATTATGAGAATAGTGGATATAACCCAACAAACCTTTTAGAGTTTCAAAGGAATGCACCATTGTGTGTAGTTCTTGAGTGGTATTTGTTGAAGTTTCATGTCACACTTCATTACCATAGAGAATCGTCGGTTAGGGGACGCAATTTTCCATAAACGACTACTAAAACAGATCCTTGACAAATTGACAATGTCAACATCTATCTACATATTGTGCAAAGACAAACGCGAGGGGAAGCTTGGTCGATTTGCTCGAGTGACGTGTACTTTTTTCGGCTACGATCGGATATTGCTTTGTAGTGATTGGCTCTAAATAACTAGCCCCGTGTCAGAGTTTAAAACTTTAATATTAAAACTGTGGAGTATATTCTGAGACACATTTTACATGTTTACATGGGAAGCTAAATTCTTTTAAATGCAAAGACATCTCTCGTTCCCTACTCCGAGGTCGTTCCTAAATCAAAAAGGAGGAGAAGAAGTTTGTGTAATTTTGATAACAATACACTACTTTTCCGCTAACGCGGGGATAAAATCTAGACATACGTTTGTGTGTCTTACATTTATTGTATTGAAGTCGTGTACTTAGTACAATCCAACAAAAACAAAGCAACAGTCACACCACTGGTGAAACAATGTTCGTATTTCGGACTTCTGTTGAAATAAAAGTTAATCACTTCCGAAAGCTAAGCTGAAGTCTGATCTGGAAACGACCGTCTACCGAAATAAGTAAGCATCATGAGACAAATGGAAAGAGGTGAGATGAGAAGATTTGAGGTCCAAAAGCAAATATAGCCTTTAATTTATGTTTTGAGTAGTTTATGGTTTTATAGCCACTAAAATCTTTGACATAAATAAAAAACATTATTCTGCATCTATTACATACCAAAGTACAAGAATTTAAACTCAAAATGGAGGCTATAAGCGGGTATCTCTCTCTACAAAATACGAACATCCATACACACACATATATATATATATATACTATTATTATTTGTCTAAAAAGGGGAAGATTTACTAAAAATAAAACCAACCCACTTTACACGACCTTTTCCCATCACACTACGCACACTACACACACCACACACACAAATAACTTTCTACAAACAATAAAAAAACAAAAAAAAAAGAACAAATGAACTAAAAGAACAAAAAAAAGTAAAAAAAAATTCATCAAAACAAAAGGACCACACTGCTAAGATAGATCTTTCTCTGCTAATACCACTACTGATACAGTTCAACCACGAGGCCTCAAACCGTAGTTCTATACAACAGCTTCTAAGAAAGCAACATTTGCCACAAGTCAAAAAGATATTTTTCTTTACTAATACTGTGCGTTCTAGACGAGAGAGAGAAAAAATAAAGACAACCAAAATATTTATCCGTGATTATAATAAAACATAGCCCAAAGATACCATAGCAATACATACTATAATGAGAACGCAACTGCCTTTACAACAGAATAAACAACAGATTCATATACCGAAGAAGCAGTTATCATCACCTGCAACCAATATGAAGAGTGGAAGACTTTTTTCAAACACTACGAGTGAGACTATAACACGTAACTTCTTTAGTATTGCTATAATTGCATTTATAGTGACCACACTCAAGTATATCTTTGACACCTTTTACGAACTTTTATTGAAACAGTCTCCACTAGTGATTATTCAAGAGGACTCAAATGCTCAATCTACAGGGGATGTCAAGGGAGCGCCTCACCATGACGACGACAAAGAGGAGGAAGAAAAAGAAGAGCCAAAGGACATTTTATTTCCTTCAATGAATACTACCAGCGACTCTGGCTCTATTAAGGAACAGAAAGCAGAAGAATGTCTAGTACCAACAAGTTGTTCTATGGGACTAACAACTAGACTCCTACCAGTAAAGAACGAAAATGGCGAATTGGAATGGGTATTCACTGAGGATGACTCGGTGTTGACCAAGGGCGCAGAGTTGGATGCATTCAAGATCCCTCAACCACATAACCTCAAACAAAGAGAGATTATCAATGAGTTGTCACCAACCATGTCGAATTCATCTAACGAGACAACCTTATCAGCAAAGTTGGAATCAAACACCTCGCTAGGCAAAGAGCAATCAGTTTCGCCAAACGACTCTTCCCATGAATCATCTTCGCCATACATGGAAGAAGATTTCGAAGAAGGAGATGGCGGGGATAAATCGTTCCAATGTCCACACTGTGATGCCACCTTTAAGATTAGAGGTTATCTCACAAGACATTTGAAAAAACACTCTAGCAGTAAGGCTTATTCCTGTCCTTTCTACTCCCAAAGTATATACAGAGATGAAAACAACATCACCCATAAATGTCACCCCAATGGAGGATTTTCAAGAAGAGATACCTATAAAACGCATTTAAAGTCTAGGCATTTCAACTATCCCAAAGGTATCAAGACCAAAAATAGAGGTAATAGCGAAGGGCATTGTTCAATGTGTGGAGAATATTTCAATAGCGCAGAAATATGGTGTGAAATACACGTTGAAGGTGGTGAGTGCAAATTCCTTCCTCAAGACTACAAAGGTAAGTCTAGGCTCAAGAATAGGTTGAAGAAGAAGTTACAAAAGAATGAAGAAATTACCGATCCTGAATTGTTACCTTTTGCTTCTAAAGTTCTTGAAGAGGTGAAACAACAAAGAATACAAAAGAGATTAGCCAGAAAGGAAAGAAAAAAGAAGAGCTTGAAACAACAAGTTCAAGAACAACATCAATTTCGTAACGACCACCCCAACCCAGCTTACCATCATTTGAATGCTCCAGTATCGACATCACCACCACAGCATATGGATACTCCTACCTCCATAGCATCTTCGTCACAATATGAGTCATGTTCGACGCATTCACCATTCACTCCACAAACTTCAAAGTCTCCATTAGGTCTAATGACAAACAACTACGTCAAAGAAGATCAAGCTCATGTCCACATTGCTGTACCTCACCATCAGCCTCAACCACAATACATACCAACACCATATCGGTTTGACCATATCACTACGGCTCATGATCCAAAACCAATTATTAGAGAGGATTATGATGACGAATATTGTCTTGATGTCGATCAGTTAAGTCCTGCATCGACGCGACAGTACAATGAGGTGGCACAAATTTACAAAATGCAACAGCAACAGCCAAGTTTGCAGGAGCAAATGTTGTATGAACAACATCAGCAGCAGCAACAACAACAGTATTTCCAAACAGTACAACGTGTTGGAAGTCAGTATATGAATTGATGATCTTTCTTTTTCAACCGAGGTGTGTATTTCTTACGTTATTATTTACGAGGGTGGGTTAATTTGGCGAATTTATTTTTTTGTTTTCAAAGTTTGTCTAGCCAGACTGCTGAAGCGTTTCCTTTTAAAGGTTCCCAAATCGTTATTTTATTAGATAAATGTATTTTTTAGCAATGTTTTATTTTTTTTGGTTTTTGAATCACAGCTAGGTCTCTTCAACAACTACACTCTGGCTACTCTAAGAGAAGATATCATCAATTGCCGATCTTGATGATTTCTTGCTTGACCTTGATTTCTTTGATTCATTGCTTTTCTTTTTCTTTTTTGAGGATGCAGCGAATATATCATCAATAGAATTTGGTGGTGCTGGTTTGTGCTTGCGTTTTGATTTATTTGGTGGTTCTGATGACGTAGGATGGTCCACTTTTGGTGGTTGGGAACTTTTATTCTTCTCATTCTCCTGGTTGGCACCCAGGCTCGCTCCTGTTAGAGAAAGAACATTCAATTGTCTAGTCTGATTACTATTTGCGTCTCCTTGAAGAGCTGTAGTGGCTTCATTCTCGGGGGTGGCCGCAGTGTCATCCTCATCATAAGCTATTTCTTCACCTAAATCATCTAAATCATCTTCATTCATATCACCACCAAACATATTACCCACATTGCTCAAATTTGTATCGGTGTAGTCACTAGCAGGTAGATTAGTAACTCTCTTAACATTAACACCATCAATATTTTGCACTAAATGGACAATTTTGGCCAAGTTCCCAATCAAGGCAAAGCCTAAAGTAATGTATTGTCCCAAGACTAGTATCGAATTATATGCCCAATATGCACTGCGCGAAACCTGTATTATCTTATTGCTTAGTTTTACCATTTGACTTTGCTTATGCTCTATTCTCAATCGATACTTGGGGGTATTCTGAAGTCGATCTATATCGATTTGTAGCTTGAGTAGTTTGCGTAGATTACGATATATTATATTGAGGTATTTGAACCAGTGCTGTTGACGATGTTGGTTTTTGGAACGGTGGTGAAGTATATTTAGAATTTCATATTCGTTTAGAAGATCTGCGTGTATCTGATTATCCATTTGAGGAGTGTTGATGATATATACCCAGGTGTGGTGGCAGTTATAGCATATTCCGTTTAACACAAAGTGGAAAAAAAATTAAAAAGTTGAAAAAAAAGTATATGCAAGTGATGATGAGCTTTCATTAAAAAAAAAAGGATCAATTTCTATAGTCTGTCTTATACTTAGTAATTCACATTTGGAAGATAATGACCGATATAATACCACAAGCCAGGGGTTTCCTAGCTACATCGCAACCTGAGAAGGCATTGGAAATTCTCACGCCTCACATCACTTCCAATACAACATCTCCTGAATTTCTTGCTATATTAGGTGAAACTTTACTTGAAAGCAATGAATTAGAACAAGCCTACAATATTCTAATACAAGCATGTGAACTAGATCCTGATGCAAGTTTGGGAGTTGAAAAGTTTTTATACTTGGGACAAATTATTGGTGGTGCTGATGGTTTGAATTATATAAATACTGGATTGAATAAGTTGAATGAAATATTGGCCAGTATAAACCAAGGACAGATGAATGGCGAAGAATTGCAAAAAGGGGGATACAAAGATACTAATGAATATAAACAGTGGGTGGATAAGAAGTTAAATCTGGGTATTTTTGCCAGTGTTGAGATTTGGATGACTGATTTATGTATGGAACCCGAAGCAGAATCGAAATGTAACGAGTTGATTGAGTTTAGTTTATCTATTGATCCTACTAACCCGGAAACGTATTCCATTTTATCATCAATTAGAATTTCACAGCAACGTCAACAAGATGCCATTGACGCATTAAACAAATCATGGGAGTTATTCAAGTTGCATAAAACAAAATTGGAAGATTTTGCCAACAAAAAGGAAACCAATGAAACAGGTGCTGACGATGCGTTCGAAGTAGGTATGGAGTATGTTGAGTTGATCCAACCTTTGGTTACATTATCTCGATATGCAATTGAATTGGAACAATATGAAGTTGCCATTGATATCGCTTCTAATATTCAAGATATCAATGACTCTATACTAGATGCATTTTACATTGAAGCATTGGCAAACTTGTTCAAGGCTAAACAAATATCAACAGCATCGTTTAATGGCAGTAATAATGATGGGAAGGACGATTATCGTGAATTGGAAATCTCTCAGTTGAACGATACACCCGAGATTAAACAATTACTTGCTAATACAAGGTCGACTTTGACATCTGCTTATAAAATAATCAATAGTGAATTGGATAGTGAGAATGATCCAGTATTGGCTGATCAAGTGAATGAGCTATTGAATCAATTAGGTGGTCCAATAATGAGTGAGTTGATGCCAAAAAGAGAAAACTTGGACGATGAAGATGTAAACTGGGAAGAAGAGATTGTTTCCGATGATGAGGCGTAGCGTATAAGTTTATCTTAATAGACAGCTCCTATATTTTATAGTATGCAATAATTGTAGTGTAAATGATTAAATTGCAATCGTGCTCTTTGCTATTCTGCGGCTCATCACATAAGAAAAGAAAAGCTTATTGTGAATACAAAAGTACACCGCAATTACAAAACCCCACTATAACTCATCCATAATGACAACAAACCACAGACCAACGTTAGAAAGCAAAAAGGGTAAAAATATCACTATTCGAGACTCAATAGTACATGCGCGGTCTTTGCCTCAACTGCAGAATCTTAAATTAAGATCAGATATACCAGCCCATACTTTTGATAGTGCTGTAACGGAGTTGAAAAACGGTAATAGGAGAAGCGATAGTAGCGGGCAAGACCATAATATAGCTGCATCATTGCAAGCAAACAACGCTCAAGACGATGCTACAGAGGGTGAAAGTAGTGAGGATGATGACAATGACGAAGCAACTCCAAGCCTCAAAACCCTGGCTAACAAAGACCCACATAATAAACGCACAAATCAAACTATTAAGAGAATACGAGAGGGTAATGGTGAACAGATCGAGCATTGCAAATTAATCGACAAAGAGGACACCGAGGTCAAGACTTCTGTTGAGTTATTAGAAGAAGGAAGTGATGCCGAACCCAAGTTAAAAAAATCACGAGTGAAAGTTGAAGCAGCAATAGGTGGCAAACTCAATAATAAATCAAGCAGTGGGGATGAGGAAGATGACGAGGATGAGGATGAAGACGAAGGTGAAACAGCTGCTTTGATTGCTGAAATAAACAGGATCAAACAAGACAAGACAAATACACCTAGTATAGACTCTCCTTTTACAAGCCAATTACCAAATTCAAATCAGATGCATAACCAAGACCTACCTCCAAAGAAACGTGGTTGGAGAAAACTGGCTAAAAGATTCAACGACACAAAGGAAGACCAACACGCCAATTTCACTACTGATTCGTTAAATTCACAATTCCATAACGACTTTTTGTCAAAATACATCAAATAAATCTAAACTTCGTTTGTATAATCATATTTTACGTAGTATCGACATGTAGTATATCTATTCAGGATATATATATATGTGTGAGGCAGACAAAGACATAAAACTTCTGCTATCTCCATTTTATGTCAAATCTTCATCATTACGACTAAGTCTAGCATCAAGGTAAGCGATATCTTCTTTAAGACTGGCTTCTTCAACAGTCTTGACTAACTCTTTAGTACATTTAGCAATATCGAAGGAAATGCCTGCTAACCTTTGTTTGAAATTCTTATCAGCAAATTGCCCCTCATTGGAGTCTTGCGCTGGTTTACACAAGACATCCATTCGGTGGTAACAATCTTCCAATGACTTCACTACCCAACTTCCGTGTTCCTTCAATTGCGCATTACGTGTCTGATTCATTGAAGTGTTTGTAGCCTCACACATTTGGGATATAACAATAGTAATGGCTTTCGATTTTTGACGCAAATCACTCCTTGTGGCATTGGGCTTCTTAATAGCCCCAAGTAATGATTGAATAGTATTGATAACTTCCACTGTTTGATGTTCAAGATAAAGCAACACTTGTGTTAAAGTGTTGTCAGGGTCATCAATATCAAACAAGTCAACATTAAAGGTTGCAGCAGCCATCGATTTACGATATTCTTGCCTTTGCCTAGCTTCTGATTGTGTATCCCTTTCGTCTTCGTAATCATCATCGGATTCACCCAGCGAGCTTGTTTCAAGAGGCATTTTAGGAGAGCTTATCCTCACACGGACTTCAGGCTCGTTGTCATCAAATGTGTGCTTGATGGGTGCAAAATCACCAACTCTTCTTGCTTCTTCTTTTGCAGGTGCATTTTTGCTTTGTGCTCTACTATATCCTGCTTCACGATTCAGTCCCTCATCATCCTTTCCAGACAGGTGTTCTGGTTTTGCATCCACATTAAGGTCATTTGAATTTGATTCTGTATTGGACCTGTCTTTAAATGATTGCAAAATACCCCTACCTCTACCAGCAAGCGGAACATCGGTATCAGTATCATCATTTCTAGCAATTGGTGCTGATCCTTCAAGCTCTCCTTGTAACTTAGAAGTGAACGGGTCTGCAAGTCTTCTTGGTGCATCGCTTTCATCAGTTGATTCAAAAGATCTTGGAGATCTTTGGAAACGTTGCGGGCTCGACCTCATTTGACCATCGGGTGAGCTTTCAAACTGTTTCACTCTATCCATTATGTTACCCTTCTTTGTTGGCGTGGTTTTCATTGCTGGCGGGGAAGACTGATCATTATTGACTGCTGCTTCTGCAAATTTGCGGCCAAGGGTTGAGACGTTGGTGGCCCTTTCTGTTTTTGATGGAGATGGTGTCAAAGTTTTTGCATTGCCAATGTGTCTATCCGGATGCTTTTCAGCTATTGGCTCCCTATTGATGTCTCTGTTAGCTAAAGGCACTGCATCTCTTTCAATAGTTTGGGGGACAATGCTATCACCTCTGCCCGTAACCGATGCCACAAATGGGTTTTGGGAAGGATTGTTTTCATGACTAAGACCATCAGCCAGGCTCTTGTGATTTACAGATACCGGCTGAGCAGTGGGAGCATTCGATTCCGATGACGGCTGCCCACTATAATGCGGCTGCTGCCTGGAAATTTCAGGGGAAAGTTGTTGTATTCTACGAAGCCCATCAGGATGCAGTGTTTTATCATGCTCAAAATGATGTTCTTGTTTCAATTGTAATTCTTCCCCGCGTTTTTTAGGCTCATAGGATACTCCTTGCATCGATGTCTCTTCGCCAGACTTTAAACACGAATCCTTCCTTTCCGGTGGCGATTGTTGAATCGTGCTGGGTTGTGTTTGTTGAGATCTTTGAGGAGGGGACTGCTTTGTATTTTGGGGTGGTGTTCGCTGTTGTTGTTGTTTCTGGGGCGGTGTCTGATAATAAGTTCCATTAATCATATTTGGATTACTCAGCTTCAATTTGTTGGCCATTTTCAAAGGTCTAACACCATAATCTACTTGCGAAGGTGTAGCCGAACTTTTCTTCTCCGGTTCAAGCTTTCTCAAGTTTGTCGAATTCTCATTAAGTTTTGAAGCCGCAACCAAGTCACAAAGGACACAATTCATTTCCCCTAACGCTTTCTCAACAATAAACTTTGGGAATAACAGCCTGTACGTAGCATGGTACCTAGTAGCAGTCAAGGCATATGCAGCAGCTTCTCGCAACAAAATTGAATGCTCGTTACTATTTGGAACTTGATGCTCCCCCTGTGCAGCAATTTCATTCATAATGACAGCAATTTTTGAAACTTTCTCAAACATGACATTGACATCCCAGTTATCAGCAATGTACACGAGAAAAGACTCCAACAAGGCTTGCGCGTCACTGACCAATTTTATCGAGATTAATCCTTGCGGAGATATGAATGATTTCAATTCAATTTTTGACAAAGTAGTTTTCTTGATCTCACTTGCAATAAATTTGGATCTGGAGTCTTCATATCTACGTTGCCACTGTTTGACTTGATTCTTCAACTCTAAGGTAGAGGGGTTGCTAGCTGAAGGCATATCGATTTTCTCTAATTTGTCCAAAAAGCCAGCTATGTTGGCATTGCTAGCTTTTGTTTGTAAATCTGGTTGGCTGGGCGACTGGTTTGATATCGATCTGTTAACAGGCGAAGTGTTCTTCAACGATTGGTTTTCAAGCCTTAAAGCTGCATTTATCGATTTCAATTTTTCAAGCTCTTCAGACTTGTCATTGGCCTGTAAAGATTTGCTCAAAGTTTCGTGTTTGGAAATCCAATTCTCTTTTTCTTGACCCAACAGTTCGAGCTCCTCACTAAGGGATTTGTTTTGTTTAACGGAAAAGTCATAATCATCTTGCAAGGATGTCAACTTCTCTGAAAGCGCCTCCTTTTGTTTCTCTACGTTGTTCAACTGCTTTTTAAAGGCATCCAATTCTTTCTCCAACTCTAAGATCTTGCTCCTCTCAAACTCCACCTGTTGCAGTCCTATTTGATCGCCATTGATCTGCCTTTGTTGGGGTGGGCCCTCTTCCTCTTTCTTATCGTTGGTATCTTTTTCATCATCCTCTTCATCGCTTGACCAAGTGAGGTTTGCTTTCGTGGGAATCACCGTAGACTGCTGAATACCAATGGACTGGTTTGAAGCTTCTGCATCAGGTATTGTGATATTCTTACTAGAGGTGACATGATCTTCCGAGTGGTTCAATTGGTCATCGGGAACCTTGTGATGATGCTCTTGTGGATGAAAATCATTAGCATGATGTGACGTCAGACGGCTATGATAACCATTTGTAGCATGTGAAGATGCTTGCGAAGCTTTGCGCTCATGTGAAATGTGTGCATTGTTAGTATGATTAGATGATAAGGATGTGCGACGAGGTTCAGCTGAATCTTTATGTTCGATATGAAGCTCTCTTCTTTCAATCTCGTAAGATATGTCAGCCACTAAATCCTTAAATCTCGTTTGAGGTAAAGATGCCAACTTTTGTCTAGCTTGATTTCTTTTAGGATGAAACGATGATTTAGGTAACAAGTAATCTGGTTCTCCTCTACTTTCGTCAATCCTACGTTTCAACTCGTCATAAACATCTGTACTTAACTCTTTAAATTGGGCAGCTGATAGTTTTAGCAATTTCTCTCTGGCTCTTTGAGCTCTTGATGATGTTGATTTCGATCTTGTCTGCTGATCATCTGAAATATCAAGAAACTGTTTTAAAACAGTGTAGTGGTGCACTAGATTATTCTCACTCATGGTAGAATAAATAAACAACTGGGTATATTTAAATACAGTCGATGTTGGATGTACTTGTATTCCTTCAGCCCTCTAATTGATGCCACTGTAGTAGTGTTACTTGATACCAATTTGTTGATGTTTCCAACTGTGTTGCCAAATTTCCCTTTTTAATTTTTGTTTTTTTTTTCTTCCTTTGGGTTTGGTGGTGGTTAAAACAGAATGAGAATTCAAAAGATTATAATTTTTTTCTCTCTTTTTTTTTTATTTTTTTTTTGCTTTCTCTCTCTCAATGAAGTGTTCTTTGATTCTACAAAGCACCCCCCTTTGAGGCTAGTTATCACCAATAAAATGAATTTACACAGTAAGTATCGTTTTGAAACAACTAGGGGAAGAGTTATGTGGCATTAGACAGCTATTTAAAGTGAATACAAGTCTAGATTCATATTAGACTTGAGCTAAACTTCCGCAATAACAAAGTCACATCCAACGTTGTTTTGGTTTGTTTCTTTTTTTTTCTTCTGATTTTGTGATTCATCGATCCAAGACAAAATTACTTCAAATGCAGACGCGTCTTTTCTCAGTTTTGTGGCTGCAATTAGACAGCCACATCAACTCAACCGCAACGATAACCATAAGATGCTTGTGCAAAATCAAACACCATTTACGTAAGCCTTTCACTATTGTCTTTAATGTATTACCTCAAATCTATACAACAATATGAGAGCCGTCTCTAAAACAATCACTTAAAAAAACTCTCTAACTTGAACAACTGCATTGTAACATCGAGTACTCATCTCCTTTCTCACCTTGCAAAATCCACGACTCTTCAACTTCTTTCAAATCGTCGCCCCAAAGCTGATCATCAAATGGATTAGAACTCATGTCTTGCAATTTTTTCAAATAGCTTATATCCTTGCCATTAGATTCTGACACTTTCTCAATTACTTGTTCAAGAATCCAATTCCTGGGTAAAAACTTGGGGTTATATTTTGCAGCATCTGGAGCATTCTTGTATTCAGCAGACTTTTTCTTTAATCCGTGATATATCTTGAGCCAGTCCAAGAACTGCTTAGTAATATCTTCCTTGTGGTTCCTATTTGTATTAGGATCATATCGTTCCAAAAACAGCTCAGCTATGTCTTTATAGGAAGAATTGAAATCAACGCCTTGTAATTTCAAAAAAAACAAGTTGAAATCAGTTTGCAACTTTTCTAATGCTTCTAACATCGGCATTAGCAATTGAACATTCTGGGCATCGGGGTTCTTTTCGTCAATCAATTCTTGAGCCAACCCCAATCTCTTGAAAAACGTTTCAACATATTTCTTTGTGTATGCGAATTGGTAGATTTCCCCACCCATCTCTATAACTTTAGTAGCTCTAGTTATAATATTTTCTTCCCATTCCTCTTTTACACCCTCTTTGAACTCAGGATTGTCTAACAATTTTTGTCCTGCTCCTATCAACTCAGCCAAATCCTCTCCCAAACGGGTCAAGTTCCACCATATTGCCGTTGGAACGTTCCTGTACCCGTACCTAGACTCATGGTCCTCTGAATTGGGTGTATAGTTCGGATCATACTTATCCATTATCGAAAATGGTCCAAAGTCTATGGTAAGACCGATTATCGAAGTGTTATCAGTATTCAAGACCCCATTCAAAAACCCATAGCATTGGGAAATTGCAGTAGTTTCAGCATTTCTAATGATGGTTTCATAGTACATTTTGTCATAGTCAGTTAGAGAGTCGCCCTTTAGATTTGTCAAGTCCGGCCTCAACTTACTAATGCGCTCGAAGTTCTGAAATTTATTTCCATCAATAGTGAACAACTCGGACATTACATAATCCGACAACTTGCGTACCCCTTCACGGTCGCCTCTGTATCGATACAAATCAAATGTTCCTAATCTCACCCAGCTCTCGGCAAATCTTGCTACAATAGCACATCTTTCAGCTGCATGACGTTGTGCTAATGTCGATGGCAAATAAGTCAATGCCAAGGCCCTGGTACTGGGAACTCCGATAGCATTTAAATGCTCGGATATGATATACTCTCTGATTGAAGACCTAAGAACGGCTTTTCCATCTGCAAATCTTGAGTATGGAGTAAGTCCTGCACCTTTAAGTTGAAGCTCGTACTTGTGCCTGTTGTCATTGTCCTTCTTTGTCTTGTCGAGTTCAAACAAGTTGGTAACTCTTCCATCTCCCAATTGCCCTGCAAACTGTCCAAACTGCCACCCAGCATATGCCTGAGCATAAGGCATAGGGAACCCATTCTCCAAGAATGTCTTTCTATCTTCATAATATTCGCCACTAACGATTTCCCGAAAAATAGGTTCTTCAACTTCTGACTGATCCAATCCCAAGTCCTTAATTGCTTTAGGGTTTGCTATCAAGAATTCGTAGTCTCCTCTAGGAGTAGGCAATACCCATGAAAACCCACCACTTAATAAATTTCTTGGTTTATTGGTAATCTTGTTCTCATTCTCCAAGGCAACTTCAATGGTGGGGATCCTATTGTCGGGAGCTATGTGGTTTGTGAACGACGATGTCTTGACTGCATTGAAAAGCTTCGAGTTATGTGTCATTCTTTTAGCTTGTCTGATCATAAAGAAAAAAGGGGAGAGTGGTTGGTTGTTTGGTAAAGAAAAGGATTGATTGTGGGATATTTTTATAATTGCTTACTCATTGACATGTCTAAATCTAGTTCTACACTTTGTGTCTTGGGTTTGTGTAATTTCATTACAGGGTCAAAGATCACTTATATATAGAACGCATTTGCATTATGGCGTCTAAAGGAATGAGTTGTCCATAGTTTACCTTAGGCACCGGTTAGAGAATCACGAACAAGCCCATCGATGTAATTAAGTTATTCTCCTCTCAACGATAGTTCCTTGGAAGCTTGTAAAAGATAGCAGCGGAATTTTCCTCTGACACTTCAAAAAAAGAGGAACAAGCTGCTAGTGATCAAGTTGGGATTATTTCTAGTCCCCACATTATTGATCAGACCTAACACCTTTTCATCGATCGTTGAGCTCAAAATGTCACGATATGCATCTTCAGATTCTTTTCTAATTTTTTTTTTTATTATTTTTTCTTTCCAAGGGGATTTTACAATAATTCCTTCGACAAAGGAAAAATAAACAAAGAAAAAAAATATCATCTATATTTAGATATATATTTTCTTAAGCCACCACTTACACCAAATGATATCGAAGCAAAGGTTGAGGTTATTCCTCCTAATCGTGGCAGTCGTGGTTGGTTTGCACTTTCTCACTACAAACAATATTAAAAATGAGGAATTGCAACGCATTCTTGATGAATCCTTGAACAAGAAACCAGTGGGCAATACTCACAATAGACCCATTCCTGGCAACAATATTCCACCAGTATCAAACCAACAACCCAACTCGAAACAACCGTCCGGTTTATCAAAAGCAAAGCCAAAAACTAAAAACCCAAAGCTTGAAGATTATACTTTATTCTTTGATGACCTTGAAAAATACAAGATAAATCAACCATCAATCAAGGATAGATACAAAGAAAAAGACCAAAAAGCAAAAGAGGTCTTTTCTAATGACGGCTCCTTTTTGTTCAATAAAGATTACCTCGAGAACGTGTTGGATATCTCGGAGGCAACTTTTGAAGCGATGAAATCGAGTCATTCAAGATACGTGAATGAGCATATACCACAACTTTTGAATGAAGGTGTGACCACCTTTGGTAAAATGGTCCCTAGTGATCCAGACTGGAATATTTACGAGGATTCATCGGGCTATGTATTAGTGGGAGGGGGCAGGTACAGTTGGTTGTCGTATCTTGTCATTAAGCAACTTCGTGCCACCGGCTCGAAATTACCAATTGAACTCTTCCTTGCAACACAGGATGATTATGAAAAGTCATTCTGTGAACACATTTTGAGAACATACAATGCCAGGTGTAATGTATTTGATTCAAAGTTGGCACAAGATTTACTGGAAAGATTCAATATTGGAGGCTATCAATACAAGATGTTGGCTTTGTTGAGCTCAAGGTTTGAAAATGTGTTGTACTTGGACTCAGACAATTTCCCAACCAAAAACGTGGATTACCTATTTGAGTCCGACTTGTACAAGAAGAACAATTTGATCTTGTGGCCTGATGCTTGGGCCAGAACTACCAACCCTATGTACTACGATATTGCCAATGTTGAAGTCAGAGAGAATAAAGTCAGGTACAGTGCTTACGATATCAAACAAGCTGGTGGTAAGGAAAACCTCCGTCCGTTGTCAGAGTACACTTTTGAAAACTCTAGGTTCCATGACTTTGAAGGCACTTTGCCTGACCCAACTTCCGAGACTGGTATGTTTATCATCAACAAAACTAAGCATTTGAAAACATTGCTTCTTTGCTTGTACTATAATGTGTTTGGACCTGAGTTTTATTACCCCATCTTGACACAAGGTTCGGCAGGAGAAGGTGACAAAGAGACCTTTATCGCTGCTGCACATGCGATGAATGAGCCATGGCACCAAACATTAAAACAGTTCCAATGGACTGGATATCATTCCAAGGCATCAAATTCATTTGCCTCCAAAGCATTGGGACATTACGATCCAATCCAAGCCTCGACAGACGCCAAAGATGTCGATATCATATTTATGCATTTGTCGTATCCAAAATTTTATCCTAACTGGTTAGTCGATAATTATGATCTTGTTTACAAAGATTCCGATGAGCATATACGTATGTATGGTGCAGTAAAGGATAATGTTGGTTATGACTTTGACTTGCGTGTGCTACAATTCTTTACTGAAAGTATTTGCCCCAATTACTATGGATCTAATGGAAAGGCAATTGATGATGACGTGTCGGTGACAAAGGACACGACATATATGGGTGAATATCTCCAGTACATTAAGGACGAGGAGCAGAGCAATATCAAACGATGTGAAGATGTGTTTATTCCCCATTTGAAGTGGCTTAAGGAGACAAAGGACAACAAGGCCGAGTAGGTACTTGTGTTGTATGTTGTATTTTTCTAAATAACTAATTTAATTATTGTTGTCTATAAAGACAAAAGCTTCTAACCATTCATTTTTTCAACAATGTTGTTGACAACTTCATCAACTGTATCTCTTGAATACTTGCTAACCATCAATACATCAATCAAACTCTTTACCCCAATGTTGATATCATACTGTCCAAGTTGATGTAAAATTTCCAGTCTCTGTTCTGGTGCCATAAAGCCCAATTTATCCAAAACTTTACCAACTTCTTCAACTGATTTAATAGGGGGGACTGGAATAACATCATTGAAACTATCTATAAGATTCATGTGCTTCAAGACCGAGTACTGCGAAGTTGTACCAATAATCAACAATCTCCTACCTCTAGGTGGCTTCTTGGTCAAGTACACGTTCAAGACTTGAAGGATGTCGTTTGAAAATCTAGGTCCAATAGGATTATAGTTTATAATGTTTTCAATTTTATCAATAACCAAGACATTTAATGGAGACTTGTGAACATCTCTAAAAACATTGTCAATCTCCTGAATCTTTCTAGCTTCGCCCATACCAACCAATGTTTCAGCAGACAACATCTTGATAAAAGGAAAGTCACTGTTTAAGGCTAAAGTAGTAGCAATGGCAGTTTTTCCAACTCCTGGTGGTCCATACAACAAAAGACTTCTTAATGTTTCAGAGTCACTCGATTTCACCACATCAATAATAGAGTGGCCCTTGTCAAAAATGTTTGCAATTGTTTGGTTGAACAGGATGATACCATGTTGAGCCTGTTGAGCAAGATCCTCTTCATCGGTACCAAAAGCTGGACGAATATCATTCAAGGCCAAAAGGAAATCGTTTCGAGTAATGTGCATATTGGCAATAGATTCAGGATCAATTTGAGCCAAAGATCCTTTCTTGGTGTGACGGGAAACGGCGTATGACTTGGCAGAATTACAAAGACCTTCAATTTCGGCACCAGTAAAGTTCTTGGTCAATATACTCAATTCGTCGAAATTAACATCGGAAGTTAACAATCCATTTTCTCTCAACTTTTTTGTATGAATCATGAAAATGTCTTTTCTACCCTTCTCATCAGGCAAGGCAATTTCAATCTGGATTTCAAATCTACCAGGTCTCAACAATGCTGTATCGATCAAATCAAGTCTGTTGGTCATACCAATGACAAGAATGTTGTTTAATTGATCAACACCATCCATCTTAGACAACAACTGATTCACTACATTGTCACCAACTCCGGTTCCGTCGCTTTTTCCTGAACCTCTTTGCTTGAAAACTGAATCCAATTCATCGAATATAATAACGTGCAAGTCTGAATCTTCACCTTTGAGTTTGTATTCAGCTTCAGCATCCTTAAACAAATTACGGATATTTTCCTCAGACGCACCAACATACTTGCTCAACATTTCAGGACCATTGACAATCTTGGGTTCTTTTCCATTCAACATCTTTGACAACTTACGAGCAATCAATGTCTTACCTGTACCAGGAGGTCCGTACAACAACAAACCTTTACAATGTTTGTAGTCCAACTTTTCTGCAATTTCTGGTGGTAAGATTCTTGAGTTGAAAGCACGTCGGAAAATATCCTGGAATTCAGAGTCTAACCCACCAATACCCAAATCTTCCAACTTGAAATCTGGATTGATTATTTGTTTCCTGGTGTGACGACGAGATTCTTGTGCGCCATTACCACCGAATATTCTTGATTTCAAGCTCTTGCTCTTTGATATATTGATTTTTGATCCCTCATATGGATAAAATACTACATCAGTTGACTTTATGAAAATACCCTTTGTTTTGATGTCACCCGAATCTTTGAAGCTAGGTAAATTATCCTTGGTGTTTACATCAATAATTTGAACTTGTTCGACTTTGACTGAGTAATAAACACCGTGGAAGTCCATGTATATCACTTGAGTAGGCTGCAATATCTGATTGTCATACTTTTGGTGGAAAATGTTTACCAAATCATCGTGATTCAACGGGGATGAGTTGGCTTTGGCTTTAACGAAATCAATCAGAAGATCAATTGCGCCAAGGTACTGTTGTTGTTGTCCCGATTGGAAAATATCATATGTTTCAACATGAACAATCTGATCAAAGGAGTACTTACCCCATGACCTCATATTTCCGGCCAAACCGATATGGCCTGGTTTCATACGGTCATCCTTAGCGATTGAGTACACGAAAACGCCATCCAAGATTATTGGTGTTCTGTCTGGGAAATGGGCAAAGTCTCCAGGGTTTACAGCCACACAGTTGGCAACCACAACGTCGTTTCCGGGGGCATTGCTAACTCTCAATTGTTTTCTGAAAGGTTCAACCGGTTCGTGGCGCGGAGGATGATGCGGACGATCCGACACATTGTGGGTAATCTTTGGTTGATTTGGCGAAGTGGGACTATTGGACACTTTGTGGAATCCAAATTTTTCCATCATAGGCAATAGTCGATCTAGGTGTGTACGTAGTTTGACTAACAGAACAATGAAATAACTGAAATAAAGTGTTGCAATTTTATGCTCAGATTTGCCACGCCTTTTATGCATATTGTTTGGCACATTTACACGACTAAAATTTTCAAATCACTCTGGCAACTATTATTCACAAGAAGCGTTGATATTCAATTAGTAAGGCTTATGAAACATGGATGGGATGTATCTCATGTCAACCATAGTACAGTGTGCACTCAAGTTATATTTCAAGTGTGATAATGTCAAACAAGAGAAGTAACGGAGACAGTATTCTAACACTAGATGTTTTAAATCACTCCGAACAATAAACTTGTCGACAAGTGACGCCTCGATTACATCAGAGCACTCCTATACCGAGAGTCAAGTGCACAACAACAACAAAAACAACAACAACAACAAAATCATTAACATTTCCTTGTTATTCCAACCCTAATATAGCTACAAATGTCATTAAGTAAAGTTCCTCCACAAGAAGGTATTGTTCATACGTATGGGTTCAACTTGACAGCTTTTGAATTCACACCATCCTCCAAACAAACTACACCAAATATCATCTTGTTCATTGGTGGGTTAGGAAATGGATTATTGAATGTTCCATATTTGCCAGCACTCGCAGAAGCCACAACCAAATTCAAATCTCAAGATGGTGAAAGTTGGAATTTAGTGCAAGTTTTACTCTCATCAGCATATTCAGGATTTGGCACCAGTAGCTTGGAAAGAGACTCGAATCAAATTAAAAAAGCAGTACAATATTTCCGGTCTGAAACGGGTGGTAAAAGACGCAAGATTGTGTTGATGGGTCATTCGACAGGATGTCAAAACTCATTGCATTACTTGGTAAACGTCAATAATAGAGGAGATCTTCCCGACTCAGCTCAAATTCAAGGAGCAATCTTACAAGCTTCAGTTTCTGATTCTGAAGCATTCTCAAATGATTTAAAGAAGGAGGAGCTCGGTGCTTTGCTAAAGGAGGTGTACGATGATTACATTTCTCAGGGCAAAGAGTCGCATATTTTGCCCGAGAAGTTCAGAAAATTAGTCTTTAATACACCAGTAACTGCCTACAGATTTTACTCATTGACTAGCAAGCGCGGAGACGATGACTTCTTCTCCTCTTACTTGACTGATGACGACTTCAAAAAGACATTTGGTAGAATTACTGTCCCCTTGTTGGTGTTGTATTCAGGTAGTGATCAGTTCGTTCCCTCGTCAGTAAATAAAGCTGAACTAGTCTCCAGATTCCAAAGATCGACCCCATCTGAATATTGGAACTCTAACAGTAAAATTATTGAAGGAGCTACACATGATTTAGGTGAAGGATCCCGAGGAGGTGTTTTTGATATATTGATTGAATCCGTGACAAAGTTCATCACTGATGTGGAATAGTAAGTAAACCAGAACAGTGAAGATTAGATGTTTGTAGAGCAATTACATAATCGATTACGTCATCGTCTTTTTTCACGTGAGCTACCACATGTGTGAAAAAATGAAAAAATTAAAAACCTCTCGTTTTCAGGAAGTCTCGGCGAAATTACTGCAAAAAAAAAACAAAAAAATGAAGACCATTTTTGAACTTTTAGCGAAATTTTAAATTACTGCAAAAAAAAGAAAAAAAATTCAAAACTTAAAATTAAAAATTTAAATTGCGTTGCAACAAGAAAAAAAATGTAAACAAATAAAAAATGTATTTTTTCTTTTAATTTCAAGACGCAACAGAAAAAATAAAATAATAGCACGGTAAAATAATAATATTAAACTGAGCTTTAGAAAAACTGTATGGAGTTAAAATGAGCAACTTTCCTTTTTCGGAAACTTTATTAAACAAGTTCTTGTAATGATTAATTTCGCGACACCAAAAAGACACAAAAGCCAGACATAAAATACGTCAGGGGAATTTTTATCTCCGATCCAATTCGGACTTAACTCACAGGTGTATACTACAACAAAAATATATATTAATTGGAATAAAACGTATATTTTTATATAAAAGTAGTAGTTTGTAAACTAGTAACCAAATAATCGGGAATATACAATTCTGAATCTTTAGCAAAATGACAAAAAAAAAAACAACAAAAATAAAAGGTATATATATGTAAAGAAGGAAAATAGGAGACAGAACACAGCAAATCTGCTTGATAGAAAAAAAATATATACTGTGGGCGCAAAGATGTAAACCTGACGTTGACGAAAGCGTAGTTACACATGTACATTTTTGAATCAACTTCAAACAGCAAAACCAAAGGAAAATAAAACTGACTTCTTCAATCACCAACTTGGTGTTCCGTATGCAGTCCCGCCTTGGTTGGATGATGACGAAGACCACGAGACATTATGCGAATGATGTACTCCTCTGTTCAGCATAGGTGTTACTGAGTTAGGTTGTTGCCCTTGTACACCATTTGGAGTAAACTGCATTGCTTGCGGACCTGGTAAACCATTTTGATAGTTGGGAACTTGCATCAAAGGTGGAGTAGTATCTTTAGATCTTGTAATGTAGTGCCCAGCCATTTGGTGTTGCTGATGGTACGGTTTTGACTGATTGAGTGTACCAACTGATGGACTGTGCTGATGGCTCTGACCACTCACGGCTGGATAAAATGGAGGCGCCATTTGCACCGGTTGTGGCTGCTGATAGTACATTCCGCCATTATTCATTGGTGGGATGTAAGGTGCTGCGTAAGGATTAATTGCACTATTACCCATATCCTCTGGCGTATACTTCCTCATATTTGACTGACTGTCTCCACCTAATAAATAGTTTGATGGCGGAGGATTCATACCATTACCAGTGTTGTTTGGATGCATTGATAATACAGATGATCCTGGATTCATAGAATTGACATTTGCAGTAGGTGTGTACATGTGGCTGAATTCATTTGCTCCAGCAGGAAGATTGTTATTACTATTGTTATTATTATTGATTGATTTTGTTGAATAAAAGTTTGAGGGCATGGAAAAATTTCTTCTTTGTGAACCACTGTCCAATGGGTGGATGTAGTCAATAGACAGGGCACTTCCATTCTGGTTGGCCATGGGTGTTAAACTGTTGCGGAAATATTGTTGCTGAGGGTGTTGTTCAAGCTGATATGGAAATTCCAGCAGTGTCTCATGATGAGGACCAAGAGGCTGGTAATTTTGCGGCCTTACTTGATACTGCACTTCATTGATTACAAATTCTCCATTAGCATTCATTTGGCTGCTTTTCTTGCTGACTTTGTTGATTGATGTTGAAGACGAAGTAGCACCGTTGTTGTTCAAAATAGTGTTGATTTTCGATTGTATACGCTTACCAAACGATGATGCAATCTTGCAATTTTGGAACCAATACTTGATAATAGCAACTTGCAAGCTTTGTTCATTTCCGGGGTCAATCTGGTCTCTCCTTGGCACAAGTGCCGAGATCTTGGGCACATTGAGGTAGTTGATTTGTGGATGGATTAAAATATCAAGCAAAGTTTGGATAACATAATTCCCATATGGATCATTGACCAACACATTCAAATCATTAGCCAAGATGTTGTAAATCAACTCAACCTTCAATCTGGCAAAAGCGATATCCATAGGCTCGTTATTATAACAATTTTTCAAAAACTTTTCCACAACATTTGAACTAAACTTGGAATTGCATAAATTAGTTATGCCAACTTGAAGAAAATTTTGAAACATTCCATAGCTTACATCGATTGAGTTGATTGAAATCAAGTATTGCAACACATAATTCCCAAACTGGTCATTAATCAACATTTTAAAGTTGTCAAACTTCAAAATAGCTTTGGAAAACTGATCCAACTGTTGCGATGTAACATGATTAAGGCATTTCTGCAACACACAACAACCATGTTTGTGAGTAGCAACGGTGTACAAATCCTCAATTATAGAGTCGTAGATAAATTGACAGTCGGGAGGCTTGTATTTGTTTAAAATCTTTTGAATCACATGGTTCCCATTCAAGTCCCTGATCAAGTCAATAATATACGGCTTCAAGCCTTTGATTAATAAACTCAACTGAGACGTGTTGTTCAAACTGTCAATAATCTTTTGCAACGCTCTTGTACCATGTTGGTTAACCGATATTTGGCAAAGGTTGTACTGCAAAATCTCCAACATCAAGCTCAAGTTGTCTTCACTGCAGTATGGGATCATCTTTTGCACCAAGTAGTTACCAAATGGGTCAACAATCAACTCGCACATACAAGGATATATTTGATCAAAAATAACCTCAAAGTTTGATGCCCTTACTTGGTAACTCGAAACCAAATTCTCGTCAATCTTCTTTTGCAAAAACCGGCACCCATATTGGTCCTTTGCAAGTTTCAATATCTCCAGCTTCAACTGAGTAAGCGGCAACTTGTTAATGGAAACAAGATATTCTTTGTCGATCTTTGGTGGTACAATGATTGATGGCACGGGGTTGAGGGCATAATTAATTGATGAAGGCGGAGTTGAAGCAGATGAGTTTGATATGACATCGCCAATGACGTTAACAACATTTTCTGAGCCCACCCCAACAACGGCATCCGTTCCATTATAGGACTTCCTCAACAAATTTTCCTTGTTGTCTGTACTGGTATCGAGCTTGTAATTGCCACCACCATTGTTGGCTATGCTTGCGCCAGTGGTTTTGACAATATTTTTGTCATTGTTATTGGTATTGGAATTATTTGTATGGTTATTATTGGTTGTGGTAGAATTATAGTTGGTAGTGTCTAGTGATAATTTTTGGAAGGAGGAGACTTGTGACGATGGGGTCGAGGTTGTCGAACTGACTGAGCCCCGATTTGACGATGGAATAATTAATGGAGTCGATATTACTTCATTATCAATATTGAAGTTAGGTAAATTCAAGTTATGGTTCAACTTGTTGGAAGAATCCCATAAAACCGATTTACCTACATTAGGATGAGTACCAAATTTTGCAAATGACCCATTAGACGACAAGCTGCGATTGTGCATGTACGAAGTATTTGCCGTTGAGGATGATGAGTTGGAAGATGCAGTTGTGGATGTAGCTGGTGTTTTTGGCTGGTGGAGTGGTTGTTGGTGCAGGTGAAAATGTAGAGGGTTGTTAATATTGGTACTATTATTATTAGAGGACAATGAGTGGTTAGGAGGAGTGGTAGGTTCGATTATTGATGTCATTGAGTTGATCGAAAGACTGTGAGGATTGTGGGTGTGTTGGTGTGGTTGAGATGAAGACATGGCAGGATGGTTTTGCCTTTAAACTCACTAGTGTAATAAGAGAGGGAAGTTTGTAATGGGTTGGAAATTTTGAATTGTGCTGATCCAATTTATAAAATTAAATTTTGTACTGTATACTACTTACTGTACTACTACTAAAACCAAACCAAAAAAGCATTTTTGTATACACAACCTTTTTCTCTTTTGTATTATTAGTGTAAGTCCTGTATATTACGCTTTCAACCACTATTAACTACGACATATTTCACTTATGACTAGAATTCAGTAGCTAAGTTGCATTTAGATAGACGCCTCCGCTTCTTCCTTAGTTGCAAACTACTCCTGCTTAAGTAGAAAAGAGTTGAACAGTTTGATGGAGCACCAGCAGAAGTTTAAACTCTAGTGTTTACAAAGGTGGTATACAATCTGAGCTATTCATCGACTGGTGTCTGTGGTGGTGCATAAATAATTGTCTTTGCTATTGTCAGAATGGCCTACTTTTACACCCAAGTGTACGATACAGTACACACACTTCGCATTTCACGGTTAGGTATTTTTTTTTACGGTTATTACTAAACACACACAAATGCAGAAGGGTATGAAAATTTTACTACGGACTTCAAAATATAACTACAGTTGTGGTGCAGACGAATAGCGAACTTACTTTTGTAAATCAGTTTATTTTAAATAGAGGTAGGGGTAGAAGTAAAGGATAAATTTGTTGGTATAGATTCTGCACACTTGGGTTTGACCTATCCTTGCAATTACCTGTCCTGTATTCAGTTATTGTTATTATTATTTTTGTTATTATTATTCTTTTTTTAGTTTTCGTTAATTTGTAACACTCTTGTAAGAACTTTGCTTGCCTTATCATAGATTTAAAACGACCCGTTGATGTTCATTATTATATACATTTGGTTGTTTGATCTCACTTGATAGGTGTTCTTCTTGGTGCCTCTATGTGCATTAAAAGAGATGGTTGTTGGTGGCGGTGGAGAGCAAGTTCTAGATTTGCAATTTCTTGCGCCTTGGCCCATTTATTCGAACAATAGAAAAGAATCTGGCTTAAATATGAACATTAACCCCGTCTACTAAATTCAAAACCTTTAACAAAAGGTTTGCTACAACAAAAGCTCATCGAAACTCTTCTCCCCCTCTCTCTCTTGCTCCTTTCCCTTCGCCATTGGGGTGTCAATTGTTGTTAGGCAAAAAGATTTCGCATTTTTGTGAACTTTATTCAACATGATCAAGCGCAAGAATAAATTGACGATGATTTCACATCACCACAACGACAAAAGACCACTTTGGCACACGCACTCGTGTTAAGACACACATACACACACCACAAAAGACAAAAACAAAGGCAAAGGCAAAGGCAAAGGCAAAAGAAAAAGTAAATACGCAACAAACAAAGAAATAAAAAGAAAAGAAAGAAGAGTCAAAAAGTGGACTGTGATATTGACTGTGGAGAGTTCCGATTCGTCCCCACACTTGTTGATTGAAAAGAAGAAAGAGTACCAAAATTAAGAAGGTTTCACCTCAACGCACACAGTTGAAACGAACGTGCTGTTTCAAACACTTTATATACTTAAGCTTTATATTTCACATTCTCTCCAATAATATCTTGTGAAACATCATCACTTATTATTATATATTTATCTTCATTAACGAAAGGGGAAGGAAAGGAAAAAAAAACAAAAACAAAAAGAAACTATCGGACACGCACAACACATAGACACAGACAGACAAATCTATCATCATCATCATAAAACTTTACACGACAAAAGACAGCAGAAAAAATAAAAAATTTAAGCGCAAATACACCCCTCATTTTCAGGACAATTTTACGACAAGATCAAAAAAATGACATAGAGATTCTTTAATCTGATTATGTAATCAATTTGCTTTACTGCAGCGCGCTAACTTTTTCTATTCATCTTCCGACAGACAAAATTTATCGATCTACCCATCTAACAGCTTCAGCGCCTCTAATTTCGACACACTTGCCTGCTATTATACAGACTGCATTTCTTGGATGGGGTTGTAGCACTATTTATAAGCAAGTGCTATTACGTATTGACAACAATCCTCGTCACTAAGCCTGTGTCTGTTTTGTCAATATGCTTCTGCATTAAGAAAAAACCACCAACGTGCACAAACCCAGTTCTGTCTTTACCTGAAAGGGATGTGACGGAAAAAAGTAAGACGAATTGCAAGTAAGGATATGCCAACAGAGTTTATATTTTCTTCGACAGCTTAATATTCACGCAAATGTTTGCTATGGAATCGAGATTACCTTCGACTATGGTATGTCTTACCAAATTTGGTTACTAATAACCTCTTTTAAACGTCGATTACCCAAGATACCATTCCTCTTTGTACTACACTGAGAGAATGTATTCAATCAGTCAGCTCATTTGATCTTTAGCAGTTGTCTAATATGCTCAACACAAGTAGTGTCAAATGAATGTTTCAAACAATTGTGCAACATTAATTCATAGGCTACCCTTTTTCTTGTTCTTGCCCATGTTGCAAAAAAAGTACAAGTAGAACTACATGCCCTACAATTTTTTTTTTGGTTTAGTACGCTGAATCTCCAACATTTTCTTACTACATCCTCTGATTATCAACGCTCAACACCCAACAAATGCACAATGTTGATTTAACCAACGAGAGTACACGCCACAATATACGTTTCATAACAGGTTAACAGAAATACATCACTTTTCCTTACTTTCACAAAGAAAACCCTCTATCCATTAATAATACAAAACTCTAAATAAAATCTAACTTGCAAATGCAACAACCGAAATGAAAACTTTAGACACCTTTTTTTTATCTAGCCACAATTACTATACCACCGTCCTTGAATGACGTATTGATTCAAAATATCAAGTCCAAATACAAACTCACCAATTTGAACCCTATTTTCTACCGATACGCAACTAGCTATTCTCCGAGCCACTCGATTCAGTTGCCGTTCTTGTACAGTTCGTCTTCTCTCGTCCAACTCTTGCGTACTTGGAAAATCCAGTTGCATAAACCCTGGTGGTGATTCAAATTTATCAAATATCTGCAGTAGTTTATCTTCGAATTCTTGTCCATTATGATCATATTTGTAAAATTGTTTATATTGATTAAACTTTTTAGTATCCATTATCGAGTTTCTTTTAATGAATTGGGTGAAATTGTCGGGCTTGTAGTTTTTGTTGGCAACAAAGTCACTAAAGTCCCACGATATTTGTTTTATTGGATGTTGATACAAGTTGATCTTGAAATTGGGATTAGTTTTGAGCATATTGGTGTAATAACGGGTGAGAAATTGTCTAGTCTGGATTATGGTTAAGTTTTTCGGCACTTCAATGGGTGGGGGTGATGGTGTGACAGGAACAATTGTTTGACTGATGAGCTTGTCTTCTTCCTCCTGAGAATCGGCAATCTGTTCAACTTCAACATCATTCTCAGTTCCTATATTTCCTTGTGATGTAGGTGGAGTGTTTTCATCAGCATCTTCATCTTCCTTTAGTTCTGTACTCTTGAGGCATGCTATTTTGCGAGGTGGTGAACCACTTGGAGAACTTCCGCTCTTCATCAGAGTCAATTGGCTCTTAGGTTGCAACGTCTCCTTCTTGTAGCCGACAATGATTGACTTTGAGGATGTGCTGCCACTGACAGATCCTCTTCGCAGACTATAATTAACCTTGAGGGGAGACGAAGTCTTGTTGAAAACGCTGCCTTCTTCGTCGGTATCACTGTACTGAGTTGGAAGTAAATAAATGTTGTCAACTGGAGCAATGTTCGAGGTCTCGTCCTTAGCACTAACACTATGCACTTTCTGTGATGATTTAGTGAATAGAGACACGCTTGGGCCCTCTGTTGGCGATGCAAAGTCGCTGGATCTTGCTTCTGTTGCCCCTCCATGTGATCTTAGTGTCGCTAATTCCTCCTCTCGTAGTCGCAAGGCTGCTTTCAATGCACTATTTTCTTCTCTTAGTTTCTGGATTGTATCTTGGTCTTCCTTTCTAAGCTTCTCAAAAGCTTCTTCTATTTGATGGTTTACCTGTTCAAATAGCTCCGTATGTAGATTACCCATGTCATTTGATGCAGTAAGCTGCGTTTACATTAGCAACAGATCTGGACTAACCGTGGAACAAAAGTAAAATGCGAAGAACAAAAAAAAAACAAAAAAAACAAAAAAAAGACAATATTAAGCTCCATCATAAACAACAGTCACACAGCAATTGGCGAATAAATGTTTGGTCTGGCATCATCCACAACTCCATCATTTGGAGGATTTGGATCTGGAAATACAAATGCAACTGGGGGTGGACTATTCGGACCAAAGTCAGGGTCTGTAGGCTCTGCACCCAGTGGAGGTTTATTCGGACAATCAAATGCTCAGCAGCAACCGCAACAACAACAACAGAATACATCAGGAGGATTGTTTGGGAGTAAACCTGCAGGAAGCACGAATGGTGGGTTATTTGGTCAAAGTAGTACCAGTGGCACCAGTGGTGGATTATTTGGACAATCAAACCAACAACAACAACAACAGCAGCCATCGCAGTCAGGAGGCTTATTTGGCAATATTCAAAACCAACAACAACAACAACAACCTTCGTCTGGTAATGGGCTTTTTGGACAGCTGAACCAGCAACAACCATCTACTGGAGGTGGATTATTTGGAGGACAACTGAATACTACTACGAGTGGTGGTTTATTTGGGAAACCTAGTACTACATCAGGTGGTTTATTTGGTTCAAGTTCTTCTTCGCAACCAAATGGTGGTATTGTCGGTGGAGGAAGTAATACAAACCAATCGAGTGGAGGATTGTTTGGCAACAGTAACACAAGTACACAACAAAGTGGGAGTTTATTTGGATCAAATACCAATCAATCTGGTGGTGGATTATTTGGAAGCAAACCTGCAATTTCAGGTGGGCTCTTTGGACAATCTTCGCAGTCTCAGCAACAACAGCAGCAGCAATCACAACAGTCAAACGAAACAACTCAATTAACAGCTATGACTAGAGTTGGTGACCTCCCGCCAAACATCAAAAATGAATTACAGCAGCTTGATACATATATAAATACTCAGCATCTAATTGCGACTACATTGAACTCAGATATCACCAAACATGATGATTTGATCAATACCATTCCCAAAGATATTACGTACTTGCAAAACAAATTGCTATCCACGAAGCAAGCCCTTAAATTTGACACCAACCAATTACAAGACCTCAAGAACATGAACAATGAAATCACAGAGGATGTAAATAACATCATGCAACTAATCATTCAGTTGAGTACTCCGGGAACAAAGTTATCTAGCTCATACCAATTAAATGAGTTTTTTATCAAAAAGATTAAAAAGTATTACGAAGTGCTCAATATATACGAAGAGACAATCAATGAGTTGGAGAGTGTACTAAATGGATTGGAGAAAAACTGCAACGAAGGGTTTGGCAACTTGGCTAGTATCATTCAAGTCATCAAATCACAATATACTCTATTCATGGATCTATGTGAGACTATGGCTCAATTGCATAATGAGATAAATAGGCAGAGTAAGTAAGATGTGTAATACAAAGTAACTTTCTTTGCGATTGTTGTAATCTTCGCTGATTTGGATGTGAAAGGGAACAAAAAAAAAAGGAAATCGATTCCGAAGCATCACTTCCACTCATGTATAATCTCATCGCATTCAATTGTATGCTAACATGTCACGAGCTGATTACCTTTCAAAGTACCTAGGCGGTCCCACGCAGACTGAAAAGAAAGAAAAAAAGAAAAAGAAGAAAGTGATCCCTGTTCAAAGTTCAAATATAACCATCACCAAAGCAAAACAGCATATACCGACGCCAACTGTCGAAGACAACACTCCACTCGACGAAATCAACGACTATGACGAATCTAAACCAATGATAGTCGAGAATGTAAAGGAGCATAAAGGATTCAAACGAATAGACAACAAGTCATTGGTGGAGCTACCCACACAAGAACGACAAGCGTCATCAACTACACCAACTTCAGCAGCATCACAAAGCACCGTGTATCGTGATGCATCCGGTCGAATCATTGATATTGAGGAGGCCAACCGAAATTTCCAACAACGCAAAGATGAGAAACACGAGCTGCGACAGCAAACACAAGTCCGCACATCAGTCCAAGAACAACAGCAGCAAGAATCGACCAAGTTCAAACTCAAACTCAATGATAATTTCGAAGATCCCCTAAATATTTTCCAAGACGACGATGACAAAGAGAAGCTCGAATATGAAGATAAACCGCGATCACAATATATGTATAACAAGGGGGTCAACCCACTGAATCGATTTGATATCCCAGCTGGATATTTTTGGGATGGTATTGATCGATCCAATGGGTTTGAGGAGTTAATGTTGAGGAAGATTAATGAAAGGAGCTATAACAAAATGGAAGGGAAGTTTAATCAAGATTATGAGTTGGATTTTGACGTCGATTAGGCAGCGTAGAGCTGATGTGGTTTGTTGGATTTTGCCAGTATCAAATGGACGTTGAAATGAAGTAGAGATTGATGGCTTTTGCTGCCTCCACAGTTGAATGTGAGGTTTAAATTGACGAAGAGTGCCAATAGCCACAGTCTTGTCATTTTTGATTGCTCTTACTTTAGAAAATGGAAAGTGCCTCGAGGATACAAGACTGATTTAGTTTCTCCTTTTAACCACTAATACAAGTTCAGCAATGTCTCTACTAAATGAAGCTATGTTGTAGACGTCTCCAGTGCTCGTAATTTGGTAGCATCGATCAATTACACAAAACAAAAGGTTTAAGCGAAAACAAAATTTCCTCTCCTGACTAGTACTATACACCACCTCAAAACCCTAGCTATAAACCATGCCACCAGCAAAGATCCCTGGCTATTATTTTGACGAATCTCGCGGGAGATATTTCAAGATAACAAATGGAGCTGTACCTGTTGAAAACGACGCGTCGCAAAAATATCACAACAATTCAGTCCAAGCGGAGAAACGTAATCAACACTTTGACAAAGTAGAGAAGCAGGAACAGAAAAAACACGATAAAGAAAGTAAAAAAAGACGTCATGGACAACAAGTGATCAATAATCCTCGTGTGACTCCATTTCCTCCCTCAGATAAAGTTTATCAGAGGCTACGAAGAGTTGAATTTGATCACTTGACCCTCCTCGGCTTGAAAACTGGCACTATTGATCTAAACAAAATCTATTTCAAGAATGACTTGATTGATACCATTCGAAATGGTGCTAAGCTAGAGCAAAATCATATCATACCGCCACAAGGTACAATTGCGGCATACCACAAAGATTACTTTATCGTGGCTATGACTAAATATGGAGACGAACAAGTGTTAAACATGTCTGTATTTACTTCTTCAGGGAAACTATTTGTTCCCCCACAATCTATGTATTGCATTGTTGCCGACGGATATCAGAATTTGACTAAAGTTGGGGCCGATGATCTCTTTGCAACTTACAATCAGAATCCGTTGCACACAAGGATATATACTGGATACAATGATACTAGGTCGGTGTCTTACATTTTACAAAATTATGAATTCTTTGGAGAGAAACATTGTCCTGTGCTAAAATTCCATACTTTCAGTTCAATCGACAATTCTTTTGAAGATTTAACAGTGCCCTTAATGAGGTTTCTCAAAACTCAATTTAGCAAATGTCATAAAAAAATCGGCAATAATCTCAATAAGATGTTTGGATTGGATAGCTTTCAGTTTACTCAATCTTCTTCAACTAGTATTAATGAAATTAATTCCGTATTGAAAAGTGGTGCAAGCTACTTTCAAGTGCAGTCTCGTTTGGATGCATTTTTGATAGCGCATGATGGTCCGAAACCCGAATACATTTATAAGCCAGTTGAACGTATGCTAACTAGCTCTATGATTGCGACCTGTGATGTTGTGGATAGCCAAATTGTTGCTGTAACTTCAAGTGGTCAAATTGTATATTTTGAATATAACCCTGACTTGAAGAAATTTCAGGAGTTTAAACTATTCACAACTCGGATGTCTATGGAGCAACCACTGGCTAAGTTGAAAGGAGACTTCATATACGTCAAGGTGGGAAAGGAGATTTTGGCCATCAATTACAAAGAGAAACAAATTGAGCGGCACACGTTTGATAGCTTGCGCCATTTTTTTATCTTGTCGGCATCCAAATGGCTAATTGTCAATCACAATCTAATCCTGTATTATTATCCCCGGACTAAAGAGTTTGAACAAGTTATGTCTTACAATCATGGAAACGACACATTTCAGCAATTTCAACTAATCAATAATCACTTAATCTTCACCACAGGTTCAAGATTCAAAGTAATCAACTTGTCACGAGCCATCAAAGATCAAGTCGCGGTGTTAGAGGTGGAATTTGAAACGCGCATATACGGACATTTTAGAAATTACAGATTGCATCGCATAATAGACATGGGTGTACGGCATGGTCGAACTCTTGTGGGATTTCAGTTTGCCAATCCTGGAAGAACTCATACACGGTTTGAGTCGTATTACATCTAGGAAAGGGGAAACATCTCCTCACGAATCTATGTGCATGGATATATATATCTACAGGTGTGTAATAAAAGGAGCTCTTTACTTATTAGACTATACATATATAAATTGTAGAAAGTGCAAGTGGGTTGTGCTTTGTGAAAATTCAAAGGTCGGGTCGTTAATGGAAAAAAAATAGGCTAGTTATTCTCTGAAAGCCACACATTAAGAAAACATCATTGTTGTTGGATATATGAAAAAATAAAAATCTATGAATTAAAAATAAAAAAGAACTTGGAAAGGTTTGCAAATGATAATAATAAAAAAATGTGAGTTCTTTAAAACAAATGGGTTGGAAATGCTCCACTTTCTATATCTATGATTATCGGATTTCTTTTTTTTGTTTCTTCTTCTCTTTATCTATTGCTTTATGTTTGTTTCTATTATATCTTTCTCATTCTCTTACTTTTTCTGGATATAGTTCAAGTATGAACTGTAATCGAATTTTCCAAATTTGTAATCAATATCCATAAACAAAGTCATAGCATCGTATGATTTGTAGGTATAATCAGCAGGCAACTTAATCAATGCATCTTGTTCCTTACTAACAGATGGGTCAATAGCTGACTTGTTGACATAAATCAATCTATCGCCTTTCTCTTGCGAGTTGTAAACTTGATCGTTGGTTAAATTGTAAACTCCAGGGTAGCCACTGATTGCTTTGAAATTCGATTCTCTTGTGATTGGTGGAGTTAATGGGAACAAGCTTTGCAATAATTCATAAGAAGCTAAAGTGAAGCCGAATTGTGGTGACGATCTAAACACTCTGGCCAATGAACCTTTAAAGAATGCTGAAAATCCTTCTTGTTTAAGAATTGAAGCACCGCAATCAACGATACCCTTATACTTGATGTCATTCTTTTTACCAGCAACTTGCAATCTAGTCTTTATCACATCGGCAGGAGTGGTGAAAAAAGCTGCTGGAGCACCAGCCAAAGCACCAGAAACCAATAATTGCCAAGTAGATAATTTTTGCTTCTTGGTGGCATCATTTGGATCAAAACCAAACATGTATTTCTTCAAGTTGGCATATGTAGGGAAATAGATTGCTGAAAATGGCACGTCTCTTAAAAGACATGCGGATGCACCCTTGTACAATCCTCTGAGTCCTAATTGTCTAATAATTTGACTAGCATTCAAATGTTTGATTGGAATTTCGCCTGGCTTGGTCAAATTCTTGGTATTACCTTGCATTTGCAATCTGATCTTGACGATTTCCAAAGGATTGGTAAAGATAACTTGACATGCACCAGCAGACATACCTGCCAAAATCTCCCAATTCATAGTAATGGATCCATCTTCTGCAGTTCCAATTTTACGCACCAAATCATTAACAGTCAACTTGATGGCCTTTTCTGGAGCAACACCCACCAACTGTGCAGCCAAACCGGAATATAATCCTTTAAATCCTTCGTTTCTCAAAATCTTTTTAAAACAATCCAATGAGTTATCGTACAAGGCCTTGTGTTTTTGGGCTTGCATTCTAGTTTTGACCAAATCGATTGGATAAACAGCTGTGGCACCAATACATCCGGCAATTGAACCAAGGAAAAATGAGTATAATGAGTCGTAAATTGGCCACAATGAAAAATTGTCACTTGGCTCATGAGTCGAATGGCGACTTTGAGGGTGTTCGAATATTGGGGCTAATGAATTGACATTATTACTAACATTAGGATTCAAGAACGAGATCATTTGTTTACGAGGAATGCTATCTCCGCTCTCTTGGTTAATCAAGTAAAAAATCAAATCCAAGGACAAGCTTGAAATTTGTCTAAAGTTGGCCGATTTCAACAATGGATCGTTCAAATGGTTGTACAAGTCCTTTTTGTTGATGGTGATATCCGTCTTGTCCTTAGTTGTTGGTGGAGTATTTACAATAACTTCATTAACCAAGTCAACCTTGCTCAATGTGTCATAAATGAATAAAACGTCGGAAAGAGTATATTCCTTTTGATTATCAAAGAATCCAGTGACATTTGGTAAATTTTTCTTCAACTTGTTTGATAACTTATGACTAAACGTGTTGGTCAAGATTCTCACTAAATCATCACCTGAAATTGTTTTGGTCTTGCCAGCTGCCACTTCAAAATTACCAATTAATTTAGTAACAGGTAAAAAACTAATCAAGGTGATAAAATCATTGAATCCAATTTCTCCCTTGGGTTCAAAAAACTTGGGGAAATAAATCCAGTTCAACTTGATCAACTTCTGTTGATAACTAGGGTCAATAGATGAATTAATCTTGTTTAAAATGTCAACACATTGATGGTAGGTGATTTTTGAATTAACATTATCACTCAGAGACAAAAATTCGTACAACAATTTGTACTCGCCGTCAGTTGAAGTCAAAGTCTTGATAAAATGTAACCAATTAGCTTCGGTGACGAACCCCTTCTTCTCAGTATCAGCAACCAAATACAAAAGAGAAAACGCTGACTTGGGGATATCAGTTTGGAATGGTGATAAAACATTGATGAAATCAGGTAAAGTCAACACTTTTTCTTGGTCCTTACCAGTAGTAGCGAAATCGTTAAAGATCTCCTTAGCTTTCAATTCAGTAGACATCTTTTGCTGTGGCTAATAATGTGTAAATAAGCTATGGTAAAAAATTGTGGGGGTCGGTATGAGGTTGAAAAGTTTTGTTATGTGACTTGTCTGAAGAATTAAAAAAAAAACACTGGGTAACTCTTTGAAACGATTTATTCTGACGAGTACTGAAGTAAGGTCTTTATTCAAAGAATAGTTTGATGAAACAGTTGAAAGTCTCTATAAGCCCATACAGTAAAAGAAAAACTGTTATTTGAAGAAGAAGATTTTGGTTCTTTTTCGTTGATTGGATTGGATGGGGGAATTGTGAAAAAAATAAAAAAAAATAAAAAAAAAAAAAACTTCGAAAAAAAAAATTAAAGAATAAAAAATAAAAATAAAAAAATAGAACCGTTAAGAAAATGTCGCACGAGTGTTTTTGCAACTAATTTAGCATCTTTGAATAAAGATTGGAGAGAGTTTAACAAAGAATATGGGGCAAAGAGTCCTACTAAAGTAGTTTTGTGATAACATGGTACCACAAGCTAGGATATATGTTATTCCTGAGATAAAGAAGGAGTCTCTAATAGGTTGTAGAAACAACTCAAATCTAAAAACTAGACCACTGATCTATTCCTTTGCTGCAATGGGAAGAGCGCTTTTGATTTTTACTAATTTAATTCTCCTAATTGAAAATGAAATTAGCTGTGTCTCCGACTTTTCGCTTAGAAATGGAGAATCAAATAGGGAAAAGAAAATGCCCTAATCTGCAACTTTAATATTTCGGTAAAGACAACCAGTGACTGTTTTACAGATTCTCCTCTATTCGTAGCCTAAAAATGACTCCTGTCCCTCAGTCAATCATTTGCTACTTTTAGTAAAGTTCATGCCTCTTGAGGTATTTTCACAGCAGTAAGTTTGAGAAACTCTTGTGTCCCATTCCGTCTGAGTTGAGCTCCGAGGCATAAAATAATTTCAAATTGACATACTACCCACGAGATGAATGGTGGTCGTCGCCTTTGCTGTGATTTTTGGGCTGGATACAGTAGCAAAAACTGTATTGAATGTAATCCGTAACGCACCCACATTGACATTCTAATGCAACCACTAAGATGCTGAACCTCTAATAATTTCAACAGAAATGTCGCATCATGCAATTATTTTCGCGTTAAGAATTTGTTTACTTTTATTTTATTTTTTTAATGCGGGGCGAGAGAGAGGAGCAGAGTTCGAGGGAGACAGGGCAACATTGCAGCCAACAAAATGCTGGTGAAAAAACGGCGACCCAGAAGCCGACTGTAATGTTAACAAAATTAGACCGAGAAAAGAAAAAAAAAATGCAAATAAAGCCCTCATTGGAAATTGAGGATACACTAGAAAGTGATCGGTAGAACTATGTATCTACATGTCAAATATGGTCTGGAACGAGCTTTGAAACACCCATAGAGCTTCCTTTAAATTTTGAATTCGTTTAAGCCAACGAATTTATCTCCCACAAGTTGTTTCTCAGCCGAGCGACTTTTTTCTGTGTCAAACTAAAAAGGAATTTAAGCCCGACATTATTCTTTTTATTTATTTTGGTTTCTTTTTCTTTGCCCCATCTAAAAAATAAAAACTTCCTTGTATCCGTGGTTTGGTTATGCACCGTTTTCGGTCTCCTCCAAAAGACACACATTCTAATGAGACTGTATGTTGGTGAGTGCGGGTCCGCGTCTGCAAAAGAACAACCCACAGAGACTTGTATAACAATGTAACCATAATTTATGATAAGGAATGTTGGTGTCTCACGCAGAATGCCGTGGACAAAAATACTTTCTCAAGAGAGGGGTCGACGACAGTCTTGTGATGTTTATTGATCGTTTTATTTTTTTCTTTTAGCACGCGCTAAAAGAAGTCTCGGAACATTTAGGGTCAGTTCAAAGCAAATTATTTCCCCACTTTTTTTTCTATTTTTGTCTCTTGCGTGATTTATTCCGGTGCGGAAATTGCTGCTACCAGCCAGTTTTTGATTTGACGTCAAGGAATAGGTTAAGTGACAAGACAACTATGCTACTAGTACAAATACATGGATGCTATATAACTCCTGAATAGACAAGTCACTTTGTATTAAATGGAATGTAAATCAGTTTGTTAAATAATTTCGCAAGTAGTTGATTCTCTCTGAACTTTTGCATAAATTTTCAATGAAATTGGTCATGTCGATATTATCTGGACAAGCTAGGCTTCTAAAATAGAAAACTATACTGATTATTTTGGGTATATACATGGACGAATTACTTACTAGATGAATACGGAGAAGAGGTTTCTTAACTCACTCAAAAAAGTTTCAAATTTGATCTTAGAGTGGTTGTAAATCAAGAAACTGGATTGTTCAAATAGCCACAATTGGAATCCGTTGACGTAGAAGGCTTTGCTTAGTGTTAACAATGTAAAAACAATAACAAAATATTCAACAACCTTAAACAAACCTTGCTTTCCGTTTGAAACCTGAATTGACTGTACTGATATCCAAGTTTGCAATCAAAGAAATTAAACCAGTCAGGCAGAATTAGAGATAAAGAAGTGAGACAAGGCATTCGACGGGCCATTGATTAGCCACACCTGTTCACCATGAAGTTAAAACCATTTGGTTGAACTAGATGTAGAGAAATGGTTTAGATTTCATTTTAAACTTATTGTAGTTACACTACAAGACGGTATTATTTAAAAGTGTTGCAATTGGAAATCATGAGGGCTGTAGAGCCGGATCTATTATGAAGAACTAAGTAATCTGCGTCTGAACTTGCTTTTGCCCCTATCTTTCTGTAATGGATCATGTTTAAAATAGGATTGCTGCAATAATCACCTGGTTTGGTCATGCTAATTGCAGTCCTACTTTAAATTCCTCAGTGTTAATATACCTAGAAATCTGGTCTATTTCGTACGTAGTTTTATATAGTTCTAGAAGTTATTTCTATACTAATATAATGCAACAATCATTTATTAATTACACATCTACTGTTAACTGCTTACTTTTCACCTGAGATGTCGAAACAGTGTTGACAGTCCTTTCGTTTCGGAAACTAACGCCGACGCGCCCAATAGCAAGTTTTCAACTAGTGGTCCCCGAAACTCTCAATTGTAGCTTGATTTTGGATTCATTGTCACCTCTATTGCCATCGCCCTAAACTTTCCTGAAGGCGTGTCCATCACTGGCGTTTTTAAACGATTAGACGATGACACTATTTACATTCAGTATATTAGAGAAATCAAAGAGTAGTCAGTATATAGTTTTGCGAATAACTTGTTATATTTCTTCGACCGAATTACTACTTCTCATACTTCTTTTGCTAAGATTCTTGAAGCTATAATTTCTTTATGACCCTCCTTTATTGAAGGAGACACCATATACTCACATTTTGGACAGTTGTTTTATTAAAATACCTTGTAACTAGAAATTAATTATTCAAATCATCTAAGAAGAAATATATTCAATTTTGATCGAAAATAGACCTGACATTGTTCTAAGCGGCAGCAGCAGCCCCGGCAGCGGCACCGGCAGCACCAACGGCACCGAGAATAGCAGTAAGATCAGTTGTAACGATTCCAACGATATCGGAAACATCAGCGGCTGATTTTCCAAGAGCAATGATTAATTGGACAGTATCATCAGAAAGAGATGAGTCACCAACAAGCAATGGGGTAAGAGCTTGGACATCTTTGAGGATAGTGTCAACGTCACTTCTCAAAGTTGAAAGGTTGGAGAAAATTGGAGTAACGGCATTAGTTTGAACAGTAACCTCACTAGTAGGAGCAGCAGCGGCAAGAGTGAAGACACTGGCGATAGTAGCGATGGTGGTGAATTTCATTTTAGATAATTATTGGGTGGTTTTGGTGGTTGGGTTTGGATAGAAATTTGATCAATTCTCCTCTCTTTCCGAAAGGTTTGGGGGTATTTATATATTTTCTTTATCTTTTTATTTCACCCTGCAAGTGTTTCGTCACTTTTGTAAGTTTTGGTTTATGAAGACCACCTGTTTGAGTGGAGTAGTTTTGTGTTGTTTGCATTAGAGGCGTTTTTTGAAGTAGAAAAGTAGAACAATAAAAGCGTATTTCGGCTTAATTCCACTGGTTTTAGTTATTAAGCTGACTAGCATGCAATTGTTATCCAAAAATCTGTTCCGTAAAAGTTTTCACACAATTGTCTATTAATAATAGGGTAGAGGTTTAATGGTTTTCTTTCGTCGCTTTTACAAAACAATAGAAGCTTATTATATTCCCACAATGGTGCACCTCAAGTAGCCAATGACGACTACTTAGCTAATTGTTTGAAATGTGTGAGTGCCACAGTAATTCCAGAGTTGCTATTGTTCAACAGATAATCAGCCGTTACCCGTGTCTGTGACCACGCTCTATTGTTTATCTGTTTCTTTTGACAAATGAAATTCATGTGCTGAATTTTTTTTCGCCAAATTGTAATTTTATTTCTTCATTGGTAAGCCTAACTATATTGAATTATATAGAAGAGCCACGGGCTTTTTCTCATTCACATCTGGCTTTATAATTTTTAGAGCTTCTATGGATTAAGCTAGATTTTTTTTTTAATTCGAGCCAATATGGTTTGTTACTCCGAAGATTACAGCGTTGACGGGAACCGAGGGTTTTTCCGCCGTGTAACAAAGAAGCCGTTTTTGTGATTTAACGGTCAAACCAATGAAAATAAAACAGAAAAGAAATTACCCTTATCTTATTCAATCAAAAGGATTCTCACTACTCTTTGTTTTGTGAAACGCATTTTTAACTAAATCGTGGCAAGCGTTCCGCTAGGCCAATGCGCTTTTGCAAACACACACGTGGATAGGTCTAATCAGGTATTGAACTTATTGCTCTGACGGATTACTCAGCAGACTTCCAATACAGGAAGAAAGAAACGATGAAAACAACGGCATATTTGCAAAATTCTTGAAAGATTACTCAAAATTGAAATCATTGTTCGTCTAATTCCGCCGGTTAGTCAACTGTGTTATTGTTTCGATCACCACACTTCAGCTATTATGAAAGTGGCCCAATCAATTTTGAAGTGCACAAGGCGGAGGACAAAAATAATTCAAAAGAGATTAACTAGCTCTCAAAGCATATAAGTACTAGGAGGCATTTCCCCAAGAACAACATTTTCGAGGAATAATTTTCAACTCCCCAATCAACTTAATCCTGCACCTCCACACGATGAAATTCTTCACCTTTGCTTCCCTTGCTAGTATTTTAGCCGTCGCTACTGCTGCCGATGATGCCAGTGTTTCTCCAGCATCATTATTACCAATTGTTGGACAAATTAGTTCAATTGTCGGAGACGTCACGGACCTTATTCAAAATGCTGAGACCATTTATCCTTTAATTGTTGGAAACTCATCCATTCCTGTTGAAATCAAAGATTTGGTTATTGAAATTACAAACTTGTCTAAGGATGTTGGAACTTTGGTCCACGACGTTTCATCAAACTTCAACACTACCTTCCATATCAACCACTAGGTCGTTTCATTTCTAAGAAAAGCAAAGGGCAATCAATAAAGTAGAACAGAGTTTATTAGTGCTGTTGGATGCAAAGCTGTATAGTATTCTTCATAGCCCTAGAAATAAAGTATAATTAAGGTTTTAAATGAAAGATTTCTAGGAAACAATACATAGTAGAGTACTCTTTTCAATGAAAGTTAATCAGAGTGAACTTGTCCCAAGAGTTCATCTACGTTGGCTCTGAACGGAACGTGGCCAGGTAAAACGTGATAATACTCAACAACAACGACGTTATAAAATCATCATGTATTTGATACGCCTTACCGAGGCAAAATACAATAACCAAGACAATTGAATTGCAATAAAAAAAGTACAATGAACTGTGCTTTTCCAATGATTGCGGCAATTTTTCCAATGATTGTTGTGGATATCGGAAATCCAGTAAAGGGATTTTTAACGGAAGCCTTCATGCATACGCAGCGCGCTTAAGGTACTCACCGATGACAACTACATACAGGTCGGAACACCTTGCGCAAAGAGTTTGTTTTATGACGCCACCGAAACTGCGCTTTGTCTTTGTTGCTAAAACGTTATCTATAAGACCGCATTGATTATCAGTAGTCATTTATTGGTCAAAATGCCGTTCACCGGGTTTTTATTGTGTGGAATGCCGAGGTGATTGCAATCTAACTGATTAATCGTAAGGGCATAAAGATATGTGAAATCATCATAATAAAAGGCTTTTCGTTGGGTTGGAGTGATAAAGACGGCTCATCTGTGTTTCTTCCTTTTAAGTATCTACTAAATCTCTTTCCTGAAAACCACAGAAAAGGGTCCGAGGTAATTTTGTAAAGAGATGGCGGAAAAGAAAAAGTCTAAAACTTTACCCGAAAGCCCTATTGTGTTTTGTGTAAGAATGCGGCAAACTCGGTGTGTCAACAGTTTTTTAGATGCGCATTCAATTTTAGCCGCCCTACTGCAACATGTGGTTCCTTATTTGCTCGTCTAGTCGTCTCCTGCATAGTCCCTAGCCCAAATAGTTATCAAACCGTGGTTCGCATAATCTGGTGTGGCTTTTTTGGTAGAGTCTGATAGTCTTCGTAATGGATTCGGAAGAGGAATAGCTAAGAGTTCAAATCAGAACATAAACTGAAAAAATGACTGCTTCCTCAACAATCGTAACCCTCGTAGAGACAGAGCACAGTGAAGTATTACTTACATTGACATTTAAAAATTAAAAGGTAAAAACAACGTGTATTTCAGAAAATATGCAATATCCTGAACCTACAGCGCCATATAGCTTCTCTAGTTGTTTTGGCCAAAGATACCGTTAAGATCGGATGAAACGTCACCAACCAAGCGAGAAATGTCACCAGCGGATTGGGAGATTGAGGTGATCAAGTCCTTGATGTTTTCTGGGAAAGTTGAGTTACCAGTAATCAATGGAACAACAGCCTGAACATCTTGAACAATCGATGAAATGTCCTTTTCTAATTGACTAATCTCTTGGAAAAGCGGAGCGGAGGATGCTCTTGGGACAGAAATAGCATCACTGGAAGCAGTTGGGGCTGCGGTAGCGACAGCGGCGATAGAAGCAACAGCAGTAATAGTAGTGAATTTCATTTTTATTATTATTTGTGTTTAAGCAGTCTTTAGTGGAGAAGCTTTCTTACTGAGGACATTCCCAAACTCGAAATCGGTAGGAGAATTCGTTGGATATTTATATTATTTGGTTAGCTAGTGTCCACCCCTATTACTCCGCCCTCTTTCTACCTCCCACAGCCAATAGATTTTCTATGGTAAACACAGTTGGTACTACCAAGCTATCATTGTTTAAAAATTGTGGATTTTGAAACAATTGAGCTCGAGTGCACACACATACACACGGGTTGTTCCGTTAAACAATGCAAAAGAACAGTGCTCTAACTATTTTTTGACAATAGACACGAGTTGTGTAAACATTAGTTTACTATTGTTTAAAAACAAGAATAGGGCAAAAAGCAAAAGCCACCTTTTTGACAATAGGGCGGGAGCTCATAATAAATTCCTCTTGTAACAAATGTGAGAGCTAACAGTATTTTTGAAGATACTATTGTGTGCGCCAGCCACAACTGTAAAAAGATCCTCTTTAACCGTCCCCCGTGGTTTGCAGCAAGAAAAAAATTGGCAGCAATAAAATAAAATAAAACAAATTTTAAATTTGATTTGCGGAAATGAAGAAGCAGAGTAACAATAGCCCACCCTGTACCCATTTCCCCATGTGCTTCTCCCCAAAGGTGTAGATTGTTTGCATTAGCCTTTTTTCTTCCACGTGTGGCCCATTACCCTCAGCCATGATCACTCTGGGCCATTTCTAACTAATTATTGCCTATGAATAGAGAGTGTTTCCTACTGTACCTCGTTTTATCGATGGTTTGATGCGTGATAGATACAAAGTATTGAAGCTCTGTTTCTGCAATATGATTCACAAGTTATAGTTTTCCGCCTTAATCGACAAATCATGTTTCACAACGGTATCACATGTTGTGCACACTTTTGATATTGTCTATTGTTCAGAGCAACAATCATTCTACTGTATTGTTTGAAAGAATATTTTATTGTGTGGAACCGTTATTGTTTTACAACCTTTTTTATTACACGATTGCGAAGCGACAACTGAGTTGATTGGCTCCCCGTGATGTTGCTTGTATCCCGCTCTCGATTTATCGAATTTCTAGAACCAAATAAATCAATTGCCCTGTGTTTTAGGTATTTTACAACACAGGGAAAACTATAACCGGGTTAGTTAAGGGGGGTTATTCTATGTTTCTTAGGGAGTACAAAATTGCGCGCACTGTTCTTTCTTTCTTTTCCCCCTCCCTGAATCAAAAAAGAGAAGCTACTCCGGAGTGACGGAAAGGGGGGGGCATTTTATCATAACCTGTGCTCCCCTATGTTTGGGAAATTTGTCTTGGCATTCCTTTTGCCGAAACTTCTTTACTTATTGTGATAGAAGCATGGCGTGTATGGAACTTTCTGATTAGCTCAAATGGATTTTTGTGCCACGTTTTGAAACGCATGCATATTTTTCCGTTCTCCGTTCAACGGTTTTTATTTTTATTTTCGCTACAATGGAAAGAGAAGAACTCAATGATTGTCGATGAGGGATTTAAAATTTAAAATTAAACTAAATTGTCACACATGTGTTTGTGACACATCCGTCCATGGAACTCCCTTCTATCCTGGAGGGGAAGGGAGGGGAGGATAGTTTAAAGAAGGAATGTAAAAAGTGTGGTGGGCAGGGTCCACGGTCAATTAGATTTTGCTTTTTAATAGAATAACAATGGTAGTTATGATTCTCGTAAACAGCGGCAGGTGACCACACTTTTAGCAGTGTGGTTCTAGAACCTATAATTCTGAAACCACGTTTTCTCCTTTTTATTTTTTTGATGAGAGTATCAAGATCTCTCCTGTGGATGTCCTCATCTCCAAAATCAATTGTTTCGTGATGCGAAAAAAAAAAAATCAACCTGAGGTAGCCTCGTCGCAAGTTTCTGTATGTGTACAAAACGATGCTGATTTATGATGAGGTTACACTTACCTAAATCATCTCCTCCATTCACTGATTCGCTCTGTGCAGAAAAACAAAGTTTTGCGTACGGCTTCAGGATCCCACTAAAATTTACAAATATCCACCTTTTCTAGGCCAATATGTCTAGGCTTACAACCCTTTCTTCCCACAATCAAGATATACGAGCATACTAAAAGACGAATTTAACTTTTGGGTATGAGGATGTTTTGGCAACGCTTAATTACATCCGCCACTACTATGCCAATTGTGATGCTTGCATAAATATCTACAGCCATGAAACCCCATAAATACAATCGAGTAGCAGCTACTAAGCCAAGCTTACAACTATTTGGCGGATGCCTTGTCATAGTATTTCACGACATTCAAAACTGACATTACACAAACTTCAACAACCTGATTTCATTTTTCATCTCAGTTAAAAATCTGCTGACGTTTTACGACACCATATACAATCTTTCAATAATGGCAAGTGGAGCACCGGGTACGTTTCCCCAAAATAACTTCTTGACTCAACAAGACACATACTAACAAATAATTTTCATCAAGGAGGAAATTTTAGAACATGGACGCCAACACCACCAGAAAGAGGTTCGTTCCCTCTTGACCATGAAGGGGAATGCAGAGAGCAAATGATAAAGTACCTAAAGTGCATGAAGTTTACCGAAAACAAGAATGCTCCAAACTGCCGCATATTGGCTAAAGATTACTTAAAGTGCAGGATGGACAACCAGTTGATGGATAATAGTGATTGGGATTCACTAGGGTTGGTAAACCTACCAGGGGATAAAGAGACGACTCATAATGAACAGAAACCTGTTAACGAGAAGTCTGAGGTGAAGAAGTGATTGAATCAGTTGTCCACAATAAATAGAAATAGTTTCATCATTTGTATATAATCGAAATAATTCCTTTAATTTAAACTCTTACACATGTACATAATGTCTAGAACTAAAGTTTATCTTAGTCAAACATTCAATTGTCTTTCTTTTCTGCTTGGACCGTTTTGTCTTTAGCTTCGGAACTCTTTGCATTGCTCAAAAACCTATCAATAGCATTAGGTTCTCTTGATTCCTGTGCACTTCCTTGCGTCGACTCATTTGCAACCGGGGCGCCATTTAATCCATTTACCCCCTGTTGAAAATGACTTTGATGAGGCGCAAATGCAGCTGGTGGAGCTGGGTATGAAGGCTGTTGGTAGAATGCTCCTGTGGGGAAGCCATAGGGTGCAGGTGGCAATGGCTGGCCATATTGGGGTCCATTTTGAACATTTGGAATATGAGCCCCATTACCTGGATGGTGACCTTCACTCATAACATTTGAGAAAATCTGATTGTAGATCTGTTTGGCTGCTTGTGGGTTATGAGCGTGTTCTTGCTTTTCTTCTCTCAGTTCTTTGACGGTGTCCTTTGCCTTTTCTGTGGCTTGCTTATCATTCTTCGACTTATCTGACTCCTTTTTCCTTAACAAAGACAACAACTCATTAGATCCCTTAGACTTATGTTCCTCCTTCTTGTCAGCCTGTGCTGCTTCTTGAGATAAAGCTGGACTTCTTTTCTCACCAGAGTGTGGCTCCGGTTGAGGCTTAGTCCATTTCTTGACTTGAGCAGCTTTGATACGAGCAACCTTCTCCTCCTCTGTCATTGGTCTTCTCTGCTTAGAAGCTTTAGAGTGGTAAACAAATTGCTTATTACTCAAATTCAAAACCAACGATGAATCCAACATGATACCACGGTTCGTTTGAAGCTTACCATTCATGTTGTTTCCACTCAATTGTGGAACGTCAAAAATGACACCCAATGAAATCTTTGAACCAACAGTGATAATGGATGCAACCGTTCCTTTCGACATTATTGGAACTTTTCCAAAGTCCTGCACGTACTCAACACGATCGCCCAAGTCAAACTTTTGATCACTCAACAATTGATAAGACTCAGTGGCACTCAAGATCGCGTTTCTAGGAACACCTCGGATATCTTTGTTGATCAATGGAACTTGGTTCAAGACGTAATTTTCCATATACTGCTCAATTGAAGCAAAACTAAACTTGGTAAACGATTGACTTTCCAATGAAACCGGGATCAAATCAGTCTTGACTTCCTTCAACCACTTTTTAACCTCCTGAATCTCTTCTGCATTTGACACATCCTTCAAATTAGGAATATCAGATCCCCTCAAATGGGAAAGTTTAGAAAATAAACTTGGAAACTTTTGCTTATAAGTTTGGATCAAGTTAATTGCCAAGGGAGAAAATTCCCAAAATTTCCCATTTGCCAGTTGTCTCGTATAGCCCAACACCTTTTGTCTCTTACTTTGAAACTTTAATTCCAAACCAATATTTACCTTTTTGTTACCATCTTGAATCATATACTGACTGGTAATTTTCGACAACAAAAGTGGATTTATTCCAAGCTTCTTGGCAACATCAAACGATGGAACATAGTTGATTTGTTTCGCTTCAATACTTTGTCTTCTTTTACCAATGTTTGGCTCAGCCACTGAAGAAATTTTAGAAACCCTGATACTCAACTTATCGCCGGAATACCCAACCACTTGTGCGGGGGCTCCGTATCCTAGATCACCAAGGAAAACGACCTGGGAGTTTAGTGGAAATTCTTCTTCAACTGGCAACGGTGGTCTAGTTGCAAACCTCTGATCCTTGTGGGTAACATCCTTTACAATCAACTGTAATGGATAAACTTCAATGTCCTTCGAGTACGTTTTGACATATGCCCCTTTAGGGTTTCTTATCAACCCATTTACAGCTTTAACATGAACCAATACCTCAACTGGGCCAAGTTTTACACCCTTTGTCTTGTCCCAGAAGTAATCCAAATTATTACAAGTTGAGCGATAAATCCTCTTTTCATTAGGGTCCAATTCAGTTGTTTCGACATGTTTAAAGCCCTTGGAATTTCTAACCGATTCGTACTTGTTCTCACCATCAACAACTGCCACCACTTTGCATTCTCTTAAAAATGGCCAATTACTATAGATCAACCTTCCAGCAAAGCTCTGAGCAAATTGGCGCAGAGACATGTCTGACCACACATTTTCAACGTTCAAGATCATGGACTCTGACTTGGACGAGAAATTAAACACCTTGACTTCATTCAATGCCAACTCGAAAGTAAACGGTACTGATTGCAAAGTGGGGAACCCAGCCAGAAGATCAGTTCCAGTGCGGGCTTCCTTAAACTTACCAATCTTGGGATCGGTAACCTGTGGCAAAACAAACTCTACCTCATAGCATCTGTCATGCTCAATATCGTGGAAAAATCCCGGTAAAGGAGAAGGATAAACCTTGTCAATTTGGGGATTGTTGATAAATTTGACATTGTGTCCATAGGAATTTCTCTTTGCTTCTTCAGGTGTCAACTTGGACTCAATAGGTTTCAAGGCTTCAAGCAACTTCTTCTCATCGACAAAATCCAATAAAACCACAGCTTCCCAAGAAGCCGTCTTTCCGTTCATATCAATATCAACCTCATGTGGGTAGAATCCAATGATGGGGGATTTTTCGTCCGTCATCAACGGCCGATACACAGCTGGCATCAACTTTTTGGATCTTGCAGGAAGGACCGCCATCAATTGCTCAAATGGTTTGAATGGTTTCGATTTCTCAAATTTCAAATCTTCCCCTTTCTTGATGAGCTCTTCTAATCCAACGGAAATATCAGAAATCCTAGGGGCATAGTGATACTTGTAATAGAAGTTCCAAGAAGGGCAACCACGGTAGTAGTAATACAAAACCCATTGCAACCCTTCAATATAATGCTCAGTCATTTCAGTCAATTTCTCCTTGTCATCGATAGAGAAATGTAACTTTTCTAGGTAATAGTCGTTTTTCCAAGACCTAAACTTTTGCTCATAAACTTCTTTTGTCTCACCAAGAACATCCTGACTTTCCACCAAATTGGCCGCTTGATACGACTTAACAGTCCTCCGCAATTCACCTATACGTTCGTCATAATCTTCCTCCGATTCAGTTGGTGATAACCCGTCAATGTCCAACTTGGCATCATAGGTGTCATCCGACTTGGAGTGGATAATCAAGAACCCAGCTTCCAATGCAAACTGCTTGAGAAATTCCATGTTTTTCTCCACTTCTTCCTTGTTCAACTTTAAAGATGGTAATTTCTCGTCATTGGCCAATTGGAGAAGGTCATTTACTGGTTGACTCGACACCTCCATGAGCCAAGGTTTAATATAACCCACCAATTTCTTTTGTTCTTTCAAAATCAACAACTTGCCAATCCTCTTTCTCTTTTTCTCACCAGATATAGATACATCGTCAAGCTTCTTGTTGAACCATTCGACATCTACTTCCCTTTCTTCAAAGTTTTCAAATTCAAACTCAGCCAAATGATGGATCCAAATGTTCAATCTCCTTAAATTAATTTTACCATCCTCGTTGATGTATCCATCTGATTGAAGTAAGCTTTGCTTGAAAGTGGATAGCAATAAAGGAAATGCTCCTTTATTCAAGTGCAAGTCAGGCAAGTGAGGCAAGAAATCGTTACCAATGACGTACATAATGAGAATGAAATCATCCAAAACTTTCTCAAAGTCATACTCAAAGTTAACCTGCTCCTCGACTTCTTTAAACTCCAAAGACAAATACTCTCTCAACAAGGACAAATGCAAAAGGAAAAACGTTTGGTCAGTTACATCCTTTGGGCCTGACGAGGTCTTGCGGTTTCCAAAAGTGACTTCTTCTCGTAACAACGAAAAATGTGGGTCATGACTAACTAGTCCCAACATAATCAAATCCGCATCCAATCCATAAATACAATGTCTCAAGTTTGGATCGTAATCATCTTGAGACCGCAAAGCTCTAATAAATTCTTGAATCTTGTGTTCACCTTCTCCGGGGACTTCATGGCCACTCAATACAATTTCAATACTAGCCCACCGTGAATCTTCCGTTATCTTTTTATGTACAAAGTATTTCAAGTTGTCAGTCAATTTGGCCATAAATTCTGTACCTGGCGTGATCGAGTTAGAATCAAACGGATCTTCCTTAGGAAGCTCATCCCCATTTTCAATGGCCTTTTTCAAGTTTATTTCCGCTTCGTAGGCTGTTCTAAATCTTCTGGCTCTCTGCTGATTCATCTTGGCTCTAGGTGCAACTCCATCAATGGCCATGTAAAATGTCTTTTTCGGCTTAATTATGCTGAATAAATGGTCAATGTAGTTGAAAATTGCAGCATACATTTGGTCATCAGATATACGTGTTATCGAACCATCGTTGGAATGAGTACATGTGTGCAAGATCGAATTCATGTCGAGATACAAGTTGTCAAACTCGGGTATCTGATTTTCATCAATCAACTGCGAAATCAACGGCCATCTTTCTGATATGAATCTAAAAAATTTAGGAATACCTAGACGGTGTTAGTAAGTGATTGCAAAACGAGCAATAATGTAAATGGCACACATACCCATTATTAAATTTGGTGTCTATCTATGCTTGTGTATATATTGAAGCAAATTGCTTTCCCAAAATGTCGAAGCTCTTTGCGAAAAATGCCGACACTATAATTGTTGTTCTCAAAAAAAGTTTTGTTCCCAGTTCTGAGACACGAAAGAAGTGGAAATTTCACACGACCTTTTAAATCATATACTAAATCAAACTTATATTCTTTGATTGTAAACAAATATATATATAGAAAAAGCAAAACTAAATAAAGAATTAAAATCAAACAACCAACCAACAAATATAGAAGTTTATCCTCCCTTCTGTTCATACCAACCTGCTACCCACCTTGGATAGAGTGTTCTAAATAGCACCAATACGCCTAAGCATCCCAATATTCAAACCCTCGCTTTTGCATCTAGAGTGCCGTCACACCTTCTTCTGGACAAGCACGATTGTATGTTTCCACATATTCCGAGTACTTTTTAAAAACGGTTTTAGACAGACGCCTTATTTGCTTTCCCAAAAAGGAATCTCTTGACCAAAACGATGATCCTCTCTCTGCACTCTCAGCGAGGTAAGATTCAACACTTTTTCTCCATCTGGGGTACAGTTTAGCAAATCTACGTAAGGCTTGACGACTAAATCGGAGCGATCTTCTAAACCCGTATCTCCCAGCCCTTTCCCATTTCTTGCCAAGCTTCTTTAAAAGACGAGACGTAGTTTTACCAAGCTTGGCAGACAATCTAGCAGACTTGTCAATATAAACGGCGGCTCCAGCACTTGTAGCGTGAGCCCAATCATGCAATACATTGACCGACTTCCTTGTATAATTTGATAAATTACTTGCAACTATCCTTCCATTTTGAGATATATACCCCAGCCCAATCTTTCCATACTCTGCTGCCACAACACTTCCCTTTGAAGCAAGTTCCTTCAACGTTTTAAATTCTCTTTTCGAAAATCTGGTCGTTTCTTCATACCAGCGTCCAGCATTCTTGCTCACCAACTTTAAAGCATTCTGGGACCTCCTTAGCCAATCATTTGTTATAGGTACAGCATCGTCTAGAGCTTGGCTTGCCAATTCACGCACCGAGGTTAACTTCGGTTCCAAAGAAGTTCTCACTTGCTTAGCATACTTGACAAATCGGTTAACTTTTAACTTTTTATGGCCAAATGCAAAAAAGTTACTAGATGCTGGTGTCTTCTCGTAAACAAAATTGTCCCAATAGTGACTGAGTGTCTCATAAGCAGTGACTGGTTCAGGCTCTTTGGGGGATACCATGTGGTGAATTACATAAGCAGCTGGTATTATACCAACCACAATAGCAAAAAGGTAGTAGTAAAGATATTCAGAATGGGAATCCAAGAAATCTTGCACAGCTTTAACCACCCTCACTTTGAATGACAGAGTGTTCTTGCTGGAGATATAGTCTGCTGGGATGGTAGGTTCAGCATTAGAAGCAGCACTAGGTAACTGTTGTGGTTTGGTATCATCTTGAGCCTGCAACTCTACCGTGGTTTCTAAATCGGTATCCACCTCCAAACTAGATGCGGCATCGCCACCACTACCAGAAGCTCGGCCCTCCTGTGACTTATCTCCATTCTCTGTGGACTCCAAGACCACATTCCTGTTCTGCTCATTCACATACCTATTTAATTGATCAATCTTGTCTTTGGCATAATTTGAATAAAACTCGCTCGACCTTTGTTTGATGGACTCATTGAACATGCTCATGTTTTCAAAAAATTTGATCTTAGAACCAACATTAGCAGATTTTGCCAACTCCTCAGACACTGAGTCGTCAAGTTGGGAACCCAGAGAGAAGGACAATGGGGAATATTCGCTCGGTTCTCTTTCGCTCCCATCAGTGCCTTTGCCCTTGCTTGTCGTTAAGCCATTTCCTGATAGTAACACAACCTCCTCTTCTCCTTCCTCTTCCTCTCCCAATCCAGGAATCAATTTGGGTACTTGAAAAATCGAACTATCAATATCCAGGGTCTCCAAATGATTGTCTGCTCCAGTATTGAGCGGTTTGCCATCGGAACTAGTTGTTGATCTTTCATCATCAAAATCTGACGATGATGAGATAATAGACCAATCTTCATCAATGGTGTTACTATTGCCAGCACGTGTTTTAGCTGGTGACATCTCCCCCTGTTCTTTTCCCTTTCCCTTTCCCTTTCCATTAATACTTTCTTGCATTTTTTGCCTGATAGTTGTACACTGTAGTTCTACTTCTTCTGATATAACTAAAGTTGCCTCACTCAAAGATTCTCTTAAATTGCAGCTTTCTTAATGCAAGCGTTCAATTAGCCCGTTTTCAAAAAGTGGATGACTTTATTGCTATCAGCAAATGTGGGTTTTAAGTTAAGAATTAAAATGATTTGTCACGGAAAGAAAAAAGGGGATAAGGAAATTTATTACAAGATAGGGAACAATAAAGAGAACCTTTTTAATTTACAACAATATAAAGAGGCTACAAGCCTTGCGGTAAGATTTGAATCAATGTTACATGTAAAAGCTTGAGACGATATGACATGCTTGACACCACTCTCGAAAGGCGTGTAGGTCCAACGCCACGAAATACAAACTCCGTTGTATACCTCACACACAAAGTAATCATGCGGATAAGATAACAAAAACATTTGTGCAGAAGTACACTACCAACAATAAAATGCCAAGTGTGTGCTACACAGACGCATTGAGTTGGAAACGACAAACAAAGAAGGTAATTTCTTGTCTTAGTTGGGTCAAATGACCTAACAAAATTGCGATGTGCACCATTTGTCAGAGTGGATAAGCTAAGCATAACGAAATCTAACTCGTGAAGCCACAATACACAAATATGAACTATCTAAAGCTACCTGTTGATTTTGTGGTATATCAAACAACACATACGTTCGTAAAACTCAGAAGACCACTACTACCACCAAAGTTGCCAGTCAACCATGGTCACAGATTGGCAAAATACTCCTAAAATTATGAAAAAAAAAATACACAACAGAACTATATAGTATCTCTCAAAACTGAAACTCACTTTGCTTTTGATTTTATTGTGACTAACCATCAACAATTGTAGTTTTATTTTGGGATTAGTATGAGTGAAGAAATAAATAGCAGCAAGAAACAATGCTTTTGATTTTTTAAGTTGGCTCAACCATGACTGGTTCTTGGAAGTAACAAATATAACTTTTCGCTCCTTAGTGGATATATTACAAAATGGTAGGTTGAAGAACAATCGGAAAAATGTACTCTTGCATCGTACATTACTCGCCGTCTCTCTAGAACATTATCAATGTTGACCAGTGCTTCTAACTATTGTTCACGGGGGTTTGGTTTCAAATAATCACCAGAAGTTGATTCAGTCGCAGTGGACGATGTTGTATTTTTTAGCTCGGGTGACTCCTGAATCTTTGTAACCTGTACTGTCTGTGTAGTTATGCTGTTCGGCCCCAGATGATTTTTGAGCAATTGAGAAGGCGGAGGTAAGGATGATATTAAGGACCCACGATTTTGTGTACCACTCCATGCTGCGTTGACAGATTGGGATGAGTTTGTTCCTGCCGCATTTGGCGTCAAGTTTTGGCCAGTGTACGGCTGAGGATACGTTTGGTGTCCCATATTAGCAGGTAGCGATTGAGGCCGGCTTCCAAGTGAAGGAATCATAAATGAGTTTGCAATGGAATTACTTCTCAGTATTGATGAGGGATTCGGAGGAAATTTAATTGGTGTTTGAATAGGGTTAAGGCCCAGTAGACCGGGTGAGCTCTGTGACAGAGTAAGCGTAGACACACTCGTCAGGTCACTGCGTTGTATTGGCCGTGGGTCTTCTCCAATGGCTCCCATGCCTCCCGATATTCCTGGTAGTGGCCCTTTTGGTTGATTTGTACTTGAATGTGGATGATGTGGGGTCATTTGCGGAACAAAAGAATTATGCGGCTGAGGTTGGTGCGGCACTGAAAGTGGTGGCAACGATATTTGATTATTGTGTGAATTGAATTGCGGAAATGGATAGTATGTTATGGGATAAATTGGATTAGGAGTGAATGTTGGGCCATTTGAAGCTCTCGACGAAGTTGTCGGTATATGCGCATTGAATGAGGAATATGCTTTGTGGTCCAAACTCTGACTACGTTGTTGCTGCTGAATTAGCAGTTGATGCTTGGAACCGAATTCTTGGTCACTATGGCTTCGAATATTTTGCCTTCTTTCTAAGTCCTCCTGTGAAAGTCCAATTGTTTTCATCGTTGGTATGCAATTTGGATTATTCGTAGTAGTTGAATCACCGCTAGTGGCTGGTTCATTACTATTTGAGCTAAAATTGGAGGAGACACCAGTCGAGTTGGATGTCGCTGACGAGTCCCTTTCATCATGCTGATTGACGGCAAGGGCCGGGCGTTGTGGCGTGTCATCTCCACTTTCAATACTATTACCAGAATGCAAATGATTAAGTGGTACAGGGTGGTGACTGACCTCCTGGCTGTACATGGTTGCTGAGTGTGGTTCACCGTCGTCAAACATACTGGGGTTGCTATTTACGCGACTATTGCTGTTTGAGCTCCCTGTACATGCATTGGCTGAGTTCTGATGCCTGGTTAAGGCATCCGGCCGTGCAAACCTCCTCGAACACTTTTCACAACTATACGGTTTTTCTCCTGTATGAAGTTTCTCGTGGCGTTTTAAATCATGTATCCTCCTAAATTTTAAATGACAAATGTTGCATACGTGAGGTTTTAACGACGAATGTATAAGTTCATGACTTACCATATTATGTTTTCTGGTGAACCCTTGATTACAAGTTTTACAGAAATATTTTCTTGGTAGTCGTTGTTTGCCAGTCGTAGATATGATCAGAGGCGATTCTTGTTCTGGTGATTGATGATATGCTGGTGTTGTAGGCATCATGTTATCGCCTCCAGCTTCGGGATGGAAATAGTCAATTTGTTCATCAGGGGGATGACGACCATCTTGCTGAGACTCTGCCTGATTCTGTTGCTGTGTATGTAGCGGTAATGGTAGCTGCGGTGAAGACTGCAGCGGGTTCAGCACCAGCTGATTTAGATTATGTAGCAACTGTTTGCGGTTTTGAGACATATGTTGTAGATGGTGCAGTGATGTCTGTCCTTGCTGAACTGTTTGGACATTCAATTTGTAGGTGGGTGTCGAGTTTTCTGCTTTTGCTCAAATGGATCTTCTAATGGTAGCTGCGCTAGGTTCAAGCGATATTGTTGAACTGTTGTACTAGTATCCTCTTTTTCTGTAGATGCGTAAAGGATGGACTGGGCAAATAGGTGTTACTGTTTGCCTCTAAAGTGTCTTGAATACAAGGTTCCGGTTGCTACTCTGGACCATCCACAAACGATGAAGAAAATTCTCTTTTTGCGTATGATGTAATGGGATTGTAATAATATTTTTTATTTTATTTTATTTTTATTTTTTTTATTTTTTTTAGTTTTCTTTAAATTCTTCTTCTTCTTCTTCCGTATGGGCTTAGGTTAGTTTGACTTTATTAAAAAGATGTAACAAAAAAAAAACTCTGGTAAAAAATTAACGATAGAAAATAATCAAATGAACAAGGGGAATTGGGAATGGTAGAGGAGAAAAAGATGAGAAATGTGGTATATTTAAATTTTTTTTGTCAAAACCATCAGACAGTACAAGGATCTGCTTTGATTCAGCGGATAAAAAAATGGATGCTCGACTACTTATCCTAAACTTTACTTTGTTGTACAGTATGACAAATTTGATTCTATTTTTTTTCCATCTATGTGTATTACAAATAATATGACAACAACAACAACAACAACAACAACAACAACAACAACAACAACAACAACAACGACAACAACAATAACAGAAAATTTTTGATTTTTGCCTCTTTCGCATTCCTTCATTTCTTATTTGTATTTTTGCATCACGTACATTTTTACAACCAACCATTCGCATTTTATTGCAACTCTATTTTGTGTCCTCTAAAAATAGGATATGCTACTCTAAATAATTGCAGCATTACCCTGCAACGAAGAATTCAAAGGTATGGCAAGAGCTTCATGAGCAACGAATTAGCTAGCAATTTGCAAAAAAATAGCTACCATTTTACAATTACAAAGAATATGAAAATGTCGTGTTATGCTTTAACACTTGATCGCGCATGGCATTATTTTTTCGTTTTGTGTTACAAGTCGTGTAAACCTTTCAAAAATAGAGTACACTCCAAAGTTACAAAGTATATAGCAATCAAGTCAAATGTATAAAAAAGTGTTCAACACGAACATTCCTTACATACCAGTGGCCACTGATACAATAGAATTGTGACAGTTATTATTTTATTTTCTTAACCTCTTAAATTCAATTGTTATGGCGAATAGGTTGGTGAAGAAGCAACACAACTGAGTAGGAAACACAGATAGCCCTGGCTATTTAATTTCAACTTCTTTTTCCTTCTTTTTTATTTTTATTTTGTTTTTTTAGTAGTATTTTTATTTTATTTATTAAAGTGTTTTGGTGTTTAGTCCTACTTCAACAAACAATAGAAAATCTTATGCATAAATAGATCCCAAAGCTAGCGCTTATATCTCAATTCAACTGAACAAGCTACTAGTAAGGGCTGTACTATCTTGCATTGTACCTAGAGCAATTGGGTGCAAACACGAAGTTCACAACTGAGTTATAATAATTTGCATTTGTCACATTAAAGAAGCTTTTTATTATTTTTCCCTTTATTATTATCTCTTCGTTAGTATTTGGTCTGTCTCACATTTATGCACGGTGGACTAATGATTTGTACCTTTTGGGACTTTCCGTGGAAAATAACAGGGTAGTATTAGCGGCAGAGGCAGAGCTAGGGAACTAACCACCTTAGACAAGCTGCTTTTTCAGTGATAGCATGTTCTTTGCTCAAGTAACCAGCTCACTTTTACCGCATTGGGTAGTCGCCAGTTTTTGGCCTTTATACACTACTATTGTTTGCATTGAGGCGTAGAGGAAAAGGCGCACAACTGCAGCGTAAATCGTGGCTTTGTGTAAATCGACTTCATCAATGGAGCAGTAGAATTGACAAAGAGCAACATTAAAGAATATTTGATGTGGCTGTTCACCCAGCTGGCATTCTTTTCGAGATTTGGATTTTTTTGTTTTCTTTCTTTTTTGTTCACAGTATGAGTAGCCATGGTTAGCATTGTTAGGTTAGTCTTCTTTTTTTCTTTCCATCGGGTATGCACATCGACTTAGTTTTTTGTAAGCGTTTCGAAGTTCTAGAACAACAAACACAAAGGAAAGGTCACATACATTTTCCAGCCACAAAGACTGTCAAATCTGAGAAGTAATAAGAGAAACAAAGAATAGTATACGACACACAAAACTAAAGAAACCTTAAAAATTGCTTAAATAGAACATTCCACTACATCATGCAATTTGTGTAATATCACAATACAATTGTTAACAGAACAACAAAAGAAAAAAACCTGATGGAAAACAATAAATATTGTTAAACTTGAATTAGAGAACCTAACTGAACTAGAAAAAGCTTGGTTCGGAAAAAAATGGTTACGTTTGTTAGGAGCGAGGTAAAATTGATTGACCAAACTTTAGCTGTGGCCATGTGCATACTATTGTTGTTCTCCATTGCTCAACTTGTGGCAAACATTGGCTGTGACGGAGTAGGTGGAGCGATAAGCGATACCCAAGGAAAACAAATTTTGACAATACGAACCAATTGAAGGATATGCCTAACCATGTTGATCTACTTGTGTATGCAAATGTTTTTTTTGACGCCCCTTCAGTTGACCGAAAGCTGAGATTAAGTTGAAAAACTTGTCTATCTAACACTCCCTTCCATCTAAAGAAAATCTATTGAGCTTTTGGCGAGAGCATGTTGCGGACCTTCATAGAGAGATTAAAATACGAATATTTTATTTGTCAAGAGGAGTCGGTCATATTTTCTAAATGCCAGTGAAAGCCTGAAAATTTATCGCGTTAAAGTGGTGAAAAATATGCAAGTCATCACCCACTGTTGCCTTTTATTTCACATGCCGCATATATTTATATAACGCATAAAAATGGTTGGGTCCTGTGCGCGGGTCCCCTACACCCCTCCTCAAAACTAAGCCACCCTGGAGCACCCCCCCTCATGTTCAAACTCATTCATCCTAGAGTTGTAACCGGGAAAGTGTTTGAGCGCTTGTACTAAAAACAGGCTCAGTTTGTATGAACTGTCAACGAGTCTCCGTTTAAAATATGAATCCTATCTTCAATATGAGGCGTTATATCTTTGCAACTAGTTTAAAAAGTGGTTGAAATTAAGGTTTAATACGAGGAAAGTTTTGTCTATCGGCCTGTGCGCTCAACCAACTGGTTATGCAGAGTCTAAACCTTAAATTGAGACAAAGGTTGTGAAATCGTGGCAAAGACAGAAGCATAGACACTAGGTAATTGGATTTACTTTTAGTAGTTGATGAATGCACAATACACTGCATGTAATTGAGACTATCAGTGAGGAGAGAAGTTGTCTTTTTGTCATTTGTTATCCAAATTTTGCATGAGAATCAGGACAAAGCTTTCTCTTCTTCCTCATATCTAAAAGATGCCCTAAATGTCATGACCCCACGACACACACAGCAGAAATGCTTTTAATCGGATTTCTATCCCATTTTATGTTCTTTCAGAAAGATCCAACGATGTGGGTCGGTTCCAATTACTGATCAAATCATGTTAGTCGACACAACATTATGTACAAGCCAAGTAATGTTTAAAGAGGTTTAATTTGAAGTGACTACCTAGAGTGAAGGCGGCTAAACTGGGTGCACTCACTAGTCGGTGTAAGAATTGGTAATGGTACCTCTAACCGGGCTTAGGTCAACAACACGAACTCATTCCATGGCTTTGTTTCTAGACGTTGGCGAAGTTTAGCAAACGTCTTCGCCAGGCTTTGCAGTCAACTGGAGGAAGAGAACATGACCGAATTCCTCCAGACTACTGTTACAGGTATTATGGATAAAAGCCTTGGTCTAGTATTTTGAATGCGAATGTCAAATTCGTATAATAGCCAATCATTTTCCTAGCAGCGATATAAACTACTCTTAGCTACTCTTTGGTAATCCGAGTCAAAGGTGGTATAATTGAGACGGATAAGCCACTGGCACTGGCTTGCAACTTCAAGGTGTGTACATCGTAAAATAGTTTGTCTGTGTACTTAGTGTGGCGTTCAATGGTGAGGTCGTGTAAAAACCAAACCAATTTTAGTTTGCTATGCCAGTAACCATGTTTTTGGAATAAAAAAGCTTGTGCTTAGTGGCGAGAAATACGCAATGTGGCCAATGTTAGACGAAAGATGATTTGTGAGCACCATCCACCAGTCTTGTCCACCAAACTCTTTTGTTGCTCTGCCCTTAATCATCCCACGTTGCACTTTCTAATCATGTCTTTTGTGACTCTTGCCTATTTTTATTTTTCTTCTCCATTCCGCTCTTTTGTTTCAAGATAATGCACGACTTTTTTCGTCTTGAAATCCAAAGTCCGGAGTTGCATTTCAAAAGCAGTATTTGGTAATATTGTAGAGCCACTCTGCCTTCAGATAGCATGGTTTACACAAGAGGACCAGTTTGTTGGACTATTACTGCCAATGGTACTAGCTTTGTATTGTTAGCAAAGAAAGAACCGTCATGTTATCATTGTATTACAAAAGTAAAAACATTCAATGACACAAGAAGAAAAACAGGTTTATTGTGTACTGATTACTCCGATAAGTGCCTCTTACATGATGAGGCCTATTTGAATCAACCAGTGAAACCAGCTCCAGAAACGGAGCTATAATCTAAGCCTACATACAGCCAGAGCATATAGCTACAGAGTAAGAGCAGTTCTCCTCTTTTCAATCCGAAATTTGTTCTTCTCTTTTTTTTTTCCTTTGTAATGTTTAATCAACAACTTAATTAAATGCATTAAGTGAAACATCAACGTGGGGTTACCCACGGGGCTATATCAGAGACAAACTTACTGAAAAAAACGACCTACTTCATCTTGCTGTGAGAGATCAATGAACACACTCAACTTCTAGCTTTCTTTGGCAGTCTCCACCTCACTTCGTAGAAACGTTTTCTTTATCTTAACAGCACCAATGGTTTTTTTTTTCATTATGCGGAAAAGGAATTAAAATTATAAAAACTAAAAATAAAAAAAATACAATTTTCCCAAAAATCATCAATTTCAATTTTTTTTATTTTATTTTTCTTAATATCATTTTAGTAACTTGTAATCAAACAGCAAACAACAATACATACAGCAATATCCTTATACAACCAAATCTAGAAAGAGAGAGCCAGATAGTAAGTCGCCACTTGCTATCTTGATAGACAATCACTTGCTGGAGTGATTACTTTTTTTTTACCATTGTCTTAATTCACCTGCCAACAATTTCCTCCCCCTTGCCCCGTCCCCCTTTGGAATTCTTAAGCAATTCTCAAACGCCACCATCATCGAGACCACCGCTACCCTTACCCGATATGTCATTATTGACCAATAGGAAACGACCAAGGGGCTACAGTGAAAACTTTGCCAACCTGCAATCAGCAGCACTTAATTCGTCATATCAGCTGCAGTTACAACAGCAACAACAACAACAACAACAGCAGCAGCAGCAACATCAACAACAGCAGTATTTGCAACTGCAAGGTCCGCGATTTGACTCAGCGCAATTTGATCAGTCGAGTCTGCATGTCTCAATGCACCCTTTTGAGGGTGCATCAGCGGGTTCAATCGTTCAGAATTCAAACTTTGGGTATAACAATTCTGTGGTTGGATTCAGCCCTCAGTTGCAGGCAAAGAAGTCTAAATTCAGCAATCCGTTTTTGCTGGTGGAAGAGAATGATGCAATCATAGATGACCAAGAAGGTGATACTTTTGTCTTGGATGATGTAGATGAAGGCGGTGCCCGGGGCGATACTGCGATAACTGGCGAAGATGGTGACGAATATGATGAAGATATCATTATAATTGAAGAAAAGGATATTGTGCCTCGTGGTAAACGAAATAATAGTGATTCTATTTTGATTAATCCAGATGCACAAGAAGCATACAATCTTTTCAATGTTAATCAATTTGAGATTGATAAAACTACGAGAGATAAGAAGCAGCGGACAAGCTCACTACCTCAATTACCTCAAGTCAAGTGTTTCTACAACAAACTACCCAACAATTATATACTACAGACACCCAAGTTGGGCAATATCAAGACCAATGTCATTCCACATCAGAATAACCTACCGCCTTGTGATGATGAAAATGGCCATTATATCATTAAGATCAATGATAACTTTGCAAATCGTTTTGTGATTGTTAAATTGTTGGGTCAGGGAACATTTGGAAAAGTTGTGCAATGCTTTGATAAGGTCAATAGGGAGCAGGTTGCGATAAAAATTATTCGCAATATTCAGAAGTATAGAGATGCCGCCAAGATTGAATTGAGAATACTATCAACGTTGAAGAAGTTTGATAATGCAAACAAGAACCATTGTATCCATTTACGTGAGTGCTTTGACTATCGTGGTCACATTTGCATAGTTACGGACTTGTTGAAAATTTCGTTGTATGATTTCTTGGAAAATAACAAATTCATTTCGTTCCCTGGAAGCCACATCCAAGCCATATCGAAACAGTTGATACGATCGGTTACATTTCTTCATGATTTGAATTTGATACACACCGATCTCAAACCCGAAAATATATTGTTACACGATGACTCCTTCACAAAGAAACAGTTGTATAGCTCCACCATCAAAAGCGCATACTTAAATCTTGCAACTACAGCAGCATCCCCAAAGAGCAGTACAAAGAGGGCTCCGAAGACTTCGAAAGTGCTAAAGAATCCATTGATTCAAGTAATTGACTTTGGCAGTGCCATTTTCAATGATGAATACCACTCGCTGATTGTTTCAACGCGACACTATCGTGCGCCTGAGATTGTTTTAGGAACAGGCTGGTCGTTCCAATGTGATATGTGGTCTATTGGTTGCATATTGGTTGAGCTAATCATTGGCGAGCCGCTTTTCAAGACTCATGACAATTTGGAACATTTGGCAATGATTGAAAAGATTGCTGGGTACAGGATTGATAAGGAGATAGTGAAGTTGTCGAAGATGAACGAAAATGAGTGTGGACTTGAGTATTTTACAAATGAGTATGTTGACCTTTCGGAGGATGGCAGGCTACATACCTCTGCTCAGGATTTGCCATCAAGAACAACGTCTATATCGTCTTCCTCTGATGACGAGGATGATGACGATGAGGCAGAGGTTGTGCGAAATGTTGGTGCAGTGGGAATTGATAGTGATCCAGACTTTGATATAACTCGTCGTCATCGTCGTCGCAATGTACACGACATTGAAGAATCGGACGATTCTGATGACGATGTCATCTTTGATCAAGAGAGGACTGTTGCCAACTCTTTGATTTTGATGTTCCCAACCGCGTCAACACCACAAAAGTTTATCAATGCTGTGGAAGAGTTATCTAGGATTGATTTGTTTATCAGTTCGAGAATTGGGTTAAGGATAGATTTCGACTACTCGTTGAACCAGAATTACGAGGAGAACAAGCACTTAATTAATTTTGGAAATTTTACATTTTGGTGGTTCTTTATCGATTTGTTGAAGAAGTTATTTGTCATTAACCCAAGAAATCGAATTACAGCGTTGGAGGCTTTAAACCATCCGTGGTTCAATTTAGGTATACAAGATGAAGGTACGGTATAGTTGGTGATGTGATACCCTTTAACGATATACGTTGGAGATGTCGTTTTTTATTTTGTTTCGTTCTATGTTTTTTCAATTCTTTATTCAGTTCTTCATTTTTCAAGTTTATTTTTTTTATGTTATTGGATTTTGATAGTACGTCTTTCTGCCATTTTGCAGGAGGTTAACTTGCTATTTCCATCAATATTATTAAACCGAAGTGTTTTTGGATATCTTTATTTATGTCTTGCTAAACCCTCATTAAGTGACTACTTTTCTAACTCGGTGAAGAATTTCTTATTCGTCTCTGTTCAGTTGTACATTATATTATGCATTTTATTTTTGCCGAACCTGATTGGGCATCTGCGAGCTTAGCCTCTTGAAGAACTTCAATCGCTTATGATTTTGCGTATGGTGTGAAAAAGGGGGAGGGGGGGGGGGTGAAGGAGTTTGCCAGGGCATAATATCCGTGCTCAACTACTAAGTGGGACAATTGCTGACCCATTTAGAGAATCATTAGTACACGGGACTCCATTATGATAATAGGCAGGAAAAGGAAACGACAACTCGAACGATACACACAAGTCGGATTATAGAGTCTAGACTTTTTGCCACTCAGGTAGAAAATACCACAAAGCATAAATGATACGATGTTCGTTACGTTTTCCATCTTGAGTCACCGTTTATACATTTTAAACACCTTACGTAGAGTCGTATTTTTTGAACCGACCGTTATATTGATGTATGTGATGTAAAAAAGAAATGATTTTTTTCTTTTTCTTAAAATCCCATATGGCTGTGCCAATCGGATCTGCAATAACGGTCTCGTCAATGCATGCATCGTAATTGCGCAGAGAGGCGGAAAAAAAAAGAAACGAAACACATTGTAATTCCTGTATCTAAGAAACAGGACGGAGCTACGAAGACCATTGGAACTAGATATAGTTGTAGTTCTAAATCGGAGACCCACTAGGTTAAACATTGTAGCAAGATGGCAACTACAGCATTAAGTCAACCATTAGAGACTACGCGAGTAAAATGACCACTTTCAAATTGAGCAGTGTCGTTTATGTGACTCTTTACCTACCTACTCTCTTCAAAAAAGTCTAGACTTAAAACTTAACCTGAAACAAACTACTGCCTCTACCAAGAATTAAATGTAACCATTTGGTTGACCCAATTACACAAAAGACAATCAATTAATAAATACCAAAAACAGGTTCTTAATTGGTTACATACAAGTAGAACTATTTAACACAAAAGTTCGGGCTTGAAAAATTTTTATCATGGGGGTGGCAATTTAAGTTTAAGTGAAAAAAATTTTCTGCCTATGTTTGTTAAAATCGAGGTTTTGTACTTTCTGTATTGTCTCATATCAATAATTACAGATGGCCAACTATAGTTAGACACAAATTATGCAAGTCTTTTTTTTTTACAGTAAAGATGGGAATGTCAAAGTGATGAGTATCAACTTTGGTTTTCAGATTAATCGGAGAAGACACGTCAAGCTGATCATGTAATATTGTGAATAAACTGCCTAAACGTTCAGTTGTCACCAATGAGTGAAAGAGACTTTGAATAAGGAGACAAGCTAAAAACAGCCCCTATATAGAAGCCTATTGTTGGTCAATCTAACTAGTACACCTTTGTTTGACATTGAATCATTTAGCTGCGTCTTTGATTTACGATTCACTGGAAGATCGGTCTAGACTAGCATTTACAATTTGCTCACTAGGTGCAACTGTGTAACGGAAGTTAGCAGATCTTGGCTGTATCCCGTAAGTCCTTTTGCAATTTGTGAAAAGTAACAATATAACGTCCTCTGATTTACAATTCTATGTAAGTTAATTACACTTGAGGTCGGCAAAATTGTAAATTTCTATTGTTCGAAATATATTATGCTCCACCAATTACCTCACTAACGGTTGATTTCTTATTGTAGTACAAATTGTCCGTACCCCAACCAACTACAACAAATATGATTTCTCCTTTAGGATAATGAAAGCACCACCAACCACAAAATCAAAGACATATGGGCACAAAGACAAAGACAGAGACTAGAACTGTATTACCGGTTTCAGATACATCAACAAAGTTCTCCTATTCGAAACTTCACATGTCTCATGAACAGGTGGGGCTTTGTTAACGATGTGCCCCACTATTCAACAGCATCAAAATCTCTAAGTAGTTTTACTATGTAAGAGGTAAAAAGCTTATAAAGGAAAAAGCAAAGAAAAAAGAAAATAAACCACAGTGCAATATTTGACAACCAATTCTTTCCTCAGGTTCATAAACCAATCTCGGCGTGATCCGAGTCAATGATCTTTAAGCCATCTCCGAATAAGGCGATATCAAATGTGTTAATTTTATTGTCAAACAACAACCAATTATTGTCAGTTAATTAGAAATAGCGTGCACCAACCACCAAAAAAAAGAAAGCAAAGAAAAGCTTATTGTCGTGTCATTGGAAAAGAGACTCTGCACACGACTTTCTCTCTTTTTTTGTGACATTTATGCCTCACCAAACCCACCACTCTGTCCCCTAAACAGCCCAAAGTAGGCATCTAATGACTAATTAGGTACCTACCAAGAAAAATTATCCGTCCCCCCCCCTATACTTCAAAAGAAAAAATAAACTTTAATTAATAGACCTGACCTGTATTCTCTTAGGCTACTGAAGGTGCCCTGTGATATTCCTATCCCTTACACCCATTACAGTTGAGCTGTTGTCATGTACAGTCGGGGTGACGAAAGGGAAAAAGGGGGACTCACTGAAACTATGGTGTTTCGGATTTCCACATCAGGTATAATTAATAAGGGGAAAACGAATTAGACAGAAAATGCTATGTATCATACAGGGATCTCATTCTTTTTTGTAGACGAATTCCAAAGGGGCATTTATTATATTTATCCTTTCCGTGGTGTCCAGTGTGACAGGAGCCATATCAAGACTAAATCAATATCCGTTGCCATCACATTAGAGAGGCAACAATGGTGACATTGCCGTTACCGTTATAGGTAACGAAACTGTTACTGTGTTTCTTTTAAAGTGTCTCTAGTGATTCTAGATCTCATGCAGTGCAAAGAGAAAATCAAAAAATTAAAAAGAAATTGCAGATGGATTATAACACAAAGAGAAGCCAAAAGTAAGACCAATTTAACTGTTTAAGGCGAATCTACAAACAAATGATTGGCTCTATGTACTATATACAGGATTAGACGCCAAAACTTTTTTGCATCAAAACAATGTATTTTAGAGTTTGTGTACAAAATACAACTATATACACTTATATATTGTGTAGAGTATTATGCAGGAGTCCATTTGCTAATGATTTGGGAAAAGAACAATGGAGAGGTGTATCAATCTATTGTTTTGACTTGTTTATAATTTAGAACCGTGTGAAAATTTTTTATTTGTTTTTCTTCCAATTGGGAAGAGTAATAAACAAAAACACACTGCCTACAATTTCATTATAAATATATTTTGCAATCTCGACAAAAATTATATGTTTTGATTGTATTTTTGGATTTTCCTTTTCGATTTTCAATTTCTGCAAAACAAGCTTATTCACATTCCTTTACTAGATCACGTTCACGTTAGTTAACATCTACTACAACGTACCCAACTATTGTCTTTCCTTATTAACAAGAGTTTTATCTAATTATCCCAACTACTTATACCAATCGTTTATTATTTTTAAAAGCTTAACCAATCGAAATGAAATCATCAGTTTTTAGTTTGTTAACAATCGCAGCATCTGCTTTGGCTGCTCCAATGCAACATCAACACCACCACCACCACCAAGAAGAAAAGAGAGCCGCTGTCACCACCGTTGTCTATGTTGACGGAAGTGGAAACACTGTCACCGGTCCTTCTTCTTCTGGTCAACCAGTTACCTCCGCCACTACCGAAGCTTCTTCTCAACAAACTGAAGAATCCAGCCAAGGTGGTGAAACCTCAGCCTCATCTTCACCATCATCTCAAGGTTCTTCCTCATCAGCTTCATCCTCATCAGCTTCATCAAGTGGTGATTCCAGCGAAACTAGTTCATCTGGTGGAGACTCATCAATCTCAGGTGACTTGAAATCTTTCTCAGACCCAACCGTAAAATTCGAAGATGGTGTTCATTCATGTAGCTCAGTTCCAACTGGTCAAGGTGTTCTTAGTATTGATTGGCTTTCAGGATTGAATGGTGGATGGACTTCTATTATGAATGAAAACGGTGACACTTCTTCCAACTGTCAAGATGGTTACTACTGTTCTTACGCTTGTCAAGCTGGTATGTCAAAGACCCAATGGCCATCAGACCAACCAAGCAGTGGTATCTCAGTCGGTGGATTGTACTGTAAGAATGGTAAATTGTACAGATCAAACCAAGATCAAGACTATTTGTGTGAATGGGGTTCAAACAATGCTCAATTTGAATCACAAATCTCCAAGGATGTTGCCATCTGTAGAACCGATTACCCAGGTTCTGAAAACATGAACATTCCAACCTTGTTGTCTGGAGGTGGATCTGCTCCTGTCGCTGTTGTTGACTCTGACGATTACTACAACTGGAAGGGTGGTAAGACTTCTACTCAATACTATGTCAACAACGCTGGTGTTTCTGTTGAAGATGGTTGTATCTGGGGTACTTCAGGATCTGGTGTTGGTAACTGGGCCCCTGTTGTTCTCGGTGCTGGTACTACTAATGGAAAGACTTATTTGTCATTGATTCCAAACCCAAACAACTCAGACGCACCAAACTACAGTGTCAAGATTGAAGGTGATGACGTTAACGGAAGCTGTAAGTACGAAGACGGAACATACACTGGTGGTTCCGGATCTGATGGTTGTACTGTCACCGTCAACTCTGGTAGTGCCAAGTTTGTCTTCTACTAAGGAAGTAGAACCGAATAAAGAAAAGTTCCCTTTGTTGAATTTTCATATGTGTGTTTTTCTTTTACCTTTTGTTTTTGTCGTTTCGTTTCGTTTTGAGAATTGGATCAAGTGGAGAGAACAGAGATCCGATCTGTGTTTCTACTATTTCGGTCTTGACTGTCAGAGAAGAGAGCTGCTATCAGTGTAGTTTGTTATACTGCTACTGATAATTGTCAATTTCAATGCTGTATTATTTTGTTTGTTTGTTTTGTTGTTGATACCATATTTTCATATATATGTTATTCTGTTGACCTTTAATCAAAGGTTAATAGAAGAGTTCTTTGTTTAGAAGTTGTTTTTTTTTTACTTTTTTATATATATATAGTAGAAGTTTGCCTTTTCAATTGTATACATGTAGAATGAATTATAGACTAGAGTAGAGTGATTTCTTGGCTGGTTGTATTATCCAAAAGCTACTGAATTGCAGTAACTTATAATGAGTTCATCCTTTGTCTTGAACAATTCATACAAATTGCCTATTTTCTCCTCTGGTGCTGGCAGAAACGAGCTTTGAATATACAAACAAAGATAATTTTGCTTTAGCCTCTTGCACAAAAACTTGCTCAAGGTGGCAATTGTTTGTGTTGATGATATTTTAAACACATTGGGGTTGATTGCAGCAGTTGACCCTATTGGTTGGAACCGTATGCTTACTTTGGATACTTCCTCTGGGGCGGGTCCGTGGCTCAGGTCTGCAGTGATGCGATGTTTTTGTTCGTGTTTCTCTAGTGTTTTCTCCACTTGCTCTTGCTGGCTTGCAGGAAGCTTGTCCAAAACTATCGATGTAGATAAAGGTATGCGTGTGTCCATCCAACGGTCCTCAATCTCTTGTGCACTCTTGGGCTTGCTTGAGGACAGCGACAGGTTCGAAGATAGACTCGAGGACAAACTTGAAGAGCCATTGTCATTCTCAGATTCAGATTGCCGTATATATGACATTGTTACTTTGTCATGGCTGTAACAAATTGATTTTCCGCCAAAACTAAAAAAATAGAATAAAAAAAAGAGTCAGAGAAACGGTGTGCAACTTGAAATTGTCATAAACATCGAGCAACACTCAAACATGTCAAACGAAATAGAAGACAAATCTGATACGAGATCAACATCAGATTCAGAAAGTGAATCAACAATCAGCGAGCCCATCCCATTAGAAAAGGTGCTAGAAAGTTTAAACAACGGTGCAAAGGACGCGATTGCCGAGAAGGATTACTTGTCTTATAGCACTTTGCTAGATATCCAATTGCATGACCCTTCACGTTACACCGAAGATGAGCGTGAGAAGCTCATGGGCTGCGTTTTGGAAATCTTACAGCTGAATGACAGCTTGGTTTACGAAATTGGATGGGACATACCTAGTATTATCATTCCGTACATCGAATCTAGCTTTGTCTTCAACTCCGGGATAAGAGATGCACCTTGTGTTTACAAGATTTTGAAGATTTTCGAAATTTTAGCAACCAAGGGGAACCCAAAGGAGTTATTTTTAAAAAGCTGTGAATTAATGGGAACGTTAACTGTGAGTGACGATTCGAGTATTGACTTTGTCCACAGGGAAAACTTTTTCGAAATAAAAATGTACAACCTTAACGAATTGATGGCCACTTGCTTGAGAAAAATACCGACCTTGTATCCTTCGAGACTTTTGGCCATGACTGTTGGATCGTATGTTAATTTGATTTACAATTTGCACCAAATCCCCGTGTCTCGGTCGACTTATGTGTTTGTATTGAAAAGGGCATACAGTTTTGCCAGAAACTACGATGGTGCTCCAAAACCAGCCAATGTCGATTATTCAGAAACTGAATTGTCGAAAATCCAAAACGATGAGAACTATTTGATTAGAAAATTATTGACTGGCTTTATCACCAATATGGTATACATGGGAACCACGGCTTATACTGCGTATTTCTCAATGACTCACTTCTACTACTTGCAAAATGAGTCTAGCAATTTTCTCAAAACCCAAGAACCGGTTGATACTGCAATCTATGATAGATTTTACGAATTGGCTTACCTGTTTGACTTGCCCCTAGCCAGTATTTTTGCCAAGTTTGTGGAAGATTCCAAAAAATTCGTATATGGAATAAAGCACAATGGTGACGATTTCGTCGATTTGTTATTTGAAAAATGTGTCGTTGACTACCAGGCAAATTTAATGACAAGCATCGTGGACAGCGATGCCAAGTCAATCAATGACTCAGTACTTGGAGAGATAATTTTATTTACACAGTTCAAAGCCGTCAATCATACTTTTGAAGCTCCGTTGATCAAGTTAAGCGATGTAATCAGCTTAGCTTTGCGATTGCTCATTCCGCAAATGGTTCAAAAGACTTTTCTACATAAATCATTGCAAGATTTGGTGTTGTTCTGGATATGGTACGCTTTGCAACAAATAGATCTCAAAATTGACCCAGGTTATAATGCAAAGATTGATTTGGTTTCGGTACCACAAGAATACTTGCCAGTGTTTTTCCAATCTTTGATTTTTGTGTTTCATCATAATGAAGTTCCAAGGTTTAGATACATGATTTTGACGTTGTTGACAAAATTACTAATTGTGACGCCAGAGTCAATCGGATACGATTTTATAAAGGATACAATTGAAAATTGTCCGTTTGAAGTAATACGGCCCGCATTGATTGGTATTTATAAAGAGCTTTTGTTGAATCTGAGAAGTGACATCGATAGTGTTAATTTCGACTTGAAAAAAGTCACCTTAAATGAAGAAAACCAAACCAGCAATGCTCCTGAGTTGCCTCCTCGCAAAGTGAAAACCACTAGCAAGTATTATGCCTTGACAGATGAAAAATTCGGTGATATCCTTGAATGGGTCCTCCTAGCCCAATCCAATGCATTTGTTGAGAATGAGCAGGAGGTGAAAATAGATCCCTTCAAGCTCTCAACATTAGCATCGATTTTGAATTTGCTTGTTGTTTTAAAGAAAACTGACATTGCGGTTGCCAATAAGAACAAGATGGAAAAGGTCTTGAAGAGTGTCGACAGGAATATTGAATTTATTTCCAAAAGCGGCAGCCTGAACCAGTATGAAAAGAATGCTGCAGGTATGTTGGGACTCACGATTGAGAGGATAAGAGAGTGATCATTAAATAGTGTCTACATTCGTTAAGTAATACACCTTTGCAATAATCTATTTCTTTTTCGAGCTCTTCTTACCGGAACTCCTATCATCAACCAATGGACCCCAGTAAACAAAGAACCCTTCTTTAGTACTTGAAATGTCTTCCTCCATCTGTAATTCCACATCATCAATGAATGGGTCCTCAAAGTCATACTTGCCCACTTTTCTAATCATTTTTATCTCGTGTTGTCGTACTAGCTGCTCTTCTGTTAACTCTTTGCCGCGGGGAGCAACCGGAAGTATTGAGTTAGTTTGCTGCTGCTGTTGCTGCTGATGTGGCGCTTTTTCTTGATCATCCACCAAATCGTCGTCGTCGTCGTCGTCTTCTTCATCGTCCATCATGTCATCCATAACCTCTATAGCAGATTTAGCCTTGGGATGCATCACTGACCAGCCATATTTATCTTCGGCTAGTTTTAAAACATTGACAACCACCTCCGCTTTGCCTGGCTGTGGATCCTTGGGATCTAGTAGTGGTATGTTTAATGCAACAATAGGTGGCTCTACTTTCTCCCTTTCCTTCTCCTTTTCTTTTGTTGTTTTTTCAGCAGCCTTTTCTTTAGTCTTGTCATTATTATCAGCAACGACGGGGGAAGATGTCAGTGATGGTGCAGGTGCAATATCCTCTTCATCATCTGGGTTCAATAAATCAATTACTGTAGGAGCGGAAAGCTTTACTGGTTTTGTGGGAGCCTTTACAACATTCAAATCTGGCCGTGAAAGCTTCTTTATCGGCTCATTTTTGCTCGTGTTAGCGCCATTGTTTTCTTTCAGTGCTCGAGCTTGTAGTACGTTCTGCTTAGATACGATTGCGGGTGAGTTTTGAAGGTCCGGCGTATTAGATTTGTGCTTTTTAGAATCATTAGCCTTGCCCGTGGTGTTTGCTTTCTTTCGCTTCACCAAGTTGTGACTCTTTAAAATGTCGGCCGACTGAGACGGTGTTAGAGGCTCGGTTATTACCTCATCGTCCAAATTAATGATTGAGTTGATGGAAGTTTTACTTTTTGGTTGAGGGGTTGCAACAGGCCCCAACTGAAATTTTGTCTGAAACTTTTTTACCTGGTCTGAAATTGATACAGGAGGCGATCCCGATAGTGACCTTGACTTTGAACCGTTCTTCCCTAATATTGTGCTTCCCCTGTTGCTTGGAAGTGTGTTGTTTAGTTGTTTGGAATGTAGAAATGGTTTGTCCGATACACCTGTATCATTGGGAGACTTCCCAACAGGGTCAAACGACGTTTGATACTGCGATACGAGCTTCTGGATCGGCGTATAGACCGGCCTTTTGTCGTTGTTGTTGCTTTTGCTTTGCGTGCTCTTCAAGTCTGGTGCAGCTGTATTTGTAGACGACGAATTGGAATCCAAAAGTGACGAAATGGAAACATTGGTACTTGCTCCTTGTGACATAGCCTAGATTTCCAACTATAGCTCTGTTAGAAGTGTAATATGTTTCTTTTTTAAAAATTTGGCTGCAAATTTGCTTCGGTTAGTTGGGTTAAAATAGATTGGAGGGGTATAACTGTACTGGTTTGCACTGACTTTCTGCTATAAATCTTTAGTATTTTGCACTGATTGAAATGGTCAATTTTTGTATTTTTATTTTATTTTATTTTGTTTTGTTCACCTCAGAGGACATTGGAGGAATTTTGCTGTACAATTACACACTACCTTTCCCTCCTCCCTATAAGAGAGAAGTAATTTTGTATTTGAATTTCCCTTTGTTTGTTTGTTTGTTGGCTTGTTATTTTTGGTTTTTTTTTTTCCTCCTCTATTAAGTGTCTGTTGTATGTGCGTGTTAGTGTGTGTAGTTTGTGTATATGTTGTTTTAAGTTGTCAGCCAATTTCATATTTTTTCCGCTGTACCAAGTGGACAGTTAACTAAGAGCATGTTTCTCGCTCAGAAATCTCTCTCTTTCTCTCTTTTGTTGTTTTGTTTTTTTGTTTGTTATCTGATCATGGTAGCGGTTTGAATTTGAGCACACGACCAGGAAAACAAAATAAAGACAGAGAAAATACACCATACATATCCAGGCTGTCTTTTGATGTGCCAGCCAAAAAGAAAAAAAAAAGCAAGCTTATACACAAGGTACGCTTGTGTATACTTCAATGGATCAACAGATTGAAAAACCCATGACTATAAGTGCTTAAAGTTTGTAGATTATGTTATATTTTACATTGAACGGATTTTTAGCAAGAAAAGCTGCAAAAAAACAGGATTTCATAGTAGGTACCATTTTAATTACTCACTTGTCTAAATTGTAAACTAAAGCTTGTGATCGTCATTTGATTTTTTTATATAGAACGGCAATGACTGCTTTCAATCTTTCTCCTGCTGACATCCTTGTTTAAGCTGACTGCCATTGAAGAATTTTGGACTACAATTGTTGCCTTTCAGTCCCTTAACTAATTGTTAACCTTGCAATAATTAAATTTGATTGATATACATGCTACGGTAACCGTCAAGAGAATTCTCCAACATAGAAGCAACCGCTGCATCGTTTGGATTTATACCATAGGAAACATTCAATACAATATGCTACAAAAGGGGATCATATTGTTGTCTCAATTTTACCTCGTCCATTACATCCTAGCAACATGAGCTCGTACCTTGATTCTTTTCGTCATTTTCAATCGTTATATTTATAGTTTCCGGTTTATCTGCATTCGATTGTTCCCCGTTTTCATTTTCATCTTCATTATTGAAATCTGGCAACGACTGTGCAATCTTCTTGAATAATAGCTTGACATTGTGATTAGCCTTTGTTGACGTCTCTATAAAAAACTTGGACCCAATTTTATTATGCAATTGCTCAACTTCTTCCACACTCACTTGTCGCTTAGTACTAGCTAAGTCCAGCTTGTTGCCAACTAGCACAATAACAACATCATCACCCCTCTCCACTTTCACATCTTTTATCCATTTGTCGAGATTTGAAAATGACTTCTTATTAGTGATATCGTAACATATTACAGCCACATGCGAGTCACGAATATACGAGGGTATTAATGATCGAAACCTCTCTTGTCCAGCAGTATCCCACAATTGCAATCTGACCGTCTTTCCCTCTTCAAGGTACATAGTTTTGCTTAAAAAATCAATCCCTATTGTTGTGGCATAAGTTTCGTCGAAGGTGTCGTACATGAAACGTGTGATTAGAGAGGTCTTTCCAACGCTTTGATCTCCTAAAAAGACAATTTTGTACTTTTTAAGAATATTAGTTTTGTCCGAGTTCATGATTGTGAGTGTGTTATGTTTCCAGCGAGGGTTTATAGTAAGTCTCTAATGAGTGATAGATGCACTTGGCTGCTATGTGGTTATAGTGAAGAAGCGGTTCTGGTCAAGGATCCAGTCTTGTATATGAACACCGCTGGTTAAACCAAAGAAATTTTTTATTTTATATTTTTGTTCTCGCAATTGCTAAAGCACTTGGAAAATAAAGGGAAAAAAAATGAGAAAATTATATAGATGCAACATATTGCCCCCTTCTGAGTAGAGAACAGTTCGATTGAATGGAAAATGGACGACGCTGAATTGAATGCCATAAGACAAGCCCGCTTGGCGGAGTTACAAAATAGGTCTGGTGCAGGGAATATCAACTCTTCGTCACCGCCGAGTCAGCAACAACAAACAGCGGCCAATGACATGTCCACTGCTATTTTAGGCAAAGTTTTGGAAACCGAAGCACGCGAGAGATTGAGCAGAGTTAGAATAGTCAGGCCAGATAGAGCACAAGCAGTGGAGAATTACATCTTGAAACTTTATTCCATAGGTCAGATAAGGCAGAAATTGAGGGAGAAGGATATCGTGGAGATACTCGAAGGACTAAGTAGAGATACCCAACAGAAACAGCTGTCCAAAATTGTATACGATAGAAAGCAGACACTCGATGATGAAGATGATGGTGACGAAGATGACTTTTTCGATTAATCGAGTTAGTATGATGTCAATAGAAGTTTCGTGTTAAATCATATACGATTGTAAAGGCTCTTTAATCGAACTCTTTGCTCCCCTCCCCTCGAAAAAGAAATCAACCATTTTACATTTGTTGCAGAGGCAAAGTGAATTTTGGTGTAGTCTCGAAAGTGTACTCTTGATCTAAAGGATGCATTCTCACGACATTGAATGCGACAATCTGGTTTTGTGAGATTTTTTCAATGCGCTTGTTTGTTTGTTTATAGTTTGAGAGAGAGTTCGTGGAAACCAGAAGTTCTTACAAGCCAAACACTGTACTCGACATGTCTAATATCCAGGTAGTGGTGAGATGTCGTGGAAGGAACCAGCAAGAGATTGCAGCCAAGTCGCCAATTGTACTAGATTTGACGGATGATACATACTCAACTACAGAGCCATATATATCGATGAATCAGCTTTCCAGCTCTAATGGCATCAATGGAAGAGCATCAACTACCCATGATACAGCTTCAAATATTTCCCAAAAGACTTATAAATTTGACCAGATATATGGTTCTCAGGCTGATCAAGACTTAATTTACTCACACGTTGCACTTCCACTATTGTCAGACTTCTTACAAGGCACAAATGTATCAGTATTAGCCTATGGGCAAACAGGCACGGGGAAGACGTATACTATGTGTGGACTCAATAGTAATAATAAAATGGATGAATTGCCACTACCCGAGGTTGCTGGAATCATACCAAGGGCATTGTATGAACTTTTTGAAAAGTTGGAGTACATGGGCGATGACTATATGGTCAAGGTGTCCTATTTGGAAATTTATAACGAAGAGCTCACAGATTTACTACTGAATCATAACAGGAAATTAAGAGTGCATGAGTGGACTAATTCTGTTTCTAAAATAGGACCCACCCAAAAGTCAATTAGCATCCAAAATCTATCCGAGCTGTGCATCAACAACTATGCTGAGGGGATTAAGCTATTGAAGATGGGATTTACTAGGAAAAAGACAGCTGCCACAAATATGAATGAGACGTCCTCCAGGTCTCACACAATTTTCTGCATACAGTTGTACCGGAAAGATGCAAGCGATGAATCAATGTACAGAGTTTCTAAAATGAACTTAGTGGATTTGGCCGGCTCTGAAAATATAAGCAGGTCTGGATCTATTGCCAAAGAAGCAGGAGGGATAAACCAATCCTTGTTGGCTTTAGGAAGGGTGATCAATGCGTTGAATGATAGAAAACTATCTCAACATATACCATACAGAGAGTCGAAACTTACCCATATTTTGCAGGATTCTTTAGGAGGAGGAACGAAAACGACTTTGATTGCGACTGTATCTCCTGCACAGATCAACGCCATGGAAACCTGTTCCACATTGGACTATGCAAGCAAAGCAAAAAATATAAAAAATACTCCGCTAAACGGCCATGATTCAGAGGTGATTTTAAAAAAAACCTTAGTGAAAAATTTGTCTAACGAGATAAGCCAGCTAAATCTGGATTTGTTGGCGACAAGAAATAAGAATGGAATATACTTGGATCAAAAGAGCTACAAGAACCTTCTTTTGGAAAACGAGTCATTGAGGACCCAAATGAAGGAGAGTTCATTGAGAATTGAACTGTTGAATAAGAAATGCGATGCTTTAGACCAGCTTCGAATTGAAAATACAGAGGAAGTATCAACCTTGAGATCTCAAAATGAAACTCTTGGTCAGAAAGTTGGAATAATTGAATCAAAGTTGCAAGATGCACTTACAAAATTATCACAAAGGGACCAAACAATAAATTCGTTAACTGGGAAGTTGAAACAGGTACTTGAAAAGTCCTCCAATTCGGCTACAATGTTGATCACACTTTTTTCAAATCATTTGAATGCGTCTGTGAATTTGCTCCGTGATACAATTGCTATGCAATCAGGCTCTACATCAGCAAGCTCGATAAATGAGTTTCAAGAAAAATTTCTGAAAGATTTACAAGAATTTAGAGACGATCTTCAATCAAGGACACACTCATTCCAGGAGCATATCCAGGGAAAGTTGACTGAAGATTTACAAACCACCTTTGACTCCTTACAAGAAAGCGTGGATAGTTTGTTCTCACTTCAACAAAAGGTGCATATAAATACACAAGAAGCTATGACGGACTTGAAATTAGCCAACGAAAAACTATCTGGCTACTTAAAAGAAGACTATTTGACAAGTGTTGAAGAATCGATAAGAAAGAGACACACTGAGGTTTTACAGAACGATTTTAATTCCCTTTGTGATAACATGAAACACATAATAAATAAGGAAATCGAAAAGGCAATTCTAAATGCAATGAAAAATAGCGATACAGCCACCCGAGAAGAATTGGCAAAAGAAAGAAGCCATGTTCTCGAATTTGAAAAGAATTGGAAACACCAAGTAGACGAAAGTCTTCCAAGAATACAGAAGGAGATGCAAGAGAGCAGCCTGGCCTTTGAGACCTCAACTGAAAAATTGCGCAAGCTCAATTCGCAAGGTTCTCAGATCGTCGGGTCAATATTGAAGGAAAAGTTTAGCATGTCACTTGATAGCCTACCCGATATCACCCAACTTCCTGCGATAGCTAAAAGCGTCAAATCTTTCGATGACCTGGTTTTGCTTAAGTTGCGAGACATACGCAATAATCTATTACACATTCAACAATTTGACGCCAAAGGTGCGTTTGAGATTTCCCCACTAAAATCAAAGCTTGATCAATTGCCACATTGTGAACTTGGAGAAAGTGACAACTCGTCGGGTCCCACGAGGGGGAGACGATCGCTTTCGTTATCACCGGTAAAGTCCAACAGATCGCTGTCTCCGTCCAAGATTCCAACGATAAAACGGCTGAATACCAATGTGGCTGATGACGAGAAATCCAAGAGGCGTAAGGTGTTACTGTCAGTCTATAATTTAACTTAGTAATGGGCTTTGGAGTGTTTTGTTCTGTATAAATATGTATTATATAACTTCATAACTGTGTTATTTATCCTTTACAAGTGATTGTAGAAGGAGGTTTACTCTTGCAACTACAACCTAGTGATTTGTAGGTAGCGCAATAAATCACGGTTCCGGAGATACAAATTTGACACCAAGGCCGTTTTAAAAATTACGTTGCGAGAATAGGTCGATACCATACCTTCCAGCCTCCAATTCTTCACGATCCCTTCACCACCTACCAAGTTTCAAAGAATAATCAAGTACATATGAAGATTTACCATGAATAAAACAGCACAATATATTATCGGGTACACATCGATATCCGTGGCACTACTAAGTTGGTCCATTTACGATTCACTATCCAAGTCCTTCAATTTTATAATGTTTATTATCGAATTTACCGATGGTTTGAAACTCGGAATATTCATTAATTCAATCGTCTTTTCGTTCTTAGTCTTGAATAAGATCTTACAATTACTGTTGTTCGGAACACTCAGAATGATCGAGGTTGAGCATTTGTTGGAAAAATTACCGATCTTTGCTATTAACTTGTTTCTTAACTTGGCTACAGGTGATCAAAATATATTATTGAATGTATTGCTAATGGGCATTGCCATGACATTCAAAGTGGTGCATGTCATAATGTTTGATCGTTTAGACCTCTTGAACCTTCAGATCTTCAACAAGTTGAATGACGATGAGTTTGGAGACCGAGTCAAGTTGAAAGATGTCATTGGGTACTACATAGGTCTGGTCAATTTTTGGCTCAATATCTTGCTAGTGGCTGTTGACTTTAGTGTGGCAAAATTCCTAGTTTATGATGTATTCCAAGGAGTAAATTCATTTACGTGTTTGTTGTTTGGGTTCCAATTTGCTGTTCAGGGTGTTGAAGCATTGACGAATTTTGCCAAGTTATTGTTAGGCTTCTACGAAATTGTATTCTACAAAGTGAGGAGGAATAATAGGGAAGTTGAGAGAGAAAGGGAACTTGCAAGGGAAGGAGTCGAGGAAGTTGAAGAGGAGGTAGATATGACATTAGAAGATGCAGAGGCAGATGGAGTAGAAGCAAATGAAGCAGAAGCAAATGAAGCAGACGGAACGGAAACAGACGCAGCAGATGCAGATGAAGCAGAAGAAGGCGAAATTGAAATTGATAATGATGACGATAATGAACTTGACTATGTTTGGGAGAACAAGCCCTACTACGGCAAGGCAATCGACATTTCGTCAGCAGTGCTAACTTCCATCTCGTATATATGCTTCATTTATCTCTTAACCATTCATTCAGGATTGTCGTTGCCGTTGTCCATGCTCCAGGGAACCTATTCGTCATTGCGCAAGGCTTGGATACAAATTTCACAACTTATGTCACTTATCGAATCATCGAAACGGTTGGATACTCAACTACCTAATGCTACGAAAGAGGATTTGGAGCGATCTGATAATTCATGTCTTATTTGCCTCGATGACATGTATTCTGTTGAAGAGTACCATAGGCTCTTTAAAAAACCGCAAGCCCCAAGAAGGGCCCCCAAGAAATTGCAATGTAATCACATTTTGCATATGGGATGTTTGAAGGAATGGTTGGAGAGGTCGGACAGTTGTCCATTATGCAGGCGAAAAGTGTTTGGGCCTCGCGATGCACTTTCACAAGGCCAACCGAGAACGGCTCAACAACAAGATGCTAATCCGCAGGCTCAACCTGAGTTTGAGGCCGAGCCAGAAGTGGAGCCACAACCGCAACCGGAATATAGACCCGAACTACCTCGATCATCGGCAACTAGAACTACTTCAATCCAGGAGCAAGCAGAGAATTCGCCTAATCCATCTTCCAACAATGATGCTGCAAGTATAATAGCCACTGTTGACCGTCAAACTGAAATACTTCGAAATGCTGCTGTATCACACAATGAACCAGTCCAAGGTACATCCAGAGATTTGGAACCAACACGTACCACGTCAGTGCCCACATTGTCGGCTAACCTAACCTCATCAACTTCGTTGTCAACTCCAGTTGATCAACCTAGTGAGCTTGCCTATCAAACAATTAATTTACCTTCGACGGCCGTAATACCACCAGATTGGGTTCTACTCCCATTGGAGAGCACTGAGGAAGAAGGCGTTGAATACAAAGTAAGCTTATCGACCGAACGTAAAGCGAATTTGAAAATTCACGATAGGGGCAGAAATAGAGATTTAAGGTTCCATAATAGTCCATTTAATAACTAGCTTTGTGTATTTACATAGTTAAATCTATAATGTGATGCTAATAACCATTTCCTTATCTATGGTTTTTTATTCTTATGCTTTTCCAAGGTATGATGCAGTGGTTTCTTAACCTTTTCGTGTCGTCTATTCTTCAGCTTTCTTCTTTCCTTACTTGATTTCGACTTCTTTCTCAAGTTTGAAGTTGTGTCCAGTTCAAGCCTCTTTTGGTGCAATTCAAAACTGTTTCTTCTATAGTCAAAACTACTAAAGGGGGAGTCTTCAATACTTTCGTCAGCAGTAGTCTGAGAAGTTGTTGAAAGCGAAGAAATATCGGCGCTTAGTGCGTTATCGTTCGAATAGGAACTACTGATTGGTTGCAGATCAAACGATGGAACATATCTGAGACTTGAACTGCGTGCTTCTTCAGCTTCTTGCTTGGCATCATCTCCATTAACTTCCATGATAGTTGTCATATGGTCATCTTCCAGCGATAATACATCATCGTCAATTTGCGACCATTCCATTTCCCAATCATTATCAGCTCGGCTTTGTCCATCTTGTACACTTGATTCTGGAAAAGCATTGCTTGTTCTTTTTTCACCATCAGGTGTAGTTCTTTCAACGCGGTCCTTTATAGGGCTTGTAGGATTTGATTTCATCAATCCGTCATTGTCTTCCATCAGAGACCATTCTAATTCGAAATCAATCTCCCTTGAAATTGGCTTTCTTCTCAGCCCGTGTAAAGTGTGGTTGTCAAGCAAAAAGTCAATTTCAACTTCATTTCTGTGCGAAGGCTTTTGGCCCAAATCTAGTGCACCTGAGTTCAGATTTGTCTCAAAACCATCAGATTGTGAGCGTCTCCATTTATAGTTTTCCTGATCCTCTCCTTCTTCTGTAACGATCAGCGAATCGTCCACTTGTTTTATCAGATCAATGACTCTATTCCTTTCGTCAATGCTCTGAACAGACCCCTCCCTACCATCTAAGTGTTCATCAACATCACGCTCTACAGAGCCATTGTCGTGAAGGTTTCTCATATCTATCTCCTCATGGTCTGACTCTATATCATCCCAGTCGTCGTCTTCCTCTACATTTGGAGCTTCTGTGTTGATATTTTTTACCTCATTGCCTGGTTGGATACGTCTTGTATCTTCATTACTTAAAAGGGCACTGTCATGTTGTGTTGGAGTCTCATTGTACAAAGCCTTACCATTTTCTGTGTACACACCCAGAGGCGCTTCAGGGGTTTCCTCTTCCGAATTCGAACCAATGGCACCCCATTCATCACCGTCAATCACTGTATCACGCAATTCCTCCTTGGGATACACCTCCCCATCAGAATCTGACTGTATCTGAGACCAATCATCTTCCATGTCATCATTGTCATTGTTATCAAGTGTGGTCTCAACATTCTCAAAATCATAGTCCAAATTTTTTAAGCCTTTGTTTTGAGTCGAGGTATCAAGGGGTGGTAAGATCTCATTGTCAGATTCAATTTGGATCGAATCGTCCTCTTCTCCTGTTTCAGCAATGGAGTCAGCCACAGTCGTAGTATTTGCCTCTGGTTTTCCCTTTTCTGTCAGCTTTCTAATCTCATAAAACTTATCCATAATTGAATCCCATTGCAGTTTCAATTCAGTAACTGGTACCTCGAAATCAAATTCCTTACACTTGTTCACATTTAGTTCAATTTTAGACCAATTGACATTGAGTAAATTAAGACACTCTTTCGGCGATCTGTATGTTGCTCCTGTCTCATTGAACCTTTCCAAGTCAGGCTGCAAAGCAAAGTGATTTACTATTGAACAGCATTGACACAAGTAGCACAACGCCACAATGAAAAACAAGACACCTTCTTTATGGTATGGCGGCTCTAAAATCAATTCCAAAATCTTGTTCAATGTCTGCTCATATTCTTGGTGCACAAATAAATGCCAAAGCGAAGTGATCAAGTACAAGGGAGTTAGTGACCTCGTCCCTGATCTCCATGCTGGTGCAATCGACAGCCTATCACTTCTTTCTATGGAGATTGTGTTTCTGTAGCCGATGGTAAAAAATGAGTTCAAATAATTGAAAAACTTGGTTATTTTCACCGTTGCCGGCAACGGGTTTTTCATTGTGGCTAGTTGGGTTAATATTTCAATACCAAGTGGCCAAAGCTGCCGTATGTCGACCATTGGGAACCTAACTATAATGCAAAATAATTTGTACGACAATTCCCAGTTTTGCCGTAGGATGTTGGCATGTAACAAGGAGTTGAGATTATTGACATGTTTATTGATAATGGACTGAGACGTGCTAACGCTTTGGCTCGGCATAACCTCCATTCCACTAGATTCAATAATGAACTGGGTCTTTGTTGATGTATTTTGAATATCAAACTCCTTGGTTATTTGGTCAAGCTTTGTAGTGGATACAATATCGTACTCATCGTAATCATCATCGTCGTCACCATCATCAATGCCATCCATCTGCAAGTCCAAGTCGGATTCATTTTCAATCGTACTGTCTGGCACCATCATGTCTAAAAACTCATATACTTTCAGGACTAGTGTATCGTTTCCGAATTGCAATTGGTCGTATCCTGCTACTGCAGGCTTTGTTTTCTTTCTTCCTTTCTGTTTTGATTTCCTCTCCTCTCCCCTGATGAACTTGTGCCACACCTCAAATGTCTCTTCCGGCTTCATTCGCTGCTTCATCTCCTCATGTATCAACTTCAATACATATCTTTTAACTTCAGGGTGCCGTAGCTTCCGCTTCCTCACGCTCGTGGACTGTTGGTAAATGCTGTCTAATCTCTTTAACTCTACATATTTTGATATTAATTGGGTTTTATTGCGCTTGGTCCGTCGTAGTTTGTGATCAGTGTCAGTTATATCTTCAAATATCATAAATGGTGGGTGATTATCTGGATCAGTTGTTATATCATGTTCACAAGATCAGTGATTGTTGACCAGAGTTGCAAACAATATATTTCCTATGTTTATGGTTGTTTATTTTTTTTTCTCTCTTGTGATGAGATCAGGCTGGAAATATTTTTCGAAGGCTAAAATCTGGAAAGTTGGCATCTCTTTCGCAAGGATAACGGTGAAGACTCAGTTGTTGACCAGTTCTACAGCTGATTGGTGTTTGGAGCTGTTTGCTTTAACATTAAGTGGAGGAGGGATTCAATTTCTTTACGGGCGATGTTTAAAAGGATACATTATATTAGTACACATTGTGCAACAGTTAGCTTGGAAAATGTCAATCATTAAAGTTGGCAAAGTAGGGTATAACAGAGCTATAGAAAAGTGATAGTTATATGGAAAGGTGAGGATCTGCGACAAGGTGTAAGTCACGTAGGAGGAACAAATTGTGTCTCCTTGAAGTTTTGAAATAAAAAGGGACATTCAGCATCACATTAGCTGCATATACAAGAGATTTAGTTGGAATTGAAGTTAGAACAAGAACCAGTCAAGACAGGGATTGGTAAAGAGTCTTGTTCCAACAGAAGCTCTTCTAATTTTTTTTATTTTTTATTTTTCCATTTTGCAGCCAATTTCGCGTCTCATACCTCCTACGCGACCAAACATTTTCCCACCTAAAAATTTGATCCCCACGCCGCAGTTGAATCTCCGGGGCCGATTTAGGTGCGACAACCAAACATTTGTTATTTTTTTTTTTGTTTTTCAGTCTTCTCTTTATTTAGCTCGTAATTTGTAAGTTTTAGAACTTTCTGGAATATTTTTTTCCTTCTCGCACGCACCTTTTTTTTTACTCAAAATACCCAAAAATATAAAGGAAATAAATTTTCAACTTTTCCATAAACTTTCTTGTCCATCTCACACAAACCAATCCCCATAGAGCCAAACACACCCATTCCCCATGTTGAAAGCTAACAATAGACAATTACATCAAGCTACAAAGACCTTTGTACGTCATGCTTCTTACAACCAGTTGCAATTTGGAATAGAAGGAAGAGCTGCCTTGTTAAAGGGAGTCAATACTTTGGCTGATGCTGTTTCAGTCACTTTGGGACCAAAAGGTAGAAACGTCTTGATTGAACAACAATTTGGTGCCCCTAAAATCACCAAGGATGGTGTTACAGTTGCCAAATCTATCACTTTGCAAGACAAGTTTGAAAACTTGGGAGCCAAGTTGTTGCAAGAAGTTGCCTCCAAGACTAACGAAAGCGCTGGTGATGGTACTACTTCCGCCACTGTGTTGGGTAGATCAATCTTTACCGAGTCAGTTAGAAATGTTGCAGCTGGATGCAACCCAATGGATTTGAGAAGAGGCTCACAAGCCGCTGTTGACGCAGTTGTTGAATTCTTACAAAAGAACAAGAAAGAAATCACCACTGCTGAGGAGATTGCTCAAGTTGCTACCATTTCTGCCAATGGTGATAAAGCTATTGGTGACTTGATTGCATCAGCAATGGAAAAAGTTGGTAAAGAAGGTGTCATTACCATCAAGGAAGGTAAAACTTTGGAAGACGAATTAGAAGTAACTGAAGGTATGAAATTCGACCGTGGTTACATTTCACCATATTTTGTTACCAACACCAAAACCGGAAAGGTTGAATTTGAAAACCCATTGGTTTTGTTGTCAGAAAAGAAACTCTCCAGCATCCAAGATATTTTACCATCTTTGGAAGTTTCCAATCAAACTAGAAGACCATTGTTGATCATTGCTGAAGATATAGATGGAGAAGCTTTAGCTGCTTGTATTTTGAACAAGTTGAGAGGTCAAGTTCAAGTATGTGCTGTTAAAGCCCCTGGTTTTGGTGATAACAGGAAAAACACTTTGGGTGATATTGCCATCCTCACTGGTGGTACAGTTTTCACTGAAGAATTGGACATCAAACCAGAAAATGCAACCATTGACTTGCTTGGTAAAGCTGGTTCTATCACTGTTACTAAAGAAGATTCCGTTGTTCTCAATGGTGAAGGAGCTAAGGAAAACATTGAGCAAAGGGTTGAGCAAATCAAATCTGTCATTGATGATGCTCAAACCACTGAATATGAAAAGGAGAAGTTGCAAGAACGTTTGGCCAAATTGTCTGGTGGTGTAGCTGTCATCAGAGTTGGTGGTTCTTCTGAAGTTGAAGTTGGTGAGAAGAAAGATAGATATGACGATGCTCTCAACGCCACCAGAGCAGCTGTTGAAGAAGGTATTTTACCAGGTGGTGGTACTGCATTAATCAAGGCAGTTCCAGTCTTGGAAGACTTAAAGTCAAAGAGTGATATTTTTGACCAAAAATTGGGTATTCAAATTATTCAAAGAGCAATTACACAACCATGTAAGCAGATAATGGACAACAGCGGGGTCCAATCCGAAGTCATTGTTTCTAAAGTTGAAGAGAACCCTGATTTCACCTGGGGTTACAATGCTGCCAGTAACGAGTACGGTAACTTGATTCAACAAGGTATCATTGATCCATTTAGAGTTGTCAAGAGTGGGTTGACTGATGCAGTTGGTGTTGCATCTCTCTTGGCTACCACTGAGTGTGTTATTGCTACCGCTGGAAAAGACGAGCCAGCTGCTCCACAAGGTCCACCAATGTTTTAAATAGTGTATGTAAAAGCAATTCCTGTCTATAGTATTATACATATAACGATTTTGAAGAGCGGTAAAAGCTTACAATTTGAAACGAAGAACCTTTCTAGTTATTTTCACGTTACTACTATAAAACATTCCTACCTATTATGTATCATTCTCTTAATCATGTTTGAATTATCGTAATCTTCTTCAGTATAGCTTTTATAATCAGGATTTAAAGTGCCACCGATACCGTTGGCTCCGCTGATAGCCAGTATTACGGATGCTGGTGCTCCTACGGGGAGACCATCAACACCAATAGTAACACCACCACTTTCCTCCAATCTTTTTGCTTCATCCATCAAAGGTCTGATACACATCCATCCCGTTTCTGTTCTGAAATGTCGAGCTAAAGCATCACTCCTTGCAAACTTCTTGCCACATCCCCATTTTGTCACACCATCTTTCAAATATCCTTCACAACTAAAGTTTTTAGCTCCCTTGTGAAGAAGTTCATGTCTTTTCCTGTCATGTGAGCGACAAAATCTTTTGCTACAGTGAGCACAAGCATATGGTTTTTCATCAGAATGCGAACGCAAGTGTGATTTTAAATTGTAAGGCTTGAGAAAGACTTTATCACATGAAGGACATGGATAAGATTCTTCCTCAGCTGTGGGGTTTTGTATAGTAGATGATAATTTGCTTTTGTCGTTTCTCCTTCTTCTTTTGCGTTTCAAGGAGGGCGATATTGTGTACGATACCAATGAGGAGTAGTCAATATTAGACTCGGATATGGGAGCTGATAATGTATGTGACTGTTGCTGTTGTTGTTGCTGAGGTTGGTATGTACTTGACAAAGGGTAGTTGTAATGGGATGATGAGGCCGATGAAACTGTTGATGGTGCTACTGATGACAATGAAATGCTTTTATCAGGTAATGAAACTGGGCTTAAAGGAAAACGTTGCTGCTGTTGCTGCTGAGCTGTTGAGTATTTCCCATTGCTACTTGATCCTGTGGCATAATTGGGAAGAGGGATGTAAGGTTGGCCAGTTGTATACTCCTGTTGACCAAAGTACAGAAAGTTGACATTAGCAGCTGGCATTGAACTCTGTGAGTAAGTCATATCTTGTTGAGCCTGTGACAGAGGTGTTGCTTGTGCTTGTAGAACATTTATTGATGGGAGCTGGTGCTGAGGTTGGTATTGTGCCTTTATGTGATGTTGTGGTTGTAGATAGTTATTTGATTGCGGTTGATGGTATGGTTGCAAGTATGGTCTGTGTTCAGGAATGAAACTGTAATTAGCAGCAGCTTGATATGAGGCAGCATCTGTTCCATTCAAGTTGTTGGGGCTGTAAGCATATCCATTTCTGAAGCCAGCATCCTGTGGATATTGCAAGTTCATCGTAGTGGGGGGTAACTGTACGTTATCAACGCCATTTGTGTGTTCGAAAATGGCCATCTTTGTAAGTTGGTCAGGGTTGAATGAGATGCAGGACTTTTGAGATAATATTGGGGAGTTAAATGTTATAGTGAAACCACAACGGTACTAGTTCAGTGAGTGAGCGGTAATTATACTATATGTATGAAAGTAGGGGGGATACTTCTTCCTAAATGCCGGTGATTGACAAGAAAAATATTTGAAATTAAATATACCAGACGGGGAATGAGGTTATATTTATAAACAAACAAAGTTTGTTCTTAGTTTAGTGAAGTAGCGTATGACGTTTAGCTATACTTTGGAAACAATAGAGAGTTTATAGAATAAGGTGTGGGCTGTTTGTTGGCGAGTACAATTGTTTTTTTTCTAATATGAAACGGGGAATCGGAGGTGTGTTATTCCGGCGATTAAAAAAAAAAGAAAATAAATTAATTCAATGTACTGATAGATTTTTGTGATATTGAACACAAATTATTTTGGTGTGGAAATGTAATGGTAGTGTGCATGTGATCAGAAAAGGTTAGTTACAAAAAGAAACAGCACACAGCAATTAGAAAATAAAAAAACAAAAAAGAGGAGTTTGACTAAAACTTTTCCAAAACAAAGCAAAATAAAATAAAACAAGCCAATAGTATGTGTTATATGCATTATGAGCTAATACGACGAACAATACCCACAAACTCAACTCAACAATACTGATCCAATAGTTGTAGAGAAATGACAGTACAAAAACAGAAGAATGGCTAACTATCTCTTACTTATTTACTTACTTCTTTCGAATATTCCACAAGTAATACGTAAACAAAGGACAAAAAAATAGAAGATCGCCAAGAAAAAAAAAAAAAGAAACATCTTCACAGTTTCATTAGTACGATACTCCCCGTACGCATTTGCAAGTAGCTTTGACAACACTTTCGGTGATTGAAGCCAAAGCCACCATGTCTAGATTTGCAACAAAATATGTCGCAAGCAAGGCTTGTACTGCCTTGAGAGGAGTATTCAAATAGGTCCCCAGCAAAGGGATATACCAATGCTTATGCTTGGCATAGCCCCCTCATTTAACCGTTCCTTATTGCATAATCAAAATTTCGAAGTAGGGGTTTACCAAAACAGTAAAGTAAAGTAAATTAATGTCTGATTTGTCCAAATTGTTTACTATCTTCGCATTCGTGTAATTTCACTATCAATGTATGAGGGAAGGTAAAACCCTTCACGACCGATTTTCCACACGTTTACGAGAATTCACGTTAAAAAGTTAATTTCATCATAACTGTGTTGTTGCACAAAATACACAAAGATTTTTGGTAACATTACTAGGTTTCTTTTAATCCTTATATTTAATTCTGCCCAATTAAACACACGATCTGTTTCGTAAACCTGCCTTTGTCAGTAGTCAAGACACAACTCCTTTCAAGACCTACAGCAACAGCAAACAAGGGAATAATTGATTGCACATTATAACTATTGTTTAGAAATTTTAGTCATATTAATATTCAACTAATTTTGTTCTCTAATTGTGGTGTAATTAATTTTTAGTATCCTGCATATACCACTCAACGAAAAAAAATTACTTGAATAGGGTGCATTGTTTTTTTGAACACCGAATTTCTTGGCAAAAGGGCTTAGAACAAGCTAAACGTAATGGAAAGCCTCCCTCATTCTCATGTTCAAACCCCATTTCAAACACCGAGAAGAAGCCTTGCTGGAAAACAAGGCTGAGTTAAGTGGCAGTGAGAGTCCTTATTTCTTTTCAGTCATTTAACCTTTTTGAGATTCGCAAAGGATTCGCAAAGGGTATAGTATATGTTATTACGAAATCATACTTAGCGCATCACCCTTATCTTTAAAAAATTGAATTTTGAATTTCTTTTAATTGTGCTATTTTTTTTTTAATTCAATTTCAGCTTTGTCTCCTTTTTAATTTACGATTATTTTGTTCATTTTGTTTAGTTTTGCATTTGAAGTATCGGAAATAAGATGTAGATGGGGGGATCTTCTCCGATCTCTAAAAGTTTTCAGCACTCACTAATGCAACAGTAGCAATAGTAACTGCAATTATAGCAACATCTCCCAGTGCATAACTGCATCCACCACCTATCCTATGAACTCACTAGACTCAAATAGCCAAGCAGAATATAAAATGTAATCCATGTTGGAAATGTTAAACCCGTTCATATTTTAAACAAAGGTAGCCGGATCGAGAGTGCACAAAACTCATGTTATGATTGTGTTTGTGATACTGTTCGGATCGAGGCTTCAAAATAGTTCTAGACAAAAGATTTTGAAAAAGGGCCTTCGTTTCAGGGCCGTTCTCGCTTATGTGTTTTCATATTCAATTGTAAAGCAGGCTGAAATTAGGCACCTAATCAGCCATCATCAACGAGGCTGTGCAATGAAACATGCAGTGGACCAATACGGCACTTGTAGTTTTAGAGACAAAAAATGAGAAGCAAGTTTTTATTACCCAACTGGGAATTGTAATTCATATTATTGCGAGCCGGATCGAACTCTTGACTTTTTTTATGATACACGCGGACCGCAGCTATTTTCCATGAGCTATTGTAGGACTTATACTTACACGAGACAATAATGACATCATAGTATAACCTTAATTGATCGGCAATGTATTGTTCAGTATCAATCACCGCCAAACTAAGGCTTTGTTTGCCACTATCCACTTAGAGCTTTTGTTGTTTATAAGCGATTGATAGACAGATGACAGAAGTTGCCAAGAAGACACACATGTGTCAATAAGCTGGCTTAGCGCCGCTTTTAAATTTCCGCGATGTAATTACTATCCAGTTGACTATGAGCTGCTCTCTGCTTTTAGCTGATTCGTACGAATTGTCAACTATTGTGACGACCAAACACATTGATACATTCGTGTGACACAATGCGGACTTACGTTTTGATAATGGAAAGAGGTTCTACGTAATGCTTCTTATTACTTCCGATAATCCCCTTATGAACTCTTCTATACTTCCAATAATTTCATCCAGTCGAAAACAAGAGTCAATTCTGGATTTTATTTCACTCTTCAAAACTTGTTTCCGTTATCTTATTTTTATTTTTGACCTGAGGGTTATCGCTATTAATTTTACGAGCTAAAAATAGAATACTTTGAGTGGACTTTCTTGTGTCAAAAATAAGCCATTGTGCAAAGAGATAACGAGAAATCAGGTGCGACATTCGGTATCACCCTCTTTCTTGAAAACAGAGTATTTAGGGGGGAGGGATTAAAGAAACCCTCTTTGTTGCAAAGTAATACCTACGTGGTTTCAAAACATTGGCTTTTATGAACTGTTTTTTGAGTCGTGTGGATCCCTGTGTCTGTTGTAATTGTTGTTTGCTTCATTATAAGCCAAACTTAGAATTGTGACCTGCTAATCCGAATAGAAGCTTCACCACAGCTCGAATAGCTTCTTGTAAAGACTAGGAAGGGCAACTGCGGAAACTGGTCAAAATAGCCGAAAGTAAGTTACAAAATTGAGGGGCCATTGAATGAAGAGGATAGACAGTTGTATAAGTCAATACTTTTAGGTTTTACTTTCAATTGTTTCAAATTTGAACTGTAAACTTGAACGTTTAGTACCTTTTACTTTGACATTTTTCACGACAAGACGGCATCCATCATTTCACTCCTTACCATTTCTGTTTCCAGATACTACTAGTCTACCTAGCCATTATACACAGTCATAGCCAGCACTATACTCTACACCATTGTATGCTACTTTATATAGTTGGTTTCTACGTATAGGTTAAAAGGAATGGCAGTTAATACAAATAATTTTTTTTCTTTATTTTTATTTTTTGCAGTCATTGTCAGGTCCAAATCGAGTAATTATTTTTGCAACAGTTTTGTTTCTGAAATTATTTTCTCCATACTTTATTCATTCTCCAAAGATTCAATAAATGGCTCAGCTCAACTTCAAACATGTGTTTCTGACCCCCTTGACTCATCTTTTCCCTCCAAATAAACTTCTCTCTTATATGATTGGACGTTTCAGAAAATGACCGTTTTTAGAAATTTGACTTGCTCTTAGATGCAAAATCTTCTCATTAAATCACAGCTAATCTAAAACATGAGATAATTTTCAACACGACATATAAACTGGCCCTGCAGCTCGTATCAATTTAGCATCGTTTCTTGTTTCTCTCTCCATATCATTTCCACTTCCAAACATGGATCAAGTTGCAACTAGACTAAACTCAGGCGATGTCATTATCACAATCACCATTCCCGGTGAGGAAGATGGAACCTACGAAGTCCCATTCTACGTTCTTGACGAATACCACTTGTCAAGGATGGAAAACGCAATTATACTTGGAGTCACTATTGGTGCTTGTTCTATATTATTGGTCATGTTGGTCGGTATCCTATTCAAGAATTTCCAAAAATTGAAGAAATCGTTGCTTTTCAATTTGAATTTCGTAATCTTGTTGATGCTTATCTTGAGGTCTGCCTGCTATATCAACTACTTGATGAACAATTTGTCAAGCATCAGTTTTTTCTTTACCGGTATTTTTGCTGGCGAATCATTCATGAGTTCAGATGCTGCCAATGCTTTCAAGGTTATTTTAGTCACACTTATTGAAATGTCATTGACTTATCAAACCTATGTTATGTTCAAAATACCAACATTGAAAATTTGGGGGTTGGGAGCTTCATTTTTGGCTGGAGTATTAGGGTTGGCGACAATTGCTACTCAAATCTATACCACGGTTATGTCGCATGTAAACTTCATTAATGGAACTACCGGATCAGCTCCGCAAACAACATCGGCATGGATGGACATGCCAACAATCTTATTCTCCGTTAGTGTCAATGTAGTTTCATTGTTGTTGATATGCAAGTTGGGATTGGCAATTAGAACCAGAAGGTACTTAGGATTGAGGCAATTTGATACATTCCACATTCTATTGATCATGTCAACGCAAACAATGATTATCCCTTCAATCATTCTTTTCGTGCACTATTTTGACAAAAGCGACTCCCTGACTACCTTGGTCAATGTCTCACTTCTCTTGGTGGTTATCTCGTTACCTTTGAGCTCTTTATGGGCCCAAACTGCAAACAACATCAGACGTATAGATACGTCCCCAAGTATATCATTCCTCACAAAAGAAACGTCTAATGGAAACGAAACGTTGCATAGTGGTGTCAAAGTGTCAAAATACAACACGTCAACTTCGGTGCACACGTTGTCTGGTACTTTAAAAGACGATTCCTCATATATATTGGACAGATCGGCCCCTGAGCCTAAATTGGTTGATACAGGTTTACCCAAGGATTTGGAAAAATTCTTAAACAATGACTTCAATGAAGGTGATGATGGTATGATTGCAAGAGAAGTCACAACGTTGAAGACACAGCATAACGGTCAATAGGGTGTATAGGTTTCGAGTTTTATTTAGCGATTTTTCTTTTTTGTTTGAAATTATTATCTCTCTTGTTCATCTGTACATTTTATTTCCATCACACCAAAGCATATTACATTTGAAATGGTTGCCGAGCCTGTCCTGGCTACAATGCAGGTGCTAAACAGAGTTATCAGCGATACCAGTACCTTCATAAACAAACAGCAGGAGAAACTACAAAACTCAGATCTGTTGAATAAAATTTTTCATCACGAATCATCATTCGAACCGCCTCAGCAGCAACTTTCACATATCGAGTCCCTTTTCAATCGTATAACGAGTCACATCTACGACATAAAACTTGCATATTTGTCTGTGATAGGTCTAGGGATAGGTTATACTGCTTTCCAAATCAGAGATAGGTTTTACCCAGGGCATCAGCCACAACGAATCAATCGAAGGGTTCCCAAATTACCCAATGGCGCAAGAACCGATGCTGTTTTCATCGTGGGGTCATTCACTGACCATTTAACGAGAATCATAGCCTACGACTTGGAAAAGAGAGGGTTTACCGTGTTTTGTTCTATTTTGGACTCGACCGATGTAAAGTACATCGAATCAAATAAAGTCAGTGACCAGATTAGGTTTTTAGATTTCACTAGACAATCTGTTGAGAATGCAGTGGGAGAACTCCATGATATTTTGAAAACGCCGGTTGTGCCATTTGCCAATGCTGAACAACATCACTTCAAACTAAAGGCAATCCTTTTCGCTCCTAGTTGGCAATTCCCGTTGGGTCCAGTAGAAAACACAAGCATTAGTACATGGAAGAAATTGAATACTCGATTACAAGTGGTGATGGAAATGCTCACCTGTGGGTTGTTACAACTTTCACGAAACCAAAATTCCAAATTGTTTTTACTAAATTCAAGTATAAGTTCCTTGGACCTCCCGTACCATGCGCCTGAATCAATTTTCCAGAATGAATTGGGTCACTTGTTTACAATATTGGGACGCGAATTGCAGCAATACGGCATGTCTGTAACTCAAATCCGATTGGGCAATCTAAGAATCTCAAATCAAAAAGTCAATTCTAGCACTCGAATTGAAAGTTTGGTCAACACTGAGGTACGAGCTTGGACTTCAGAAATGAGAGATTTGTACGCAGCAGACTTTGCCAAAATCCAATTCAAAAGTAATGCGATTAGGGGAAGTGGTGGTAAAGGTACCCCAGTTAAACTGTTGTTTCATTTACTATTCGATTTAATCTATGCAGATAGGAACCCACCCACAGTCTACTGTGGGAAAGGAGCTAGGTTTTACCATTGGCTAGGGAGGATCTTGCCTACTTCTTGTTTGGGGTGGTATTTGAGATGGTGATTGCCTTGTGCAATACATACGATAAAGTTATCCAAATGACACGACCCTCTCTCTCTCTTTCTTTTCGCCATCGTAGAAAAGGGAAACAAAAAAAAATTTTTACTCTCAAATCTTTTTTCCTCTTCTTTTTCTTCTTTTTCTTCACGTCCATAAACTAAGAATTGTCATCAAAGCTTACAAAAGGACATGTTTACATGTCATATTCTTGTTACTACAAGTTTGCTTTGGGGAAAGTCTCCTGTCATTACAGCGGAAACGCAATAGAATATCACCAATTCTATTGAATGTTGTTCTTAGGCACTATCGAAAAGCCCGAATACAGGTTACATACAGCTGGAAGGGAGCAATTCCTCTCAGCACAATAAGTATGCCCCCTAAGTGGCGCCTCTAAATGAGGGACATGGAGGCAATGCGTCGCAAAGCGAGGATTGGCCGATGGATTACATCAAGCAGGTGTAAATCGTTAGTTCTAATTTACCTGGGCATTTGGATGTGGAAGTTGAACATTCCGGTCGGGCATGCCTATATTGGTTTCATTCGATCTGGTGGAGCAGTCGGTCGGTCTTTGGTTGGTCCTTGTTGTGGGGCAAGGTTCTGTTATCTGTGGCCCTGGTTATGGTACTAGCCAATCTTTAGCCTTCCTTATCGTGATAAGGTCTTGTCTGTATCCCCTTTATGGGGATTTCAGCTCTGGTACGTACCTCCTGCCCAAGAGCAGGCCATGTTTTCACTCCAAAGGAGTCAGCCTCACTGAACCGATTCTGCTGGATATTTTTTCGTTTGTTAACCATGGTGTGTTTAGGACTGGATATGTTTCACCATTCCGTGGATTCGAATGGCTCTTTTAAATGATGGACCGAGACATGTTTGAATAGTGAAACGAAACACGTAAAGCCTTTGAACGATGTTTAGAGATTCCCAGCTGGGTATCTAATTCCTGGCTGGATGATTACCCTTTTTAGGGTGGCCATTTTGACAATGGGACTTTGTGTCCTAGACGAAAGTCATGACGATTGATTGGATATTTCCGATTAACCCAATGGAGCTTACTCTTGCTTTATGGACGTCACCCAACAAACACCCCCTTTTTTTCAAACCTGTTATTTTGATAATTTTAGCACTGTCGAAGGTGCCAGGTTTTGTGGATGTTTTAGGTGACTGAAATATCTCAAAGAATGAAGCCTTTTCTGTTTTATTTTCTTCCGTACCCTAAGGTTTGAGAGACTATATTGGACAAGACAAGAAAATTGGTCTCTCTCTCTTGCTTTTTAACATGATGAAACATCCAAGCAAACATAGAGTCAAGCTCTGAGCAATACTTTAATCTTCATTGTCTGGAAAGATGGCAAGTTGATTAAAGGTGAAGAGATTTGCAATATTTCTGATACAAAGAAGAACAGCAAGAAGGGAAGAAGAAAAAATACAGGGTTTCAAACTTTGAGATGTTTCCATGATATTTTATCATGATATGTATACATATAAACATACATACATATAATATATATATATATTAACTAATTAATCAATAAACGAACTGAACAATGCATGACTTGAAAGAACCAGTTCCTACTCTACTTTCCAGTGGCTCGTTAAACTATTGCCGCCACCTGACGAACTCTCGTTGTTCAGCAACTCGGCAACATAAAGGATCAATGTTGTTCCCATATTGATCCAGTTCCAAAACTTCCATGGATGGACTACTATTCTAGTACCCGAGTTCCCATATAATGGCCATACTTGTAACTCAACCCCCAACTCACCAATATATGACAACATTAGATGGGTGTAGACTGTAATCACTAAGCATGGTGAATACGCATAGATGAGCCGTATAAATGCCGATGGTGGTTGATGATGTGGCGGCTTGAGGTGGAATGATTTTCTTGTTTTCAAGGGCACTCTTTCATTTGAATTTAGCGAAGATAGATGAGTGCTTGAAGTTTCACGTGAGCGTGGATGTAACGGTGTTGATGATGGATAGGATGCTGACTTGTACAAAGAAGGGATGATCTTGGTTGCTGCATAAAAAACACCAATTCGATAAACAAGGTTGAGTAATAGTGACAAGGGCAATTTCTGCGAAGCTTCAATTAAATATTCCCAAACTCCTTTCAATGAAAGAGGAAAAGTCTTTGTCAAAAATGGCACGAGTTCTGATATAGGATTCATAATCGATGGAGGAATCTTTGGTATTTCATTACGGACATTTTGAGTTGCCAGTGTTAACAAGTTTGCCAATGCTTCTGATGCGCCTTCGGATAACGTGGGGAACGTTTCATAAATGCATCGAACAATGTAAGCAAACAACAATGAGGACTCAATCATTGAGCCTTTGCCACTAACGATTCCAAATAAACATAACCCAAATGTCAATGTTAATAATGAGCCCAAGAGGGATGACTCCAATATGTCAATGGTGATGGGAAGAACATAAATTCTGTACAAACAATAAAAAGCACCGGTGTCAACCACGGCACTTCCTATCAATGATATAATCAACCACGAGTCAGACTTGTACAAGGTTAACCAGTTGACTGTTTGGCCAATTGCTTGAATCAACAACAATGAACAAAATCCTTCCAAGATGGTGATAATGGGTGTGGCATTGATTAAAAGAAACTTCCATATCAATACTGGATTAAACTTGGACTCAATTTTGGGTTCATTACTATAATAACTGAGGAAATAAGTCAATAAACTTGGAATAAGAAAATGTTGTCCATAGTATACAAGTGAAATCCATTTGAAATATCTTGTTCTTCGTGCTAGTAGTTGTATTGTGGTTAAAATAAAGTAAATGACAAGTAGGGTTAATGAAAATGCCAATCCACAATTGACCCCACCAACATCAAAAGCAAGTGGGATCGTAAGGATCACCCATACGAGGTATAATGTTGCAAATACTGCCCTTATGGATCTGTGTATAGTTTTGGATGGAAAGGAAGGCATTCAATAATTGATTTGATGATTCAAAGTTGGTGGCATTTACTGCGAGCCTTTTGCTGAAAGGGTGAGTCGGAGTGAAACGTTAAAAAAGGAGTAGTGGGTTTGTGTTGTGGAAAGTGGTAATGGCTGGTGTCTGGGTTGCGATGTACAATTGCAATGGAGTGGATGTGTGGGGTTGGTTATCTAGTGAATGATCAACTGATGATTGTGGTGGCTATTGTAGTCTGACACTTAAAACTTTTCTCTCTCTTTCTGAGGTACTCCTGTGGAATTTTTATTTTTTTTATTTTTTTTTTTTAATGAAACAAAAATTATTTTAATTTTAAATTTTTAAACTGTTTTTTTCTTCTTTAGTTTTTTATTTTTTATTCTTGTTCTCCTTTTGTTGCAAGTGTATGTATTATAAAAAATGTATTATAATTGTTATTGTCATTGTTATTGTAATTGTAATTGTGGTTGTATTGTTTTAACAGTCTTCCAACAACAGAGAGAGATAAAGAATATGCGTAATGGTAAATGTAGCAAGAGCTTACTACAAATACACATCGCTTTAAACACACGCTAAATAATACAAAACTCAGAATATATATGTGTGTGTTTTACACTACGTAACTAAACACTTTGCAGGCTACCCATGACCGTGCAAATTATTGCAATGTCTGATGGAAGTTCCAGTGGCGTATATGTAAAGAAGCTTGTAGCTGCAAAAGCAAAGACCCTTCAGAAGCAAAATCAGACTTTTCTTGGGTGCATCAATTGGTCATTCCACCCTGAATAACCTCAAAGTCAAAGATTGTTACAGTTGTAAACTAATATTGTCATTGTCTCATTACTCATTACTCGTCACGAGTGCCATATACAACAATTTATACAAACAGCGATTGCTTCGTGTTTAACGTCTCCTTCAACATGTTTCTTAATTCATCCTCTTCTAGTTGGTCTGTATGGGATATATTGAATGCATCTAGATATCGTATCACTTCAAACCTTTGTAACAAATCAACATCTGCAGTCTTATCTATTGGTGGCAACCCATACTCTTCCGGTACAGCGCCATTGGGGAATGTTACCGACGACGTCCTTGAATGGTTTTGCTTCTTCCTAGTTACAAGAAGTTTCTTTCGTATTGATGGTTCTGTTTTAACTTCATGGTCTACTGTAACCTCTGGTGATGTGGTTGCTAACGTTGCTAACTTTGGTTGTGTATCTTGAGGAGAGGTTTCCCTTTTCAATTTTAGACCAACTTTAGGAAGTATCAGATTCAACATTAAAATCAAATGAAAAGTAAATAAAAGTTGTTACACACCAAAAATAGAAAAAGTCAAAAGTTGTTGTATTTTATAAAGGTCTTTACAGAAAGAGATGAGTTCGATGTCCAATGAAGATCAAAAACATTGCGTTTTGAATGACACATTTAATTTGTTTTTCAGCCAGTCCCGCACAATTCGGGTTTAACTCCTTTTGTTGTTCGGGTGGAAGCTTATTATATATGGATCAATTTTTTTGGTTTCTGGAATAATAACGGCCGTAAGAGGAAGAGTTATTGTATTTTACACACTTTAAAAAAGAAGAAGAAAAAAAAAAAGAAAATAGAAGCTTTAATTGCTGCAAACTTTCTTATTTTCCTGGTCTAGATTCGCAAGAAAATAGCGGGAAGTGAGAAACGTCATAGGGAAATCTCTTCTTTTGATAACAGTTGAAAAGACTTTGAGGACTTGTGTTGATTATAACATGCTTAAGCGGCTGGTAACAGGTTCTTTGCATCAGTATTAAACAAACCTCCATCTTTCAGAAGATTGCGCTGCTTAACTATTCTGTCTAACACAATAAGAAACATCTTAGCAGTTCAGGCAGACGTTAGTTAACATTAGAGAGCAGGGTACTATGCTTGGCTAGTACAAGCGTAGCATTTATATATATATAATAGTTGAATGTATGTTTTTGGTGAAACAAGATTGAGACAGCTAAACGGCAGGGTGCCATGAAATTCCAAGTGCTTCATAAATGTTGCATTCCCCAATTACATCACAGACACAACGAAAATGACTAAATTTTAACTACCATTCAACTTATCTCTAGCTACCTCCCACTCCCTCTATTAGCTAGAGGTGTTTAAACTGTTTGCCACACAATTAATTGTCAGAGTCACTCATTGCAGTCCAATTAAATGACTCACGTGCAATTGCAACAAAAAATAAAAACTAAAAAGAAGCTTAATTTCATCAATACACAAAGCCAAAAACAATAAAAGCCATTATTATTTACCAGTGTAGCCACAACCGTTCCTTTGTTTTGTAGAGATAGATCCCCCAAATGACGATGTGGCCAGCCACACTATTATACACAAACGTACCCAAAGTAATGAATTGACCAAATATAGGAATCTCAAAGGCGTAGGGGTTTATTGACTTGCAATTAAATTTAACTAGTTTAGTCAAAGATGCATAACCGATAAGTATAGAGCCACAATCCCGATGCCGTAAAACAATCCGATTTGGTTGGTTTCAAAAATAGAAAAAATTTGAAAAAAAAAGGAAAGAAAGAGTTGGGTTATAAATATTTGACAATTTGCACTTCCTTGTGCTGATATATTGATTGAATATCCACATTTTAAGAAATGGCTGCTGTGGTGACACCATTCCAACGACTTAAATGGGGTATTTTCCCAGTGAGAAGAATCGTAGATGAAGACGAATATGGGAACTTCTTAGACCTTGACGATCCTGACTTATCCACCCCCACAGATGAAGGAGGAAGTATCGAAAAGACTGATTCCAAATTGGAAGTTGCACATTCAATTTCCAGCTCCAAGCAACAAGAATCACTTATTGAGTATCGTGATGAAAAGAATCGTCCATGGTGGAAGTTTTTCGATGAATATGAGTATCGAGTAACCACTCAGTCGAAGAAGAGTAGGAAATGGTACAAATGGTTCCATGACGAGGACACGCCGGAAGAAAAGAAGGTTATCACGAAAATTGACATCTTGTTGACATTCTACTCCCTCATGGCCTATTGGGTCAAATATTTAGACCAGACAAACTTGACTAATGCCTATATCGGTGGCATAAAAGAATCCATTGGGATGGAAGGTAATGACTTCATCAACACCCAGGTTTTATTCTCCGTTGGTAACATTGTGTTTCAGATTCCCTTCATGTACGTGTTGTATGCCCTCCCATTAAACTACGTGTTGCCAGCGTTGGACTTTGGTTGGTCAGTATTGACAATTTGTACATCGCAAGTAACCAACGTACCTGGTCTTAAGGCTATTCGGTTCTTTATTGGTGCGTTTGAAGCGCCTTCATATATTGCTTACCATGCATTATTCGCCTCGTGGTTTAAAGGAAGTACAGGTGAAGTGACTAGAAGGGCAGGTTTCTACTATATTGGCCAATTTCTTGGTATACTTACTTCTGGTTTACTTTCTGGTTCAATTGTAAGAAATTTAGATGGTGTTAATGGTTATGCAGCCTGGCAATGGATTTTCATTGTCGATGGAATTGTCAGTTTTGCGGTTGGTCTTATTGGAATTTATATGATTCCGGGAACACCTGAAGATTGTTATAGCATATTTTTATCCGATGACGACATTAGAATTGCCAGAAGGAGGATGAGAAAGGATCAAAAGGATGCCAAGCCTAGAGAAAATGCCTTTTATCATTTCTTTAGTTGGGAGACTTGGAGAAAGGTGCTTTCATCGTGGCATATCTACGTCTTGGGTTTATGGAACATATTTTGCTGGAACAATTCAAATGGTACTTCCGGGGCGTATGCTTTATGGCTTAAGTCATTGACAAAAGACGACGGTACAACTCCTCGTTTTAACAGTGGCCAGTTGCAAGATTACACTGCATTGACTCCAGCATTGGGTATTATATGGTTGATTATCACTAGTACCATGGCCGATTTGTGTAATAGCAGATATGGGGCAATTATATTTTCTCAAGTGTTCAATGTGCTTGGAAACTTGTTGCTTGCAATATGGGATATTCCCGAACGTGCGAAATGGTTTGCATTTTGTATGCAATACTGGGGTTGGAGTTCTGCTCCAGCTCTTTACTCGTTCTTGGGTGATATATGCCGAAGAGATCTTCGTGAGCGTCAAATTATTTTAGTTGCTTGTAACATCTTGGCACAACAAAGTACGGCTTGGATTTCAGTTTTGGTATGGAAGACAGTTGAAGCACCTAGGTTTTTGAAAGGGTACAGCTTTACTGCGGCTTCGGCGTTTGCAATGGCGGCTTGGTCGCTTGTTGTATTGTATCTCTACAAAAGACAAGAGAGAGCCGGTGCTCTCGATAATAACATAGTACTCTTTGATTCAAGTAAAGATGACGAGAAGTCGGATATTAAGGAAACTGAATAATAGGTTAAGGGTTATAGACTTAATAGAAGAACAATGTTATTGATAGACAATTTTTAGAGAAACAATAGCAAGTGTATTACCCTACTTCAGAGTCTACTCACTTTATTGAATTCAGTGTTAAGGTAGTAAGCTAAGCCCTGCGTGGACTGCGTTGATGCAAATGCTACCACATTTCTCAACTGAATATATTGAAAATCATTAACCCTCTTTCAAAAACATGCTTCGACGTGCTTTTATCCCCTCGTTGTTGTTCATTGCAGCTGCATTCCTTTTCCTGCCAACGATCTTTTTCAGCAGAAAGGTCAGCCACGACTGCTACCAATATGAAGACGACGCCCAATTCAAAACATTCTTAAAAACTCACCATGCCAATTATCAATCAGAAAACTTGTGTGTTTTAAAAGCACCAGCGTGTAACCATCGTGAGAATGCCACGTTCTTAATGTTGGCTCGCAATCTGGATTTGTATCTGGTGTTGGAGACCGTACAAGTGGTTCAGGATCGATTCAACGACAAGTTCAATTACGATTACACTTTTCTCAATGACGAACCATTCTCATCTGACTTTATATACCTTGTCAGTAGTTACATTCCACGCGGGAAAGTAAACTTTGGAATCATACCCAAGGAGTATTGGTCTTATCCTAGTCATATAAATACCACCGCTTGTGCTGAAGTTCGAGCAAAATCGGCGGATATTCCGTACGGAGATTCAGAAAGTTATCGACACATGTGTCGTTTCTACTCGGGGTTTTTCTACAAGCATGGGATGGTGAGACAATACCAGTATTATTGGAGGATAGAACCAGATATCAAGTTATATTGTGATATGAACGACGACTTGTTTCGCCTAATGAGGGAAAAGGATAAGAAATATGGGTTTGCCATTGCTCTTTTTGAATATTCTGAAACCATACCGACTTTATGGCCTCATGTTATCCAGTATATAAAGGACCGAAACTTACAACCTGAGCTATTGCCCATGTTTACCAACAAGTTTAATTGGTACAACTTATGTCACTTTTGGTCCAACTTTGAAATTGCTAATTTGGACGTATTCAATGATCCACGGTACGAGGACTTTTTCCAGTACTTGGATTCATTGGGTGGGTTCTATTACGAAAGATGGGGTGATGCGCCTGTCCATAGCATGGCAATAATGATAATGTTGTCGAAAAAGGACCTTTATTGGTTCGAAGACGTTGGGTACACCCATCCACCATACGTTCAGTGTCCTCAGGATCCAGCGGTGTATATTAAAAATAGGTGCATATGCAATCCAGATGAAGACGTTACTTGGAATAACGAGGAAAGTTGCAACAGCTACTTTCTCCAATTCTTAAAAAGTTAGATGCAAGTACATAAATAAAACGTGTAAAAGCTTTTGTTTCGCGTAGAAAAAAACAAAAAAAGCTGTCAACAAAGTGCAACAACTTTGCACAGGTGTTCACTACAAGCTCATTTCACAACACATCTGCCAACCCACATTCCAATCAAATCATCTATACCAATAGTCTTCTTATATACCTCACTATGGCAATACAGTTTCTTTTCCTTATTTCCAGACAGGGTAAAACCAGATTGTCCAAATGGTACCAAACGATACCCCAAAAACAAAAGACCAAGATTGTCCGTGACTTGTCGACAATAATATTGTCAAGAAGGGCTAAAATGTGCAATGTTTTAGAATATAGGGATTTGAAAATCATCTACCGAAGATATGCATCATTATTCTTTGTCATTGGAATTGACAATGATGACAACGAATTAATTGGACTTGAAGTTATTCATCGATTTGTTGAACAAATGGATAAAATGTTTGGTAATGTATGTGAGCTAGATATAATATTTGGATTTGAAAAAGCGTACCATGTCTTGGACGAGTTGTTGCTTGATGGGTATATTCAGGAGAGCTCAAAGAAGGAGGTGTTGAGGCGAGTCACTCAGCAGGATGAGTTGGAGAATATGGATGAATTTGAAAGGGTGCTTGTCTAGATATATGATAGACTGTGACCTGTTGCTATGTGATTAACTCTTGAAGCGGTATGATCTACTGCTTGTTGTGGATGACTTAGAATCAATGCGTGGTGATCAATCTTTTATCAACTATAGATGAATAATTTATCTTGAGTGTAAAAATGTGGCACCTTGCTGGCTCTCCTCTTTGTAAATGTAGCCCTGGACTCTGATCTCAAAATAGAGTCTCGACCTCTCTATGAGCTACGCTGAGAGATTGCCTAACTAGTATACATGCACAAGGTAGCGCACGGGATAAATTTAATTTGAGAAATATAAAATTTCCAACCTCATCTCATTGCAAAACACCAATCTTTCACAATCCACAAAGCATGATCAGAAAACAAGCAAGAGAAAGGAGGGAGTATCTTTATAGAAAATCATTACAGCTTCAAGAAGCCTCGCGTACTGAAAAGCGTCAACAGCTTAAAGCAGCTTTAGCACTGGGGAAACCATTGTCTAAAGAATTGGCAGAAGACACACAACTACAACGCGATTTCATATACGACCAAAGTGAGCAAGACCAGCTAGATATCGACGACGAATATAGTGCACTTTCAGGTATATCGGATCCAAAGGTGGTCATCACCACATCGAGAGACCCAAGTGTTCGATTATTGCAATTCTCCAAAGAAATTAAGTTGATGTTTCCAAATAGCTTGAAGTTGAATCGTGGTAACTACATCATTAATGACTTGGTCAAGACTTGTACCAGAGTCCAGGTTTCGGACTTGATAATATTACATGAGCATAGAGGTGTACCTACATCTCTTACGGTCAGCCATTTCCCACATGGACCAACAGCTATATTCACTTTACACAATGTTAAGTTAAGACATGATTTACCAAACTTGGGTAATATAAGTGAATCCTATCCTCATTTGATTTTTGAAAATTTCAATACGCCATTGGGTAAAAGGGTGGTTAAGATATTGCAACATTTATTCCCACCTGGCGTCAAACGGGACTCGTCAAGGGTAATTACATTTGTTAACAATGACGATTATATAAGTGTGAGACATCACGTTTACGTGAGAACCAGAGATAGTGTCGAGATCAGTGAGATTGGACCGAGGTTTGAGATGAAATTGTACGAAATTAGGTTGGGATTGGCTGATAATACTGATGCCGATGTTGAGTGGCAAGTGAGGAGGTTTATACGTACAGCAAATAGAAAGAACTACTTGTAAAATCAAAAGTGAATAAATGCGTTATATTTGGGCAATTTTTTATACATGACTCACTGTCGTGACTAGATAGTTTGGATTACTTGAATGTAAGGAATGCTCGTTCTCGCTAGTACTTGCATTGATATTACTGAGGGTGGCCTCTCTCTTTTGTTTCCGTTTATTCCTGAAGTGACTCACATTTGTCAAAACTCTGCTGAGAATATTGTCGCCACCATCGATGGGGCCACCTCTTGCAAAAGTTGCCACTTTAGCCAATGTATTATTGTGGTCAACACTAAATTGTCTGTTAGTGGCGTGCCTCTCTTGTACTAAATCATGACGATTCATCTCGGCATTAGGCAACAAAATAGCTCTATCAATAGCATATGGCAAACCTCTATGTCTGCCTCTGATCATCATTGCAATAATGACTAATTTCGAAATGACATTAAATTTCCCAGACAATGATGTGTTAACATCAGGGTATCCAAGCGACATTCCTACCGTACCATAAGCACTAATAATTTCAAATAAAATTGCAAAAACCAGGAATCTGGGATCTTGCTTTTGTAACTTCTTTCCCTCAGCAATACAAATAACAAACAACCCGAGAAATATATACCATAAATCATAAGACAATTGGTTACGCAAATGCGCACCGACGTAATTCGATGGTGCGTTTTCATCGGCATCCTCACCTTCCTTCGTGTATACACCTAAACTTTGCTCCTCATAAACATTGGTTCTTCTGACCGAAATGGCAATGGGCAAGACGGAAATATACATCATCACCAAATAACTCACCTGCGTAGCAGCATGTAATTTAGACAAGTCAACAATTGAAAATCCAACGGTTCTGGTACAAAAGGCTTGAAACAACCCATTCAAAACTCGGTAGCCTTTGGGCACTCCGTCAAATATTTCATTGTTAAGGTCTATAATACACCAAATCACCAAATCAAACCCGTTAAGTGCGACCAAAATAAAGAATAACCACCAAGTAGGAATCAGGGGGAAAAGTAAAGTAAAACAACGACGTGGATGATCCAATAAAAACCCCAACGACTCTCTGAATAAGGATAATTCTGGTGCTAGCTTGAACAATACCCATATGATAAACCGCAAGAGCACGGGAAACCCAGTATTACCAATCACGATTAAAAAAGAACAAAGGATTTGCACAAATGCGTTTTCATGAAATGAATTCATCGAATCTGGCGTCAACGTTAATCCCAAATCATTAAATGATGATTGCGCCGTATAAAACGCCCACCACCCTGGACTGATGCCAAGATCATTCAATAGGCTCTTATAATGAGGCATGCAGTAAACCCAAATCAAAAACATAAAGGAAGATACTATCAAGAAACCAAGATAGTAACATACTAAAATCTTAATAAGCAACTTCACAGCTCTATACTCTATACCTCCCAACTCGTCTTTCTGTTCTTCGGTCATTTTCATAAAGGTCGAGTTCCTGCCCACTGTTGGCGCAAAAGATAAATAGTTTCCACTACTAATGGTACGTGCAAGACCACCACTTGTACCACTTTGTAAATGTATTGCCGATTCCTCACTATCATCTGAATCATGATCATCATTGGCGGCAGTCTCGCTTGAAAAACGTGAAATAGTGGGGGTTCTTATTCTATCGAGCTGTTTAAAACGTTTCTTTCTTCTTCTCTCTTTTTTCTTGTCGGTGAAGTTTGGAAGTGAGTGGTCAAATTTGAGTATTCTGGTTGTAGTTCCTTCGTCAGCACCATCTGCTGTTGAATCCTGTCTTGTGCGACACGCCAGATTGGTTGCTGTTGGATCTTCTTCTTCACGGTCGTCATCAGTGATTGCATCTTCATCAATCTCACCATCATAGTCCTGGTCATCATCATTGTTATCGTCAGTATCATCAATATCATTTTCAGCACCACTTTGTCCATCGAATCGTGTCATATCATCACCAGAAATATTACTCTCCTCAACTTCAGAATCTATTGATGCATCATCATCCTCATCTTCATCTTCTATGCCTGACGATGCCCGTGATCGCCTCTTGCGACTTGAGTTTGAAAGAGTCTTTCTTAGTCTATTCTTCCACGGTTTATACGGTTTTCGAGTCGTCAAGGGAATCCACAGAGACCTTCTTTTTTGAATTGATTTCGGAAGCTTCTTCTTAGTAAATATGGCATTGTGACTAGCAGAGTCTTCAATTTCATTGGGTGGTTTGATAACGAGAATATCATCATCATTATCATCGCCATCACCATCACCATCACCGTGATGAGGACTTTGACTTTCTGATCTCGGCGTTTGCGATCTTCTGCGTCTACTGGGCGAAGCTATGTCAGCGAAGTGAATGCTTGTGCTCTGAGGGGGTGAGATTTCATGGGTGTCATCTAGATTACCACCACGATTATCACCCTGTCCATTATGCAGGGAATTTTGCTTCTCTCTAAGCATATTGATAGAGCGATACATATCCTCCGGATCGATGGACTTTTTTCTTTTTGGATGCGGCAAAGCACCGAACTTGATTGCGTGAGCTGTTGTTTCTCCATGTTGGACAGTAGGGCTCTCGTTGTCGGGATGATAAGCCTCTTCATCAGAAGGCTCTGACATGTGTTCAACCTTGCCGTTGTTGTTATGTAACCCATTTCCAGGAACCAGAGTTGAGGACTGCGGGCTATCAACTTCGGCATCTCTATGGTTATATCCCAAGTCTTTGTTGTTTGCAGTATTCATTCTAGTAGAATTAGCAGAAGCTATGGTATTCTGTCTAGCTAAAGTTGCCGACTTTCGCATTTGGAAGTTCAACTTTGAATTCTCCTTTATATTGTCAAAATGCCGCTCAAAGTAGTATAATCGAACCAAAAGTAATGACCCATGAATGAAGATGGGATTTGTGAACGTCGGTATAAGGTACAAGATGATTTGCTGATATAGGGATATGAGGTTACCATCATAGGTATTAAGCCCAGCTTGAGTAGATGCTCCACTTGCGAAAAACAAAGAATCAATATACGGTATTGTTTTGACGGGATATATCAAAATCGAACCAATGAAGCAATGCATGAGAATGTAAAAGTAATGAACGGCCCTGAAGTTCGGTAGCACTACTTTGGTATAAGGATACGCTGCAGATATGATCCTCTGTATGAAGTTTCTAATTTTGAATCCAGCATCGTGTTTAAAGCGTGCTCGCTTATACCGCTGGTAAGTATCTGGTACGGATGGCATGGTGTTGGAGCTTTTAAGGACGCCAAATAACAGGGTGTGACAGCTGGCGTATTGCTATCGCTGAGTTAAAAAAACAACAACCAAAACGGAGAGGTCTGATTGATTTTTTGAATACGTGGGTGTTGATATGTTTGCTATAAAATGAATTGAAATTCCATACTAAGTAAAAGATTGATGTGTCAAAAACAATTAATTGATTTTTATTTTTATTTTTAGACTGAGCTCACGTGCACATCTCATCTCAAGTGACACAACAGCCCATGACAATATATGACTAGCCAAGCGTCAAAAAGTGAATATACCAGAGTAGTAGTTGTACGGCAAACGAAAGAAATGTACTATATAGACAACTGTTCAGATGTTTGTGCTTAGTTTGTGCTTATCATGAATGATAACGTATTTCACATTTGGCCGAGACGTTTATTTTCTTGGGCCAACTTTAAAACGTAACTCAATAAAACAATGCAAAAATATGTGGCATGCTGGAGAAACTACATTGTTTATTCTTTTTAAGCTGATTGTGGGTATAGCCATTGTATTCGAAGAGTCTCCACTTGACTAGTGACTATACACCTTTTGATGAATAAAAAATGCAGTGTGATAGCTAGTTGGTCTTTCACTGTCTTGCAGTATCTGTGCACGAAACAAGTCGTGTTTAATATATGCAGAGGACAGGAAAAAGGAAAGAATCTTTAACTATGTAACATGCATGAGTTCACTCACATCTCATACCAAAGAGAATGCACCCTGTGCGCCAAAATCTTGATTTAAATGAATAGGTTAGTACCAATTTCCTCATCGTTACTTCGTCAAGCATGTTTGGGTAATCATAAAACCATGTTTTCGAGAATTGTCAAGTATATATCCATGTACTTGTGGGGATGGGAGTATAACTGATATTTGCGGAGTTTTTGCAGTAAAATTAGGGAAACAGTGTTGGAGTGCTGTGTATTAAATGCGCTCAATTTATCCATAAATAGCCTGTTGTTCTCCACTTTACAAGCTTCATGCTGATAGCTTAGACCCTTCTTTTAGTCGTGTTTATCTTTGGATAAGACAACTGTTGTCTTACAAATTCCTTCTTTTTTTTTGGGGGGGGGGGGGAGAGAGAGGGGTAATTGGGGCTTTTTCCCATTTACTCTTTCGCTTTAAACTTTAAACTCACATCCAGCCGGTTTGGGAAATATCAGACAAGAAGGGAATAGGGTCAGATTGGAGAATAGGCAAGGATCACTTTAAACAATGCACTAAAGAAATAAGATGGTCTGTCACTTGTCCTGGAAAGTACAACGACAATAACTCAGGCTACATGTGGAGCTAATTTAGTACCCAATACTATTTACAAAGGGATGGCGAAATGGACAAGCTACTATACACAGATTCAGGTTCATTTGTTAACTAAGCATCACACATTCAAATCACAATCAGTAGCTTTATCCACTATTAGAAGTGGTGTAACAGCAAAAAGTAAAACAATCCCACATAAAATGGAGCAGAATTGGAAGCCAATTATAAACCTCAACAACGAAAGCCAAGACTAGTAAAGTTTGAAATCTAAAGTTTCCATCTGCGTGAGGATGTTGATGCAAATTGGTTGTGGATCTGCAAATTACACTTTTTTTTATGGCATATTATTAAAAAAAAAGGAAAACCAAAAACATAAATTAGAAAATGAGCCACCCCGCAATGTTCTGTTTTTGGAAAAGGCAGTCTTTAGATTTTTTTTAAAAGTTCCAATGTTGCAATGAAAACACTTCGATCCTCCTTATAACCAATCATTAATGGCTAAACCAGAACTAAAACGTGAGGGGATGTTGTAAGATATTGCAAGACTCGTGAAACGAACTCCGTTGATTTTCATATGGTGAACTCCACATGTGTCAAAATTTTTTAATTGTTTGATTTGGAATACCCCATTCGCTGACTTGAAATTAAGGTTTCTACTTAGAGAAATAAAATGTTCTTTACTTTATGCTTTTTCTGTGTATCCTTGACTTCAAAATGGTATCAGTGTTCAACAATTGCTTTGTGATTTAGTTCTCAAGCGAATTCCGACATCTCAACAAAATGTTATCATGCAAGGTTTGAAAAGAGGGCGTTAAACTGGAGTTGCTGATAGGTTTTTTAAAGTTTTAGTATGGATTCAAATACGCTTTGGAATATGATTATAAAAGAGGTGAATAATTCTGTCCTATGAGAGTGGAAGTTATATCCTCTGGTGTCATGCATTGTGTATAGTCAAGGTTGTTTCACATTTCAACAAAATGAAACCATTTTCTCCAGTACAAAGTTTACGTCACATTCCCACAAACGCTTCGGAGGTTAGGTTTGTTGATCCGCAACATAATCTCGGAGATGTTGATTTATTACATCAAATTGGCTACAAGCAAGAATTAAGACGTCATTATTCAACCATACAAGTTTTCGGTATAGCATTTTCAATTATGGGTCTCCTACCTAGTATAGCTTCCGTCCTCAACTCTGGTATATCTACTGGGCCTGCTGGTCTAGTCTGGGGTTGGTTCATTGCTAGTTTTTTTATCTTTTGCGTCGGTATTTCCATGAGTTTCTTGGGTAGTGCTATACCAACAAGCGGTGGATTGTATTACTACACAAACTATTATTGTCCCGACCGATTCAGGGTGCCCTTGAGTTATTTGATTGGATGTTCAAACTCCCTTGGATTGACTGGTGCTATTTGCAGTATTAGCTATGGATTTGCAGTCGAGGTTCTATCGGCTGTCTCACTTGCAAGGGACAACAACTTTGAATTGACAAATGCAAAATCGTATGGTGTATTTGCTGCAAGCATCGTCTTGAATATGGTTATCTCATGTTTGACAACTAAACATGCTGCAATGTTGCAAACAATCTCAATTTGTGTTAACGTGTTTTTGGTTGTACTATTCCTTATTGCTGTTCCAGTTGGATTTTCAAGACACAATAGCTTCAACTCAGCAGGGTACATATTTGGCAAGTATGAAAACTCAAGGGATTGGCCAATAGGGTGGAGTGCCATCATGTCATTCAATCCAGCTTTATGGACGATTGGGTCATTTGATTCAGTCATTCATTGTTCTGAGGAAGCATTAAATGCCCAAAAGTCTATTCCTGTGGGGATATTAGGCTCTATAGCTGCGTGTTGGTTCTTGGGATGGGTAATAGTAATAGTGTGTGCAGCTTGTATTAAAGACGGTGATACTGCACGTGTCCTCTATTCCGAAACAGGATCGCCCATGGCTCAAATCATTTACGATGCGTTGGGAAAGAAATGGGCTGTCGCGTTCATGTCGTTGATCTGTGTGGGTCAGTACCTCATGGCTATTTCCTTGATGATTGCGTTATCAAGACAAGTTTGGTCGTTTGCAAGAGATGATGGGTTACCAGTGGTTTATAAATGGGTCAAGTATGTCAATCCAAAGATAAGGGTGCCTGTGAGAGCAACGATTTTTGCCAGTTGTTGTGCATTAGTCATGGGCTGTTTATGTATAATCCCTGGATCTGCTGGATCTGCTGCACTATTTTCGCTTGCTATTGCTTCAAACACTTTGGCGTGGGGTACGCCAGTGGTTCTTGTTGTTTTGCCTTATGGCAGAAAGAAGTTTATTCCAGGGCCCTTTTACTTTGGGAAAACTTTGAGCTTGATCATCAACATCGTTACTTCGCTTTTTCTTCCCTTTGTTATCACAATGAGTATGTTTCCGGAATCCACACGGGTTGATAAAGACAGTATGAATTACACTTGTGCAATCAACGGAGGTGTTTGGCTATTGTCTATAATTTACTATTATGCGTGGGCGTGGAAGAATTACACAGGGCCCAAGTCTAATCTTGATGGCACAGAGTCGGAAGAAGAGGAGTCCAGTGTTAAAAACGTTGATGAAATTTTGGGAGAGAAAGCATAGGCGATTTAGTAATTAAGCAGGCTATAGTCAAGGTTTTAGTAGTGTAACCATTGAATGTATAGCAAAACAGTTTGTCTTCCTGATATTCGTAATTGTAGTTTGGCCACTTGCAAAATCTATTATCTTGAGGATGCGACTTCTAAGGACAGAATGGTGGCGTTACTAATTGTATTTACCTATTGTTATAGCGGAGTATGTTGCAGTCTGCTTGCAAACACCGGCATGTTCATTTTTGCCACCTTTGTTTCCATTGCCACACCTATAGAAAAGCTTGTTATCATTATATTTACATATAATTATGTTTGTGCTTCAAGATATCTAAGCACGGAGAATGCATAAACCCTCATCGCATGATGTCTATTGCTACTTGTTTTTGCAATATTGGACTCATCTGAAACTTTAACCTTTGGTACTTCTAATTGGACTACTTCATATGCAACTAAAATGACGTGTGTGTATACGTAATCAACAAGCCACAAAAACTAATTAACTAAAAGGAACAAATCATCTTTATCCTTTTCCAAACTTTGCTGACTCCATCCAAGTGTTCTATCATTGTCTGTTTAAGACTTAGAATGACATGTCCTTTTGCCTGAACTAAAACTCGTACCTGCTTACTATGCTGAGCAAAAATATTAAAGACTAGGTCTAGGTTTTCACAACACCAGCTTATTCCATATACCAAGTTATACAAAAGCAAATATATATGCAGGAGCTCAATTGCAAAATTTGAAAAAAATTTTCATTCTACAAACACAAACACAAAAATAAGAAAAAGAAAAACATAGTAGCAGCAAGGCGTCTAAAATGTTTGGGTAGCGTTCTCATCTCAAAGTTCTCTCTCTTCGTATAAATTTCATTTGAGGAGTATAAATAGTTGAAGTTATTTCCTACAGAAAAATTCATCATCTTGTAATACTATTCCTATTTATTATTTTCATTTCTTTTCCCTTCTCTTCTCTTTCTTTCTCCCTCTCTCTCTCTCTTTCTCTCTCTCTCTTCTCTTCTCAATAAGTCACCGTCCTCCTTCGTGAATTGTGCGCAGACTAATAGATTTCTTCATTGGTATGTACAAGAATCAAAACTGCCTGCTAGTTGACAAAGAAAAAGACGCGTTATTGAGATGGGAAATTTGTATGAATCTTTCTCACCACATCGTATCTACTCAAATATTTGTCAAATGATACCGCTGTCACTGATGTCATAGTTACAAACTCTGACATCGCATATACACTTCCCTCAGCAAGCGCGGTGCAGTGTGATGGCAATGTGAGAGATGAGACCTCAGGATGATAGAAAAAAAAAATATTTTTTTTGTCCCATAAATCTAGACCAAAGGGCATCGATCTTCTTTTTCAAAAAACTTGCTCCAATTTCTTTGAACAGCTTCATACTAACTTAGTCATAGCTGATCTAAACTCATTTCATTCATACTTTGCTAATTGTTTGGTTTCCTTATAAATTCAATTCCCCCCCCCCAAAATTAGTATTTTATAAGAACCTCCGTGTTATTTACAACAACTTACATTTTGAAAAATTTAAAGATCGGCAAACATGGCTAAATTATCTGTTCCAATTTCCCCACCTATGGAGTCAACGGGTGATAGGTTGATGACCTTAGAAACTCAGGATGGTGTTGCCTTGCAAGGTTACTCCTTCGGAGCTGAGGTCCCAGCTGCTGGTGAAGTGGTTTTCCAAACCGGTATGGTTGGTTACCCTGAATCCATTACCGATCCTTCTTATGAAGGTCAAATTTTGGTCATCACCTACCCATTAGTTGGTAATTACGGTGTACCAGACAGAAAGTTGTTAGATGACGATTACACCCCAGCTTTGCCAAAATACTTTGAGTCAAATAGAATTCACATTGCTGGTTTAGTCGTTGCTCATTACACAGAGGAGTATTCCCACTTTTTGGCAAAATCGTCTTTGGGCCAATGGTTGAAGGAGCAAAACATTCCAGCTATTTATGGTGTTGATACTAGATCCTTGACCAAAAGATTGAGAGAAGAAGGGTCAACTTTGGGTAGATTTGCCTTGCAAAAGCCAGGAACCAAGTCAGAAGAAGTTATTGCTGACAAGTCAGGCAACTGGAAACAATACTTTGAAGTTCCTGAATTTGATGACCCAAATGTCAAGAATTTGGTTGACAAAGTCTCGATTAAGGAACCAGTTTTGTATGCTCCAAAGGACAACATAAAATTGGGAAAAGATGGTAAGCCAATTAGAATTGTCGTTATAGACGTTGGTATGAAATATAACCAAATTAGATGTTTTGTTAGAAGAGGTGTCGAATTATTGGTTGTTCCTTGGGATTACGATTTTACCAAAGAAAAATACGATGGTTTGTTCATCTCAAACGGTCCTGGTGATCCAGCTGTTATGGATGAAACTGTGGCAAGATTGCAAAAGGCTTTGAAAGAAGCAAAGACCCCCATTTTTGGTATCTGTCTCGGTCATCAATTAATGGCAAGGGCCAGCGGTGCTTCAACTTTGAAATTGAAATTCGGTAACCGTGGTCACAACATTCCATGTACTTCGACTATTTCTGGAAGATGTTATATAACATCTCAAAACCATGGTTACGCTGTTGATACCAATACCTTGACCGGGGGATGGAAAGAATTATTTGTCAATGCCAATGACGGATCAAATGAAGGTATTTACCATGAAACCAAACCATTCTTTTCGGTTCAATTTCACCCAGAATCAACACCCGGTCCTAGAGATACCGAATTTTTGTTTGATGTCTTCATTAATGCCGTTATTGATTACAACAAGACTGGCGTTTACAAGCAAGTTGAATTCCCAGGTGGTAAATTGGAAGACAACTTGGCCGCACACCCAAGGGTTGACGTCAAGAAAGTTTTGGTGTTGGGTTCTGGTGGTTTATCTATTGGTCAAGCAGGTGAATTTGACTATTCCGGATCTCAAGCTATTAAGGCTTTGAAAGAAGAGGGTATTTACACTATCTTGATTAATCCAAACATTGCCACCATCCAAACTTCGAAAGGTTTGGCCGATAAGGTGTACTTTCTCCCAGTTAACCCTGAGTTTGTTAGAAAAGTTATCGAACACGAACGCCCAGATGGTATCTACTGTACATTCGGTGGTCAAACTGCTTTGAGTGTCGGTATTTCATTGAAGGATGAATTTGAAGGTTTGGGAGTCAAAGTTTTGGGTACTCCAATTGATACCGTCATCACCACTGAGGACAGAGAGTTATTTGCCAGTGCCATGTCCGAAATCGGTGAAAAGTGTGCCAGATCCGAAGCTTGTAACAATGTCCAAGAATCAATTGATGCCGCCAATGCCATTGGCTACCCATTGATTGTTAGAGCTGCTTTTGCCTTGGGTGGATTAGGTTCAGGTTTTGCTGATAATGAAGAAGAATTGGTTGCCTTGTGTAACAAAGCTTTTGCAACATCGCCACAAGTCTTGGTTGAAAGATCAATGAAAGGTTGGAAAGAAGTTGAATATGAAGTCGTTCGTGATGCCTTCGACAATTGTATTACAGTTTGTAATATGGAAAACTTTGATCCATTGGGAATCCACACTGGTGATTCTATTGTTGTTGCCCCATCTCAAACTTTATCCGACGAAGATTACAATATGTTGAGAACTACTGCAGTTAATGTCATTAGACATTTGGGAGTTGTTGGTGAATGTAACATCCAGTACGCTTTGAACCCATTCTCAAAAGAATACTGTATCATTGAAGTCAACGCTAGATTGTCACGTTCTTCAGCTTTGGCGTCAAAAGCCACTGGTTATCCATTGGCCTATACTGCTGCTAAATTGGGATTGAACATTCCATTGAATGAAGTTCAAAACAATGTGACTAGATCCACCTGTGCTTGTTTCGAGCCTTCTTTGGATTATGTTGTTGTGAAAATTCCAAGATGGGATTTGAAGAAATTTACCCGTGTTTCATCATTATTGTCATCTGCTATGAAGTCTGTTGGTGAAGTCATGTCCATCGGTAGAACATTTGAAGAAGCTATTCAAAAGGCTATCAGATCTACCGATTACCATAATTTAGGTTTCAACAAGACTGCTGCGTTAATGTCGATCGATATTGACCAAGAGTTGCAAACCCCATCAGATCAACGTTTGTTTGCTATTGCCAATGCTTTGACTGACGGTTACTCTGTTGAGAAGGTTTGGAAATTGACCAACATTGACAAATGGTTCTTGAACAAGTTGGATGGATTGATCAAATTTGGAAACAAAATTGCTAGCTATGGTAAGAAAGAAAACTTGCCAGTAGCAATTATCAGACAGGCTAAACAATTGGGTTTTGAAGATAGACAAATTGCCAAATTCGTCGACAGTAATGAAGTCGCTATTAGAAGATTGAGAAAAGACGCTGGTGTCATTCCATTTGTCAAGCAAATCGATACAGTTGCTGCTGAATTCCCAGCATTCACCAACTATTTGTACGTCACTTACAATGCTGACTCCTCGGATGTTGCCTTCGATGATAATGGTGTCATTGTGTTGGGTTCCGGTGTCTATAGAATTGGATCTTCGGTCGAATTCGATTGGTGTGCTGTTAGAGCCATTAGAACCTTGCGTGAAAGCAAGATCAAGACGGTTATGATCAACTATAACCCTGAAACTGTGTCAACTGATTACGATGAAGCTGATAGATTGTACTTTGAAACCATCAACTTGGAAAGAGTGTTGGATATCTACGACTTGGAACAATCTGCTGGTGTTATTATTTCCATGGGTGGTCAAACATCAAACAATATTGCATTGCCATTGTACAGACAAAATGTCAAGATTTTGGGTACTTCACCAGAAATGATTGATTCGGCTGAAAACAGATACAAATTCTCAAGAATGTTGGACAAGATTGGCGTTGACCAACCAGCATGGAAGGAATTGACCTCCATTGAAGAAGCAGAGGACTTTGCCAAGAAGGTTGGATATCCAGTCTTGGTTCGTCCATCCTATGTCTTGTCAGGTGCAGCCATGAATACCGTCTACTCCAAGGATGATTTAGCATCATACTTGACTCAAGCCGTTGATGTTTCTCCAGACTACCCCGTGGTTATCACCAAATATATTGAAAATGCCAAGGAAATTGAAATGGATGCCGTTGCCAAGGATGGTAAGATGATCATGCATGTCGTTTCTGAGCATGTTGAAAATGCTGGTGTCCACTCTGGTGATGCTACCTTGATTGTACCACCACAAGATTTGGATCCTGAAACTGTTAGAAGAATCGTTGAGGCAACTGCCAAGATCGGTAAAGCTTTGGATATTACTGGCCCTTACAACATTCAATTCATTGCTAAAGACAATGACATCAAGGTTATTGAATGTAACGTTAGAGCATCTAGATCGTGTCCATTCGTTTCTAAGGTTGTTGGTGTCGACTTGGTTGAGATGGCTACCAAAGCTATTATGGACTTGCCAGTCACGCCATACCCAGGTGAAAGATTGCCAGATGATTATTGTGCTGTCAAGGTGCCTCAATTTTCGTTCTCAAGGTTGGCTGGTGCTGACCCAGTTCTTGGTGTTGAAATGGCCTCTACTGGTGAAGTTGCCACTTTTGGTAGAAGCAAGTACGAGGCTTACTTGAAATCGTTGTTGTCTACCGGTTTCAAATTGCCAAAGAAGAACATCTTGTTTTCTATTGGTTCATACAAGGAGAAACAAGAGTTGTTGCCAAGTATTGCCAAGTTGAGCGAATTAGGATACAAGATCTTTGCCACCGCTGGTACTGCTGATTTTATCAAGGAGCACGGTATCAAGGTGCATTACTTGGAAGTTTTGAGTAAGGAAGAGGACCAAAAATCGGAATACTCATTAACCCAACATTTGGCCAACAACTTGATTGACTTGTATGTCAATTTGCCATCAGCAAACAGGTTCCGTCGTCCAGCATCATACATGTCAAAGGGTTATGAATCTCGTCGTATGGCTGTTGATTTTGCTATTCCATTGGTTACAAATGTCAAGAATGCTAAATTGTTGGTTGAAGCAATTGCCAGAAACATTTCCATGGACGTTTCCAACAGAGATGCTCAAACTTCACATGGTACTGCCACCTTGCCAGGTCTTATCAATGTTTCTTCATTTGTCACTTCATTCAATGACTTTGAGCAGACTACTAAGCAATCATTGGCTGCTGGTTTCACTTTCAATGCCTTTTTGCCACACACTCAAGCTGGTGCCGCTGTCACTGATTATAGAACTTTAGTTGAAGCCATTGACCAAGCTGGTGCCGATGCCTACACTGACTTTTCATTTGCAATTGCTGCATCTGAAACTAATTCTCAAAGTGTAACCGATGCTGCCGATAACGCTGGTGCTTTGTTTATTCCATTCAATGACATTGATGGTTCAAAGGTTTCAGCGGTCAATGCTCAGTTCACTGCATGGCCACAATCCAAAACAATTGTCACTGATGCCAAGGCTACAGACTTGGCATCTGTTCTTTTGTTGGCCTCATTATACAACAGGTCGATCCATATTACTGGTATTTCTTCTAAGGAAGATTTGGACTTGATCTTGATGGCCAAGAATAAAGGTTTGTCGGTCACATGTGACGTTGCTGTTTTCACCTTGTTCATTTCAAGAGACGATTTAGACTATCCATTTTTGCCAACAAAGAAGGACCAAGAGTACTTGTGGCAAAACTTGAAAGATGTGGACTGTTTCTCAACTGGTGTCTTGCCTTATTTGATTGCTAAGGCAACTAATCAAAAGATTGTTCCTGGTTTGGGAATTAGTGAAACCATCCCATTGTTGCTATCTGCAGTCAATGAGGGTAAGCTTACCGTTGGTGACATTGTTGAAAAATTCCATGACAAACCAGCTAAAATCTTCAACATTCCAAAACAAGATGCTCAAGTCATCCTTGACTTGGATAGGTATTCTGAAGCTGAACCAGCTTATCCTGAATTTTCGAAATTGAAATTGAGAGGTGCTATTGAGAGAGTATCCTTCCATAATGAAACCGTTGTGCTCGATGGCGCTGTTTTAGCTGATTCTGCTTTGGGCAAGAATGAAGTTGGATCAAGATCAAGGTTCAATTCAGTTACTTCGGTGCCACAGTCGCCTGTCTTGGGCCAAAAGAGAGTTTCATTCTCAGGATTGCGTCGTCCATCTTTCGCTCCAAGCACACCAGAGCCACAACCGGCAGAATTTGAAAAATTGGGTTCAGATTTGGTTTCACAACCAATAGCTGGCTCTTTGGGTGAGGTCGCTGCCTTGAGTGACTACATCAGAAAGAACAACACTTTTTTGAGAAACAATATCTTATCAGTCAAGGATATCACTAGATCCGATTTGCATTCATTATTCACTGTTGCTCAGGAAATGAGATTGGCTGTTGAAAGACAAGGAGTATTGGATATCTTGAAAGGTAGAGTTTTGGCAACCATGTTTTATGAACCATCTACTAGAACTTCAGCTTCATTCGATGCAGCTATGCAAAGGTTGGGTGGTAGAGTTGTTGCCATCAACTCAAATGCATCTTCTGTCAAGAAGGGTGAAACTTTACAAGATACCATCAGAACCTTATCCTGTTACTCTGATGCAATTGTCTTGAGACATCCAAAAGAAGAAAGTGCTGATATTGCTGCCAAGTATTCGCCAGTTCCTATAATTAATGCTGGTAATGGATCAAGAGAACATCCAACCCAAGCTTTGTTAGACTTGTTCACAATTAGAGAAGAATTGGGTACCGTCAACGGTATTACTGTCACTTTTATGGGTGACTTGAAGTATGGTAGACCAGTCCATTCATTAGTTCACTTGTTGCGTCACTACCATGTTAGAGTTCAATTGGTTGCACCAAAAGAATTGGCAATTCCAAAGGGAATTAGAGATTTGTTGGTTGAGCACAACATGTTGGTTGCCGAATCGGAAGTATTGACTGATGATCTTATTGCTAGATCTGATGTCTTGTACTGTACCAGAGTACAAGAAGAAAGATTTGAAGATAAACAACAATACGAAAGATTGAAGGATACATACATTGTTGATAACAAGATCTTGAGTAATGCCAAACAACACATGTGTGTCATGCACCCATTACCAAGAACTAATGAAATTAGAGAAGAAGTTGATTTCGATCAAAGAGCTGCATACTTTAGACAAATGAGACATGGTTTGTTTATCAGAATGGCATTGTTGGCCATGGTTATTGGTGTTGATTTTTAGAGAAAGACGGGTAATTTGATTTTGTTTGTTTTTTGTTTATTTGCATTTGAGTTTTTTATTATTTTTATTAAAAAGTATGGTCATGATGTTGAATAGAGAGAGGTCTTGGGGGAGAGTTTTCCTAATGGCATTGTGCTATGTATATATCGTACTTGATAATTAATATAAAGTATATTACATTTTGAGAAAAGAAGCGCCCTTTTATCATCTTCTCTCGTAAGTTCGAACTCTCGGGCGTATTATATCAGACTCAGTATCCTCGTCAGATAAATAGCTGTCGGCAATTGGCAAACTTGGGCCAGAGGATGCAGCGACTTCTGCATAAGTCTGTCTGTACCCTTCTCTATGCACCTGCTGAACTTCTGATACAACTGCTTGAATGTACTCGCTGATTTGTGGTCTGTCTGAATCGAGTTGAGCTAATTCGAAACCAACTTGCCCTCCATTGTTGTCGTCGCCGACACCCTTCTGCAACCTATTACATTTCTCACACTCCTTTATTACAACACCAACCGTCTCTTTAATTCGTGGCCAGTGGTATTTTTCAGCAACTTGAGTTGTAGTTTTGTTTATGCCGAGATGTCCGTTATTTCGGTGTAAGTCAAAACAAATGCGCAATTGCTGGTCCGAGTCCGACACAACTTCCTTGCCTTTCAACATAAGCTTCCCGTTGGATAAACTATAGTGCATCGCACCTGCTCTCAATCTGGCTTTTTCTTGACGGTCGGCTGTTGCGGGATACTTGCCTGTCTCCAAATAGTATTTGATCTTGTCAAATCTGTAGGCACTGGACTCTGCCACAGTCTTGTCTGCAAGTTCACGGCCATATATTATTGCATCCACTGGTTGATCAAAATTCTTCACATAAGCAGCACTTTTTATTTTGCCTGCTCTTTTGAAGTTTAGCGATTCCCACAACTTTCGAGCGGCTGCATTGCTCTCAAACACGAGATTGAAAGTGGCGTATGTATACCCAAGTTTAGGGGCCCATTGCAAAAAGCAGTCGGTCAATGTCCTTCCAATTCCCTTACCTCTGATACCAGCATTTACAAGAAACTCAGCTGTGCAAATATGTGAACACCGTCTTCCTGGATAATTGGGTTTGATAGAAAATATACCCAAACATTCATTCTCCCACGACTTTTCATCTTGTTTTCCATTCAAAACGGGATCATCCCCAAGACACATTATCCCAACAAAGGAAGCAAACCAGTGATCAACAAATTGATCTAGTGTTAGTGGGTCAAAAAACGGTAGGGTTTCGCCTCTTTCAATCTCCATATTGTATTCATCGCAAAGGAAATGTAGTAGTCCTACCGGAATATCAAGTGGTGACAGAATAGGGTATATCGTTGCCGTTGTTACACCATCTTTGAGAAGAATTGTATACCTTTCGTTTATCTTGTTTGGTTGAGTGACTGAGTGCGAAGAAACTTCTGTCTCGTGGTTTGGGTCATCAAGTACGCTATGGTGTCTTTTCCTGTTTGATTTGTTTACCTGTTTCAGTTGTCGAACTGCTGCTACAGCGTCATCGTGGGTCATATCACACCATCAAGAAGCAGTCGGATCGAATCTCTTGTAAAAGCTGAGGTTCAGAAACAAGTTTGATGCTACCAAGTTTTACAAAATGTTCCTCCTTTGAGCACCCAATTTTTGAAACAAAGTATTGACTATTCAATTCTACTTTTATAGAGTCTATTTTTACCAAGAGATTGGCTGTCCTGAAAGTGTACTACTTTACTTCAAATCCTTTCCAAACATGTAAGCACCCACCAACCGATCGTACCCCTCCAACACGGCCACGTTCTTGACGTATCCTATTCTTTCAAACCCCAAAGAGTCCCATATCTTTAAACTTGCCATGTTAGTCTCAAAAACCAAATTAAACACTGAGTAGACGTATCCCAATTGAGGTGCAATAACCAAATACTTTGCTCCCAACTCCTTTCCCAAGCCCAAGCCTCGTTTTACATGGTTTACGACAAATCCAGCATTACATATATGTGAACAACGGCCAATGTAATTTGGTTTGACGTAAAAAGTGCCCAAGAATATGCTGTTCCATTGCTCAACTGATAAATTTTGTAGTTGTAGATCATCAAATGACTCGAAATCTCCATCAATTAAAATTGCAGCATAATGAAGAAACCAGTAGTTCTTGAAATCCTCGAATGATTTGACTTCATGATACGGGTAAGTGAGACCTTCTTCTACTACAAAATTGAATTCGTTTTGTAGTGAAATGATTAAGTTTTTAGGAACACTGGAAACATCATGGATGTTGAACAAGGTAACTGGTCTTTCATCTTTTTTCAAATTGAAATTTATCACTGACTGTTTAATCTTTGGTGTTGATTCAAATTTGTTATCAGCAAAAGGGAGATCTTTGACTGATTCGTAAGTAGTATCGATTGAAGTCATTTGAAAAGCTGACGTGTTAGTAAGGGAAACTGGCTTCTATGTTGATATTTTACTAAACATGACTCAATTTATACACGGAACTCAGAAGCCGACTATCAATGGCTTTTGTTTTGTAAATGGTAGCATCTTACAAAAGCGCATTGGGTCGAAACAGGCCCTATACAATGATTATATCCAATCTAGAAATATGCTTCGTAAAGTTAAATTATTGAAACCTTAAATCTGTCAACTTTGGAATATGCTGTGTATAATCTGTGGACAAAATAAGGAACTGGTGATACAGGTGTATTGAGAATCTTGCCCAAATATTTTGCAAATAAACTTACTCAATCGAAACTCAAAATTTTTAAGTATAAAGGATTCAAGAATCCAACTGTGAAATAATCTACAATATTAAACTAATGCTTGTAGATAACTGACGTGAGTTGTGCTCGTCTCTTGCTTTGCAATAATTGTCCAAAAAGAGCAATACAATATGCTTTTATTTCCGTGTGATTGGTCCTGCATATAATATATTTGTTGATGGAATTTTAAACTTCTTTTCTTTCTTTCTTCAACTTCAAAAAGGGATACTCAATTTTTTTAGTTTTGATGGAAAGAACACTCCCATTACTTTCATACTATATCAAACACCAAGAGCAAATCACATCACTCGTTGCATTAGCCTCAACACTTAAGTACATGGGTCAGAATACTTTTATATAACATGGAACAAGACTACAAGAGAAACGGAACCGCTTCCGACAGTATGTACCATTGAGAAACCCACACCTCGCGTGTCCAAAGAAAGTCTGGAGCATCTTTACTAACTAATGCTTTTCTCTTTTATAGCCATCAGTAAACGAGATAAGAGGAGGAACAACATTGCAACCCGGTTGCATAAACTAGAGCTGACGTTTAAAAACGATCGAGATATATTTTATCGCAATAGTTTACATGAATTACAGAATAAATTAGCAAGTCTACAACAGGGCACCAACGAAGAATACGTGACAAAGAAATTACAATTGGAAGAAACTAGAGATTATGAGTTGACGAAATTGCGTCTTTGGGAGGAATACCAGGTCAAGAGTATTGAAATGGAGTATAATCAAGCCTTACAAAAGGCAAAGGAGAACCACGACAAGATGATCAAGTTGATCAAGGAGAAACTATACGATAAGCTACAGAAACAGATAAAGACTTTGAAAGAGGATAAATATTTGTTGAATCTTTTGAATAGTAATAGCTATAATCATGATGAGGGTGGCAAGAATAGAGACAATGAAACACTAGCGGCAGCCATGGGGTTGAATGTTCACGATAGGAGATCTCTAAGGAAAAGAGGCGAGTACTTGGGTCGTTTTGCAACAGGGGAAATGGACGACCTATCAGATGGAGGAGGTGGTTTGAATGGCAATATGTCATCGGCACAAAATGGATCTGGTTATATATCGCTGGGTAAGAGAAGAAGACTTCACACAACGAGATATTCATCAAACGACGAAGTATCGAGTAGCACGGCAAGTGCTAAACCTTGGCATCACAATGGAAATACCAGCTCTGCTGCTCATCATAGCTCAATATACGCCCACAATAGGTCGAATGGTGGAGTCAACAGCGGATATGAATCTAACTTTAGTGATAAAGATTATGATGCATTAAACACGTTTATCATGGAGAACGAGGATGGCGTAAAGTCTCTAATTTACGACGGCAATGGTTTAAATGGTGATGATGGAAATCATAATAGCTACAAGGTGCAGACACGTGGATCGCATAAACAGTTTGTTGGTCCACAAGGTTTGAAACCGGAAGAATTGAATGATGATTTGGTACTACTACGCACTGCAATAGTAAAGAAGGAAAAGTAATACACTGCTGATAGATCTAGATGACTGGTAGAGGGAGAAAGAGAAAGAGAAAGAGAAAGACGGTGAAGAGTGTTTGTTCATTTTGATGATGTATTTTGTATTTTGTGTATTTTGTGTAATCTAAATGTTTTTTTTTTTTGATGAAAACCTAATAATCGGCGTTTGAATATTTTCCCTCTTCATCGGCGTTTATTTTGCTGCGGTGGAAAACTAAGTGAGAGTCCACTTGAGGAATAAGACCACGCATATGAAAAAAGGGTCGGGAATTGCTAATCTATATGCTTCAAAATGTCTATAAATAGGATAAGAGCTCTACTACTGCGTTCCAAAAAGACCACTGCTATCCTATTACTATTAACATCCTTGATCCTATTTACAACTCTACTATTCAAGGACATCGATCTACTACCCAATAATGATCCGTACTGGATAAACTATAAAATTCACAAACCACCCAACGATGATACTTTAAAGGAACTTAGTGAGCAAAAACTAGAGACCAAGATTGACTCTCCCTTTCAGTACGGTTGTGCTATTCCCAACACCGATCAACAACCGCGTGCCAATGCTGCTTTCGTCATGCTCTGTCGCAACCTGGAAATCAAGGGAGTCATATCGAGTATGAAATCGATGGAACGGCATTTTAACCAATGGTATAATTACCCCTGGGTTTTTCTCAACAATGAAGAGTTTTCGCCGCAGTTTAAAGATGCAATTTTGAATCATACCAGTGCCAAAGTTTCGTTTGGATTGATTGATATGCAAGATTGGGAGTTTCTGAAGGATATACCTGAAGCTGAATTGCATGAGTGGATAGAGTCACAGGGTGATCGTGAGTTACTCTATGGTAATTTGAAGAGTTATCATAAAATGTGTCGATTTTATTCGGGCAAATTTTATTTGCATCCGTTAGTTAAACAATTGGACTGGTATTGGCGAGTCGAACCAAATATTGAGTTCTACTGTGATTTAACTTATGATCCATTCATTGAGATGGAAAAAAGAGGGAAGAAATATGGGTTTAATGTGATGTTGTTTGATTTGTACTACTCCATCCCCGGATTGTTTCGCCATGTGCAAACATTTATTAAAAAACACAACATTAAAGTGAAAAGCAGTTGGAATTTGTTTGCCTTGAACTCAAAGTGGCTCGATGGCGAAGATGAACTTGGCGTATACGATGGAATTCACAATTCGCACGATTTAATTGTTGAGATTCAGGATCAAATATACTTGCAGAAATTTCTTCATGAACAAACGGGTAAGACCGACGATGTTTTTACCAAGTACCCTTATTTAACGCGTCGTATCCTCCAAAAGAGCAAGGATATGCCTAAATTACACGAAGATAGAACTGATAAAGAAGAGTATAATTTATGTCATTTTTGGTCCAATTTTGAAATTGCTCGTGTTGATTTATTTACGTCTACGGGGTACCAGCTGTTTTACCAACATCTTGAGTCAGCAGGAGGGTTTTACAAGGAAAGATGGGGTGATGCACCAGTTCATTCACTAGCAGTGGGCATGTTTTTGGATCTTAATGAAGTTCATTACTTTCGAGATATAGGATATCGACATGAAATATTTGTTCATTGTCCAGCTAATGCGCCCGAACACCAATTGGAATATGTGGCAAACCCCAACTATGTTGCATTTACTGCTGGTGATGGGGACACCACACAGGAACGAGTTATTTCACCCGATAAACCAAGGTACAATGGTGTTGGATGTAGGTGTAAATGTCCCCAGGAGTATGATGATATTGAAAATACTGAATGTATGAAGCGATGGCAAAAGTATACACAAGATGATTATAGAGATCCAGAACCAGTTAATCTTGAGTCGTGGAAAAAACGATTAACGAGAAAGATCAAACACCACTTAATAGCTGGAGGTAGCATGGAGGAAGATCTAGTATAGAGTCGTACTACGTAGTAGTTTTAATAGAAAAATAATGGAGCCGATTTGTAGTGCACCACTAAGCGTGCAGCATCAGTCAGATTTCTATTTCATCAAAAGCCGAGCTCCAAAAAAGAGAGATAGCTTCTACACCAAAAGCTGAGGTAGTCTAAATAATTGGTCATCAAATTTAAATATATATGCTATACAATAATACGAAATGAAAAAAAGGAAAGTAGATCAAAACACTGGTTTGATTTAACCACCGAAACCATACAAGGTTCTACCTTGTCTCTTCAAAGCGTAAACAACATCCAATGAAGTAACAGTCTTTCTCTTTGCGTGTTCAGTGTAAGTAACAGCATCTCTGATAACGTTTTCCAAAAATTGTTTCAAAACAATTCTAACTTCTTCGTAAATCAAGGCAGAAATACGTTTAACACCACCTCTTCTTGCCAATCTTCTGATAGCTGGCTTTGTTATACCTTGAATGTTATCTCTCAAGATCTTTCTGTGTCTCTTAGCACCTCCTTTTCCTAATCCTTTTCCTCCTTTTCCTCTACCAGACATTGTTGTTAATTATTTGTATATGTATGGGGTATGTGTTGATTAAAAAAAAAAGAATAGATGTGTGGTTAATGAAAAGGGAAATTGTTGTGATATTTAAATAGAAAAATGTTTTGCTAGTTGAGTGGTGAATGGAACAATCAAAATTTCATTTTACATTAAAGGGGAGAGAGAGAGAAGGTGTGTGTATGTAGTAATAGATCATAAGCGCGAGGCAAGAGAGAGATAAACATAGCACTAAACGTAGTACTATAGAAGAAGGTCCAAGCGTGTTAGTGTTGTGATGCGCAAATCTACACTCTCGTGTCTTTCTGTAACTTTTCTTTTCTTTTGTTAGTGCTTCATACTCTTCAGTAGTGTTCTTGTGTGTTCTTGTGTAGATTAGTTGAACTTATTTGTACAACAAAGGAAATACTCTTCTGTCTTTTGTATCAAACAAAAGACGCATTGGTTTTAAATTTACGCACCAGTCTTAATTTTACTCACACACATAATAATTAATTTTTCCTTTGATGTAATAAAAGGTTAAAAGGAGCTACCATTCCCACGAAAAAGAAAAAAAAAGAAAAATAAAGAAGAGTAGACGCAAAAACAAATCTTTTGATCGCGCGACTCTTTTCTCTCTTGAAACGTCTCTGTATAATCATTTATCGACTGCAAAAAAATGTAAACAAAGAACAACAACATAAACATAGACACACACTAGAACCTAAATACAAAATTTGGATATATAAACTTCATCCTGCCCTCTTATCTCAACCCAATTTTATCTGCTTTTTGCTTCTTCCTTTCTCTTTTCTTACATTAGACAACTATACACAATGGCTAGAACTAAGCAAACAGCAAGAAAATCCACTGGTGGTAAAGCCCCAAGAAAACAATTGGCCTCTAAAGCCGCTAGAAAGTCCGCCCCAACTACCGGTGGTGTCAAGAAACCACACAGATATAAGCCAGGTACCGTTGCTTTGAGAGAAATCAGAAGATTCCAAAAATCGACTGAATTGTTGATTAGAAAATTGCCATTCCAAAGATTGGTTAGAGAAATTGCTCAAGATTTCAAGACTGATTTGAGATTCCAATCTTCTGCTATCGGTGCTTTGCAAGAAGCTGTTGAAGCTTACTTGGTTGGTTTGTTTGAAGACACCAACTTGTGTGCTATCCATGCTAAGAGAGTTACCATCCAAAAGAAGGATATTCAATTGGCTAGAAGATTGAGAGGTGAAAGAGCTTAAAACTGCTTTAATATAATGACAGGTTATGAGAATTGGTAACACCTTGATGGTTTATTGGTTTTCAGTTCTTATTGGTTCGGTTATATGTAGTATAACAATGTGTATATTAGTAATGAAATATTAGATTTTTTGAATTCTGAAATGTAAAGCAAAGTGTTGGCATTTGCTTATGGGATGATAAAACTAACAGTAACTGGTTTACAGCAACAAATTTTACTACTCATTTAAATTCTAGCCTTCAAAACATATAAAAAACACCATCCCCTTCTCAATAAAGAGTTCCTGGAATCAGTTACTCACGAGAACAACAAACATGTTCTTTCTTGCTGGTCAAAGTTTGTACGTCCAAAACAGTATACTTTCCACCAGAACCTTGGTTCTTCACTGTTTGTCATTAAGTGCCTTTCTTTTTAGGGCCGATCTTTTGTCACGTGAATAATTTCAAAGCGGTAGCAATTAATATCTGAAATTTCCCAATAAGCATCATTGCTGTTGTCATACAACTACTACTACTCCACATTTCATTCCCAACAACCTAATAATTATGTCTACCTCAACTATCAAACCATCTCCATCAGTCTACGAGCAATTAGATGCGTTATCAGTTTCTCCTTATCCTTCGGGAGTATTATCAGCAGGACTATTTTTAAAAGCACTTACTAAAACTTCATCAGCAGTAACGATACCCAATTCGGGCACATCAGGATCATCGTTTGCATTTCATAAGAAATTGGCAGCCTCACAACCAACGCGATTATCGTGTACTTTATTTGGCTCAGCTATGGCTTTGGGCACCTACATGATGATTGATGGGGATCCATTGAATGCCTCAGGCTTCAATTTTGCTTGGCTGACTTTATATTTAATTGTTAATGGTAAGTCGTCTGTTCTGTCGGTTTTCAAAGGAAGACTAGCTCCAGTTGCATTGTCAGGGTTGGCTTTATTCGATGCTGCGTTATACGGTAGAGAATTCTTTTGGAGCAAGAGAAGCCCCTTTAATAACTAGTAAACAGCCACGGTTAGACAGTGATGGTTTCTATTGTATAAAAGAATCTATCATATTTTTTGTAAATATATATATATAATACTAACAAAACCAAAACCTTTCCCTCTGTCTTCTTATGTCACCCCCATCTCAACGGCAACAACCCACGTTCCTTACAATGCTCCTTTATGTGCCTATCGTCATACAACTCAATAAACTGCTGATCCATTGGTCTCTCCTTTGGCGCAGCAAACTTTCTATACTCGTCAAAGATGATCGTTTTCGACCAATCTTGCAATCGTCTCAAAACTCCTATTAAACAACCAGTTCGGTGTTTACCTCGATTGCAATGTATAAGTATTGGTTGGTTTTCTGGATCTAGGACTATCTTGAGCGCTTGTGTAATCAAGTCCAGTGAGATCTTCACAAATGGTTCCTTGTTCCCCGACATCCCCAATTGAAACAACTTGACATTGTTGCTTTCAAAAAACTTTTCTTGTAGTTCTGGATAGTCTTCTGGGATGAGACATAGTATGGATTTCAATTTGAGTTGTTTCAAGAACGAAAAATTGGCCGGTTGTGGAAATGAACTTCTATAAATTGATCCAATAACTAATGCGAAATTTTCAGGTGGTGTCAATGGCTGGTCATCAACATCAAAGTCGTATTGTAGCTCCTCCTCTGCTCCTTCCGCCGCCTCCACCTTCTTCTCTATCGCGTCTGCCGTTTCGCCCGACTTTCTGTATTGCTTCTGTTGTAGTTCATATTCCAATTGAAGTTTCTTTTGCAAATTCAAATCCAACTTGTCATCTGCATCTTCATCGTAATTCTTTTCCTCTTCCTCTTCTGTTGTCGTAGCATTGTTTTCGTTAGCCGTCTCTTCCAACCTGAGTTGATCCAACTTTGATCGTAGTGGCGTGTCGTCGTTGGTTTGCAATGTAATCTCCGAGGCCAGGTGGGCGTTGAACGAACGCGCGTTAAAATCATTGTATGTCAGTTCCCTCTTTGATATGGTATTCGGTAGACCTGGGATGTCCTCGTCCATTTGAAACGGGCTATCTGCGTTTTCGGCCATTGGGTCAATTGTTGTGCGTGTGTGTCAAAAAAAATGCTATATTGCTTTGCAGCTACGTATTAGTTCAGGTTTAGCTAAAGATTATCTCTCTGTATGGTTTTTAGTTTAAATACTGTCTGAGTGTTTTGGTTGATAAGATTTACCTATGATTTGCAAAATGTTATACAAGTCTGTTTTGGATGTGAATTACCATTGTCTATTCTCTTCTCTCTCCCCTTTGCAATCAACGATTAGAGATCTTTTTTTTCTTCTTTTCCTTCTTTTTCTTTGTCACTTATTGATTCTTCCTATCAAAATCTTTGTTTCGCACGATTACCACAGTAAAGTAGTGTAATAAGGACCAATTTTTTATTATTGAATGTCGTAATTTATCAATGTCTCGACAATATGATTTTTTGCGACACTTACTTTTTATTTTGATGCTCTTCTCAGGAATTTTCACAGCTTTTTGGAATAAGGAGTCAGTAATAACCAAGTGCCCACCTACAACAAGAAACAGCAACATCATAAAATGTCTGGAGGCAAGAAAAGGGTGCATAACAGTGACCACTCGGGACACAACAAAAATAGAAGTGTCAAACGTGGGAGAACTGAGTTGAGAACAGTGACTCGAACTGCTCAAAGACCAAGACGAGATGGCCCAAAAACAAACCACTCGATTAACAAAACCGACAATGGCGGTGCATTTGAAGCCCAGAGTGAAAGTGAAAAAGAAGAATTGTCGGAAGAAGAAGAGGATCTCAGTGGGAAAGCATACTCTGCATTGTTGATGCTACTAAAGTCAAAAAACAAGGACAAATCCACTTCTGAACCAAAAGAAGATGAGGTTGTGCAAGAAGAGAGTCAACAGCCAGATTCGGAAGCAGATGACGAAGAACTTGCAGGAGAAAACTTTGACGAGGACCACGAAGAATCAGATGATGATGATGAAGAAAATGACGAAGAAGATTCACCAGCAGAGTTGGCAGCTGACCCATTTGAAGCCCACTTCAATCAGCCTAGCGATGAGTATTTAGAAAAGGAGGAACAGTTGGTGATTAAAGAACACAACAAGTGGAATATACTGTCAAAAGCAACATTTGAAGACTTGTCATTGAGTTCAACAACATTGACACCTCCAGGGGAAGCCATAATCAATGTAAATAACAAAACGCCATCCAACGTTAAAAAGTTCCATTTATTGAAAATGAGGGTCATGGACGCATATATCAATGAATTTGGTGAAGATTTCACCAAATTGGATTCTATTCTACTTCAACCACTCTTGAACTACCAGGATGTCAACTATCAATATAAATCATTCACTAACAAGTCGTATAGGAAGCTATATGCCATGCATGCATTGAACCACATATACAAGACCAGAGATAGAATTATCAAAAACACAGCTAAATTGCACCACGCATCAGAAGCCAACCAAGATTTAGAATTGAGAGACCAAGGCTTTACTCGACCAAAAGTATTGATTCTTTTACCATCAAGAGAAGCGTGCCACACATTAGTTGAATTGTTGATCAAACTATCAGGCACAACACAACAGGAAAATAAAAAGAGGTTCACGGCTCAATTCCACGCAAAAGATGTAGCAAGAAGCAACAAACCGCAGGACTTTCAGGATGCATTGAAGGGAAACAACAATGATTATTTTTGCATTGGGTTGAAATTAACTCGTAAGTCGTTGAAGTTGTATTCGTCGTTCTACTCCTCAGACATCATAATTGCATCTCCGCTTGGATTGTCAATGATTTTGGAGAACCCAGATAAAAAGAAACGTCAGTATGACTTTATCTCTTCGATTGAAGTGCTTATTGTCGATAGAGCTAACCAAATTGAGATGCAAAACTGGGACCACGTAAACACAATTATGAAATACATAAACAAAGTTCCAAAAGATTTCCACGATGCTGATTTTAGCAGGATTAGAATGTGGAGCATAAATGATCAGGCCAAGTTATTGAGGCAAACGTTGGTGTTTTGTGAGTACTTGACTCCGTCAATTAATAACCTTGTTTCGTCAAAGTCTTATAACCTACTGGGTAAAATCAAATTCAAGCCAATCACCACGTCAGACAACAGTATCATGAACTCCATTGGTGTTAAGATTAAGCAAATTTTCCAAAGATTTCCTAGCGAGTCGCCAACAAATGATCCTGATGCAAGGTTCAAGTTTTTCATCAATTCAATACTCCCCAATTTGTTAAAGACGACATCTTACGATGATGGTATTATGATCTACATCCCATCCTACTTTGATTACCTCCGTATTAAGGATTATTTCAAAACATCCACCAAGTTCAACTTTGGCGCCATTGACGAATACAGTTCCCAGTCCAAATTGACGAGAACACGACATGAATTCGCCACTGGCAAAATCAAAATCATGTTGTATACAGAGAGATTACATTATTTCAGAAGATATGAAATCAGTGGAGTCAAAAATATAATCATGTATGCACCACCAACAAATCCTATATTTTATAAAGAATTGATTCGTTTTATTGCTAAATCGGTATTTAAAGATGAATGTGATTTGAATTTGGTAACAGTTAAGATCCTTTACTCAAAGTGGGATGCAACCGCGTTGGATAGAATTGTGGGTAATGAACGTGCACCAATTCTTTGTCATTCAAGAAATGAAATGTATGAATTTAGATAGCAAAGTGTGTATGTGTGTGTATGTGTGTGTATATGTGTGTGTGTGCGTTAGCCCATCAGGCGCTTAATGTATTAAATGCCATAATAAAGCAGCCAATAGCAACGTAGGGGCTTAACCTCTCTCCAATTCTAGCGAATTTGTAAAAAACACTCAAGATTCCTGTTTTCCTGTTATCTAGAAGTGTTGGGGTGACACTATGGACATACGTGCAAGTGCAAATGAGAAGAAGAAGCACTTGCAAAAGGGATTGAAAGTTGAATAATGCAGACTATGGGGGAAGAAGTATCTTGTTAGTATATGGCAGGTGGAGAGTTCATTTTAGGAAGCATCGACATACCATCGTTATTGTTGATGAATGATGGATGATCTGTTCTGGAAATTCCGTGTTCACGAGCAAAGTTTAAAAAAAAAGGAGACTCAAAAAATAAACTGTAAATTTAAAAAACGCTACCGACACATCTATTTATTGCACTATTCTATACTACTTAGCTGACATCATCCTCTCTACACGAGCAGGGACGTCAAATTTATCTGCAATGATTTCATAAAACTGCAATTTTGAACTATCTCCCAATTTCCCACTACCAAACTGCTCATCAAACTCTTGAACATTGTGGATCTTGAATGCATTATGAGTTTCACCTTCGACACCACCAAAAACCAGCAACAATTTAGACCACTTCCAGAGCCCATTTATATCATTGTATGACCTGGTTGGCCCTTTAATTTTCCTTTCGATTGTGTACCCATCATTGTTTATCAAAAATACCTTGGGCAAGTTATGTAAAATGTGATGGTATCTAATGAAACTGGAAAATTCTTGTGCCGTCATTTGAGCACCGCCGTCTCCTTGTACCAAAATGATACGTTGATTCAGACCCAAATCATTGATTGCCATTGTAGCGCCAAATGTTGCTGGCACTGCATATCCAATTGATCCATAACTCCAACCCGAAAGGAGATGCAAGTTTGAAGGAAACTTGATATCCATTACTCCAAAGCAAAAAGACATGGTGTCAACAATCAAAAAATCATTCAGCTGAAGGTTATTGGAGAGAAATTTGTTGATTTTGGACTGGGGACAGCAGAAATTGTCTGTTTTGGATGCAACATGGTTGTCTTGAGGAATAAATTTATATGTGGTCAGTCTTGTGGCAGATATTTGAGCAATTTCCAATTTTTCAGTCAAGTTGTGCAAAAACTCGCCCATTGAGAATAACTTTTCGCCATTAAACTGTTTTATATGGTGTATGGAGTTGTTGATTTGAATATAATCAGGGTGAACAATTACCGTATTGTCTGCTTTGGAAAAATCACGACTATATCCACCGTTGTTCATTTCGGTATCGTAATAGCCTAAGAGAAGCAAGAAATCAGAATTTTCAAACAACTGTTGAACTTTAAGATCAGATGACCCAGCGCCCGTGTATACACCAACGAAATTGCTTCTGGTCTCATCAATGTTTCTTCCAAAGTTGGCGGAGAATAACTTAACGCTCTCTGGCAATTTTTGGGCAAATTGATCAAGTTCAGCTTGTGCTCCAAATCGAGTAACTAAACAATCAGCAAGCACTGATGGGTCGTTTGATTGGTACAACAATGACAAGATGGAGTCGGTTACTTCATTCAACATGGATTGTGCGTAAGCGGTCCCTTGATATTGTGATAAAGGTGAAAATGGAGTCTCAAGCAACATGCTAGAAGAAGTGAGCATATCAGGTACATCACAGGGAATAAAAAGGTATCCTGGTCGTCTTTCTTGAATAATAGTTCTCAACACTCTGTCAATCTTTGCTGCATTGTTGGACATGTTGTCATCCAACGACTCTTGGATGCAAGATACACCTTCCACCATCTTCTTATAGACATCATGGTCGGGAGCACAAAGTGGATCGTGGTTTGGCACCAAGTGATGTATGTTGACTATTTTGCTTCTTGTTTGCTCGCGTTGTCTCAATGATGGTGTTCCAACAATATGCAATACAGCTCCGTACTCAGTAAAGGCATTAGCAATACCATTAATAGCAGATAATTCACCGACACCATATGTTGATATAAAAACACTCAATCCATCAATGGCTTTTGAATAAGCATCGGCAGCATAAGCACCATTCAACTCGTTACATGTGTTGATTAGCTTGATTCCTTTGTGTGCAACCAAAGGAGAATAACCATGTTCAAGCAAATTGAGATTGAAATCACCAGGGATCTCAAACACTGTCTTGAGCTTAGAATTAGCTTGGGCTATTCTAAGAAAGATGTATTCACCAAGTGCAATATTTTGAGGGATAACCAATGGGATAATACTAGCTTCCTCGGTGTTAGTGGCTGGGGGAGTAATCGGAGTTGTTTCTCTAACTGGTGCCATGGTTAACTGTTGAGTTAAGTAAGAAGTGTGGTGTTCAAAGGAAAGGTAGAGGGTTTGAGGGTACTTATTTATATAATTTTGAAAATAGAGGCCTATGCCAGCAAAGGTCTTGGAAAACACGCATTAATCAAAACTTGCAACAACAAGCCGAAAGTGTGTGAGTTTTGACGCCATAGAATGATCTGGTTACAAGTTTGGCACAATTCGGTTAGATGAAACAATTGTTGTTCTCGGTTATCGATGGCTATTTTTTGTTCCTTATACCCCAGAAAAACCGAAAAGAGAAAAAGCCGAAAAAATAAAATAATACCCCCCTTTTATTTAGATCTGTCAAAGTTTTGTTTCGAATGGTATAAGGCGGCATTAGGTGCGTGACACTCTAGAAATGTATCATTCACTTATAAGGCAAGTGACCATCTGTCATGCGTCTAAAAAGTAGTGTAGGCTATTTATATGTTGCTAGTGGGAGACATAAATAGAGGGGATTGTTCTACGTTTTATACCTTTTTTTTCAATACGAAGTGCCATTCCATTTCACGGCATCAATTTTATTCGTCTAGACACTTCTCTTTAATTTCAGAGTTCCTATATAAAGTACTTTACAAGAAAAAAAGAATTCCAAAGTCTTCAGCTTTGTTTTGCAAATATTCGGCACCAGATGGAAATGAGGGACAAGGACGACTTTAACTCCAAAAACAGAAAACAAAGAGACGCGCTTTCAATACCACTTCTTACGATCTCATTGATCAATATACTGCTATACCCATTTTGTCAGCAGAAAAATGGATCTTCTATTGTATCTATATTCTTTATTCACTCTGCGACAGCACTTTCCTTCTCTTCGCCTTTACTCGAATCAAAAAGGACAATGTTATTTTCAAGCGCAGCCGCCTTCTCTTGCCTTCTGTACAAATACAAAACGAGGAAAGACCAAACTGCCAATGCAAACCCTGACGCTGCCGTGAAACTGTACCCTTTTAAAAACCTCGGTGCTTCAACTGTCTTCCATACCAAGACTGAAATCCATGCTGAGGTCAGTTGGGCTAACATGTTACATGCAACTAAAACAATTTGACGCTCACGTACATCTCTTCGACATATATCTCCCAAGAAGGAGTAGAGTACCGGAGACGAACTCCAACCCCAATATTGCATACAAAATGCAAACCATTTGCCACCTTCAGGAATGTCCCATATTGCAAGTAACAAGTTTCCAAGCACATTGAATACCTGCGAAAACACTATAGCCCCATAACGACTTTTGAGCAAATCGGCAATTGAAGTGGTCAATATCAACCAGAAAATGCCCAATGCTGGTGTTAATGAGGTGTAGTCTTGTAACTGGCCACCTCCAAATCGAGGAGTTCTACCATCATCTTTCGTCAATGATTGGAGCCATAAGGGATATGCTCCAGAGGTACCATTCGAATTGTTCCAACAAAATGTTGTCCACAAGGTTAAGACGTGTATATGCCATGATGAAAGCACCTTTTTCCATAGACCCCAGTTGAAGAAATGGTAAAACTCATTTTCTCTAGGCTTGGCATCCTTTTGATCCTTTCTCATCCTCCTTCTGGCAATTCTAATGTCGTCATCGGATAAAAATATGCTATAACAATCTTCAGGTGTTCCCGGAATCATATAAATTCCAATAAGACCAACCGCAAGACTGATGATACCATCGACAATGAAAATCCATTGCCAGGCTTCATATCCATTGACACCACCCAAATGCCTCTTTATTGCCCCCGAGATCAAACCCGAAGTTAATATTCCCAAGAACTGGCCAATGTAGAAAAATCCTGCTCGACGAGCTACTTCCCCTGTACTTCCTTTAAACCACGAGGCAAACAAGGAATGGTAAGCAATGTATGTTGGTGCTTCAAACGCACCAATAAAGAACCGAATAGCCTTAAGACTAGGTACGTTGGTTACTTGCGATGTACAAATTGTCAATACTGACCAACCAAAGTCCAACGCTGG